GCACGAGGGCCAAACACCAATCACCCGCGGATCCGGCTGCCACTGACGACACTATCTATGCAAGATTAGCTTCGGGATCAGAGCCAAGCTCTTTACCCAGTGAATCATTGACCCGCTTGCTGGCCACTTTTCTGATTCAGTCCATTCACATGTCCTCGAAGTCGGATCATTGCGCAGATGGATTGATCTGGACTCCGAATACGGGGGACATGGTTGATGGTGCGGTGAATGCTATCTCGCATCACTATCACGACCGTGGAGTGCCGTCCAATCGTGTCGCCGGGGGAAAGCGATCCGCAAGCCCCTCCCCCTCGGCTTGGCTATTGCCCAATCCCCTGGGCTTGCCTCGCCGGTGTTGCGATTTGAATCAGAACTAGGATCCCGGTCATCTGATGCTGGTCTTTGAGATGTGTGTCACGGTTTAAGAGGGATCGGGGTTGTATTCGATGGCTAATCAGATGATGGCTCGGGGCCAGACGTTACACTGTTCCACCGTGGACGAGGCAGTGGCATTTTTAGTGTTTTATCTACTGCGCTGGCAAGATTCAGGAGCTCCCCGAGCAGCTCTTCCTGGTCGGTTGGACTTTTGTCTGTTTCTGGCTGCTGGGTGCCTTATCTGGATTCGAGATTTAACATTAGAGTCTCCTGTATACTGTACATCAGGCGTGCTACTGTACTGTGTGTCTGAATTTCAAATGTCTACAAGCCAATCACAGGGTAATGTCGGTCGAACCGTAGATCACCCTTGTTCAATAAAACACGTTGATGCAACAATAAACCAGATTCCAATCTGCAACGATCTCGGAAACCGAGATCCCAGGATACGCAAAACCGCGATCGACACAGATAGATTGACTGATAGTTTCTGATCTGTCACTTTGACCCTAGCAGCTCGATACGCAGATCCCCCGAACAAAGGCGAGGCAAACAATCTATAAGTTAATCTACCAGACTACTAGTACGGAGTACAGGCAACAGAACATGACAGCCCGAAAGACGTGTGGGTCATGGATATACGGCATAAACAATAAACAATAAACAATAAACCCCGATCGACAATTCCTGTACAATTTCCATACGGAAAATCCCACCATTACAGATTTCCACTTGTGCCACAGACAAAAATGAGTCCCCCCCCATATTGTCCCCACCCTCCCCTCTAGCCACCGCACACACAGCCTATGGGGGAGTAGCCTCGCGCTCCCCGACATGACGCACAACTCTTGCTGCGAACCCCACTGAGGCGGTGTCAATCAATCCATCCGAGTATCCGAAAATGACGATGGTGACACTTCCTCTTCGTGGGGCAGCTCGGGCGCTCCGGCGCGCCCTGGAGAGAACAAACTGAAATGTCCGCGTCGCTTAACTCTGAGACGGCACAGGGCGACCGCTAGTGCGCTGGTCTGCTGGTTAGTTGGGGAATGGGTAATTGTCACTGTCGGCCTGAGCGTTGGGCATTGCGAATTACGAATTTTGCCCTACAGTATTGTCCGCTTCCTCCTTGCTGGGGATCTTTGGAGATCATGCTCTGTGACGGTGACAGTGACGGTGATTGTGATTGTGATTGTGGCATGCTCCCCCGGGCAGATCATGGAACTGGTCATTATTAGCTTCTATAGCTGGCGATCCTATGCAGATTAATTTAGATGCACGGAGTACTGTACTGTATTTTGTATTGGTGTGCAGTGAAGTGCATTGGGGATGTTTTGCAGGTCGGACTTTTCCTTGATTTTCTGTCTGGGTTTTTGGTCAGGTACTCCTATTACATGCTGATGTTTGAGGGTGGCGTACATTCGCAATGAATGTACATACAGGACTGCAAGGCTTACGTACATGACTACAAGGCTTATGTAGAGTGCAAGGCATTGTCCATAGGTGAGGGTGATCATGTTTCAGTGACTCGTGATATTCGAGTTGGATACTGAGCTGCAGTGACAACGTGTGAGTATACAGTCGTGGCACTGCGACCGTTGTATTCGAGACCCTTATGTTTGAGGACATCTTGGGGCTATTGTAGTATATTTGTGAGGTAGTCCTAGTCATACATTACTTCCCTAGAGAATACGTCCCTGGGGTATCCCAAATGACGCTGAGAGATACGTTTATTCTTCAATTGTAGCAACTCAGCCGTACAAATGTAAATATTGGACGGCTTACTATTTATATATACGGCGTATCAACTGAGTAGGTAAGCTCCCTCGAACTTAAAAAATCCCAAAGGAAGTCCTCTCAGATCATATGAACATAAGACAGGATATCCTTCTCGGATAGCTGAAACTCTCGAATCTTCATATTAACAATCCGCCCACCTTCAAGGACTCTTCGAACGAAAGCTAGACAGTATATTGCATCTTGACCGGGCTCTATGCCACTTCTACAGTACTATCAGACGCGTAACGCCTTAGTGCGTGGTATAACGCATGCCTCTCATAAACAACCTTGTCTAGGTCTGACCAGGTATCGGTGATCATGATCTCGGTCTTATTATCAAAGTTCTATCATGATTGTAGGGCAAATTAGCTGCCCAGCAAAGGGGACGGTTACCAGAGTATAATGGATATTCGAGATGGCGAGTTGGATATATATTGCTATAAAATTTGACGAGGGGTGATTTGATATTTTGGAAGAGCCGGTGTTTACTTGCGGAGAAGCAGATGTTGCAGTTAAGGTATGGTGATATAGAGCGAGAGAAACACTATTGATATGTTATCCAATCTATAAGTCGACACAATCAAAGTAGATCATACACGAGGCTCTCGCATCATTGATAGTTCATTACATATACTATGAGTACAGAGATGAACAAATATCAATAGCAACAAAACCAGAGATCAGAGATCACAATTGAAGACTCCAAATACCAGAAAAAACCATGCTACGAATAACTTAACCACAGCACATGCAGAACCAGAAACCTGGAAATATTTCGAAATATCCGCAGTCCCGCGAACAAACCAAACCACATCCCTCAATCGTCAACAAAACCAACACGAGCCTCCTATTCAGTCGGGGCCTGCGTTCAGACCACTACCTCCAACCCGGTTCGTGGGGTTAATGCCGTGTAAATGGCACGCAAGACAGAAGTGATCAGATTGAGCGAGGTCAAGGTCCATTCAAAGTCCAGAATGGAATACAACCAGAACAGGAGAAGGAGGGAAACCAGGCAAATGCCTCGTCCGATTCGACCCTTTCAACTTGATGGCATCTACAGTACATGGACTAGTGCACCATGTACGACATTAACAAGCCAAACAAGGCGACCAGCAAAGCATAAGTTAGTCGATAACGATACACGTCAACGGTCCTATACGGACGATGACAACACCATAAACCCAAAAAAGAATACGAAAAGAATACCCCAAGACTACAGTACAACCATACATAAACTACAAATCCAAAATCCAAAGTACAGTACAGCTCCGAACCCCCCAAACTCGAAAATATAAGTCAACTCGAAACAGCAACGTCGCACAAACGCCCCTTGACGATAAGCAACAGCAAGATACATGTACTATATCCGCAGGTAAGCGAAGACAAACCACAAACCACAAACCTAAGCCCAAGCCCAAGCCCAAAGGACCAGCACGCCTCCCAGGAAATAGAGAAAACATGTACAGTGGGAGTACAGTAACGTTAAACGGCCAAAATCAAGCTTACCATTCATCCCAAAGTAGAAGCCCACCTTCCAGATCAGTCGATGTTAACCGAACGGCGAACACCACGAAGCGAGAGATACTCGCCAACACGCGGGGGAACTCATGGCTCGGCCGGGGTTGTTTGGTGGGTATACCCGAGGGGCGCCGAGTGGGATTGGAGGATGGGGGAGATACGTTCCAAGGGTACGGATAGGGTGATGGGTAAAGATGCGGTTAAGGGGATATTTTCACGTTGATTTTGATTTTGACTTTATTTTCAGGTTGGTTTGGGTTGGTTTGGTTTGTTTAGTCTAGGTTCCAGGTTAGATATCGCTTCGGCTTACCCCGGTGATGGTAATGGTGGTGGTCGCATCAGATATATCCACGTGTGGCACGACTGATCGAGATCAGATGGACGATAGACTGGAATGTGTCCAGTGCGGCCGGGTTTGGGATTTATTTTGTTCTGTGTGGGTTGTGCTACGGGTTTCTCTATGCAAATGTACACGTGAGAGAATTGCCAGTCTGGTTTTCAGTCCGGTCTGGTTCGAACTTGGGCTTTGTTGCCTGTAGATAGAGATGGAGATGGTTATCGTAGAATAGAGAATCGACTGGTATGGTCGATTCCCGCCCAGTGTGAAGATTTGAATCGGTTTGTAATACTGTCTGACGTTAACTATATGGTGACGTTGAATTAGGTAGAGATAGTAACATTGAAGTCAGTAGGTAACCAATTGACTAATACTAAAGATCCGATGGACATCTTTTGACTTGGCGATTATACTGGGTGAACCTCTGCAATGCCATTGTAATATCCTGGTACCTCGTCCTTATTGCATTGTGTTCATCATCTAACATCTCTGCTCATCCCTCCTGCTTCACGCACAGGTGCATCCTCGCCAACCCCGAAACCAACAGTCAACCCCTTCGTTGGAGACAGGGAAAGCGGAGCATCATTTTCCAAGGTGGGCAGTGTTGCACGACAGCAAGGGAAAGGAAGGGAACTGATCTGGGGATTGAGCTGGGTGGGTTTGGAAGTTGGAGTCCTCGCTGGGGTTGTGCGGTGATCGCGTGATTGTTCATAGTTCCGGGATTTGAAGGGGTTTCATCTAGATGGAACTGATATTGGGATGTGGGCTGGGATGGATGGGAAGAAATATCACATCTATGGGTCCTTGGGGTAGGAGGAGGTTGGCTACAAGTGTCAGTTAACGCTACGAGAGGAGCCGTTTAAAGAAATCCCAGAGTAGTATTGGGTATCAGGAAGGAACAAGTATATACAGATATGAGTTGATAGGAAAAAGGTAGAGCTGATACCTGATACCTCTCAACTGCAACGGGTATCAGGGAAAAAGACAGCTATCCCTACGAGATAGCAGTCTGGTTCTGGTAAAGATCGCAGGCATGGGGATGCTGCAAACAATACTTGGGTACAAGCGCATTAGCCATCACACCATTGGCAACGAGATATTCGCGGAAGTTTAGCAAGCGCTGGGTAAGCAGGTTTGTGCGCTTATTACCAGCCGCATCACGGTTACCCGACCAAACCCGTTCAGCCAGAGCAGCCGCCCGAGGCCACATTTCGGTGGAGATGTTGATATCATCGACCTGCTCGGACCAAAGGGGTGCCTCAGCGCCGAGAACATGAGATGCTTGCGCGTCGGTGAGGTTGGAGGTAAAGTCGTAGTCGTAGATGCGTTGCCAGGTCTTGTAGGGCGCACACCAGGATCCACCGCTGCCGCCATAGTTGAAGTTGACGCCGCCGTCGGGGTTGGAGTTCTCGTTGTAGCGGGGATCGTTGGTGACGAAGCCGCCGTGGCCGCAGTCTAGGTAGAGGAAGTCCGAGGAGGAGACGACGACGTCGTAGCCCGCTGCGGTGAGTTTGTTGATGTTGTCTAGGCCGTTGTTCCAGCTTTGCATGACGATGTCCTTGGGCACATCGTGGGCATTCTCGGTGGAGAGAACGATGTCCTCCCACATCATCATGCGGCGGTGTTTGCCGACACTACGGAAGATTGGGACCGCGCGGTCGATCCAGTATTGGACAAGGTCGTTGTATGTGCGCGAGGGATCCTCGGCAAACCATTCAGTAACGTGGGTGCTGAAGTTGTAGCAGCCTGGCTGGAGCTCGTCGGCGCCAACATGGAACCAGTTGTCATCAAAGATGGCAGACAGATCGTGATAGACATTGTTGACGACTTCGTAGGTCTTGTTATAGATGATATCCAATTGACCCGGGTTTGGCTCAACCGCGGTATGGTATTGCCATACGTCATTGGACCACCAGGAGTTGGCACACGCCACAATCTCCGGGTCGACCTGTTGCCAGCCTGAGGCTGAGTGGCCGGGCATGTCGACCTCTGGGATCACGCGCACACCACGGGCACGAGCATAGGCAATGACGCGGCGCATATCGGCCTCGGTGTAGATCTCGCGAGGAGAGTAGGCGTCCTTGGTCATCTCTGGGTAAGAGCGCATCTGCATTGGCCAGGACTGGGCATCGTCCAGGTGCCAGTGCAGAACGTTCAGCTTGGAGAGAGCCATGCCATCGATTTGTTCCATGATCTTGCGCACCGAGATGAAGTTGCGACCGGTATCAACCATAATGCCACGGTAGGGGTACAGCGGCGCATCCTGGATCTTGACAGGCTGCTCAATGATCAAACCACCCTTTCCGTCGGAGATGATGATCTGCTGCAGTGTGGTGAACGCGTGCAACGCACCCCAGACGGTCTGGGCAGTGATCTTGATGTCGCTGGACCCCTTGGTCACCTCGAGGGTGTATGATTCATCCACGCCATGCTGCAGATCAGCCTTGCTGTCCTTGATCTGGACCTTGACGTAGTGGATGCCCGCGTTTGCGCGCTTGGTCTTGGACTCGGGGGTTGAGGTGGGGAAGGCCGGGTAGTTGGAGATCGGAGCTTCCACGGCGGCGGGAACCCATTGAAGGGTGGTGATGGAGTTCCATGCTCGCACCCAAGCACTCACCACCACCGGGCTGGTGTGTTGATCTCGCAGAGACAATTGTTGCACTTGAATCGGACCGGACGAGCCCCAAGTGATGTTGCGGGGGGCGGGAAGTGGGTTCACCTGGACGGCAGACACGGCCGTGAGAGCCCCGAGGACACTCAGGACTGAGACGAACTTCATTGTGAACAGCTGAGGGATGACGAGGAAGAGGAGCGCTGTACACACCAGAAGCAATGGACTATTTATGCGTCGCATGCCGATCCCTTCAATGCAACAGTGGAGATGCAGATAGACAAACAAACCCCCCTTGTTTCATGCCTTCATGTTACATTTGCCTGCCATATCTAAGTTGACACTAACTGGACTAACTGCACTAACTACCCTCCTGTACAGTAACTGCACTAATTACACTAAGTCTTGACAATCTCGACAATGACTACGACCTCCACATGCGACTCTGGGCTTCGCGAGGCCACGAGGACACATTAAAGAGGGGTGCGCTACTGGACTCCAATGATACAGTGACATGGGATATCTACACACAGACAACAGATTAAAGATGTGGAGGTATTATTTCAGGCCAATTTCTATAGATTAAGACTTCTCCAGAGATTTCTCCAGCTCCATTCCCTCGCGGAACTCCTCGTGAATGGCCGCCGCCGCCTTCACATCAGGGACCACACAAGGTCGTCGAGGAAGACCACCATAGCCACGATACGACTGTAGACCAGTCTTGACAGCAATGAAGCCACCATGGATAGCAGCCCAGTCCGCACGAGCAACAACCGCCTGCACCTGCTGTGCCTCCTGGACTTTCCCACTGCGATAGAGCTCCATAACCCGCACACAAGATTTGGGAATCATGTTGGCCACACCACCAATGATACCCGCACCCCCAGCAACCAACGTCTGGAGGGTGAAGTCGGCCGAACCTCCAAAGGTCAGGAACTCAGGCTTGGCAGCCGCAATACGGGCCAGTTTGCCAGTGTTCCCACAAGTCAGCTTGCACCCAATGATATTCGCATGCGCCGACAAGGCAATGATATCATCCGAGCTCAGATCCAGCCCAGACGAAGCTCCAGGGAAATTATAAATGAGCACCGGCACGGGCGAAGCATCTGCCACGGCCTGGAAGTGAGCGTGCATGGCCTCGCTGCTCACCAGTGCCTTGTAATAGCTCGGCGGGAGCACCAAGACCGCATCGGCACCCGCGTCGCCGGAGTCTTTGCAGAACTGGATGGTCTCGCGTGTGGAGGGGGCACCACAGCCGGCGATCACTGGCATGTTGCTGTACCCCGCTGCATCGACCGCGCGCCGCGTCGCTGCTGTGATGGCTTTGCGTTCCTCGCGGTCCAGGTGCACGGCTTCGCCGTTACTGCCTTGGGTGACTAGACCTGTGACGCCACTGCGGGCGAGGTAGGCGGCGTGCTGTTCCACGGTGGCAATGTCGACTTCTTCGTCTGGCTTGAAGAAGGCCACGGTGGGGACATAGACTCCGTGGGGGAGAGCATTGCGCTTGGTTGTGCCGTTAGCTGTCATGTTGGGTATGTGTGTGTGTATGGAGATGGGGAGAGAAAGATGTTTCGAGTTGGCTCGGACATCTTTATAAGAGAAATGGCAATGGAGAGATCTTCATTCGTTCAAGTGCCCCCACGTTTTCACCCCACAGTGCCCAGATTGATGAAGTTGTGAAGGGAGTTGGGCTGGAGAAGAGTTTCCCCCACGGGTTATGCGGGGTTCCAGGGTTGGAGGAAGTATCACATAACAGCCGGAGATGTTCTGCCACTGGGAGTATATGTTCATCCTATCAGTTCTGTTTCTGTCGCATCTTCGAGATCTGTGTGACACTTCGATCTCGAGTGATTTGGTCCCCTGGTGTCACTCGAGTAGTACTGGAGAAGCAGCTATTCACATGTAAGACCAGCAAGTCTTGGAGAATCCCCCACACTCGATGCTCGTGGGGGTCGAATCCTTTTCCGATTACTACAGTATACTACTATACGATGCAGGTGGAGGCAATGGAGGCAAATGAAATGCCAGCTCCAATTATATGCGGAGGAGACTTGTAGTAAGTGTAGGAGCAACTGCGAGTAACTTATCCGGTCTTCTACTAAAGAAATATATATATACAATCCACACAGATCGAGGCCATGAAGACCTAATTCATCCTAAAAAACCCCATAAATCCCCCAATTAGAAGCAAAAGGCATGAAGAGAATCAAAAGTGTAGCCATCCTCCCCATCGCATACAAATTCATCCCGCCAAGAACTTCCTCCCCCCCTCGACTCCCACACGATGACCGACTGAATAACCTCCCCAACCCACCAAACAATGGCCCTTCTGTCACGGCCCTCCCTCCGCTCTGTGCGACGGGAAGAACCTGACGGCCCAAAGAAACATCGCCTGAACCGCCGCCGCAGCTCACCAGACTGCCTGGACACCACAACCCCAGACCCCAAACCGCGCTCGAATCTCCCTCTAAAACTTGCGCGCCCGCGGACCTCGAACCGCCGCGACTCCTCGGCCTCCGTTGACTCGGTCGCCTCGCAATTGGCGACGCCGGCGGCTCGCAACGGGATTGGCAGGACCCGCGCCCGTGATCCTACACCGGCGATCGCGACCGACTTATGGTCGAGGGAGTCGCCTGATCCCTTGGATACAATCTCGCCCGCACCATCGTCGGTCGCGTCGAAGCCGCGGCCTGGGACCCCGGCGTTGACGGCGAGATCGGAGTTCAAGGCTGCTGTTTCGCCGGTGACTCGCGCGACTCGTCGGGTGGATACGCGGGTGTCGAATGACGGGCAGGAAAAGGGCAACGGGCATGATGGGGGTGACGGAGGCGGCGATGGCGCGGCTGAGATGAGGTTAACGCGAAATCGCAACAGCGATGCGGGCGACGGCGCGCAGCCCGAGGCCGATGAGAAGCAGACTGGGCGGCGGTCGTTGCGTTCGACTGATACTGGGTCACGGTGTAAGAGTGAGCTTGCACAGTACTTCCATAGCTATGAGCAGATCATCAGTTTGGACGACCCTGAGCCAGGTAAGTTGGGTGTGAGCAGTGGCATATGTATTGGACTCGACTGACTCGGGGTGTTGGACAGAATCTCTCAGTGCCAAAACCACCATCATACTCCTCGATAACCTCTTCCAACCTCTGCCATTCCCCTCACAACCCGACCCGACGCCTTTTGGCAACCCTCTCCTCAAACTGTACGGCTGCGAGAAGATCAACCTCCGTGAGCCGGCCGCAAGTCCAACTGCTATCGACCCGCTCAGCGCAGAGACATACTTCCGCGCGCATCGCAAGTTCGAGCGCCAGGAGAAACAGCTACGAAATATTGAACGAGACCGCGCACAGCATGAACAGCAGGTCCTGGAACGACTCCTCGACGAGCTCCGTGGCCACGACTGGTTACGGGTGATGGGATTGCCTGGGGTTCACGAGAGCGAAAAGAAGCAGTACGAGCCTAAGCGGGACATTCTCATCTCGGAGCTAGTCGCGCTGGTCAACAAATTCCAAGCCTGGAAAGACGAAGAACGACGCCGCAAGCTCGCCAGAGAGAAGCCCGTTCTCGACGAATCCGATGCCGCATCTCGGAACCAACCTCGCAAACGCTCCCGTCCAGCAGAGGATATAGACAGCTCCCCGGCACCAGGGCTAGACATGCTAAGCACACCCGATCCCAACGACGTGGACGCATTAGCAGCGCGCCAGCTCCACCAAGAAGCGCGAGCATCCGCCCCCAAACCACGCAAACAATCAACATCCCGAAAACCCATCCCAAACACCAAAATCACCCGCACAGATGGCGAAAGCCATAGCCACAGCCACAGCCATGGTCATACTCATGGTCATCCCAATGCCGCCGAAACACCCTCCGTCCCGCAGACAAGCCCAAAAGCAAAGAAAAAGCCCGATCCAACTCCACCAAAGAACCTCAAGCAAATGCCTCTCTCCTTCTTCTACGAACCCGTTGTCAAAGATAAACCCTTCACTTCGTTTTTCCGCCAAAAGCACGTCCGGGAAGCAGCCATCGCTGCTACCAAGGGTGATCGCCGCGGTGGCTCTCGCTCCTCACTTGCGTTTGGTCAACCTGTTCCTGACCAGGTCGAGCACGAGTTCGAGCCGCCGGCGGAACTTCTTACAGATGAGGCAATCACTGCTTCTCAACGGAAGAGACGGAGACTTAAGCGGCAGAGTCATGGGTGAGGTGGCTTGTTACTTGTTCAGACATAAACAAGATATGGTTTTTTGGTGTTGTATGATGGGTGGTATTGTTTACAGGTTTACAGGTTTGTATGGTACGGTTGATTGGCTTGTTTCCTTCTCTCCCTCCCTCCCTCTCTCTTTCTCTTTCTTTCTCTCTCTTCTATTACATTTCATCTCTTTCTGTACGATAGCATACTGGCGCTGTGGGCATGGCGTTCTGCTCTTACATTTTATTCTAATGCGCTTTTTCATGGACGGGATGTCCCGGCGCGGGCGTTGATGGAATATGGGTTTCGTGGGCTGAGGCTCTGGGTTGTATATTTATATCCTTGGTTCCGGTAGTTAGGTCATGGGATTCTGATTTTCACGGAGATGTTGTTCATTCTCCCAATGTTATGTGTTCTTGTATAAAGATTTACCAGGGATTTGATGGAATTGGGTGGTGTTTGTAGATGCTATGGCGACAGGAGTGTAGTATATCAGGAAAGAAAAATGATAAGTTATGGATTGCATACAGAAGAAGATTCTGAGAGGCTGAGATCTTGTGCTGATCACTTGCCTGCCTTTCCTGCTTCTTTATAATACCTTTTCTCCTTTTCTCCTATTCTTATTGATCAGGCTTTGAATCGTTCGTTATGCCTACCTGGCCATTACTGATCCTGAGCATCTCCTAGGGGTTCTTGTTCTTTCGTTTGGCCCAAATTGCCAAGGGAATGACTTGCTGGTCTAAAATTATAAGGACATTTGGCTGGGTTAATAGAGGTAACGTTATTAATCCACGGCATATTGTCATGCCAGGGTCATGACGTACATACTGTGTGCCTCATACTGTAGCTTCAGTGCCAACCAACGATACAGTATAAATTAGAGAGAAACAAGACAGTCCATATGAGTCACAAACAAAAAAAAAAAAAAGACAGAAATAGCTACCGGAGCCTGCCAGCACCTCCGATTGAAGTCCGACGAGGCCAGCAATTTAGAGCGGCAACAGACGTCCAAGCCCAGCCGAAAGCCTCCAGCTTCCAAAGTGGCTAGACTGGCTAGCCTAAGCTTAAAAACACCTCAGCCCTAAATCTGCAGGGATGAGTGGAACCGATGGAATTTTCCATAGCCCTTCTACAGCATCAACTACAGTATGATCTTTTCTCGAAGTATACCGTCGAACCAGAACCGCCGACCGACATCGGAGCGAAGTTTTCTATATTCCCCAGTTTTCAACGACATCTGAAGCAACTGACCCAGTGAACTAAAGCCGTTCAGTAAATTTCTATTACGTCGCGTCCAGTTGATTCGTTGCGGCGGTCCGCGTCTCGGCGCTCCACTTCCGCTTTGGGTGGCGGTTTCTTATTCTTCAAGAGCTTTTTTTTGTCTTTGCAGTTGCGTTTTGGTCCTTTTTTTTTCCAACTGTGTTTGTGATCTCTTTCTGCTTTCGTCGGTGCTTATTGGGTCTTTGGTTGTGGGTTTTGATCGAGTTGTGAGATCTACAGCATTCGCGCGTTACTGTTTTTTTTGATATCGGCCTTCACTATGAGCTCATCTGCGGATCTGGAGCTTGGCTCGAAGGAAAAGAGCTTCGATCTCAATCAGGCGGATTTGGATGCGGATCTTCAGAAACCAGACTATGTGCCGCAGTACAAGCAGGATGCGTTTGGTGATGAGGAGAATGCGGAGGTGAAGTATAAGGTGCTGAAGTGGTGGTATGTCTGCATGGCTTTGATTTTGGGAGACTCCTGTGGCTAACTGTGATTCTCTTAGGCAATGTGGTTTGCGTATGTGACGATTCTCATCTTTGGAGCTGAACTTGTGTTGAGTTTTAGTCTAACATTTCCTAGTTATGGTCGCTGAAACCGTCTCCCTGGGTGTTCTATCGCTGCCTGCTGCTATTGCAGGCCTTGGGTTTCTACCGTATGCTGGTCCTGACCTGAATATGTGAATCAGAACGTCAGAAACTAATGCTGTCAATAGTGCGATCATTATTCTTGTCTTCCTCGGCTCACTGGCCACATATACTGGCTACGTGATTGGACAAATGAAATGGAAATATCCTCACATCTCGACAATGGCCGACGCAGGCGAAGTCCTGGCAGGAAAATGGGGTCGTGAAATTCTCGGTGTCGCGCAAACCATCTTCCTTGTCTTCGTCATGGCCAGTCATCTGTTGACCTTCACCGTGGCCATGAACACTATCACCAGCCATGGAACCTGCTCCATCGTCTTCGGCATCGTTGGCATGGTCGTATCATTCATCTGCTCCTTGCCCCGAACCCTAGTGAAGATGTCCTGGCTCTCCCTAGTCTGTATGTATCCAATGTCCCCGACTCTCCAAGCGCCAGCTAACAACCCCCAGCATTCGGAAGTATCATGACAGCAGTCTTGATCGTCATGATCGGCGTCGGAATCGAGAAGCCCGGCGGCCGCACCGAACTAGTCGTCGAAACAAACCTCTACCTCGGCTTCTCAGCAGTCTGCAACATCGTCTTCGCCTTCTGCGGCCACGCCGCCTTCTTCGGCCTGATGGCCGAGCTGAAGAACCCGCGCGATTTCACCAAGTCCCTCTGTCTGCTCCAGGGCATCGACATGGCCTTGTACCTCATAGCCGCCATCGTCATCTACCGCTACGCCGGCGCCGATGTCACCTCGCCAGCGCTGGGATCTGCCTCGCCCATGGTCGCAAAGGTTGCCTACGGCATCGCCTTGCCCACTATTGTCATCGCCGGTGTCATCAACGGCCACGTCGCATTCAAATACGTCTACACGCGCATCTTCCGCGGCACAGACCGCATGCACAAGCGTGATGCTGTCGCCATCGGCTCTTGGGTTGGCATTTCTCTTTCCCTGTGGATTCTGGCTTGGATCATCTCTTCCGCCATCCCAGTGTTTAGCAGCTTGCTCAGTCTGATCGTATGTTATACCCACCCACTCATTGTCCTTGTTAATGTATCGTCCATCTAACCTTCATCTCAGACTGCTCTCTTCGCCAGTTGGTTCACCTACGGTCTGAGCGGCATCTTCTGGCTGTTCATGAACAAGGGCCTCTGGTTCTCCTCGCCACGAAAGATCGCCATGACAGTCCTCAATGTCTTCGTCATTGCCGTCGGTGCGGCTATCGTACGTCGTCTAGTTCCTGTCCTGTTATTATTCCATCGCTAACTTGAATCCAGTGTGGTCTCGGCCTCTACGTCTCCGGCAAGGCAATTCACGACAATCCCAGCAGCGCGAGCTTCTCTTGCGCCAATAATGCTTAATTGCGCACCAAAGCTCATCACTAATATTGTTTGGCTTGCATAAAATGGGTATAGACGGGATGGGATATACGGCGTTACAATTTTGCATTTGGGGCATTTACATTCATCTTTCATTGTGGCGGTTTCGAAGCTCGCTTGCAGCTATCGTTCGCTATGGCCTATTGGCACTGTATACTTACTACTCTCTTGTCTTGCATCTGGGCCTGCCGTGTGCAGGTGACCTTCTAAACTTATAGACTTGTACAAACACGCATTTGCTTCCACTGAACTTATTCTTACTATGTGTCGTAGGTGTCTAAATCAATTGTTTCACTAGATCAACTCACCTTCCTGATGTTGCAACATCCAGCCGATCTCCAAGCGGGATGGACACCACCATGGGTCCATGCACAATATCTCCGACTTGAACCCCTCTATAGAATCCGCGCCAATTTCTCTAGAGACCCTCGTCCCGTCCAGGAGTGAAACCCGCTTGCTGTACGAATTATCTTCCCACGTGGTAGCGTGTCTGTCGGGTCAAGCCGCGCTCGTATCCTGCCGACGGGATGATATGCGAGGTACAAGCGCGGCGAAGTATAAAGCAGCGGAGATTTGGTTGATTCAAAGAACGCATTGGTCATTCTACTTGAGGATAGCTCTTTGTTGATTTAGTTCATTTCACTTGCAAAGATGGGCTTGAGTACCAGAAATATCCTGAAGTTGTCACTCGCATGTCTCGTTAGTTTGGCAACGGCTGCAAACACTCGCAAACCTGTTCATTTGAGTCTCTCTGGGCACATTGACCAGTCCGAGGTGTACTCATTTGTATATGTTCCATTCGAAGTGGAAGAGGGCGTTACGTCCATCAGCGTCGTGCAAGACTACGCACTGAAGGGGAACGGCAGTTCCCTAGACCTGGGTCTATTCGACCAACGCGGGATCGACGCTCCCAACTCATTTGGTGAATTCGGAAGTAGAGGATGGTCAGGTGGGAAACGGTGAGTTGGAACCTATCCTTTTCGCAACCTTGTTGTTCGGGTATACGGTATACAGTACCAGCCGAAATCAGCTTGCTGATACCATATCCATGATACCAGAAACAATTTCACCATCACGCCTGCATGGGCAACACCGGGCTATAACCCCGGACCCATCAGCCCAGGAACCTGGAATGTGGCACTGGGACCGTACGAATCCACGCCAAAAGGCATAGACTGGACGCTCCAGATCACGCTAGGCTTCGAGCCCGCCAATACAACATTCACAGCGACCTACGCGCCGACAAGCATGGACCCGATGTGCAATGGGTGCGCCGAAGGAGAAGACTTTATCTGGCAGCGCGGCGACTTCCACATGCATACCATCTACTCCGACGGGGAATACACACCCGAACAACAAGTGGGCATCAGCCAAGCGCAGAACTTGTCCTTCATCTTCCTGAGCGACCACAACACAGACACGAGCAACCAGATCGCCGGAGCGGTGCAAGCTGCACAGGCGCCGGATCTGCTGATCGGTCGAGCAATCGAAGTCACGACCAGGTATGGACATTGGCATGCCGTCGGCATAGACAGGGAGCAGGTAATCGACTGGCGGTATAGGCCGGGTGATAAGCCTGGGTTTGCGGAGGCGGCGGAGCAGGTCCGGCGGGCTGGGGGCTTTGTGTCTGTGAACCATCCGTTTGCGGAGTGCCCGGCCTGCAATTGGAGTCTTGGGTGGGAGAGCAATGATGCTGTGGAGGTTTGGAATGGGCCTTGGGATTCGACGGATGAGCTGGCGGTGCAGGCGTGGCAGGGTATGCTTGTTGCTGGGAAGAGGGTTACGGCCGTTGGGGGGAGTGATTCTCATTCGCCGCCTTCTGTTAATGGGTTGCCTACTTCTGTTGTTAAGGGACGGGGACGGAGTCAGGCGGCGATTGTTGAGGGCGTTAAGAGTGGGAGGGTTTATTTGGTGCAGGGGCCTGGTATGGATGTTGCTTTGGAGGTGAGGTCGGAGTCTGGGGTTGCTCCGGCTCAGATTGGGGATAGGGTCAGTGGTAAGATGAAGCAGGTTCGCTTTTCTGCGGAGGGCTTGGCTAGGCAGCGTTTGTGTTTGGTCTCTGATCGGGGATATTTCTACAATGCTTCACTTGTGGACCACAAGGAGATTGTGCACGCAGTCCCTTCAGGGGCGAAGTTTATCAGGGCGGAAGTGAGGAATTCGACTAGTGATGAAATGTTGGCTCTTACTAACCCCGTGTGGTTCTCATGAAGTCAAAGTGAGGATAAAAGAGGAGATGTGAGAATTGTTTCGAGTGTGCTTCCTGTTGATCGGGTTGCTATCAAGCTCTTCCAGGTCACTGTGTTCCGTTAGCACGCCATCAGCTGGCTACGAAGAAGAAAAGGAATAAAAAGCAAAAGAATTGAAATTACTAGTGAAACTAGTCAAGACTTCACAGAGAGCAACATGATTATCAGGAGACATAAAGAGAAGAGCAAATGACCCAGTTCCTATTTCTGATCCCTCGTATCATTCTTTTCCTTCAGGCTCTCAGCACGAGAATTGTCCTCGACCGCGCGCAGGAACTCAAAACGAGGACCGGTGGTGAGAGCAGCGTGAGTTGCAGGAGAAGTATCGGTGAGAGCGTCCAGATAGAGAGAGAGGATGTGGTAGGTAAGAGGCATAGGGTCGCACTTACGGTTGCGGTCGGTACTGTCGTGGCAACGGGGCAGGGCCTCTCCGTTGGAGTCCTTTGACCAGAAACAAGAACGATGCATACCGGTGCAAGCGACACACTTGTCCAAGTGAGCCTGGGTGTTGAAACGGGGCATTTTATAGCCCTTGTTGTCGATCACAGGAGTGGAAGGGTTCGTGTTGCTGATCTGAGGAGCAGAACGAGTGGGTGTAGAAGAGCCAACTGGGCCTGATACCTGCTTCCGGCTCAGAGCTTGTGGAGGGGCCTGCAAACCAGTGGTGGAGAAAGCAGTATCAGGATGAGATATTGAGCCTTGAATGAAAGAAGAGAAGAAAGTTGTGGTAGCAGAAGCAATATTTCAATTCAACATTTTTTAGATATTCAGGTAAGCCAAACATGATCTAATGTTGAAATAATGATCGGAAGTAGATTTGAATGAGGAGTCCTCCAGATCTACCTGCTTCGATCAACAGCCGATCAGCGCATATCATTCCTGCTGGACGTGAGATCGGGACCTTCGCGTTTGCATGCTGACACCGGCCAGATCCTCTCCCTTTCTCTTACAGGCGCTGAGTTCAGTAATGCCATGTAAGCAGCGTCCTCTGTGTGAGATCTGATCGAAATGGTGGGTAGAGCCTTGAGATGAACTTCGGCATCTACATCCACACTGTAACATCGAATACTGTAAGAACAGCGAGAGAGAAACCTGATAAGCAGACAATTAGTATTGCAATTGAACAGGCGTGCATATCATTAACAAGCATTGTGAAGGAGTTTCAGAGAGAAGATTAAAGTCGTCAATGCCTCACACATCCGCAGATGGCATGGCTTTCCGGCTAAGGATGACTATACGTTGAATTTCATCATGATCACGAGGGGTTGGGACTGTGTTGGGTCAGATGAGACTCACTCGGTGTTCTGACATCTGGCAGATAGCAGGTGGGCCTTAGCCTCAGTTCCGTGATTCGGTTGATGATTGTGATTATTCGGTCCCATTGGATGCGCGTGAGATTCAGCACTGCGAGGAGTGACGTCGAATCTTGTCATTCAGTCATCGTAGGAGATGATCCTGCGACCCTGGTATGGCACGCGTGGCTCTGTCGGCCTCTTCACTGGAGGTTGATCAGAGCCGTAATCCAGAGGTTCAGCGTCCATGTCCTCCGCGACGCGTTTCTTGGGGGGTTTCCGTCCCAGTGGTTGCGTTTGAGATCCAGGACTGTGAAAAGCAGCCTGGGTCTCTTCAGTTGGGCTTTTCACATCTGGTGGGCTATCCCCTGAGGGTGCCATGCGAGCCTCGTACTCTGCATTCTCGATCTGCAACTGCTTCTGTCGCAGCAGCGCGTGGATTTCACTGTGTCTGAAGATGCGGATCTGCTCGTCTGTGAGTGTGCGCTTCACTCCGTCGGGATAGTATCCGAGATCGTCCTCTGCGAGTTGATCATTTCCTGGTGGGAGGATGGGCTGTGGTTTGCCTGGGAAGTGCTTGGCATGGAAGGCTTGGAGATCATCCTAGCAAATAGCGGGTCAGTCCAGCGCGAGGGTATTCCAAGCTTGGGGGACATACCGGTGTTACGTTGGGGACTTGCATGTTGGAGGAGTTGACGCGAATGGGAGAAAACGCGGTCGCGTGAAAATGCTTACGGTAATCCAGTACCCACCTCGGCCCTCAGCTACTGTTGTATAGATCCAAGACAGGGTACTCCCCCCTTTGATCAACCGTAGATTCATTGTATTATTAAATGCCCACGGCCTCTCTGGAATTTTGGAGATATCCTGTTCTAAAGTCTCTGCGAGAGCGCTCGACTGGCCAAAGCACAACTCATAGAGCCTGTTCTAATGGAATACTTACCACGTTATTTCCCATCTTAGCCTTGACACTATCAAATGCAATAGTTCTCGCTTGCAAAGCTTTTAGGTCTATACTAGCAACCCGCTGGCGATCGCTCTCACTAGGTCCCGATAGACTCCAAGCAAGTGAGATATGAAAACAGTCAGAATAGTCCTCTGATAGCGACGCACCATTCTCTCCACGGGGCAAGGCGTGTTTTAGGTTCCTCATATGCGAGGAGACCGCGTAGAGAGGTGGCTGATCAAAGCGAGCAAGGGCGGAATTTGATAGATTCAGCAGAGCATTCAGACAATCATGCGCCGGCTTCTTGACACGCAAGACAAGGAACCAGCGTGTCTTGTCGTAGTTGGAAGCCCAGCCCAGAGAATCGGGTAGTACCTCAAACCTAGGATGGATCAGCAAGTTTCCAAAAAGAAGCCGTGGACCTCTGGCCCAGAGATCTAGAACATACGGTGAGATATGCGAGTCATGGATGGCTTTTTGCAGCAACTCGGTAAACGGCGCACGTTGCTCAGTGCGGAGAACCACCGGCCGAGACAGGCTGATATGGAGCGGCAGCTGTGCATGGAGATCGCTATGCAACAGACTATGAACAGTAGGCGCATTCTGATTCAGGGAAGTCTCGGCATGAGCAACGAGTTCTGCAAGGAGTGACAGCTCTTCTTTGGCGGGATACCCTATCACGAATTAGCTGCTGACTCTGGGTGAAACAGGGCGAGGAGCTGCAACGCACATTCTAGGTATAGATGCGTCGGCCAGTTGCCTTCTACATGGGGAATGGCGCGTTTTCGACCGCCATGAAGACTGGGGTCATCTTGTACGCTGACGCGTGTGCTGGAAGCATAGAGGTCGTGGAACGCTGCAGGCAGGGGCGGCAGCGATGGCCCTGGAGTTGGATCATGGCGGGGTTTCTTGCATGGGGGCAATTCTCTAGACTCTGACTCTGGCTCGGACTCGGAATCGGAATATTGTACAAGAGGCATTTGGCTCGCACTTGGAGGTTGGAGCGGTCTGTTTTGGGCGGAGAACTTTGATGTGGGCCAATCACTGTCAGATCTACACAGCCTTACTCGCATTTTCCTTTCTACGACATCTCGTTTCTAAACTTAAATGTTCTACAAAACCTCTGATATTTGTGACATGTCATCATCCCCGGAACCATGTTGTGCGACAATGGCTCTATAGCCTGAGATCTAGAGCCTAGCACTATTGACGGTAAGATTTGAACTACTTGTGTGAGAAGTATTTATCAAATCAGCAGTGTATCCTGGAATAACTATTTATTTCTATGAGAGACTACTTATAATTGGAATATGACTGTGATTTTCGCAAGTTTCTATTCGTTAATCTTCAAGCCGCACCCGCACTTTAACATACAACGAAGATGATGACAACAGAGTCGATTTGATACTCGTGCTATTCTCATTAACGTTACGAATAGGCTAGTATAACATAGAGTTTCAGCAGCCACCACTAATCAGATTTCTGCCGAGTAACTGGATTGCGGGGAATGCAGGGCCCCTAGTATGGTGCGCTATTGATCTCTTCATATTGAAGACAATTTGGCATGCGAAGGACTTTGGCTTCTCAAGACACCATGTATAATATAAATGACATAGACTTCTGTAACACTGAAAGGTTTGTTGAGGAATATCGCTATATCCACCTCTATCTCTAAACATCCTTGCATAGTCGTCATCTTTCCGCTTTAAGAAGAATGCCATACAGAGCTGACATGAGACCGAGCAAAGAGCCAGATAGCCCAGCATCTCCTGCTGTGCTGTGAATATCCGAATGCGAATGGACGGAAGAGACTCGTATTCAGTCCGCCAGTCCTTGAAAGAGGCGACGGTTCTGCCAACCAGGCTTTCCTTGCTAGGCTTCTTGGCCTATAATTTCTGTCAGCGACACATTTTCCTCACATCTATTTCATTTATTATTTTCATGTTGTTCCAAGACGTCAACACACGAGTAACATATGACAAGCACGTCGAGTCAGATGCAGTCTAATTCAAAAGCATTGCGTGTATCTACTCTCGGCTTTATCATAGTTAGAATGGAATGACCATCCCTGACAAGACTTTCTGATCAATTGTCGGACAGTGTGATACTGACCGGAGGTTAACCACGATATCCAACAATCGGATGAAATAGAAGCAACTTTTGAAGTCCCAGGTGAAACGCGAGTCTGTCAGATTTCGACTCTGCCGCTGGACCGAGTGGAATATTACATATAAACTACGGATTTGTCCCGGTTTTTCGAGATATTCGTAAGTCAGGAATTCACAATCAAGTGATCAGATATCAGATACTACAGCCTATTTGGTAAGATCCGCGATGAATGTCCCCCAAGTGTGGAGCCCTACTTACAGGTGTAGTCAACAACCATTCTGTCAAAATGAAGTCAGGCAGTCTTTTCTTGTTTTTCAGCATGGCACTTGCTGTACTGGCAGCCCCTACAGCTTCACCAGGTAAATGGAAATGGCATACCATTCTAGATGCAGCTCGTTAATGAATGCAAGATGGAGAAGAAGTCGACTATGTGAACATCGTCGACCGTGATGTGGATAATAAACAGGCCGCTGAAAGCACCGAGTGGGATGGTGGTCGTGGAGGCGGTTGGGGTGGTGGTGGTCGTGGTGGAGGATGGGGTGGCCGAGGAGGTGGATGGGGCGGTGGTGGTCGTGGTGGTGGATGGGGTGGCCATGGAGGTGGTTGGTAAATGAGTATTTCAATGTTCAATGCTTGGTGAAAGGAAATCGACTCGATGGAGGTGAAAGCTTTGAAATACGTTAGCAGTCACTTGAGTTGAGGTGAAGAGTGCATTCATTGCTTAGTCTGTTTCAATTGAGCAGCCACATTCGTTAGAAATTGCACCGTCGTTCCACCTGATGCTTGCTACAAAATTTGAGTTTGTAGAGATATTTATTTGAAGGTTTGACGGGATAGCTTTTGAACATATTCATTAGAATACTCCATGAATGGGGAGATGAACCGAGCATTTCTTGGCCTAACTTGCTACTAAACGGGACTATCAATAAGTCTACGGGTGTAATGAGTAGTTGATCTATGCTGTGTACAGTCGAGTATTCAACTGGAGCCTACATCGATGGATGAAAGATCTGGCTTACTATCACGTTCGTCTGTCTAGGTACACCAAACCGATAGCATCTGTTACCACCACGAATCACAGAAGTAACATTATGAGTAAAAAGATTTAATGCTGTGCCAATGGGCATTCTACGGGAATGCATGCAAATGCTGTCAATGTCTCCCAACCGAGCGTTCTATAGGGAAACACGATAGTTGCAAAACAACCTCATCTGTAGTGTAGTTTAGTCAGGGCCTCCAGGGCTCTTTAATCAATGACAGTCATCGAAACACGAACCCAGGATAACAATAGTACAAAGCGACAAGGAACAGGCGGTCAGAATCAACTTATACGGGGAAGAATCTAAAGAAAAAAAAGTCGATTATTGACGCCCTTGACTCAGAAAAGCAAGGGTACAACTCGTAATCCGGGATCTAGATCATGCCAGGGGTGTAACTTTGGCCCTAAGGAACCGCCCTTGACAGACCAGTCCCTGGACATAAGCTTAAATATTAGTGAGCGAGTCATCGGTCCGGCCGGAAGTCAAGGTTCAAGTGTTGGTAAATACTGGTGACGATAGCTCTATATTTCACGTGGAATGAGGATGAGCAGATCAGTTGGAAAGTCGACAGCGGATTGGATGGGGTGGAAATAGTGGAGGAAAGGAGGGAAGGGATATCGTCATCGGAGTCGATCAGGACGTGGAAGTCTCGGATGTGGATGCAACGTCGGCCTTGCATGACTTTTGAGTTTTTATAGATGGTGAATCATGGGATGAATGGAGTTAGGTAATAACTAGCAACAGTGGATTTGAAACTATTCACGAATACAGTGTATTTTCGCGTCGAGAGTCAGGGGAGAAGTAGTCGGACTATAAGTAGAGTGGCGTTAGGTTCTTCAGCCAATCCGGGCTGACCGGATGATATCACTCGAGAAGAAGAGCAGGGTCCCAGACTAAACTTCAATAGGAGAGACCCACGGTAAAATGGAGCCCATATCCATGTCATGTCCATGCCGACAGGTGGTACTAGGCGATTATTGGTAAAGCCATGGACCGATGAAAATTCTAGCGCGCGAACTAAAGTCGGATAAAGTCTGATCTTCCATGAGCTGCGCAAGACGTCACGTCACAGTCGTTGCTTCCCTGACTCATTTACTTCGCGGGATTCCTCTTTCTATACTTCTTTTCCTTCATTCTCCTCGGATATTCTTCTTGGATCACTTCTGTTCAGATCGCTGCGAACTATACTACACCAGCTGACGCTCAGACCGATATCGCAACTGGTGACCTATACTTCTCGTACTGAAATCGTGTGATCTCTGGATACCGCACCGCAACACCCTTTCTTCTCTTCCAAATCATTCAGGAACATTGCAAATGGCCGTTGATTGTATGTCCATGGCCTCGCGCCACCATCCTCATCACCCTTTCAACCAACATACCTCATTGGATCGGAGCCCAAGTATGAACTCCAGCATGCGCAGCAACAACCCTTACGCTCGCTACATGTCTCCGGCGCCATCAGGGTATTCTCGACGGGCGCGCTCTGATTCAGTCAGCTCTGCGCCGTCCATCTGGTATTCCGGCACTCCCGAACACCATCCGGTTGAGCCGAGACGCAGTCAGGACCCATCTGTGCCTCGCCGCCGTCGCACTACTCACAACCCTCACAAGCCATCGCGACACTCGCAGCTTGTGCAACCCGACATCATCGATCAACTGGACGATGTCTCCCTGTTCTCTTACCACCATGAGGGTCCCTATGATGCTGCCCGTCCCGAACGCAACCGCATCAGCCAGTACAGCCCACTTGAAGCTGTGAAGGAATCCAACGCCGAGGCCCTCCGGGCGACTCCGCAGCACAAGATTGCCGATGCTCTGAACAGTCACCGGCCATTGGACGGTGTGGCCTTTTACCCTCCCGGAACTACGGATCGGAGTGGCCAGGAGTATCAATACGAAGAGGGCTCCAACATGATGAATGATTTCTCTGGCAACTTCATGCGTCTTCCAGGAACGGTATGCATTGTGACTTTATTTTTCAATTGACATTTGCTAATACTTTCCAGAAATTCACGGACGACGATTTCAAAAATGACCCATTCTACAACCGTCCACTCACAAACCCATTCTCCTCAATCAAGAAGAGGATCAGTCTGCGCTTGAAGAAGCGCCGCAGCTCTGCCTAAGTCTGTCGTCTCTCCGCCCCTCTCACTTTGACGACCTCACGACCGGATTGTTTATGATTTTCATGTGATTTTATGATGATTGGATAATGGGATACCTCGATACACTTGGAATTGGGGTTCGGTGTTGGATACTATTTCTTTTTTCATTGGTTTATGCTCATTTGATTTTGGTTTCTGTGATTTTATGTTAATAGAGGCTGTTTTACCTCGGCGTGTTCTTAGGTGTTTCAATATAGGTCTGGCCAATATATCATTACTACGTTTTTCCCTCCGTGAGATCGCTCCCCCTCGTATAATTCTACCACTCAGCATACCCAACAATCAGCCAAGCATCTTGGCCCTCTCACCATCCCACCTGATCATTTGGAGATGCAAATGTCAATCCCCGGATTCAAAAATGTCACGCGTTACACCACGCCGATCCCCATCCTGGGCATTCCTTACCTCCAGTTCCCATTCCCCAGTTCCACAGTTCCCCAGACTCCGTCAGACATCTCCGACACAATCCTAACTCAAACCCCTTGGGCCCTCCAAAGTCACCGACTTTTCCCCTCCTGCCAACCCCAACTATAAGCCCCCATCCCCCATCACCAACACCCCAGGCCTCCACGTGCCAATCTGCACATCTGCATATGCACTCACCATGCGACCGATCAGGAATACGGACCGAGTCTCGTGCCCTTCTTACCCCACAATGGCTTCAATTTGGGTTTGGGTCTGCTTTTTGCCTTTCCTTTTGGGTTTTGCTCTGCCCTGAGCTACCAAGATCATTACTTCCCCCGCTTCATGTGAAAATCCCTTTGCCCCGCCAAAGGCTGAAAGCCACACTGAAAGCCATAGCCCTTCCCTCCATAGAAACACCCGATCTCGGGCTCGGAAGTCGGCTCGGATATCCGTGCCTTCTGACTGTACTGTACACCCTGCAGGTGGCTTGAGTTTTCTGATGCCCAAAAGCAAACATCCGACCTGCACGCTGTATATCGGGAAGGGGCGTACAGTATACTGTACAGTCATTCGTATCTCACGGCTGCATTGCATGTCAATTACGGGCTATTGTATGAATCATCCTGATGCCTCGTGTTATAATCTGGTGGCAACTTGCAGGATAGAATTGGGCTAGGTGTCGCGATAAGAAGAGTTGGTCTTATTGGGTGGTTAGGGCAGGCTGTGCTGCTGTGCGTATCAGAGACGAACACGGGAAGAATCCGGTTTTCGTTCTGGAAGGCGAACGTGGGAAGTTCTTTATAACTGAACCTAACGCATAACTTGGAGTATACCGAATCCTGCCGAATCCTTATCCACGAGGTGACCTGTTTCCTATTCTGGTCCTGCAGAGAACATGCCAGAAAAGTCCGATCGAATAAGCGAATCATCCGCTAGGATCATATCAGGGAAAGAACGTCATCTCACTGGCGGAAATCGCCCGGAGTCGCCTTTATGGTCAATGCTTAACTTAGCATATCGGCAACCCGGCCCCGGATAGCAACGGGTAGGTTCCGCCGAGTCGCACGAATCGCACTTGGTCACTTATAAATCAAAGCAAGAGCCTTTCCGCACTATGAAACAAGACGCAGTGTTCCTGGCTTTCATTTACCCCTTGCATCCAAAGACCCCTGCATAAGACCCATTGGCGAAGAAGATCAATCACCTAACCGAGGCGCAATATGGAAGCGAAGCAGGACTCCGTCGGGGTTATAGCACTTTCCACTACGACGAGCTATTCTTCGTAAACATGACGACATTGGTTAGCATGTCACCTTCCTAGTTATCTCTGGCAGCGTTGCAATGACTCTAGGCCACCGCGTTACCCCGCTTGGCGCCGACGAATGATTGCTTCATAGCGGATATCACCGCCAGGCGATGTGGAGCCCTGCGGCTTCGGCAAAGCTTGGTGGTTTGGCTCTGGGAAGACAATTGATCTGCGTTTATTTCGTGCATGCAGCGCGCAAATTGGGAACGCCATGGTGTTGTTAAATAGACAGGATAGTCTCGCTGTTTGGTTGTCTCCTTCGAGCTGCATAAAATTATCTCGCGATGTTGGTCTTGGCGCCGTTTACACTGCTTGTTGCTGCGGCTGCTGCTTTGCAGAGTCCGCATCGTAAGGCTGCATCTTTGAAACAGTCGGTCAGGAATGTTCAAAAGAGGGATGTGGCTGCTAGTCAGACTGAGTTTCAGTATTTGAATAAGAAGACGCAGAGTGAGTTCAGATGGGTTGTCTATGAATGATTGAACAGCAAGTATTAATGAGATCTAGAATTCGCCGTCAATGGTACTCACTTCCCCCAGGTGCCTTTCGATATTGGTGAAAGTTATTCTGGTCTTATATCCAATACGCCTCATGGGAACTCGAGCTTGTTCTTCTGGTTCTTCCCATCTACCAACCCAGCTGCGAAGAAGGAGGTGTGTCAGTATCAAAGCCCTTACTGGATCTGTTCTAATTTTCGTCTAGATTACAATCTGGCTGAATGGAGGCCCCGGTTGCAGTTCGCTCGACGGTCTGTTGCAGGAGAATGGCCCTTTCCTGTGGCAATCCGGTGTATATGAGCCTGTGAAGAACCCTTACTCATGGACCAAATTGACCAACGTGGTCTACATTGATCAGCCCGCTGGCACGGGTTTTTCTCCTGGTCCAGCTTCGGTGGAAAATGAAATTGATGTCGCCAATCAGTTTAACGATTTCTGGAAGAACTTCATTGAGACCTTTAGCATGCAGGGTTATAAGGTTTACATTACTGGAGAGAGCTATGCCGGTCAATACATTCCCTATATTGCTTCCGGGATGCTGGACCGCAAGGACAAGACACATTTCAACCTGAAAGGCATTCAAATCAACGATCCTTCTATCAACGAGGATGAGGTTCTGATCTATGGTGCGTACCACCCACTTCCTCTGACTGCTCCTCCCCTAATACAACCCAGCCCCCGCCGTCCCAGCATTGAACTATTTCTCCAACGTCTTCGGCCTAAACGAAACCTTCATGAAAGAAATCAACAAACGCAACGACGAATGCGGCTACACTGAATTCCTCACCAAAGCCCTAACCTTCCCCCCACCAAAAAGCTTCCCCGTCGCACCAAATCCCAGCAAACCAGGCTGCGACGTCTGGGACCAAATAGTAAAAGCCGCAACATACATCAACCCCTGCTTCAACATATACCACCTAACAGACTTCTGCCCCTTCCTCTGGGACGAGATGGGATTCCCCTCTCTAGCAGGCGGCCCAAACAACTACTTCAACCAATCCGCGGTCCAAGAAGCCCTCCACGTCCCAACAACCAACTACGCCGTCTGCGGAGGCGACATCTTCCCCAACGGCGACGGCTCACTCCCCAGCGCACTAGGACCCCTACCCCGCGTCATCGAGCAGACGAATAACGTCCTCCTCGGCCACGGCTGGTACGATTACCTTCTTTTCGCGAACGGATCCCTAGCTACAATCCAGAACATGACCTGGAATGGCAAGCAGGGCTTCCAGAAACCCCCCACCGAGCCGTTCTTCGTGCCGTACACGGATGCCTTGGATAAAATCGCAAACGGTGACTCTAGTACCCCCTGGACGGCGGATGCCGGTGCCGGTATTCTAGGCACGGCCCATACTGAGCGTGGTCTGACCTTCAGTACGGTCTACGGATCTGGTCATGAAATCCCCCAGTATGTTCCTGGTGCGGCCTATAGGCATCTCGAGTTCTTGCTCGGGCGTATTGAAAGCCTCCAGCAGAAAGGCTCTTTTACTGCTCTGTAAATATTCCCGAGTGGTATTATAGGAAGAAAGAACAAGACAATCCCGTGTCTGCGCGGATTTAGCTTAAGTCCGAAACGCGACGTTCAAGAGAATCCCTCCGCCTTCCAATTATATAAAGCAAATCCCTGTCCAGGGAAATTAGATTTGCAATTGTAACCAAAGCATCCAACAGTTATTTCCAAAATCCACATCATGTCCACCGTCATTGTATTTGGGCCAACCGGCAACATCGGATCCGTCGCGGCCCGCACTGCCCAAGAGCATGGAGCGAAGGTCGTCCTAGCGATGCGTGATCCAACGAAGCCAATTCCGGGTCTCAGCGCGCAGCAAGAGCAAGCTGGCGGGTTCGAAAGAGTCCAAGCCGATATGGCGGACGCCGAGTCCGTCGCTGCGGCCACCAAGAAATTCGGAGCCAAGCGTGCCTTCATTTACGCAGCCATGGGCTCGAAAGACCACATGAAGTCGACTCTTGAGGCTCTACAATCCTCTGGTATTGAATTTGTCGTTTTCCTGAGCAGTTACACCATCTCCGGCGAGCCCAAGGACGTCGAGCCCAGCGATCTCATCCCTTACGTGCACGCGCAGGTGGAACTCAACCTCGACAAGGTCTTCGGTGTGGAAAACTACGTTGCCGTGCGGCCTGGAGGCTTTGCTACGAACATTCTGCGCAATAAGAGTGATATTCACTCGGGAGAAGTGAAGATTTTCACACCGAACTTCAAGCTTGATTGTGTCACGCCTGGTGATATGGGTCGTGTCAGTGGAACTATTCTCGTTCAGGGACCGAAGAATGGTCAGCGCAAGGTCTATGTCTATGGCCCGAGGGTTATCTCGATGTCCGATGCTATTCATGTTGTTGCGAAGGTTCTGGGGAAACCGGTTACCATCACGACTATCAATGCGGAGGAGGCCTTGGAGCAACACCTGAGTCATGGCCTGCCTGAGCCGTTTGCCAAATATATGATTCGGAGATTCGGAACCGATGAAGATGCAAATGTTTCGCGCGCTCATTATGAGGAGGGGGTCCGGAATGTGCAGCTTTACACTGGAAGACCTTCAACTGGGTTTGAGGAGTGGGTGACTGAGAATAAGGATCTCTTCAGCGTGTAGTCTCGTTGGAGCTGATATGGCTGCGGGTAATCGATTGTTATGTGATTTTGCTGCCTAGGTAGTATAATGAAATTTATCATGAGGAATCGCATCTATTGATGGCTGGGCCGCAAATTCTTTTTTGTATTATTGTCAGGCTTATGAATAGGTGCTTGCTTCAACTAGATGAAACGCCTGTATTGCCATTAGGATACTAGCTAGGCTGCAACAAGTTGATTAAACTTTGATTGATTGATTGATCATAAAATGGTAATCTATAGACACGAGTTGTAATAGATCTCATCTTTCACAAGAAGCGTCAGTACTCGCCTAAGTTCATGGATCAGACGACAAACACTACAATAATGTCGAAAGTTCGGTATACATATTTTGTTTTTCAGTAAGCTACTTTCTCCCTACGATGGTACCAATTGTCTGCAGATTTCAAAAGTCTGTCTTAACCTCCCATTATTATAGCTCTAAGTACTTAGATTATTACATTGAACCATTAACTCCCTTCTTTCAAAGACAGAACATCTCAAGATATCATACACGGTAAACCGTTCCTATCCCTTAGTGGTGCTTCAAGGCAGAGGAAGCAGTGGAGCTGGGGGAAGCAGTGGAGCTAGCACCAGCAGAGGAGCTGGGGGTAGCGTCCAGAGGACCGATGCGCAGAGCACCGCAGGGGCTGGAGGGAGCAGTGAGGCAACCGCCAAGGTACTGGCCGAGGCTGCCAGTGGCGTTGCGGGTAGAGATGACCTGGTTGGGACCATAGGCCGCCACCAAGGAGGTGGAGTTATCGGCAAAGAGAGTAGAGTTGACACGGCTACCGATGACGGTAGCGTGGCCGTTGTGCTCGGCAGCCAGGCGGGCCATGAGGAAGGAAACCTCAGGAGACTGGGTGTATCCAGCAAGACCGATGAAGGCACCAGTGACGGTGGACTCGAACTGGTAGGCGTAGTAGGCCCAGGCAGCGGTGGTGTTGACCTGGGGGTAGTCGAAAGTGCACTGGGGCTCCTTGTAGCTAGAGACCTTGGCGGAGACCTTGTCAATGGCTTCAACCGAGAGGGTGTTCTGCGTTGAGAGACCCGCCAGAATCTTCTTGTAGCCCAGGACAGTGGCGTTCTTCGAGCTGGAAGGGAAGTTGGAGTCGACGGTGGAGTTGTAGTAGCCGCCAATGAAGTCAGCTAGACCCCAGGCGAATTCCAGAACAGCAGCATCGGAGTCAGTGGGTGCGCAAGCAGACGCTGCGTTGGAGGCAGTAGCTCCGGCCAAGACGAGACCAATGAAGTTGAGGAAACGCATTTTAGTTAACGGATCTTCAAAGGTGTATAAAATTAGGGCGGAATAGCGTAGGAAAAGTGATCTTTCCTCGATGCCGCACGTACTCGGGCACGGCTTTATACCACTTCACTACGAAGCACATACAAGCTTTCTCGAGTCATGATCGCGCCTACATATGAATGCGGCACAATTCCAACAAATCACGACAACTGAACCTGGCAGATAACCGGAAGGTCTTTTCGTGGCGGCGTCATAGAGTCAATGACTGGAAACGCGCGTGGAATACTGGAAAATCCCAACAACGGCGCTCAATGAAATTGCTATATTCTGTTCGAATGACGTATACAATTGCATATCTCAACTGGCCAGATCGAATCGCCGCGCAGTATGACAATAAAGTTTCGGGAAGCGTGGAGCGCAGGATTTGAGCTGCGAACTATAGTTCGGGAGGGTCGGGATGGCGTCGTAGACTCGGAAAAGCTCCCAGTTGCATCTTAAAAGGCTTGAAATGTACTTGACTATTTTATGCAATTGTGCCCTGCTGGAAAGCTTATTTGCTTGGATTGAAACTTGATTAAGCTTTTTTGATTTTTCCCAGTGAATCAGATTCTGCGTCGTTACATTTTTTCCTCAGCTGTCCGGATGGCAGCGGATAACGAGGTTCTCGACTAGAGAGGCCATGTAAGTGATTTACAATTATTGATAGGACTTGAAATGATTCAATGTGAGAATATGATTAGCTATAATAATCCACAGTATCCCAGCTTGAAGAATGGGAGACGAAAGAAAAGTTCTGAGCCAAAACCAGCGAGTATCGACTTAGGACACAAATATCCATCCCATGTTTCACCCTATATAATCCGCCACCAATCATGTACATAAATTTACACCGAATCCATCTATATAAATTTCATGTGATGCGCAACTATACATATCCCACTCAGTAAAGTGCTGAGTCCGGTACACAAGATAACAAGGCCATATCCACTGCCATATCCCCCTATGAGCACACCTTTCCAGGGATCTGTTCGAATCAAAGCTTCACTAAAAGGACCGCTAACGACATTTCCAACCCCTCTTCCAAGGGCAATTATCGAAAATATGACGGTTGCATCGGCTTTTGGATCGACCCGTTGAACTTCATTGGTGATTCCTGCCCACGTAGCCGAGAAACATCCTGCAAATAGTCCATATGCCACACTAAAGACCAACAAAGTCGGAATTGTGGAGGAAAATCCCCAGAGAAATAACACAGCCAGCGTGCTACCGACTGTGGAGATCGTAATGCAGGTGATTACATGGTATCGATCTGCCAGATGACCCATGCCTACGCTGCCGAACACAGATGCGAGATTCAGCAGCATCACCGTAAGTGAGGATATAAAATTAGAGCCTCCAATACTGCGGGCATAGGTTGGGAGATATATGCCCGGTAGGAAAAATCCCAGTGCTTCCATGATGTTGCCAATCTGATAGATGACAAAAACCTTGTTGAAAAGGAATCGGAAGTTGAGACGATGGTAGCCGATTGTTCTTGACACTGGCAGACGTGGTTTGTGGAAGTACAACAGCGGAGCGGCAAGAACAAATGCGAGAATGGAGATGACTCTCAAAGTAGTTTGATATCCAAAGCTTGACAGGAGTTTTTCCACGCCAATTGGAAAGGCCAGGCCGGATACCCCTGACCCAGCCCAGACTATGCCAAATGCAAGTCCTCTTCGTTTGACGAACCACTCACTCATGTAGAGAATTGAAGGGCTGTATGCGATACAGCCTCCGATGCCAAATCCGACACCTTGTGAGAGAACCAGATGGGTAACGTTTGTTGAGAATGACCCCATGGCTAGGGAAAAGCACATGATTGTTAGCCCTATAATGGAGAACCATCGCCCCATTTTGGGCATAAGAATCATTGCAATGATCACAGCTGGACAGCTCAAATAGGAAATTCCCTGCAAAAAGCATTAGCATGAAACCAGATAATCAAGATTTGGCACTCGAACCGTAGCACATGTTCCAATAACAGCTACCATGCTAGAGCCCTGAAACTCTTCAAGCTCTCGGTAGTACTTCTCAAACACACCAAAACCAAAGGCGAAGCCTATACTAGGGTTAGTTTGCGTGGTCCGCATAATGGAAGGCTTCTCTGTATCACTGACCCCATATAAGAGCCTCAAGCATAACACATGCTGCCAAAAACATCCATGCTTGGATCCCTCCATCCACCGGAGGTAATCGATCCTCTTCGGTTGAGATATCATCAAACTTTTCAGGACATAAGCGTATCTGGGCCTCGCTCCCAGTTCGTGAATTGCTGCTGCAAGAGTGTCTGGTCTCCATTTTGATCATAATCTGTCAGGTTGAATGACATAGCATTCGAGACAAGAGAGGGACCGAGTTCAGACGGCCGACCTATCGGTTATAACTACATGTGTTTGCGCCTATAATTAATCTTTTGTTACATTGCTCGATGACTGTCAAGGGAGGTCCAAGTTGTTGGAAGGGATGAATAAACCCATGTCAGAGGCCAGCCAGGTGACGGGAAGAATTTCCATACGTCTTGGATTATAAGGCTGGCATGTAGCTTCTGGGATCCGCGGCTTATAGCCGGCAATTTTGCCTGTCCTGTTTTAAAGCTGGTCACTGATTGTGCAATTGGAACGGGAATCTGATGATTCAGCTTTGCATAAGTGTAACTTATGAGATCACTGTCGTGGGTCCACTTTCCTACGTTTTGATAGAGAGCCCCTGCTTTATGTCTCTTCGGGCTATAGGGATTATGAAAGGCCCTAGGTGGCGTGCTTTACGTGGGGAATAGAAAGCTCGCTCGGTCTGTGTCGGAGGATTGTGAGCCAGGATAAATGGAAGACGGCTAGGAACGGGCATGCGAAGGGATTGGAATGTAGGGTACGCGCACTGGTAAACAAGGTTAGGAAGACCGGAGACTTTATCGATAAGGTGTGTTATATGATATCATTGATCAAGTTTCGAGCTGTATACAGTAGCCGAACCCCCTTGCTGGCATAATTCCCCGTAAGACCACGTTCAACTCGTGATAAGCCAAAAACTTTACTCTTGCTTTTAACAAACAAGGGGCTCTGTGGATATACCAATGATCTCGTTTCTAATGTGACATAGCACGCAACATGGATTAAATGCACGCTGATCGCTATTACACTTTTAACTACCTGTTTATCCTCAAGGAGTGGCACGCGACCAAAAAAGTGGTCCTGCTGCTGCATTGATTGTATACTTGATAATAGACATGTGCAAGGGCTTTGATGTGGGCATATACAGCCAAAGTCGGTTGTCACTCGGCCTTTTCTTGAGAATCGACCTCGCCTCATGGTATTTTGAATAGATACAGATAATTTGTGATGCAGTAATTCAAATTCAGTCACCACATGCGTGTACTAGACTTGGCAAACGTGCACCGAGTTCTTTTAGTTGGCTAACCAAATATTTTGATCCGTGCCATATCCATATGGGATCCACGAATCATTAAAGTACCGTTGCAGTACAGTCTGTCCATAACTCATATCATCGACGCAATATCCACCGCCACCGGGTCCGATGTGAGCACAGTGTACGTCGGGCCGATACTGTACCATATGCTCATGGACCTCCCGGCACAGCAATGTATTGCGACCCAATTCATAACTCTTCCCAAACCGTACGGTTTTAGTCAAAAAGTCATAGCAAGCAGAGCTATCCGTATACTGCTGATTTGATCCTGTGCAATGTTGTTCATGGGTCTCGCAGATTGTCTTTGCCAGTATATCAGACACATATGCGACGGCTTGGTCAGACGAGGTGGCATTGATCTTTGTTGCCACGCCTCCGACTAGGAAGTCTAGGAGGTACTCAAACCAGCGGAACACGGCATCATACTGGGCTATCTTTCCGTCTTCGTTGAACTCAATCCAGGTATCGATTGTGACGGGGATAAGGACTCCGAAGGTTGTTGCGTTGAAGGTTACTACTGCGGTTGCGGAAGCGATATTGTCGTTGGCAGCAAACTGGGTGATGTTATATGCGATCGGAACACCGACAAGACTGACATGATCAGGATCTGCAAAGAGGCCGAAGATGTATTCACGGTTCAGTTCATCTCCATCGAAGGTACGGGTAATGTCGACACGTCCTTGGACCTATGATTTTGGAACCGTTAAAATGTGGAAAAAATTGATTCTCATGTGGACGCGTTCTTACATCGGAGGCAAAAATGGTAGACGAATTGCCTTGTGTCTGTTTGAGATTGGCAGGGTAGAGGAACGCATCCCAAAAGGTCTTCTCAAGATCCCAAAGCTGATCAAATGAGAAGCTTGGCTTTGCATGCTTCGTGTGTGAGTTCTCGAATGCTTCTACCGAAGTAAAAAGGCAAGCCAGTATAGCTGCAAGCAAGGGTGCCCACGAGTTGGATACTAAATTCATCTTGGTTCTAAGTCAAATGTTTTACTCGGGTTCCTCACGTCTGTGATAGGGCCATCGAAGGTTCGCGGTTGTGGTTCTGGTATAAATAAAGCGTCTATTGCCGTATATTGGACTGGATTCTTATCATTCGCGGCATGTCACATTTGATCTCTGTCGAGGCGTCCCATCAAAATCGGCTGACCCAAATGTTTCACCCTTGGCATGTGCCGATACGAGAGCCACTTCTCGAGATTTAGCTTCAATGAAGAGATGTAAAATTGATATTGCATAAGATGTGGGGCTGATTTGGCCTTGATCAGCAGGGCACTCCGGTGCTATCGGTAGTGGTATGTTTCCTTTTGCAAGGGCTGAAGATCGACTTCCCGCCACCGGGAAAATTGAGGCTAAGTGAGACATGAGTTGCAGAATTCAAGGCATATCTATTAAACTATGCAAATTAAATCAATAGTTGCCTTACATTACCGATCAGCTTCCATATTTACGAGTGGCAGTCCATCATTCATGGCACTGCAAGGTGACTAAAATTATATATTCCCGTAGGCCCTGACTGCAGAATGTTTATGACTTCTCGGTAAATTTTTCGGCTGCTGTTTCTCTTCAGATAGTTCTTATTCGCGCCACTAGTGATTATCAGCTGTTCAAGTCTTGAACGGCCCGGTTGTGATCACTCCCCCCTGCTTGTTAGCCTTCGGACTGTTCGGATGCACAACAAGCCACTAGTATTCGGCAAAGCTTATGAGCCCCCCAAAAGAAAATAAAAGAGAGATCACACAGCATCTCGCATACGGATTTCACTAGATTATCGTTCTTCAATGTACAGTAGCCACACGCATACATCCAGTACACAAGAGGTGATATTACAAGTACAGCCTGCAGTTGTGGCACTGAATTTACAGGGCAAAATGATAGCTTCTCACGGGTGGCGCATCACAATGCCTTGATTGCCTTCTTCATTTCCCCCACGTCTAATCATACTCCTTCTTGATTGATATACCCACCTGACCTGGACCCAAGGCAATAATACTAGTAATCATTTCCAGTGGACCCGTAAAGATGTACACCGCGTTCAAGAACCTCAATCTCATCACCAACTTGGACATATAGCCCCATATTCTGCTCTTCAGCCTCCATCAAGTTCCGGTCTTCAGGGACACAGTGCATTCCAAGATAACCGAGTGCCGCCTTGTTTCCAGTCTCAATTGTGCGATGTTGCACTAAAGTTGTGCTTGGCTGAGGTTTGCCTTTCTTTCTCTCCGGGGAGGAATATCGGTGTCAAATTTTCCAGTGTCGGTGTTGACATTCGGCATAGTGCATCGAGATGTGCGACAAACAACAGAAATTACTGGAGCCACACTGGCGCGTAGTTTCTCACTGGAATCAAGCCGAGCATATTTTGGCAGGATACGGTAACGCTTCCAATTTTCTTCTTCATAGGCAGGAGTGTTTGTAATCCATAGGTTTGCGCGGAAGCGAAGTGCATTCATTGGTTGGTTCTCTTGGGGAAGAAGTGCTGACACAGCATGCACGGAAGACAATGTGTTAATGTTGATAGGTTGCTGGTCTGTGTAGCCGTGCACGGCTGGTGAACCGATATATTGAAGTGGCGCGAGGTTTTTATCGGTATGCACGAGGGTATCAGGAGTGCACCTCAAGATTGTAATGCTTGAGTTCTCGGAAAGTCGCAGAAACTTCTTCAATTTCGGCAAGACATTTGCAATCGATGGAACTTCTCCCATGTTCAGGCCCTTTGCGTCGCGCGAATGTATGCGGAATGTCTTCATCTTCATATTGAGGCGATCCATTTGAGTGGCTGTAATATGAAGAGGAATCACACAGGACACTTGGGGCGCAGTTGAGAGGCTCCATGTATGGAAAAAGGCCTCAAGGCGAGTGGTCCAGTTCGGCGTGTCTGGGTCCGGGAATGTCAAGACAACACATCCACCCGATTGAACTAAGGTGTCATTCGGGTTGCTTTCCTTGGATGGCAGCCATAGCTCCGTCGCGATGAGAGCCATCTGTGGTTTTGTGCGCTGGCTGATGAATCGCCATTCCAACGTCCCAGGGGCATCGGCTTGAGGGCTCTCAGTTGCCAGTGCGAAAGATCGATCATACATAAATCCAGACTTGGTAAGTAACGCGCGACTAACCTCGACCGGTCCACATGACTTGACAGGGTGGATGTATATCGCCTTCACTCGGGGTAGTCCATTGAGAACGGTTCCTTCTGGTGACTCATACTTGCGATCATATTGATCAGCCATATTGCTTTCGTTTAAACCGAGAGGCTGGAGATTCTTCAATTGTCTTCTTGTCGCAAAAGTGTTACCAGAGTATGCAATGGCTGCAAAGAGTACGCATAGCAGAACTGATACGGCAACGAAGCCATGTAAGATAACTGTGGCATCTAGCGTGCCGCAGAAAGAGTGCACATATTGAAGGAGCATTGTTATAGCATGCCCTTTCGTAAAAAGACGGCAAGACTTGATTGAATTTTAGAGCGCAGAAAGCAGTGTTGAAGGAAAGTTGGAGTCCGATTGAATTAACTTCTCAGGGAAGCGTGAAATCGCCGAGGACGGATGGCAGAACGGGAAGATTTCATTGGTGGGAGTGAGTATAGTCCGCCCTTTTATAAGTAATCGCATCCTTAGTTTCAAGCATACGGACAGCTATAGGAGAAAATGACATTATCTACTTGTCAAAATGGAAGCAGAACACGAATTAATAGCTATATAAGGGTTGAATGTAGAGAATACTGCAGTAAAAGGAATGAATTGTGCGAAATCCATGATCTTCATACAAAAGAAAGTTCAGCACGAATTAATATTCGATAGTTAGTCGCAATTTGTAAAATAAAATGTCAACAGAATATAAAAAAAAGTATTCTAAGAAATTTGAGAATCATCCCTCCAAAAAGTCAAATCCTCCTGCTTCGTTGAACCGAACCAACCACTCATCGTTCCACTGATTAGACTCTTCCGCTGTCTCTAAGTATGCGAAAGCAGCGTCAAGCCTTCTCCTCTCTTCGATCGCCCTCCTACCTTGAGTCTGTGGTGTAAATACTACTCTCCGCTGCTCGTGTGAGATGTTCAGTATCTTCCCCTGCTCTCTAAGAATTAGAAACCAAGCTCGATTCCATCTGAGGATCTGATAGAGATTCTCAACAATAACTTCCTGTTCCAAATCTCGACATCCAAGACGGCGAAACTCACCTAGTAGCTCTTCGAGCCTCCATCGCACCCATCTGCGAGTTGAAGGTTTGCAGAAAATTCGAATTTCACCTTGAGAACCGGATCCAGGTCCAAACTTTTCGGTAACAATATCGTTGTATAGTTTTTGAAGCAAGATTCGAGCTTGACTTTGGCATTCATCGCCGAGTATGCCAATCGCCGAAAGTCTTTCATATTCATGCTCCTGGTGTCCCATGGTACGCGCAGATCTTTCTCTCGCATCATAGTATCCATGCAAAGACGGTGCCATCTTTAGTGTTTGAAAGAATGTAATACTGTGTTAGGAATGGTGACTCGGTACTGAGCGAATCTGACTCGAACTTTATAGGCGCTTGATTCTCAAAATCGCATAAGAAAGAGACAAAGAAAACAACTTGGAGGAAACAATGGCATAATTATAGATAAAGTGAACAAGGACTACCATTGTCACTCAAACGTAATGATCATACCCCTTCACTCATTGTTTCATTGTATGGAATTCAGGCACAAAAGAAAACACTTATAGCACATGCGACAAATATTTCCTTGGGACATGTATATTCCTAACATAAATTAATTTACTTCTAAAGCAGATTCACATATCAAAAACAGCTTTGGTTGAATCACGTATAACTTGATAGTGTGCAAGGCTATTGCTGGAAATGATCTTACATAGTGGGCCCTGCTCAAATTAGATTCTGAAGCATTGGGGCTGGTATCATGGAGCTGTCTACAGCACTCTATTAAATCTTTTAGGAATGAAAGTAGCTCTACCACCATTTGCTATGGTACAGTTAACCCATAGACCCTTGTCTGTTGATTTATCCATAATGTTTGTTGAGATTTATGATAGCCGGCCATGGTTTATGCCATGAATAAGCCATGACGGTAACCAGAATGATTCATCACCTAAGGAATCTAATTAGCACTAGCTTGAGGCAGATATTTACAGTATCTAAGGGGATTCTCACACAGATAAGAATCTCCAGACTTGACCAACTCGGTACTCAATTCAAACATTATCTATATTGTATTATATGACTGTTTCCGACAGAGCCACGCATGCAGATCTCGATCAGGCCGAGTAATGGAGCATGATAGTCAACTCGGTCGTGGGCACTATGTGTTGTTGGTAGATTTCCCGGAGACTATCGGTATCTTTTACCATTCCTCACTACCTCCCAGGCTTGTTCAATCACCCCAGCTCAGCAACTGTGCCTGTACCACTCGAAAGTAAATCCAAGTTGCTCAGGCTCCCCCGACGAAAGCATACGAAGAAGTCCGCGCGCCTCCAGACTCTGACAGAATATTTTTGTCGAAGCGAAATCCTTTGTCGACAAATTTTGATCCATGCCGCAGATATGGCTACTCAGTTCTCCGCGATTGGTTGCTGAGTAAAAGTGAGAAAACCAACGTCGGGGCTGCCCTTGAAATTTTAGGAACAGAAACCAATAGTTGGAAGCGACAAAGATATCAGCTTTTTCTGCGCGGCTTACTGAAAGATTTCGGCGCCCATGCAGTTCTTTTATGTGCAGTTGCTCTGGGGCGAAACTACAGTATTCGCATATCCTGAGACTTGGCATATCGCCGAGAATTGTCCGGCGTTTAAGCGATCAACATAACTACTGTCAAAGCTTTCACATTAAGCGACTGACACTCGGGCCCTAGATTATTGTTTGCTCGGTGAAATTTGAATTCTTGCTGTGACTATTGGACAAAAATGCGGTCCACCAGGAAGAATGTGGGAGGCAGCTCGGAGAAGAATGAGGCACAGAATCGAGACTTGATTTTAGAACTCGGAAACTTGGAGAAGGTATTATTTTCTTGCGAAGAAACTCCTCTAGCCGCGATAGTTCTCCCGATGAAGTGGACTGATTGTCACGAAGATTTTCCGAAGATGGGAAAATCTGATGGATGATATTGATGGGGGATGATCTCCCAGTATACAAACAGCGACAAGATATGTCGAGTTATATTTGATCATATCAGCCACGTATTTTTTCACAGTCAGATATTTCATTGAACCTGGACATACGTATCTCATGTTTGTCCAAAATTGCAAGATGTCCTTCAATCGCTTCCGGCCTATATCGCACTTCATTGCGCCTCATTCGTGGATGAACGATCCATGTGGTGCAGTCTGGATACCAGAAACAAGAGAATATCGTGTCTGTTATCAATGGAACCCAGGCACCTCCAAGGCAGGCAATAGTGCTTGGGGGATGGCAAAGAGCAAAGATCTGGTCACCTGGCAAGACTGCACTCCAGCCTTAAGAAACGGAACAACCTATGATTCACTGGGTGTCTTCTCTGGTTCAATCGTTTCCGAAATCGTCGACGGACAGCGCGTTCTGTACCTTTTCTACACGAGTGTCTCTTCCTTGCCAATCCACTGGTCACTGCCCTACATCGAGGGTTGCGAGTCTCAGTCTGTTGCATTCTCCACCGATTTCGGGGAAACCTGGCAACGCTATCAGAATAATCCAATTCTTCTGGTACCCTCGGATAGCACAAAAACAACAGGGTGGCGTGATCCTTTTGTCTCAAAGTCACAGTCTCTTGCCGAGTTGCTGAAGGTGGATATCAAAACAAACTTCATGATGATCGCATCGGGCAATCGAGATCTTGGACCTCAGCTTTGCCTATATCAATCGCATGATTTGATTGGATGGGAGTCACTGGGGAGTGTTCTAAGAGCGAGAAACGGTTCTCGGATCTCACCAACCAGCAGCTTGCAATTTGGAAAGAACTTTGAATGCGTTTCCTTCTTTACCCTGGGCCGGAAAGACTACATCATCGTCGGTATTGAGGAAGACACCCATAGTAAAAGACACAATGGACATTATCTGCTATGGATTTGCGGCAAATTTACACAGCATGATGACTGTATTGACTTTGAAATTAAGTCCCACGGACTATTGGACCACGGCATTTCATATGCGGCCCATATCTTTCGCGATCACGAGAACAGACTACTCCAACTTGGATGGGCAGATGAGACTTGCAACGGGTCTGTAATCCAGTCGCAGGGCTGGGCAGGGTGTCTGACCCATCCAAGGGAGCTCTTTGAGATCTCACGGCCTTTGACTGATATTGGAATAGTGAGCAACAGATGGCTCATTGATGAAGAGGCTGGTACGATGTCAACACTTGGAATTCGTCCAGCGCCACAAGTCACCGCCCTTAGATCCAGCTGTCCACCAAAATCGCTCTTTGAATTTGATTCTATCCAAACAAAAACTTTCGAGGTTGAAGCTACTTTCTGCAAATTCTCCGGCGACGAGACTTTTGTGTTCAATGTCCGCGAATCCCCGGGTAAAAGCGAGCTCACTGCACTCATTATTGATATCGCGAAGGGCACGGTGACTGTTGATAGAAGACGGTCTTCTGTTCGGGGGCTCGGGGTGTCAGCTCCTGATATTGGCGATCTCAACCTTTTTAACGGAGAGGATCTTGTTATTCGAATATTTGTGGATGTTTCTATCGTCGAGATCTACGTGAATGATCAGTTCGCGATCACTTCACGTATTTATCCAAGTCTTGAGACCTCGATTGGTGCATCTTTTGACTTCGGCTCGTATCCCGAGGCAGCCGTAGACTTGCAGTTCTGGGACGATATTGGAGATACGTGGCCGGAGAGGATGTCTTCCGATATATTGGAAGAGATTGACGTGCAGGCTGGGGACGAGGCGCGTGGCCATGACCGCGGAGAAAGCGAAAGAGTGCTATGTCCTGCTATTGTCGCTTAAGTGGTGCAAAAACGTCTGCTTAAGCCTACACCTCTATACGAATAAAATAGTTGCAAATATTGAACCTAAAAAATAATGAAATTCCTTTCAGTAAACGCCATCAATGGACTGTACAATCTATATAAAACATCACAAAAAGCCGTAATCCTTCACATCATTTCAATCTGTATAATTCGAACTTATTTTTGCGACTTGGTTACGATGACATCAGCAAGTGCCATCAGCGAACCAGTCGACAGGAGCTCCAACACCTGCACGTTGGCATTTGCCTCACGGGCAATCCAGTTACGGATCTCAATAGCAACCAAAGAGTCCAAACCGAGTGAGGAGACCGAGATAGTAGGCTCGATATCCTCAAGGGAAAGCACAAGAACCTGGGCGAGCTTAGCAGCCAAAGCCGTGTAGCAAACCTGCAATTTCTCCTCCTTAGATTCGGATTTGGCGAACTGCACGTGGAGTGGCAGAGCAACCTCATTTGAGTCACCGCCTGCCTGGTTCTTGTTGGCTGTGGCCAGAAGGCTGAACTTGGCGTCCTGCTCCCAGAAGTGGTCGTGGGTGTTGGATTCCAAGCCGGTAATTGCTTGACCGCCACATGAGTTGGCCAGATCGCCGGTGATGGCCGCAGCCAGAAGCGCCAGCACTTCTGATTCGGTCATTCCGTCTGTACCGATGTTCTTCAGAACCTCCTGCTGGCGCTTGGTGTCGACCTCGGCGAGATAACCGACATCGCGCACGGCAGTAAGATCAATGGTTGTACCAGGGAGACCCTGGCTGCGACGCCACTCCATGAAGCCGTCCAGGAAGACGTTGGCGGCGGCGTAGGCGGCTTGTCCTCGGTTACCGACAACACCCGAGACCGAGGAAAGGGCGACGAAGAAGTCAAGAGGAGACTTGGTCAGGGCATCGTGGAGGTTCCAAGCACCGTCGACCTTGCTAGCGGTAACGGCTTCGAAGTCTTCGAGGTCCATGTTCTCGAAGAGCATATCCCGAAGAACCATTGCACCGTGGACGACACCACGGATTGGTGGCATGTCCGCGATGTCCTTCAACATAGCATCGACAGACTTGCGAGTGCTGACGTCGCAGGCCTTAACGGTGATGTTGGTGCCGCTAGGAGCCAATTCATCCATCAGAGCTTGCACTGGGGCGTTCACTGCAGCACTTCGTGATACGAGGACAATGTTGCGGGCACCTTTCTGTGACATCCACTTGGCCATGCTTCGGCCCAGGCCACCCGTACCTCCGATGAGAATGTAGGTGGCGTCGGCCTTAAGGATGTTGGAGCCGGTCTTAGCGACGACTGCATTGACCATGTCGCCTTCTTGTGGGATGACCACGATCTTACCCATCGACTTTCCGGTCTGCAGAGCACGGAAAGCCTTCTCGACTTCGGAAATGGGGTATGAAGAGAGAGGGAAGATGGAGTGGATGAAGCCGTGAGCCATCAGGGAGGAAACATTATCCAAGAGCTGCTTCATCAACCAGGGCTTGTATGCAGCGATCTTGGTCAAATCGACAGAGTGGAAGGAGACATTGTACTCGAAAGGATGCATGTCCAGACGGGTGTTCTTGGTAATGTCCGCCTTACCGATCTCAATGAAGCGTCCAAATGGCGCAAGGCATTCCCAAGTCTCACGGAGCAGATCACCCGCGAGAGAGTTTAGAACAATATCAACACCACCAGTAACCTCACGGATGCTGCGACCGAAGGAGGCATCACGACTGTAGAAGATGTGATCCTCGCGGAGACCGTACTGCGTGATTAGGAACTCCTTCTTCTCGGCGCTTCCAACGGTCACGTAAATATCGGCCTCGGCCATCTGTGCAAGCATGATCGCGGCCTGGCCGACACCACCAGCGGCAGCGTGGATCAAAATCTTCTCGCCTGAGTTGTTCTTCAGGCGACCAAGCTCATACAGGGCATAGTACGCAGTACAGAAGACAACAGGTACGGTAGCAGCAACCTCGAGCGAGATGTTGTCGGGAATAGCGGTCGCACTGGTTCCCTTGCAGCGAGCGAAAGTGGAATAACCACCGAGGGGCAAAGCCATTACTCGTTCGCCAACCTTCAGGTTGGTGACCTTCTTACCGATGGAAGAGACCACACCACTGCACTCGATACCGATGTAAGGTTGAGCAAGTTGTCCCATAGTGACAACAATGTCCTTGAAGTTGAGACCGGTAGCCTTGACTTCGATCTCAATTTCGTCGTCAGCCAGCGGCACAACTTCGTCATCGGCAAAGTAGAGAGTGTCAAGAGCACCGTAGCTGCCAATCTCAAGGTGGAAACGACGACCGGGCTGAGCGAAAGGCTGGGACGAGAGCATGGGCTCAGTACTGGTCTCATTTTGCACGTATGCGTTGAGAGCAGTATCATTGGTGATACGGGGAACAAGGAGCTCGCCATTCTCGGTCTTGAACTCAAAGTCCTTGCAGGGCTTGATAGATTCGTCAGCGGGCCACAAGGCCTTCATGGCAGCCAGAACAGGGCCAGCGGGCTTCTTCAGGTCCTCGGCACTGAGTCCAAGAGTGGCAACCTTGGCCATAGTCTCAGAGCGCAAACTGCGAGTGAGACCGACAATCATCTGAGAATCAGGGGTGTCATTGCGGTAGACCCAGATGACGTTGCTGCAGTTGAGAAGAGTCTTCTGGATGTTGGCAAAGTCTGACTCTGTCAGGTCACGCAAGGTTTTGGCCGCAGTGTGCAGGATGATAACATGCTCGCGCTTCTGGTCGGTGTTGATATCACTCAGGGAAGAGATAGTGGTCGACCAGCGAATGGCCTCTCTGGAGATAGCCTCGTTTAGGCGCTCGGCAGCAACTTCAGACTTGCCAAATTGAGCAATCAGAAGCTCATCCTTGGACTCTTCGTGGTGTCCATTGACGCCATTTGCATGGCCGTTGGCGTGGCCGTTGGTATGCCCATTGGTGTGTCCATTGGTATCACCATTAGCATGGCCATTGGTTTCCTTGGCTTCAGCTTCCTCGGCGGCAGCCTTCTCGATATCAGCCAGCGATTGCCACTCAAGCTTGTAGCAAAGATCGCGGGTAGCATTGTCACCACTTCCAGCGTCGTTGATGGGAGTCATGGTGAGACCCTCTAGGTTGATCAAGACCTCACTAGAGTTGGTGGGGGTCACCCACAAGTCGAATTTGGTGGGCTCGGGCTTGACCAAGTCAGAACCTCCAATACACCAAGCACGGTAGTGATCACCCGGAGTAGCAGAAAGGTTTCCATTAATGACAAGGCTCTTGATCATAGTCGGCATGTAGAGAGTTTCGAGCTCCATACGACCCTTTCCAAGAATAGGCCATGTGAGGTGCAGCAAAGCATCCAAGAAGGTGGGGTGAATGGTCAAGGGAGCTTCGTATTCCTTGGGCATCATGGACTTGGTGTCTCGAACGTACAGGTCGGCACGCGAGTGGTGAGGGTCGGAGAAGCAGTTCTCAAGACCTTGGAAGGGCGTTCCATAACCAGCGCCGACCTCTGCAAGTACCTTGTAAAGATTGTCGATGTCAATCTTGTAAGTAGCGGCACCCTTGACCTCGGTGATTCGCTTCCTGAAGACCTTCTCCTCAAACTCGACAGAGTTGACAACAGAGTTCTGCTTCTGGTTCTTCTTGTTGGGGCGGGTGCGGACCAGACCAGTGCAGTGCTCGGTCCAACTACGCTTGTCGTTCCAAGAGCAGATACGGAATTCGTCCCAGGCATCAGAGTTACCACGGGTTCCCTCAGTGTAAGGCTTGAGGGTGATGGTAGTCTCAGCATCTGTGTCCTCTGTCAAAACAAGCGCAGCACCAACGCTCACTTCGCGGAATTCGAACTGTGAGTTGGCGGCAACAGTGCCGTACTTCTCAGAGCGTCTGCGAGCGGCCTCAATTGCCATGGCCAGATAACCAGCAATGGGGTAAACACTCATACCCTGCATTTTGTGGTCACGAAGCCAAGGGATATCGTCCAGACGAACGATGTTTCTCCACGTCGGCTCCAAGTCATTGGAGTAGAATGCCTCAGCGCCCAGAACATCGTTTCGGACTCCATCACGGAACTTGTGCTTCTCGGTGATACGAGTCTTGTGCCAGAACTCAGTCTCGTGCTGCCAGGGGTACCGGGGCAGATCACGAAGGAATGTACACGAAGCAGTGCCGGAGAGAGGGAAGTTGATCTCGTTAATGTTCAGTATTCCACCACGAACGTAAACCGCACCGGCAGCGTCTTGAACACACTGAGCGGGATCGGCCTTACGCATAACTGTAGGAGCATAACCGATCTTGGAAGCAACAGATGTTCCAAGGGTCTTCAGGGTGTCGAGGATGGGACCCTTCAGAGCAGAATGGGGTCCAACTTCAACGAGGAGGTTGGGCTTTTTCTCTCCACCGCACATCTTGGCGAGGGCATTGGCGAAGAGCACAGATGAAGTCAAGTTCTGGACCCAGTAGCTGGGGCCAAGATCGGTTGCCCGACTAATTTCACCAGTCACAGAGGAGTAGAAGGTAGCGGTGGCAGTGTCTGACGGCTGGACTGACTCGATGGCCTTCAAGTATGCCTCACTGACGTTCTTCATGTGGTCGGAGTGGTAAGCCACATCGATCATGAGCCTGCGGTTGAAAATCTTCTTGTCTTCAAGGATCACCTGCAGCTCTTCAATGGCAGGGACATCACCAGAGATGGTGACACTGGAAGGACTGTTGACACAGGCCACAGTGGCGTATCCAGCGGAGAGGGTCTTGAGCATAGGCTTGATATCTTCCACACTAGAGCCAACCGCCATCATGGTACCCTTTAGGTCAGGGAAGCTGCTCTTCAGCAACTCAGTCATTTGACCGCGGCGGTACGCCAGGGTCATGGCTCCCTCCAGGTCGAAAATGCCTGCAGCGTATGCCGCGCCAATTTCACCGGAACTGTGACCAACAACTGAACTGGGACGGATACCCCATGAGCGAAGTAGGTCCACCAGAGCAACCTGCAGAGCGGTGCAGGCCGGTTGACTCAGGTAAGGAGTGTTAATCCTGGAGGATTCCACATCTTTCTGCAACTCCTCGAGAAGGGAGAAGTCGGCACCCAAGTCCTGAGACAGGCACCTGTCGGCGCGCTCGACAGCAGAGGCAAAGACAGGGTATTCATTCATCAGAGGCATACCCATCTGAGCCCACTGGGCTCCCTGTCCAGTGAAGACAAATGCAACCGAGGGACCGTCACCTCCGACCACACGAGCGGGGTTGATCTTCATCTGCGCAAGCTGAATACCAGCATCGTTGAGGGATGTAGCGGAGAGGGCAACTCGGAAGGGGAGATTAGACAACTTGCTTCCAACTGTGTAGGCAAAGTTGCTGAACAGAGTGTTTTCGAACACCTCAGGACGCTGTTCAAAGTAGATACCGTAGTCCCGGCTTCTCTGGCGAAGAGCTTCTCGGTCATTTGCTGAGATCACGATAAGACGGCGCTTTCCGTCTTTTTCCTTGACAGTCTCTTCTGGCGTCGGCTGTGAAGGGGCCTTTTGCAAGACAACATGTGCGTTGGTACCACCGAAGCCATAGTTGGAAATACTGATATATTTCTTGCCACGGGGCCAGGGGCGTGTCGAGTTCACAACCTTCATGTTCCATTGCGCGAATGGGATCTTGGGGTTGGGCTTTTTGTATTCGGCATTAGGGAGCAGAAGTCCACTGTCAAGCATCATAGCCGACTTGATAACAGCAACAATACCACTAGCACCTGTTGATAAGAAATGTCAGAATCAGCAATCAAGATGAACATAGAGGGCCTTGCTTACCTTCCAAATGGCCAACATTGGTCTTGACTGATCCGATATAGAGTGGGTTTCTTGCGTTCCTGCCCTCTCCAAGTGCTGCGTGAATAGCAGTTGCTTCGATGGGGTCTCCGGCCGCGGTACCTAGACATATGAGCTTTCAAGTCTTTGGGACAGGCTTTTTACATACCTGTGCCGTGCGCTTCGACGTAACCACAGTCGCTTGGGTTCAAGCCAGCTTCCTGGTAAACTCGGCGAATCAGATCCTCTTGGGCCTGGCCGTTGGGAAGAGTAATTCCCTTGGTTCTTCCGTCTTGGTTGAGACCGGAATGACTGATCACAGCACGAATGGGGTCGCGATCACGAATGGCAGCAGAGAGAGTCTTGACCATAATGACACCGGCACCCTCACCACGGGCAAATCCGGACTTTCCTCTCTCTTCAAAAGCATATGTTCGTCCTTCCTCACTGAGAAGCCTGCAGAGATAAAGCGGTTAACGACTGCGTCACAGAAACAGACAAAATATCCGAATTCCAGTTGAGGAAGCCTTACTGTTGCATAGACATAGTAATGGAGTTTTCAGGGTTCAAAAGTAAATGACAACCACCGACGAGGGCCTCGGTAGATTCTCCGTTCCTCAGACTCTGCACAGCAGAGTGCAAGGCAACAAGAGAAGATGAACAGGCCGTGTCAACGGTGAAACTGGGGCCCCGAAGGTCGAACATGTATGAAATTCGGTTTGACTTCAAACCAGGCGCACATCCAGTGGCTTGAAACATGGGAGTCGTTTCAGTATCGCGCGTGTTATTAGCTTCGTAGTCGGCAAAGTTTCCTCCCATAAAAACACCGACACTTCGTCCGGCCATGAATTCTCTGGGAATACCAGCGCTCTCCATTGCTTCATATGAACATTCTAGCAAGAAGCGCTGTTGTGGATCCATGGCGACGGCCTCCTGGGCACTGACATTGAAGAAAGGAGCATCAAATCGTGTAACGTCATCAACGAAGTAGCCACCCTTTTGGTTGGAGGTACCTGGCTTCGAGGGGTTTGGGTGGTGATAGGCTTCTGGGGACCACCGGTCGTTGGGGATGGGGCACCAGCCACTGCGGCCTCGTGTGCATAGTTCCCACAGCTCACTTGGGGAAGAGACCTGACCAGGAAGTCGGCAGGAGTATCCAATAATCGCAATGGGCTCCAGGACTGGGGATTCAACTGGAGATTGTGACCCATTGGAGCCTGCTGTAGTATCCAATGCTGGCGACATCTTTCTGTGTGTATGTTCAAAAGGAGTGAATAGTATAGTGAGAAAGGGCAAGTATTAAAGACTGCTATATGCTAGTCTGAAGCCCAGCAGAAAAGGCAAGAGAGAATGAATGCAAAGAGATGAAGGAACACAGAAGATGAAAAGGAGAAAGAAAAAGATCTACTGAGAATAGGGAAAGACCATTTCACATGTGTAAATTCTTTTCTGAGAGAGCAAAGCAGACGGCCCACTTGGTAAAGGAAAGGCAGAACGATCGGCACATTTTAAATCACAGACGGGGCTATTTGACAACTAACAGTACAAGGAAAGACCGCAATGGATAAGATGTCCAAGTTCTGCCTCGTACATGTACTGAGTCTCCCGATCAGGGGCTGTATTCAAAGCCAACAGGAGTTTGGCAACCCCTTCCGTAGTGGGGAGCTATGCAGTGGTTTCAATTTTCGGGATTGATAGATCCAATCACGTTAACTCAATACTTAGACTTTGTGGCTTCTTTGTCAGAATATGGGGCCTTGATCTATGGGTCGCTGTTCCTGCATCTGATTTGGTTATGAGTGGAGCGACTAAAGTGTGGCGGTCTGCCGATCGCATAGCCTTAGAGAAATAGCCTATGGATCATAGATGTCGATCGAAAGAACCAGGATACAAGGATCGGCAGAGCTCCTCAACAATTTTTACTGTATTAAAATATTTCGAGGTCCAGCGTGTTGGTCATTGATTTGGTGGCTTTTTTGCTCTTTGATTCCCTTCACTTCATCCATTGTAGTATTGTGACAGTTGCTCATCATGCATTTCCTATGTCTTCACGGTGCCATTGGCAACACCGATGTGAGTGCGCGCAATTTCAAACCGCAAAATTGGAGTCATACTAACAACAGCAGAATATCACCATTCAGTTAGGTAATTAGCCTCTCAGAGCCTCTTCTTACGGTCGTTAACAGGGAATTCTGTCTACAGCGCCTCTCCAAAAGGATTTGGGCGAAGACGCAACGTTTCACTATATTAATGGACCCTTGTCCTTTATCCCTCCACCAGGTGAGTAGGTCCCGGAAAACCTCGCTTGTCATGCCTAACCATGCTCCAGGATTTGAAGAATATTTCGGAGTCGGACCGCATTACAGGTGGGCTGACGATGGCCAAGCGCCAGAAGATTCCTGGATTATGCGCATTCGTGGCAATGCAGCTCCCAGCGACGATACAAACAATGAAGACGCGATGAGAGGGTTACTCGGAGAGGGATCCTGCAAAAACCACCCAGAGCTCATGAAATACATCTATGACGCGCTAGAGAGGAACCCCGAAATCGGCGGTATCATCGCATACAGCGAGGGTGCCATGGCTGCTTCCACTTTTATTCTGGATGAAGCACGTCGAGAGCAAGAGGAAGGGCGAGAGCGCCGGATCAAATGCGCTATGTTCGTCGGCGGCTGGCCTGCCATGAAGCCCAATGCTGGGTTCATCCTCGCGGACGACGGAGGCGACGAAATGATCGACATCCCTACCCTCCATGTTGTGGGTGCAAATGGTAAGAAATGATTGCTCTCCTAAGTTTTTGACACCGGGCTGATCTATCCATGCAGATCCCTTCCGATACGGCTCCGAAGCCCTTTACGATATCTGTGATCCTGACACTGCGGAGTATTTTGATATGGGTAAAGGACATGTCATTCCACGTTCTGGGCTAGTGATCGGAGAATTGAGCAATGCTCTCCGGGAATTGGTCAAGAAGACAGAACCTGAAGAGTAAGGGGTTGAGCATGGTAATCGCAGATCGTATCATTCATGTATTATTACGTCGGTGGTGGGTCAAATCGGCTTTTGGGGAACGAGTGATCTATTCCTAATTTCAATTTTGCACGGCAGTGTCTCGGCTCATGACCGGGTTCGAGATCTGCAGAGCTAGAAGATTTAATTGTTGGACTTCACTCTAACCTCCACTAAAAAGTGGACCGTTGGGTTTATGGTCCATGATAGCTGAAAACTTTCTATAGTAGGAAACTCGTACTCAGGGGTCCCCGATCGCCAAATGGTGGAGAAAAGTAGGAACTCGGCCAAATTAATTGGATACTACGGACATTTTGTCTGACTGCAGACTGACTACATCTCAGTTTCGTATGATACGTATTCCATGAGAAGACCGGAAAGAAAACAATTCCAAACAGGTAGGGATCATCAACAGCTGTTTTCCACGACTAGAATAGGAGTGTGGGAATGCTTTATGTGGGAGTTGGCTTTTAATCCTCCCTTCACTCTTCAAAGAACTTCGTATCTCATCTTCCAAAATGCGTTTCGTGTGTCTGCATGGCTCAGTGAGCAGTAGCTCTGTAAGTGAAGCTCTTCCCTCGAGCGCGCCAACCTGGAGTTAAACTAATGATCGCAGAAATTGGAAGCGATGCTAGGTATCACTGAAATGCTGGTGAGAAAGCTACAATACACTGACTCGTGAAATAGCGCCATTTCAACAAAATTTGACCGCCGACAACGCTGCTTCATTCGATTATATTGAAGCGAAGACACCAAGCACTGCGCCCCCAGGTATGATATACTCGCGGCAGTGGCATTGAAGCGATCTAACGAATTCAGAACTCTTGGGTTTCTTTGGTCCCCCGCCACACTACCGCTGGCTTGACTACGAGGGCATTGGAACGGAACAACTGCACGAGACAGCCCGCACCGCAATCGATAATTCAGATCTTCCTGCAGAAGAGCGCCTGCGGAAGAAAATTCCTTGTGATTTCAATTGGGTTAATTATAATGATCTCATGGAGCAAATCGACAAGCACCTTGAGGCGAACCCTGACATCGAGGGTTTCGTTGCTTACAGTGAAGGAACGAGTATTGCAGCGACGTATCTGCTGTACGAACAAAAGATGGAGCAAGAGCACGGTCGCCCTCGACGGATAAAATGTGCCGTGTTTTTCGCGGGCGTGCCTCCAATTGATGAAAAGAACGGATACGTATTCGCTGATGAGCGAGAGGATATGATTGACATTCCGTCACTGCACGTCATTGGCGCAGCCGGTATGCTTCTTCCTTCTAACCTGCGATAGAATCCTGATCGTCGGCTAATTATTCTCGTCTATCTAGACCCTTACCGCTGCGCTGCTGATTCGCTATACAACCTCTGTGACCCTGATATGGCTCATTTCTTCGACACCGGCAAGGGACATACTATTCCCCGCGGAGAACCGATCATTAGCGAGCTTGGAAATGCGGTTCGAGAAATGATCGCGAAGGCCAAGGAAGAGTGAGAGCTTGGAAAATAGTTGAGCGATGCTGGACTGTTCCGGAATGTAAATTAATTACCCTTAATTATTGCATCCATGTATTCAGAATAACCTTATCGGTGACCAGTGTGGAGTACTCATCGCCTATGGACGAATGGTTGGGGTTTCGATCCACAATTAGCGTGCAATCATGTCCTTTTCCTCTTCGGTCGTGCTCGGCGACTGTGCACAGGGGAAAAGGCCCCTTTTTAAAAAGAAAAGAGAAAAAGCAACAACAAAGCCGATTTTCTGCATGTCAATTTAGAATGCCTGTCTTTCAAACTATAAAATAACTACAGATCAACGCTAGATACCTGTTTCCCTTCTGGTAATGATGCCTCGTATGAAATCTAGGTGTGGGGGTTTCCACGCCCAACAAGATCAGAATCCGAACCCGAGCGAAACCCCAAGTGAGAGAGACTAATGAATGACAGGCCCCACTCAAATTTCCTTGATTTTACGGAGATTTAGCTGGGAGTACTCCGTACTGAGTAAAACCCTCGATCTCGGCTTGGCGATCGCATATTTTCGTTGCCGGTAATGCGAGTCCGGAAGCCGGTGACCCACCCCAGCTAGCCAGAAAGGTCCAAACTGCTCCGAGAAAATGCCTTGACTGCTCTCACGGCAGCTTGACAAGGCATTGAGTTCCAGAAGTCTAATTCTAGATATCTACGATCCGTATGAGATCGAGAGATCGACATAGATCTTTGGGGGGATCATCACAACCCTATGTTTGGACGGATTTCGACATGTGCCAACTGAACAATGATTTTTCAAGTTCTCCGATGTCGCCATAAAATATAGCATGCGCTCTAGCGTCAATGTGCTGCTTAATTCTCGTCGCTTATGTAGACTCAGGACAGGCGCCTTCGGCCTGGCTACCCCTCGCGATGGCCTCATCTATGCCTGTAGGCACAACATCTCGTGGCTGCGAGTCTTAACTGACTGGAATTGCGTGACTGATTGGGGTTTTTTGGGCTTTGTACTTTCTGTTACGAGTATAAAAGCATTCTAGTTATACCAATACTTTAAGGCGTCAACCAAGAACAATCAACCTCTACGAGTTATACATAGTCCATTGCCTCTTACGGCGCTCCTCTCACATGGCGATTGAAGATGATAAGGCTGTGCAGATCTCTGCCAGTCCAAAAGACTCGCCGGGAACTAGTATTGGTGACAATTCGGATAAAGAGCAACAGCAGATCTATTCGAGCAAAAGAGAGGGAACATTCGAGGCTAGCGATAGTCCTCATCTCTTCAGACCTATTGACAACTACGAAGGACTTCATCGCTGGGACCCCGATTTTCAATGGACAGAGCAGGAAGAGAAGAAGATTGTGAGAAAGGTATGTGATTCTTCTACGGCAAATGAGGCACAAACGCTCACTACTTCGAACAGATTGACCTTCGTGTCTGCACCTTTGCCTGCGTGACGTTCTTCGCATTGCAGCTTGATCGAGGAAATATCGGCCAGGCTTTGTCCAGTACACTACTCAAAGATCTGAAAATGACAAGTAACGATTATAACTTGGGTCAAACTATATTCCTGGTATGCTTCTTGCTGGCCGAGATGCCTTCTCAATTGATTTCCAAAAGACTGGGCCCCGATCGGTGGATTCCGATCCAAATGATCTCTTGGAGTCTGGTCGCGGCTTGTCAAGCTTTCTTACAAGGACGGGGTTCATATCTAGCCCTTCGGGCCCTGCTAGGACTTTTGGAGGGTGGCTTGTGAGTTGTCATTTTCAAAGGATGTGAGAATTCGACTAACAGCATCTTCCAGCATCCCCGACACAGTCCTATTCCTCTCATTCTTCTACAAATCCAATGAGCTGCCCAAAAGATTGACCTGCTTCTGGATATCCCTCATCGTCTCTGGAATTATCGGCGCGTTCCTTGCCTTTGGCTTGCTCCATATAACCGACTCACACGGTGGTGGCTCATGGCGATACCTCTTCGCCTACGAAGGTCTGATAACCGGCGTCATTGGAATCATCGCCGTTTTCTGGATGCCCGCATCGCCAGTGCAAACTAAGGGAGGATTCCGTGGCAAGAACGGATGGTTCACTGAACATGAAGAAAAGATCATGGTGAACCGAATTATTCGCGACGATCCTAGCAAGGGTACCATGCATAATCGACAAGCAATGACCCCAAAGCTCATGTGGGCATCGCTGAAGGATTTCCATATGTGGCCACTTTATACTATCGGATTGATCTGGATGATTCCTCCTGGGCCGGCTACCAACTACCTGACCTTGCAATTACGGTCGCAAGGATTCACTACCTTCCAAACCAACTTGCTGGTCATTCCCTCCGCTGTTGTTGGAATTATCACTATCATCGGTATTACCTGGCTCGCAGAACGTACAAACCAACGCCTGCTGTGCGGTGCATTGATGGGTGTATGGAATCTGATTTTATTAATTACCTTGGAGGTTCTTCCTCAAAAAAGTATGCCCTGGCCGCGATGGGCTATTCTTACTCTGCTGGTCGGAGGACCCAGCATTCACCCTGTGCTAGTGGCGTTGACCTCGCGGAATGCTGGGTCTGTACGGACTCGCACTGTCGCCTCTGCATTGTACAACATGACTGTGCAAGTCTCCAGCATTGTCAGCGCTAATGTGAGTTCCAAACTACTCCGCTGACTCGGTTAGTTCTCCATGATACTGACAGTTGAAACCAGGTCTACCAAGCCAAAGACGCACCGTATTACCGACACGGAAACAAAGTTTTGATCGCACTGGCTGTATCCGGTATAGCCCTTTTCATTGCAGCAAAGTTCTATTACGACTGGTGCAACAGGTGAGTTTACATTTCCTCCTATGATCTGTAAAGATAAGCTGTTTTAACAGAATCTAGAAAAAACGCTACCCAATGGAATGCTATGACAAGCGAAGAAAGAGAGCTTTACTTACGCGAAAACCCGGTGTTAACCAACAAGAGGTATGCGCGCATGAAACCAGATAACTGAGTCTAGAAATGGTCAGCTAACAAATTGCTACAGAATTGATTTCCGCTTTTCTCTCTGATCCCCCGTTGCAGTTCGGGGTTGTGCGGGCTGTGATGTATATATTTCGGCGGGATGACAGGACCAACGTACTTACTAGTCAAGCCACAACTCACATGTCTGGCAATTTAGAATATCCGAGGCGTGCTCAATATACCCACGATATGTTCAATAAATCTCTTGGGAGAAAATTCTAATACTCCGAAGCGAATGGCTTCATAGGATGCATATCCGACCACGTTGATAGGACAAGTCACTGAACCGTAGATAAGGCATACGGAATAATCTCATTGAATCAGTGCCGGAATTGCAGTATCTTGGCTTGGATGAGGCCATTTGCACTAATTTATTGTTGCCGATATTGGTTGCGCCAGTTTGGCACCGATGTTGCAATATTTAGTGAGGGGGTTGGGTACGCCAACCGCGGCAGTGGAAATTAACCTATACAACAGAGGCGAATTGTGGAGAGAAGATATTAACTCCCGGGGCCGGTGGAAGAACCATGTGATAAATTTGGCAGTTTGCTTCTGGAAGGGCAAGGGTTTGATGAACGATGACTGGGTTCTAGGTCTGATTTAAGCTTAACTACCAATTCTGAAATTTCACCTGAGCACTCACCAGAAATACATTCGAATTATGCTTTATGATTGCTAAAGAAGATAGAAAAACAAGGCAGACCACCGCAGATTACAACTCTCCTCCGCTATCCTGTCTTTACGTTGCTACCTTTGCTACATTGCTTGCAAATTCTTCGTGTACCGTATTTGATCAATAGGTCGCTCTTCTGATTATGTTCATACACATATCCTATTAAAATTTGATATTCAAACCTTCTCCTTATCTGCTTCGGTAATATACGGCGTTTCATACGGACGCTCAGCCTGCGGTGTTATACGAGCCAAGTGACGACGCTCACCAGTCACCCAATCAATGATCGCAGAGTGCGCAGTAACACGGTTCTGTGCATGTATCAGCCTCTACAGCATCATGAAAGAAGTCTTGGAAGTCAACTTACATCCCAGACTACAACAGTCTTAGGGGCCCACCGAACACGCGCCTGGTAATCGATACCCCGGCCGACATGGGCCAGCAAGAAGCCTAGAAGGGCGTCACTTTCTTCTTTCTTAAGACCAACAATGCTGCGAGTGACTTTCCGTATAGTTAGCTCAGTCATTCAATCTCGAGAAAATAAACTTACAGCCTGCATTCACGAAAAGCGCCTTTTCGCCCGTAACGGGATGAGTACGAACAAGGGGGTGTTCATTCTTCACAGGCTCCCTTCTTACTACTCCTCCGCGGCCCAGACTAAACTCAGCCTGCTCGACTCCAGAATGCACAGCTTTTAGTCCATGCAGTCTTTCTTTGATAGCCGGTGAAAGGCGGTTATAAGCCTCAACCTGGTTCACGAAAACGGTGTCACCGCCGACCTCTGGACCATCGAGAATGTACAAGAAGGTAGTCCCAGGGGGCTGCTGCTCGTAAGTAACGTCTGAATGCCAGGACACACTGCTATTCTTTCCAGCGAGGAATTGATCAAGCTCCCAGTTGTTATTGTGCCGGTGAACAAGATGCACCTCGGGATATCCTTCGGGAGATCCACTGGTTGGATGGATATGATGCCGGCCGAAGTATCCTCCAAAATCGAGCGCTTCATTAATTGGCAAATCAGCAAGATCTTGGTCTCTGAAAGCGACGACTTTGCGCTGGGCAACCAGGAGAGCCAGTTGGTCCTTTCCGGTGGAGCTGAGTTTGCTTAACTGAACGCCTGTGACTTCAGAGCCGATCGTTGGTGTGAGCTTCTGAATCTTGGATCCTTCTGGTAGGAGATCACTCAGGGATGGGTCGGCGTCTTTGCCATGGTCAACATGGGTAAAGGGTTCCAGGGGGGGGTATTTCTCGCTGTAGTCCCAAGTAGGGAGGTAGGCCGGATACTAAATTGACCATGGGTTAGTATTCGCAGGGCTATCGACGGGGTATTTTTGACGTACACTGGCGGTAGTGTTTTTTCCTTCCTCATCAATGATCCTTCTTACTCGGGGTTTGGGGACGTTATCAGCTGATTTGGACTCCGCCTTGACAGGGACGATGATCTCCGCAGCTGCAGATTCGATAATAGATGGCGCCATGGTTGTTTCCTTGTTTCGGTTTGCAATAATTTTGTGACAGGAAGCCATTGCACGCACCTAAAGACTTGGATATATATCATTTTCATTTCGGTTCGCGTCATTATATGCTGCGGTCACGTATAAACTTAGATACAGGCCATCTTCAGGAGGCGGAGGTGAACGAATCAATAAAATCATCAAGCGGGGTAATTGCTATTGAACAAGAGCAGTAATAATGAAGCCTTACGTGCTATATGCAACAATAGCACCTTCCGTTAGACTTGATTCCTTCCAAGACCGAGGTCCGTTGATAATGTTAGTTAGCATGGCGTGATCGCATATACCTGTTCGGTGAAACATAACCTTCGACATAGTAAGTAATGTTCACAATGTCGCTACGGGCGCACGATACTATGCAACTAATTATCGTATGACAGAGTAGACAAAGAACATGGTTGTCGGTTGTTTTAGGTATAGAAACGCAGTAATTTACGAACTGGGATGTGTAAAATGCCAATTATTTATCTCAAGTTTTGAGCGCAGTATCAGAATGACAGCAACCGCTATAGGGAGCCTGTCCAACAAGCGCAAGTAATTTGTGTTGGCCTCTAGAGCCAGTTTCTGTTTTCTATTTTCTATTTTCTTGCTTCTATGATATTCCGTGATAGAAAAGGAGTCTTCACCACAAAGTATGATCTCAACAAAAGTTCAGTCAACCTCTCCTTTCGCGGCGAACTTGCTCCGTGCTCTGAGACTGGCCCCAAATATCCAAAACAGGAACATACCAACGATTCCCAAGATAGAGATACTCGCCAAAAGCGTCACACCTTTGCTGACTCCAAGATTGTCGTACATGTAAGTACTAACGATCACAACAACCGCCGCTGTAGCTGATCGTGTAAAGTCACTCGCTGCCAGAAGCGATGCCACAAACTGGGGATATGTAATCGGGAGGTAAATGAATATGGATTGGAAAATACCAAAGGTCGCACCAGCATAGATCGCAATTCCCAGCGTGGGCACAATCCAATGTATAGACTGACGTGCTGTCCAGGCAAAAATAAAGAGGCCGACAGGTGTCAGGATTACGCCCGGAAGGGCTGGCACTAAATTCTTTTCGTGCAGATTCAAGGAAATCAACTCTGCTTGTGTTTCCTTCATCTGAAGCTGGTAGATACTCCAAATTGAAAGTGCAACAAGGCATCCCGCAACGATGGCGAGGAAGATCAAGCTGTATGAAACAGGTGACATCTTGTACATATCTAGATAGACAATCGGGAATACCTCAAAGAAGGAGTAGTATATGGCGTAGATGAATGAGGCATAGATACACACGAAGCCGATTGCGGGATCTTTGATTGCGATTTCCATTGGCCGGATCAAGGATTCCTTAATATGTGTTGAGAGTTTTATCGGATTGAGCTCACTTGGAGCAATGATATTCTCGTTACCTGTGGACTTTCGGAGAGATCGCGCTCGACGACGAAGAATGTTGCTTGAAGATGTCTCCGGCAGTGAACAAATCATAAGGAGCAGAATTGTCCCTCCCATTATGGAGATCTGCCATAATGGCCAGTGCCAGTTTATGTTTTTCACGGCCTGGGTGCCGAGGAGAGGTCCTATTGCTGGACCGCAATACACGCAGGCTACCCATACGGCAGTTGCGTAAGGTGCTGTTGAAACTGAATAAATGTCGTATATAGTTGCACCGCCAGTAGCTAGGCATGGACTTCCGAAGAAGCCTTGGAAGAACCGAAGAACAACGATCGCAGGGAAATTATCAAGCACTGCTAGACAAATCGAGATGATGATGAACAGTAAAAATGATATGACATAAGGTGGGTTGCGTCCAATCGACGGGATTTCGCTCAGTGGAGAAAATAGCAATGGTCCCGTACCGTCTAGAAACGCCTCGTAGTGTTGGCACATAATTATCGACAAACGGATTTTAATAATGGAATATCAATGTACTTACATCCCAAGACATAAAGTGCCATAACAAGAGACACAACGACCTCAGAGTGCCCGAATTTGGCGATCATTGCTTCGTAGCTAGGTACGAATATTGAAGAACCGCAGTACACAACGAATGAATAAATCCTGCGATGATTAGTTTGATGTCGTTGATCGCACTGCGGCTAGGAATCAACGTACGATATGACACACGTCACCCATGCTTTAAGAAGCCTGGGCCAGTTTTGAGGGTTTTCAGTATCATCTGGTCCAGACCAAGATATGATAATGGGGCCCTCAGGTTTAATGCTACAAACAAACGGGATTAGACTTGGTATATCCTGAGTGAGATTGGAAGACTCACTCGGTCTGTCTGAGGCTATCAGATAGTTTAACTTCTTCAAAAGACAGCCGCGATTTTTGACCAGCAAAAAGTCGAAATAATTCCCCCAGAGGTGTTTTGCCGATCCATGCAGATTGTGTTATCATCTTGGAATGCTCAATTCGGGATCAGAAAAAAGCGATAACTTGGGGATAGAATTGTAGTCTGATGATAGAACCAAAATTCAACAAGACTATCGAGGTCTTGCGGATAGAACTCATAAGTAATATTGATAAATAAGGGCTGGGTTACATTCAACATTTTGAAAACCTGCGACGGTGTGTCGACCGAGGTAGTCTTTATGCATATAATGATTATGCAGTGCGACTCCATTTTGTAATACAGGTCGCGTATCATGACTATTTCTAGCCAACATAGCAGATGGATATTCAATGTCCGCATTTTTGTCATGCACAGATAATCGAAGAGAAGACAATGCATTCAATTCGTGGTGACACAACATTGAGACTGACGAAAGTGTCGGTCTAGGCATGCTGGATTCAAGTCTTCGTAAATTTCTTATCGTAGATGTTCCAAGGAAGACTACGAGTCAACGCGCATTGGCTGAGGATTACTATGACATCTTGAATTAGTTATCACAGGTATGACGGATTGTTAGAATAATAATTCTGATGAATGATCTGCAATATATGCACATTCAACTGTTGAGCGTGGGGGTTTGAGCACACTTCCATAGTACAGGAGCTCTACAATTCCTATGAACCCTGTTAAGATAAATTGTCCACATGCGTCCCTTGAGCTGCAAGATCCCTTGTAGGATTCAACTTTGCCCGCATGTTCATTGAAATGATTAATCACAACTCATCTCATCCGCCTAGTGAGAGATATCTCTTGTAACAGGTTTAAGATGTGGGTATAGTGAATTGTCTTTAACATGTAAATTACCCTCTTTCGTTACATGGTATTGCCATCTTTGGAACTGCTCCAAGCCCTGTCAAACTCTTGCCAACCACCAGGCGGTGCGTCCCACATGGCCAACTCACGAACCACAGTCTCATAGCATCCATCGCTGGGCATATTACCCTGACACACGTTTCCTCCAACGGCGATGTTGATGAGAATTCTGAACTCACTCATCTTCCTCGTGCCAGGCGGCTTCTCTGCCCGCATGATAGGCATACCATCAATCAACCAGACCAAGCGGCCCCTGCCTGTCGTTTCGTCTTCGTCCCAAATAAAATCGTATTTCACACCCGCCGGCGAGCTAATGTTGGGGATTGGAGTTTCGAGAACGCGATGCTTGTTCCAGTCCTCGCCGTTAAAGTGGCCCCAGTGCAGACAAGTGTGGTTGATAGCATCGCCGTTCCACGCCTCCATTATGTCGATTTCGCCATCCTCGGGCCACTTGAAGGGATCTTTAGGCAGCAGCCAAAAGGCTGGCCAGATACCTCGGGCGACCGGCGCCGTAATTCTGGCCGACAGGCAGCCCCGTGGTCGGCTGAGTGTCTGATGACTCGACAGCCTGGCGCTGGTGAACTTTTGGGCATGGTCGGGGTGTCCGTGGTTGATCAGAGCGCGCAGGACCACCGCATCACCCTGGGCGGAATGGAGTGAGTTTTGCGGGCTGTTGATATAATTCTGCGCTTCATTGTTGCCCCATCCATGTTGACCCTGTTCATGGTAAAAGTTGGAGGAGACGGGTGCTTCGGGATTTAGATTGGGCTGCCAGTAGATTTGGGGTTGCCAGTGCTGTTCCTGATAAGCTAGTGGGGGTTTGCTGGAGGTTGGAACAGGCGGAGGATTGTTAGACGATGGTGCCGGCTGAGAATCGGGATGGATCAATTCATCCCAGGCCTTATCTGCCTTGTCGATGATTCCCTGAAGCGCCTGTCTGAATGGCATTTTGAGTACGGGGGTATGGAGGTTAAGGTTGGGCAAGTAGCGAATCTTAAGACGCGGAGAACGCAGGGAAGCTGACGTCATACCGTCAATCTCCCGAAGGCGTCGAGTTTCTCATAGTCCTTGCGTCCCCCCTTGCACACCCTTTTGACATTGTACTCCAGGAAAGACTACTATTTCGTTGAGACTAGATGAGTCTAATCAATGGAAACATTACAACATACCTCCAGACTCAGATCGTATAAATTGTAGGCTACTTGCATCTATCACATGGCCACTAACGTTATATTAGAACAGTCGGAGTTTGCAGAACTCGAATGGAATTCATTGGAAAGTACTATTCACCAGGTATGTAGAGCATCTCTACGCCCCGGCAGTAGTAACAATCCAGCTCGCTACCGACATACTGTAGTTGTTAATTGCTCGCGCCTGGTATGCCTCAGGCAGCAGACATATGCAAACGCTACAAACATCCAGGAACGCAACAAAATTTGGCATTGATCGCAAACTTTCAAGACCTTCAATTCCTAATATATGGCCTTTCTAGTGTGCTAAAACTTAATCCAGACACATCATTACACATTTGCTTTTTCGACATAATCAATACACTTTCCGAAAAGTGCATTCCGCATACACTATCTCCAAATATGGCTGAAGCATGCCATGACCATCCCCCACCTGCAACAGAACTCTCCAACGCAGAGCGCTTCAAAGCTACACACCTCGCCGCGCGCCATGGCAACTACCACCAATATTACTCCAAGTTCCGGGCACCCACCGTCCCGGACGAGCGCCTTTCCATTCTCCCACCAGATATCCTACGCAACGCGCGAGTCATAGACCTAGGCTGCAATGCCGGAAAGTTGACACATGAGGCGATAGCACACTGCGGCGCAGCGTCTGCAGTTGGCGTCGATATTGACCCTTGGTTGGTCGACCAAGCGAAGGCAACGTACCCGGATGGGCCATGCACATTTGAGCACTTTGACTTCGTGGATGCATCCGCGTACATGGGTACTGCGCTGGGCAAGTTTGACGTTGTACTACTGCTCTCAGTGACCAAGTGGATTCATCTCAATAACGGGGACTCCGGGATGTTGACGCTATTTGCGCACATACACAGCATCTTGAATGAGGGGGGTTACCTTGTTGTGGAGCCGCAGCCCATGAGCAATTATGCAAGAGCTTCGAAAAAGAATAAAGAATTGAGAGAGATGTATAAGACGATTCAGATGAGGCCGCCCTTTGACGATGAGTTGAAAGCGCTGGGATTTGAGAGGATAGTGAAATTTGAGAGGGACGAGGAGGGATTTGCTAGACCTGTACATGTTTGGAAAAAGAGTGTCATAAAATGATGAATGAACATGGCTTCAGATATGTCGGGCGAAGGGACTTGCATGCAACTGACGTAGACTTGCTAGTTGGTTGGTAAAAAGCTGACAGACGAAGCATATCTGAAACACTGTCGACTGGAGAACATGATGGGCTGGGGTTTGTTGATAAGAGTTTTAGAGTAACGTGGTCCTTGATCTTGGATCTACTCGGTTTGTACAGAATACAGGAGTCCTCAAGTCTTGCACGTACTTGTCCTATGCCGCTTCTCCCGCTTTGTCGGAGTTGTTGATTTCATATTTGATCAGCCAAAAACAGCAAGTTACTTGTTGATCTAGTGTACTGCAAGTCTTATTTTGTACAGGGCAGTCAGTAGACTGGAGAATATACAGTGATGGGCCCACTTGGAATTTACATCTCCTATGGTCTCAAGGGTTCTGAAAGAGAAGAGGACAATGAGTACACAGGATGCATAGAAAGTAAAGAGAAAAAAAGATAACCTGGTCATGAGTAGACCAACAGTCATCTCATTGTCGCTAAATCCGCCCGTTTTCAGCCCGAAGGCTGGGTTAAACTGCTTTCAAATGCTTTCATTGCTCCTTTTTCCATGATAGTCTGCAGAATCCAAGACCCATCACAAGTCTTGCCAACAATAAACAATCCCGTGAAATTGAACGGTGATCCATTCCCCATGAGCATGTTAGGTATAATGCAGGAAGCCCTTCCTCTATTTCGTATTTCTTGGGAGCCATTGACGGGTGTTGCAAGTGCGCCAGAGAAGTCCATTTCAAAATATTGTGCTTTGTACCAATTTGAGCAAAAGACAGTCTGCATGAATGCATTACCGACAAGTGGATAGTTTCCGCTTTTGTGGATATGCGTCGCAGTAGCTTCAACATGGTCTGAGCATCGCTGAATTGAAATGGACTTGCGGATCTCGTTTGCCAGGTAGGTCACACCTCGTTGAATCGTTGGACCAACACCAGCAACTGTGTACAACGGAACAACAGCGTTGCCAATGAAGGAAACAGGGCCAGGACCGAAGTAATCCGTCAAGATCGTTCGAACGTCCATTGTACTAATGATGCTGACGACTTGCTTGGCAGAAGCCTTATGCGCCAGAAGCGTCATCTTCGTCCACCACGCCAAAACTATATCCCCATGACTCAAGAAAGGGGCACCTTGCTCAGCCTGATCGGCTTTAGTCATGCTCATCGCAAGCTCCTCCATGGCTTGCTCCCTAATTTGATCGAAGTAGGCTTCTGGAACAACTAATATCCGTTGGTCGCACGGATGAAAGAGTTGCCCGTATACATACCTTATACCAAATACAACCGCACCAATGACAGAAAGAGTTTGCTTCTTATAGCAAAGGTCTGTTGGCGGCGCGTTATCACCCAAAGATGCGAGCGGATCTGTGCTGAATCCTTGGAAAACGGGCACCTCATCCTCTCGGCCTCGAAGGACAGCAGTCCAGCCCTTGAGAATTGTTCCAAAGCCCTGTGCATCTGTCAAAACATGCGGATACGACACCGAAACCAAAGTCTTGTCTTCAAAAGTGACCACATGCACCGAAACGAGCGGAATATCCGAGTACAGCCAGTCGTCTAGCTTTCGGCCCATGTGGGTAGAAGTAACTAGAGGGAGACAGTCCCGGGAGGAGTCGCTGGCAAGTGATGGAGTTCTATGTGACTCTGGAAGATGAGGAGATAGAGGATGTTCACTCAATTTCATCTGATGATTGAAACTGGAAAACAGGACCCCGGGACGTTCTTCGTCAAAGTGGGACGGTACATGATACTCTAGGTTACCTGAAGCCTGTAGATCTGCCACATTAGCAGCTTCAGAGGTATAGGAAATATTGAAACTCCCACATTCTTTCTCAAGCGGGCTCCAAGCTTTCTCCATTCGCTAATAGTGACGAGACGGGCGAAGGCCCACTTTAATCTCTCGGGGTCCAAGACGGCTTCGAATCGAAATGTGAGAATTGGTACAGTATGGGTTGAATCACTCATAAAGTCCCAGCGATGTACTGGTAGAATGGTGTCCGTGGGAATCGTGGCAGGCTGTTTCCTGAAATTGAAAATTGAAAGAAGACCCATGACGGTGCTGGGCGTCAGTTATGACGAACGATATCAGGCTAATCGGTAAAGCTGGTGCAAGGACTGAGAACTGCGATAGTGACTTTTGCCCGTTGTTGCGATATCTTTACAATTTAAATATGTAACCTGAGCTTCGAAAATCATTCATCAATCACCCTAGGTCGCAAGGGCGTGCAGATGAAGTGCTGGGTGCTCAGGGTCGCTAACCTCACAGTCATAAGTTATAGATAGCATCAAGACCCCTTGCGTCCCCTCCGTAGGCACCCCTGACGAATTAAACTGAAACCCCCTCCCCCCAAATATTATGTTTGGTTAACATCACAAATTTCTAAAGCTGCTCCAGGCACAAGGAAATGCGACAAAATTGTCAATTGAAGAGCTCACAGCAAGGACTACGGATATGAGCTTGATTCCATCAGGCCAACAAAGTGTGAAGACCCTCTAATGAATTGTTGATAGCTCTCATGTTTGGATGGACCTGAAATTCAGCTTGGCATTCTACTATTGGTCAGAATTCCGTTGGTTGCTATTGGGGGCAAGAAACAAACATGATTTACTGTACAGTACTGTAGAGGGCAAATATGTGGTTAATCCTGCCACATTCACACACGTACCAGGACCCTCCCAGCGTGATCTACGTTATGCAAGGATGGCATTAGAGCATACTGCATTCTTTATTGGACAATAGCTTACTAAAGTCGCAGGAGGAAGAGTCTGTACACCTGGCGTGGTTTCCTCTGACCCTGGACACCAACACAGCACAACCAATATGCATAAGCTGGAGATAGTGATCTTCTTGGTCAATGGTAAATGCAAGAGGAAATAGCAGTCTGGAATTTGTGGCGCTCTTGAGCGCATTCCATCATCCATTTTATATCTAATGCCATTGAGTCAAAGTAATCTAGCGCCTCGTGATCAGCAGCTGGTGCAGCAGATTAATTAACTTTCATGTAGTTCGTACTGCAAGAGATATGACGAAAAGACAAGTCATTCAAGTACCAAAGTGACAAACCCATCGCTCGCGCCTTGCTTGCAGTCTCCAGACCACAGCATGCCAATGCACTACATGCACAGAGAGCTGCCTATCAAGGTATCATTCAACTTTTGTGCAGGATACGTAATCGCTTTCGTAGACCGCCCTTTAGCCAAAAATTCCTTGGCATTCGAATTGTCTGCATATGAAAAATCCAGGGGCAGAGACATAATGTAATCCATGTTCATATCTCTAAATCGGCAGCTGTGAATCTCAAAATAAATTCTTTTGACCACTAGCGTGAACAAAAAGCATCAACATAACCATGTTACAAGTCATTGCATCAGTCCTCTTTCTCTGGCTTTCATGGCATGCTTTCCAATACCGCTCCAAAAAACCACTTCCCCCGGGCCCCAAACCACTACCATTGATCGGCAATATACACCAATTCCCTACGGATAACCTCTGGCGTCAATACAAGAAGTGGCACAAAAAGTATGGCCCGCTCATCACGCTGAAAATGGGCCCCCAGACCCTAATCAGCGTTGGGTCGCATGATATAGCCCGCAATCTTTTAAGTAAGAAACAAGCTATCTACAACTCTCGACCTCGCGCGGTATATATGGGCGAATGTGTTTTTAAGGGCCTGAACACCGGTCTAATGCCATATGGTCCCCAATGGAAAAATCACAACCGAATCCAGACCAAATTCCTCCGTTCGGCCTGGGTCAGTCAATACTACCCGATTCAAGACCTTGAGACAAAGCATGTCCTCCACGAGCTTCTCACAAACTCAGATATAAAGAGCATCTTCCAGAGATTTGCCTGCAGTATCAACTCGACACTAGCATTCGGTAAGAGAGTGGAAGCTCAATGTCAGGTTATGCAAGATATGTCCCGTATCAATAAGCACTTCAACGATATGGCAGAAACTCCATTGGGAATGCTAGTTGAGTTCTTTCCTATTCTAAACCATCTTCCTTTTCCAATTGCTCCATGGAAATGGAAGGCCGAACAGGTCAGCCGAGAAGTCTTCGACCTATACTTAGCCAATCTATCAATTGGCAAGGCTAGCTCGACCTGGAATTGGACCCGTGAAGCGCTAGAGATGGAGGAGGCGCAGGGAATGTCTGAGGTTGAACTAGCTAATATCATGGGATTTATCTTCGATGCTGGTAGTGAGCCTATTACTGGGACCTTACGTATGTTCGTTATGACAGCTGCGGCTAATCCTGCGGCGATGGCAAAGGCTCAGGATGAGTTAGATCAGGTGGTGGGGTCTGATCGTCTACCAACTCACAATGATCTTGCACGGCTACCATACACGCACGCGGTGGTCATGGAAACCCTGCGGTGGCGGCCGCTTATCCCTGCCGGCTTTCCACACGCAACTCTCGCGGATGATGAATTCATGGGATACCGTATCCCTTGCAACGCAACTATCATTCTGAACAACTGGTCCTTGGATCTTGATGAGACGTTATACGAAAACCCTCTCGAATTCTGCCCTGAACGCTGGCTAGAAAACCCAGACCTTCCTCTTGCCTCTTTCGGGTTTAGTCGGCGTAAGTGTCCCGGTCAGGCATTGGCACGGGATATAGTATCTCTCACCATCAGTCGCATTCTATGGGGATACAACATCGCACCACCGTTGAAGAATGGACAGAGAGCAGAGGTGGACACATTCAACCTTGAGCAAGGCTTCAGCGGACCCCCAGTACCGTTTGAAGTGGATTTTGCTCCGCGCAGTGACAAACATCGGCGAATCATCGAGAAGGAATGGAATACTGCTGAAAAAGACCCCGACGTGCTCATGGCCGAGATCGCCTCGCAGATTAAGCCTATCAAAAAGGCATGATTTCGATAATCTTGCATCGGAGAGCGGGATGGGTAAGCCTGCTCTCGTGAATAGAAGCAGGCTTAGAGATATGTATAGTCCAAATGTGACTTCATTGTTGATAAGGCGAGCTTGGAATGATGATTGCTCCGTGTTTCTTAACAACTAGTGGTAGACTTGAGGGCCAAAGAACAGAACAGAACTTTCTCCATAGGCAGTCCTTTGGCAAGAAAAGAATTAGCGTTACAAATAGACAAATAATGACCATACTCAGTTCAGTGAAATTCATTTGGCCGAGCTTACGTTTATCAGCCGTCGTAACGATTTGACTGGCGTATCGTCGACCAAATCCCTTACTCTCGTTTATACGAGAATTGAATGCTTTGATCTTGAGTATCCTATTGGCTCTTTTTCAAGATTTGTAGATCATCGAGACCTGCATAGTCATCGTCCACCTAATTCCACAAGGCATTCTTGTTATAATTTGAGTTGACTAGGAAATATGGTGTCCTTATACATTTCAAGATTACTGTTGAGAATATCTCAAATAAATGTCACATTTCAGTTAACACTGGTTCAATTGGTCATTCCTAACACTAGCTGATACACTAATCTTTCTTAAGCCCCAATCGGAAATTCTCTCTCGAACCATTCTCGAACAGTCATCAAAGTTTGACGACCCTTCCCACCCTTCGACTGGTACACGGAATTTTTAAGCTGAGCAGCAGAGTGGTTTTCTGTTGGCCCATTTCCGTAATACTCCCCATCTCTTAACTGAGTATAGACGAACATACTGGCAGGACCCTCCATCAAGTCTCCTCCCATTTCCGCGGGGCTTTGGAATGCGGTAAATCGGGCCTTCTTTTCAGTCACTATATCATTATCAAAGAGTATTATCAAACTGTCCAGGTCAAGAATGAATTCAAACTGAGGCTTTTGAAACCTACCTTGTGAGAATATCCTAACCAAGTCCTCAAAGGGCATTGGATCCGCAACAGCCTGAACGAGACGAAGGTTCCATCTTAAAGGATTCAGGAAGATCCCGTGAACAAGGTCTCCATAGTCATCTTTCATACTAATCCATGGCACCTGTTCTTTCCCACCCCAATATGGGAGTCGGAGTGTTAAGTAGCCATCATCGTCTTTTTTAGTGGGAAAACCACCATGGAATTCCTCCAGTTCGGGAGACATGAAGTTCTCAAGATACCACCCGGCTGAGATTGGTGTAAATGTCTCGAAATGAAGATTGTCGAGTGCCCACTTCTCGGCTCTAGCTTTCACTAACGTTCACGGAGTTCAAGATCAGAAACGCTTTGTCGAGACCAGAGAACAACATACCACTCATGGCACTGAGAGTTACCCGGCCCCCGGTTAATTGATCGGTATTCGGATCAGAGCTGAAGACAACATGTTTGACATTGGCGGCCGCTGCACTCGATAAAATCGTCTTGCCCAAGTTCTCGGAAACCTCTGGCTCCATACCCTATGAATTGAAATTAGTCAATAGCGATGGTGCTGAAAATTGTGCCACCAACAAAAACAGTGTAGTTGATATAGACACCCCAGCACCCAGAAAGGGTAACTTCTAGGTCTTTATGGCTGGTCGTATCGGCTTGGGTGATTTTGGCACCAAGTGCCTTGAGTTCTTTCGCCTTGGACGTCGAGATATCACGAGTAATACATAGCACTTGAAAATCGGTATTTTGGAGCAAAGAGCGTGCTACCGAGCCGCCCTGGGTACCTATGTAATGTCAACGATTTGTGTATCTAGACTTTGCACTAGCTGGAGTTACCAGTAGCTCCAATCACAGCAACGGTTCTTGTTGCCTCGGCCATCCTTGATGGTGATATTATCTTGGCTCTTAGGGGCATCAAATTATCTCTTGTTGGGGATATTTGCTTATCAAACAACTTGGGCATGTATCTCTTGAGCAGAATGGCCCTATTTCTAAATCAGAATCTGCATGTAAAACCACGAAATTTTGAACTGGCGGTGAATAGGATATTACCTGTATACTCGATTTTACTGCATAAGTAGGTGCATTGCCGTGCATAGCATCGGGCAAGGCAAGGGATATGCATATACAGGTACAGCCACGTATTTAGCGCACCCGTTCCTTCAGTTGAGGAGCCCATTGAAAGGTCCTACAGGTGATGCTCGATTATTAGGGTGTCGCATTTAGGATTCGTCTGTTTCTTTCTTCTACCGTACCACATTGTCCATTCCGCTTCTCTTTCTTGTTTATTCTGACTGTATTTCCTCACCCAAGCCATCAAAATGGGCTCGATAAATCAGGAAGCAACCAGGAACTTCTATTCCTCTCCCTACCTAGCCGAGCACTATGATCTCCTCTGTGCCAACGAAGGAGCATTCTATAAAGACATCGATGTCTTTTGGACCGAACTCAACCGAGTTCGAGAATTGAAGCGCACGAAAGGAGAGGACCCCGATCAGCTCGTGGTAGTTGACGTGGGCACCGGAACTGGCCGTGCGTTGGATGGACTCGTGAAGTGTGCAAAAGAGAACGAGGTTGATCTATCGCGTTGCAAATTTGTTGGTTTTGATCTGTCCCAGGATATGGTTGATCGAGCCGCTAAAACGCGAAACATGTCTGCGGTCGGCACCACCATTTGGCACTGCGCCTCTGCAGTGGATCTTGACCGAGTCATGGCCGCCTACAACATTGAACAGCGTGTGGATTTGATTTTGTTTGCGGATGGGGGGTTCTTGCATCTGGAGGAGCAAGAGGAGGCACAGAAGTTCTTGCAGTGTTTGCAAAAGGTGGCGCTCCAACCAGGGACTGGTAGAGCGTGCATCTCTATTACAAACCAGAACTCAGTTCAAGATGGCAAAGACTTGAACTTTATTGACTCCTCTGGCGCGGTGCAGGAGTACAAGAGCGTGGAGTATCCGGGTCTACTTTATCGAAACTCTTTTGTGAGCTCCACTAAGCAAGGCGCGTCGCAAATCATGACCTCTCGATTTGAGGTTCTACGTACTAAAGAAAATGGTGACCACGAGCTCATTGAAACTCATCTCTCAGAATTGAGAGGACGAGCCTGGAAGGATTCAGAAGTGGCCGACTTGATCGCAGGAACCGAGGGTCTTGAGACCAGGGATGTCATTCAACCTGACTCTTTACAAACCTTCTTTATTGTCAGTCGGGAAGCCTGACCCAATGATGTGAATATCTCAACTTTCCTTACGATTTCTGAACAATAAATATTGTCTTTTTCGCAATAGCTGCCCTACGGTAGGGTATACTCCACGGAGGGTTTGGCAACTTTGATATAAAATAACATGTTGACGCATTCCACAAGCAAGTCCAAAATGGGCTCACCAATCGATAAATTTAACAATAATCACTCAATATTAGATTATCCAACCTCCAATTACGACTGAGAAGGATAGTGCCATCAAACCGCTTGAATCTTCAATATTTGATACTTCAAAGTAGATTTAATTTGTATTATACATGATTACGATAAAAATCAAAAATTAAAAATTACGTACAATGCCGCCACAGAATTAGACGCATGAAGTTGTGAGGGAGGGGGTTGGAGTCGCTTTTTAGCGCTGGACGAACTCTTTATATAAGTTAACACCTGGCGCTTTCGATGTACGCTGTTTACACAAGTAAGATGTGCGAAGAAGGGCATACCGGCCAATGTCCCAATGGACTTTTTGGCCTAGAAAATGCCTTATCGGTGCCTCATTTGAAACATGCAGAACTTAAAATACCTGGATTACAATGGCAGGTGTTATATTAAGCCAAGTACCTAAAGTGCCTAAGTTCAATAAAATGAAGTCATTCCTACATTATGCACCCTCCGGACCTAGCGATAAATGTATTTTGTTCTCTCCTCCACTCGTCACATTTACTACTACCTTCGTCACGGCTTTATATTTACCGTAAGGTAAACCTCCGTCCTCCGTCCTTCGTCTAGTCTTAACACTATTGCCGAGTCTAAAGCCGTTGGTGTTGTAGCCGCTCACCGCTTATTCTATAAAGCTAAAGCCGTAACAATTTTGATCCGTATTTACTTAGGCAAAAATGCCTGATTCAAGTAAACATTCATAGATCCATGGATGGATAGCTCTATTTACAATACACTGTATAGAGCGGTCAAAAAGCGGTCTACAATCAACCATCATTCAGGCATTAACTAGGCCAAAAAGTCCATTGGGACATTGGCCGCTATGCTCCTTCGCAAAGATGTGTAGAATGGCGGTATGACTTGAGGAGTTGACTTGTGGCCATATTACAGTACACTGCAGCTGCGCGCAGATAGTAGATCAATCTCCCATACTATTTAGGCTGCGACATATTAATTAAAATTTGATTGATTGATTGATTGATTGATTGATTGGATCAACATCTTGTTGTGCATACTGAGTCAGGGATCGACTATTACACTGTTCCGACTTGCAGATTACCTATGACCATGGACTGGCATAGGGTGGCCTGGAAGGAACTTCCTTGCTTCCTTGTCTCTAGATGAACGGTGACCGATTCCATTTATATCTTGGCCCGTCTTGCATATTTACCATACCACCTTTTCCTTCGCTGTAATTTGCAACCAGGGATCACGATGACCGTCACCAACGATTCGATCTCCACTGAACATGGAAAAAATATCGACAATAATGCGCTTCCTGAAGTTGATGTTGAGGTGAATGTCGCATTTGGCGATCTTATCAAGGATATTATCCGTGGAATGGAACAAACAGGAGTATGCATTGTACGAAATATGTACTCTGCGGCAACTGTCAACGCGGTTGCTAAAGAACTGGCTCCTTATATTTCCAGCTCAGGAGATTACTATGGTATATTTGTTCTTAAGTCAGATCTTTAAATCTCAGCTAATTCATGAATGATCAAGGTGACTCGGGTGGCACCGCGTTTGTGTCGGCGCTTCTCACAAAATCAGAAACATTTGCTACAAAAATACTTGCGCACAAAATTTTCCATGAAATCAATGACCATTTTCTTACTACAAGATTTGGACACTGCCCAGTGAGTGCCTTTCTTTCTTCCAACTGCGTTCCGTTGAAGTTCTAAAATCTGGAATAATAGGTCAGCACGGGGGTGAAGGTCGCTTATAACTGCGAGCCCCAGATTGACTGCACCCTGGGCTTCTATATCCCACCTGGTGGAAAGGCACAACTGTTACACCGAGATGATGCAGATCATTTGAACTTTCAGCCATCTGCGGATAAATATGAGCTAGGAAGAGATACCGGGCTAGTCATGATGACAGCACTTACGAAGACCACTCGTGAGAATGGGGCGACCCGTGTTTTGCCAGGCAGTCATCTCTGGGACTATGCTCTTCCCTTTCCCGAACAGTATGACAATCGCATGGTTGATGCCGAACTCAATCCCGGAGATTCCTTCTTCACGCTGACCAGTGTGATCCATGGTGGTGGTAACAACACAACATCCGAGGGACGTTTCGTCACATCCTGTTTTGTCACCAGAGCCCATTGCAGACAACTAGAGAACCAATTTTTGAGTTATGATGTTGAGAAGGTTCGGCAGCTTCCTGTCTGGCTCCAACGGTTTATGGGATATACAACTGCCAAGCCCTTCTGTGGCTGGGTTGATAAGAAAGATCCACTTCGAGTGATCAATCCGGATGCTGAAAACTTTCGTGACGGATGGCCAGAGTCAGAAGACTAGGAAGACCACATCGGTAACCTCTGCAAGTTATCAAATTGGAATCAACAGATGAAACTCATCGGACATGATGTAGGTTCCGGCTCGCGAAATTTTCAGTCACTGGGACAGTGTCGTGTATTGACCTTCTTGAAATTCGATTAAATAGTTTCTGGATTAAAGCTTGATCTTATGGACTACAACCTCTGTTCTTCTTGTGTAATAAGTTATGGCCTGATTACCAGGAATGAAGCACATAGTGAGATGGCAGGTAGAAGGACTCTCAAAAGTCGATGGTGAATACTTGTCGTGTTTGCACTTATGCCATTACAAGTTTTGGTAGCTTTGCTTTCTTGACCTTCGATCATCCCTTCCCCTCTTCAGATTTCGTATTCTCGGTTACATATACCCAAATTATCAAGGACCTCTTCCCTGATAGCTAACCTGATAGCCATGACACTGAGATGGTGAAATTGAAGCCTCATTTTCAAAATTTTTAAGTCATGGCCACGATCCGGAGCTTGGGGACAAGTCAATACTGAAGCTCAGATCAAAATGTTGATGCGCTTCTTTTACCTCCAACTTATACCTACACTATTCTACCTCATCCTCGGCGTATCATCTGCCATGAGAAATACTGAACCCAGATATGGAATGCAGATAAGTACTATCGTCGGTACCTATCCTCAGGAAGACAACTGCTCCTAGCACAGGGTGATGTTTGGCTACGATGATAGACTATAATATGAAACCTTCCGGATTATGATAAGTTCTGTGTCTGCTCGACACTTTCGCAATTGTCTTCGGTTTCTCCTGGTATTTGAAACTTGAATGATGGCCATCAAGGGTCAAACAAGTTGACAAACTAATGAAAGATAACTTCTACGACTCGTTCCTTCAAAGTGGTCTCTATATCAATACCCTCTGATAATTGCAATAAAAATCTCAAAATCGAATTTCGAGCGGAGCTTGATTTATATAGAGGTCAAAGAGGGAGGCCCAAAGAAGATAAAATCATCATCAGTCGACATTTATTGGTGCCAAAGGGAACGAAAAAGGCTCTCGCTCCTGCCGCAAACTGTCAATATGTCTTGTTTGCTGATTTAGGCTTTACAAGGGATAGAATTCTCTTGGACGCCCGGCTTTTTGTCATTCAAAACCTGCCAGGGGTCCTTCCAATGAGCTGTACCTCCGGCAGGATCAAACGTGCTGTAGCCGATGAACCTTTGAATGGATTCAGGGAGTCGGCGTACGAAATCCTGACTATGAGAAAGATACTGGTTCTCCTCTTGCCGTAGATAGTCACAGCAAGCACCACATCCAAGGACCATTCGATTTTCATCAGTGGTGGTATTCGCACCATGCCCGTGGATCACACTTCCTAGGATGATAAGAGAGTCACCCGGATTGAGCTCAGTATCCACAACACCGTCATTGTCCACAGGAGGTGGCCGGCTGTAGTCCCACAAATGGCTTCCAGGAACAACACGTGTCCCCCCATTAGCTCGAGTGGTCTTTGTACAAGCTGTAAGAGAGGTAAGGCACAAATCACGTCCCACATCATATTTCTCTGCTTCTTTGCTCCAGTGGCGATGAGCCGAGTCATCCCGATGGAGCATCTGCGCTTTCGCGCCTGGGGCTAATCCCAAGCCGGCAGACGATCCGAGCTGTGCAGCGCAATAACTCGTGTATTGTTCCTCTCCAGCCTAGTAACATGTCAGAAATGGTCTTAATGTCTCCTTCACTGGATACTGATCAGTACATACCCAGTATGGTCCGTATTGATGTTTCAAAAAATGGTCCAACACTTTCTGCCACACGGTATTTCCAACCACCTTAAGTGCGAAGGTCTCAGACCTACCTACCAAGCCACTCACAGCAGTCACTTCTTTTGCAAAGACTTATGTATTATGTGTTAGCAGGTCCTCATATCACAAACCAGGGAATGTGGCATTAGCATTCTTACATTCGCATTCTGAAGGTGCTTTGACGAAGGGATCCATATCTTCCAAGATTTGGTTGATGCTCTCTATGTCAATGAGATTTCTCACAATGCATGCTCCGGACTCTTCCAAGTTTTTGATGATATCGTTGACCAGGGACTTTTCTGAAGTATAAGATTTCGTATCCACATCCCACGACAATGATCCCATGCCCCGCGCTTCGCCACTGTTTGGGTCGTCATTGGAGGGCATAGTGATGGCAATATCTTCTCGGCGATAACCCGGACTATTGTTTGATTGGAGTGTCTTTAATAGATTGTCATGAATAGCAGGTGTTGGTTTTGTGGTTGATTTCTAGGTACTCAACCCGCGCAACATCGGGTATTTATGAAACCCCACTGTACCGGAATGGATAGATCATTCACAATGTAAACTGTCGGTGAGCGTCAGTTTATGCACAGTCTGCGTATCAGCATCGAAAAAGCATTTTCCCATTTTTCAGCTTGACATTTCGTCACATAGTGCAGAGATCGCACAGTGTATACTGAATATAATTTACTCCAATGTATCATGATCGACATTAAGTTAGTCAACGATAAAACGAAGCTTTCAGGAACCCGAAGATAATAACAAACCGTCTATCTACAATATGAGCTAAGAACTTCAATTAGTACATATTCTACAAGAGTGGCAGATCGGCAAAAGAATAAATGAGAAAATAGAGTCTGAATTTCGCAATCAACGAGGCTACCATGTAAGCATATCTACGGAGTAGGATGAAATAAGTTAGAAGACAATAATATATCACTCTGCACAGAGCGCATCATCAGCTTGTTCCCCTCACGTTATGCAGTTGTCAAAAAAGCAATTTACATGGTCACCGCTACTCCATTGTTTTACCGCTTTTCTGAGGACGTGGTAACTCTTTTGCTGTACCTAGGAAGGGGTTTTGTTTGATACCCAGAATATAGTATCAGTCAGATTAAAGAATATCCATAAGTCATTCTTTATCTGCGAGTTCCGAATTGAGGCAAACTTCATCCATTCCATGTTTAGTTCCAAGGTATCTCCTTCTTTCTTTGTTAGCATTGTAACCAACCTTGGACACTCTCGAGAAAGGCCATTATAGATCACACCTCGTGATGACTATCGAAGATTTGCTGTCCTCTGTTGGCACAGAAGCACTTCAAAAGCAAGATTTTCAACAACTGAACAAGTGGAATGCAGCTGTTCCCTCGGTGTCAACCAATTGCGTCCATGATCTTATTCGAAAACAAAATGATGCCAGCCCTGATGAGCCAGCTGTGTGCTCCTGGGATGGGAACTTCACATACCGAGAACTGGACGAAAGTTCTACGAAACTGGCACGCCTGATAATGGATCATGGTGTGACCCCTCGAACATTTGTTCCCATATGCATGGAGAAGTCATGTTGGACGGTGGTAGCCATTCTCGCCATACTAAAGGCAGGAGCTGCCTTCTCTCTTCTCGACCCAAGTCATCCACAAGAGCGTTTGAAGGCCATAACTCAGGACCTTGGGGCGACTGTTGTACTCACAGATGCATGCTCCTATTCTTTGGTCGATTCGATGGCCAAAAATGTCTTGATTGTCGAGAACATCGTTCAATGTGTTTTCGCAGGGGAAGAAGATCATTTGCTTCCCATTGTTGTTGAGCCACATGATCCACTATATGTTGTTTTCACGTCTGGCTCCACCGGGTCTCCCAAAGGTGTTCTTGTTTCTCATTCCGCCTACGCCACAAGTGCGGCGGGCCTGAAGATGCCACTGATGCTTTGCACACAGTCAAGGGTACTTCAATTCGCATCCTATGCATTTGATGTCAGTGTATCAGATCATCTCTTGACCCTCCTGGCCGGAGGTTGTATTTGTATCCCCTCCGAGGAGGAGCGAAAGAATTGCCTCGCTAGTGTTATCACAAGACTCCGCGTGAATTGGACCTTCCTCACTCCATCTATGGCGCGTTTTATGGACCCCATTGACATCCCTTGCCTAAATTACCTGGTACTGGGTGGCGAGCCCGTCATACAGAGCGATATCGACAAATGGTCTCCTTACGTCCAAGTTATAGGGCTTTACGGACCAGCAGAAGTTGCCGCTGGCACGACAGTGAACTCCAATCTCAAAAGCTCGAACAGGCCCACCAATATTGGAAATTCCCCCGCTGTAATATCCTGGGTCGTCAACCAGGAAAATCGAAATGAGCTTGTCCCCATCGGTACCCCGGGAGAATTGCTCATTGAAGGATGGGCCCTTAGTCAAGGATACATCAACAAGCCCGATCTGACGGAATCTGTGTTTATATCTCCTCCTGTGTGGCTCGGAAGTCAACGTCGGAATGTTCCCGGCAAAAAGATGTACATGACTGGTGATTTGGTACGCTACCAAAGCGATGGATCGTTGGAGTATCTGGGTCGGAAGGACAGCCAGGTTAAGCTTCGGGGCCAGCGAATTGAGTTGGAGGAAATAGAGTTTTCCGCTCGCCAATACTTCCATGGGAGTTGCACTATCATCGCTGACGTAGTATGCGATCAGCTGGGTGCATTTTTGCACTTTCCGATACCGGCTGAGACAAATTCGAACTCATTAGGAAGGACGAGAGGACTAAAGTTCTCTTCACCCTCGCCAGAGCTGCTTGGTGAGATTGAAGGTCTAGCGTCATATTTAAAAGACAAGCTACCCTCATTCATGAATCCGGAATTCTATGTCTGCATCTCCAATATTCCCCTGACTCCAACTGGAAAAACCAATCGTCGATTAATCAGGGAGCGAGCTTCAGCCTTGTCTGCAGAGGAGTGGAGGTCTCTTCGTTGCTACAATCAGCGAAAGGCCACAGGACTTCCATTGACCTCAAAGGAAGAAACCATGCAACGACTGTGGGTCAAGACATTACGCATCCCTGTGGAGACTATTAGCCGCAGTGACGACTGGTTTAACATTGGAGGAACTTCGCTCTCGGCCATGCAGCTGGTCAATGAAGCTAGGAAAGAGAGGTTGGAAATAACTGTGAAAGACGTTTTTCAGCACCGCACACTAAGACAATTGGCATTTCACTCAAAAAGCTTGACGTCAGTCGCAGAACAGTACGTTGCTTTCCAGTGGCTTGGAGAAGGTGATCAGGAACGCCAGCACCTATCGCGTACGGTAATGGACAACTATCAGGATACTGTGATCGAGGACATTTATCCGGCGGATGATGTGTTTCAAGCTTGTCAAGACATCAGTGCAACAATCGGTTACAATCTCACGGCCCGAGTAGACACCAAGGTGAGTTCGCACTTGGACCGCAACAGGCTTTCTCAAGCCTGGGGGGTAGTGGTGCAAACAAACCCTGTCCTTCGTTCTCAATTCCTGTCCCTGGCCGACAAAGGATACCAGGTGATTTTGAAAGATGGCCCACCGCTTGAAATCGTGTCAATGCTCCCGACAAGCGATATAGAAAATATTTGGGGTTTGAAGAAATTCCTGGTCCGGATGGTGTTGGACAAAGACAATCTACTATCCTTGTTTATACATCACACACTCTATGATGAGTTTGGTCTGGTGACCATATATCAACAATTGGAGAGAGCCTACCACTCTGAGGCTCTGCAACCATATAGTTATGGGTCATATCTAAGTTGGCTCTCAAATGTCGACCAAGACAATGAGAATTTTTGGAAGAACAGTTTTGCAGGCTATCACGCAATCAAACTGCCCACCACTCCTCTTGAAAACCAAGAATTGCTAGCGCGTTCACAGCTTGCACCATTCTTCATTCCACTGCGCAAAAGCTCGAGTCCATTCACTGTGGACAACAAAGCAACTTTAACACTGGCACTTGTGCTCAGCCTGTGGACAAAAACCCTGGATGTCGTGTTTGCCTCTGTCAATAATCGCCGAGGAGCACCTGTTTCTGGTATCACTGAAATGGTTTGCGCCGCCGTTATGCCGCTTCCGACCCGCGTCCCGTTAGAGCCAGGGCGAACTATCTCTGACACCTTGGATATGATCCAGGGACGCTTTCTTAATGCATTACCGTTTCAAAACATTGGATGGTACAAGCTGGAGCAGCTCAGCCCTGAGCTTTCTGCAGCCTGCAGTTGTTGGGCCTTGATGAATGTCCAGGCTCATTTACCTGAGATTATTCCAAAAATGTTTTCCGACTGGAAGTGCAGTGTCCCACAGGGGTACGAACCTCCTAACGCATTGTATCTCGATTGTGTGATACATTCGGACTCTTTGAAGGTTGATCTGAGTTATGATCCGGACATCGTAGGCAACTCAGTTGCCCAAAGTTTGCTCGACGCATTTGTGGTGGTGTACCAACTCGTTGATGGAAGCCCGCACTTGAGCATTGACGATGTCTTGCACCGTGATCTTGTTCAAGTTACCGCTTGATTGCCGCCCATACAAACATAGTATTTGCCTTGTATTGCAGCCAGATGCTGTGGCTCTAGTTGTTGCTTGCTTGATATCATGACCTGGTGGTCAATCTGTCCTTCGTCCCTTCTTCTGTCGTATCTAAATAACGTTCCTTGTAATGAAATCGATTATCAGGGGGTTTTTCACTGTTTTAATAGTCACGAAAATCAAGTAAAACTACTCATGCTAAAGTAATTGGTGCATGGAAATATTTTCTGGATAACGAGGAAGATTATATTTATCTGCGTACGTATTCCTATGCACTGATCCTGTCAAACATCGAGCTTATTAGATATCCTTGTATACTTACCACGGTCGTGTCTTCAGGAAGTACGTGCAACCATACTGTGTCCTAGTTTGCTAGGCTGAACATACGCTCAACCGTGGGAAATATCCTTAGTGACAGAGTATTGATGGCCGCACAATGTGTCGTTTCTCGAGTGCTAATATTATGACTCTAATGTGGAGACCCGTTAATGGCGCCGAATCTTTCCTTGTCTTTTAAAATCGCCTTGCTTACCACGCAAGTAAGTAGTATTCAACAGAGGATTGAACTAATGTTTGATATTTCCAACTTAAAACATGTTGAATTTCGAGACTCTGTTGAGATCATCAAGGATAATGTTCCGGTGTGCAGTTCCAGAATTACAATACCAGAACCCGTTCGACAGATTACCACACTGGCAACCTTGACTCAACAACTAGATTAACTAGACTTCACTAACCTTACAGCTCAGTTCAATGTTGACAGTAGCTGCAACTGAAACTCATTACTAGTATCAAATAGAAGCCTTCAATATCATGCATATATCGATCACGGTATAGAGCGACTGGCATGTCCAGCATTTCAATAAGAGACTAATCATTTGCGGTACTAACAAGATTTCTTGGATGCAATGAATACCTCCCTAAACCATTCGGCACAAGTTGTCAGATTCTCACGACCTTTTCCACCCTTCGCTTTAAATGCGGCTTGTTTCAACTCTGCCGCCGTCTGAGACTCAGTGATCCCGGTCCCAAATAATTCCCCATTTCTCAGCTGATAAAATGCAAAGACGTCCCTCGATTCTTTCAATTCAGGCTTATCAAAGGCTGGGAATTGCGAGGGATCTTCATACCCAATAAAGCGAGCCTTTTTACCCGTCACTACAACAATATGAACCAGTCAACCAATGATACAAGGAAGAGAGTGGGGGAGGAGGAAATAGACAGCGAGAGAAAAAGAGAAAAAATCGAAAGAAAACTTGGATCTGTTACCTTGGATAAAAGTATCCACCACGCCCTCAAAAGAGATAATGTCTCCAACGGCCTGAACCACCCGGTGATTCCATCTCATTGGGGTCAAGAAGATTCCATGCACCAGATCACCGAAATCATCATCTATACAAATCCAGGGTACGTGTTCCGGGCCGCCAATGAGTGGACTCCGAAATGTGAGATATCCTTCATCGTCCTCGTTCCATGGAAATCCACCGAATCCTTTGTAAAATGACGGCATGAGGAAGTCTTCCAAGTACCACGAGGACATAATAGGCGTAAATGTGATGAACGCGGGACTTGCCCGTCCCCAGGATTCTCCATGTGCCTTTACTATAGAATTGAAGACAAGTAAGTGAGACAGATCCATGTCAACAATACGAACACCAATTTAGGAGTGACGTACCATCCAATATAGGCGTTCTGAATAATCCATTGCTAAGTTCATAAGCCGAAGGCTGAGAGCTGAAAACCACATGTTTGATGCCTGCGGCGGCAGCGCTGCGAAGGATGCAGTTGCCGAAGTCGAGATCATATCGTCCATCTCTAACAATATCCTATTATTGTGCTTTGTTAGTCTTTGTGTATACAGGTTTATGGCAGTAAGTTACCGAGTTGGAGTATCCATTGTTAATAAAGATTCCCCAGCTACCCGCAATAGCCTGTTGAGTCTCACTCTCATTAACTCCATCAACTTGAACAATCTCAGCCCCAAGAGACTGTAGCTCCTCTGCAACTGTCGATGATGTATCACGAGTGAGACACCGAACTTGGAACTCTGGGTTTTGAAGCAATGATCGGGCGACGGAACCTCCTTGTTTCCCTATTATTTTGTCGTGTATCAGCAATATTCCCGTTTCTACTTTGTACATTCTCACCAGTAGCTCCAACGACTGAGACAACCTTTCGCTCAATTGTCATCTTGTTGAATATTTGTCCCGTTGGAGAAATTCGAATTCCAGCTAGATCGTCCTCTCTTGCGTAATTAACAGGACGATGCCGAACAAAATTTGGATCGATATACAGTAGCTTGGTGCAGTTGCCGACCACGGCCACCCTTCAAAGTGAAAGTTTTGTTAATGGCCACATCACATTTGCACGCATGAAAAACTCATCGTTGTGCGGGTTGATGCATGTATACTGTGCAGTATGCATTCTCCTGTCGTAAGAGCAGTGTGGAAACTGCGGGCTGGGTATATTCGACTCATCACAGATATCCTTCAGCACAGAAATATTCTCAAAGGTTACATCACAGTTTCACGCAAGAAGAACTAGCCTTTATTCAGACCCATATGCATGCATATAGATAGGCCTGCATGTATAAAAGCGGTGTGGAAATTGCGGGGCCGAGTATATTCGACTCATCACAGCAGCCATCAACACAGTGGCATTTGCAATGGCCACGTTACAGATTCATGCATGAAGAGGCTGTTCGGTTTATCCTGCAGATACGTGGCTTGGATGCATATATGATAACATTATGCTATTGTAACAGCGGTGTAAGAACTGTGAGCTGAATGGACCTACTGCAACTACGGAGTACTTGCAGAGCTTTTGTCTAGCCAGATTACCAGATCACGCCGGTGCGAGTCTCCCCCACTTGACCAGAGATCGTCCTACTTCTATTGCATGAGAAATGGGGCCAGAGGCACATGTGGGACGGTCGAGCAGTCTAGAGTCTCGGATCCTTACATTCTGATACATAGGCGGGCCTTGGAGATCGGTTACGTCTTAATCCTCTTTTGGGGGAAAGCTGCGCTGTTCACTACAGTACCCTAAGTTACTGTTCACTATTCGGGTTCATCAAGAAAACAGTGTCAAAAAAGCAATTTGTAGAATTACTCAGCCTAATCTAGTAAGACCGACTCGGCCACTGTTCTCAGCTAGTAATTATAGTGTTCAGAAATCCAGTCAACATCACGATCCTTATTATCATCGTCATAACCCTCCAGCTTTGTGCTCACTTATAACGCAGATTTTGGCGCGTGAACCGCGTCCTTGTAGACTTTTTCGTATACATTTGCACCGCGAATTGCCAATGGCTATTCCATAAGTTATTCTCGCTATATTAGTAGAATCAATCTAAGCGAGTTATTCTCGCTGCTAATTTTTCTTACCTTTTAATACAATGTTAATAGCCCTACCATACTTGGTAACGATAATAGATCTGATACATATCTGTTACCCCACTAGTAATAATGCTGATATAATTCGTAATCGCGTTTCGGACATCGCATTGAAAGACCTTCGTACTGTTCCTACATATTACATACCTACTCAGGTAGACATTCACACTCGACAGGCAGAACCATCTACTGCTAAGATGACTGTTACCACATCAACCACAGATGGTGCGGCAGCACCGAACTCGACAGGCATTCGAGTGGCCATTGTTGGACTGGGAATGGCTGGCCTAACGGCTGCTATAGAGTGTCATCGGAAGGGTCATACAGTTGTTGGATTTGAAAAAGCAGCGAGACCAACGCATCCGGGTGGGGAATACCTGTTCAATATGTGCTTGTGCGTGTTCTAACCGTCACAATAGGGGACATATTCAGTATCGGTCCAAATGGAGCATGTGTTATTCAGAAGTGGGGGAACGGATCCGTGGCCAAGTATCTGGATTCTGTCCGTTGCGCGATTGATACCATTGTCGTTTACGATGAGGCCGGAAAGGTCAAAGAACAGAAGGACATGGATGGATTCCGACCGGGAGAGGGATGGGTAATTAACAGATCTGACACGGTGAATGCTCTGTATGATCATGCTGTCAGTCTGGGGATCGACCTACGGTTCGGTCTGCCAGTCACCGAGTACCGGGAAGATGATGATCAAGCTGGAGTCATGGTGAATGGTGAATGGATCACGACAGAATGTGTCATTGTCAGTGATGGAATCCACAGCAAGGCTAGGCCGATAATTACCGGAGTTGATTCTAGCTTGACGAAGACTGGAAGTGCCATTTATAGGTGTGGCTATCCGGCTGAAGTTCTCAAAGGCTGTTCGGAAGCAGAATGGCTGCTTCAGGACTCAGATAAACATGACCAACTGAGCCACTTTATTGGAAAGGATATTACGATGCTGATGGGGACGGGAAGGCATGGAAAAGATGTGTACTGGGGCTGCATGCACAAGGTTAGTTGTCTCCCCCGCAATAGTTTTCTCAATGAAATCTAAATAACACTAAATCTCGCAGAGTTTCCACGATGTATCAGAGCCGTGGCTTCAGGTATCAGATGCCTCGAAAGCCCTCAAGTATATTGAACACTGGCCGGCCAAGGCCCAACTATCAGCTATTATCGAAAAATCTCCGCATGGCAAATGCTTTGATCACTTGGTTTTGGCCGCTGATCCGCTGCCAAGATGGGTTTCGGAGAAAGGTCGAATGGTTCTGATCGGTGATGCCGCACATCCCTTCTTACCAACAACAGGGCAAGGTGCAAACCAAGCCATTGAAGACGGGGCTGTGGTTGCAATCTGCTTGGCATTGGCTGGAAAGCAACGCATCCCATTGGGTCTGCGTGTAATGGAGAAGCTGAGGTCATTTCAACCCCGGATGCTTTCAATTATCATAGCTGACGTGCATCTTTAGGTATCAAAGGGTCAGTCTGATCCAGGATGGGGGTCTGAAGATGCTGCAGTCTCTCCACAAGGCTGATTGGGAAGCTGACAACAAGGAGGAGGTTCCAACAATGATAACACGTCCGACATGGATCTTTTCGCATGATTGCCAGCAGTCCGCCTATGATGAATTTGAGAAGGCGGCAAGTGCTGTTATCACGGGGACTGAATACCACCCGACGAACATACCAGCGGATGGATTGTTCCGAATCATTGATGAAACGATGGCCAAAGAGAAAACAGCCTAAAAGTATATTGCGCACTATTCATCCATCGATGTCAGAAACAAGTTTCCACTGCCATTTACATATTTGTGTCGGTTTAGCAATCGATATAAAGGAAATTTCCGAGAAGCTTGTCTTACCTAGACCTTTCGGCAGTTTAATAACTTTGTTTTACTTGTAAGACAGAAGCTAGATATAAATGGTGCAAGTCGTCAAGATATTCCCAACAGAAGAACTTGAGACTCCAATGGCGGACCTCAACGATAGGTAGAATGAATTATCACTTAGTTGAAACATCTTGGAGAAGAAATTCATTTCCATTATCTTGGGAATGCTTTCATACCCTGTTTTTCTCACTGCGCAATTGAGAATAGCCTCAACGCATACACGTAAATTGCTTGCCGGGGAAGGAGTCTCCTGTTTCCACACTGGGGATCCATCTGCAGGTGCAGGGTGATGTGTACCAGGTAACCTCCTGAGGTGGGCAGCCCAATAAATCCCGCATACATGTATGCCTCCTCTTCTGGGACTCCACTTAGGTACTGTTCCAATACTTAAAACCTATCAAATAGCGGTCAGGACTTGTAGACCATCAGTGAGGCACATCGTCCTGGGCATCAGATCTTCAGAAAACTGTTCCCTTGGTTCTAACAAACTGATTCATCTTTTAATTACAAACATAAGACGAAGTACACGATGGCACCTCGAACCACCAAATACACGGGTCAACTATGTGACAAACAGGTTCTTATTGTTGGTGGTTCCTCCGGCATCGGGTATGCCGTGGCTGAAGCAGCCCTGGAGCATCAAGCTAATGTGACAATTGTCGGATCGAACACCATCAAACTTGAGAAGGCATTGGCTCAGCTCAAGACCGCCTATCCAACGCAGACCACGGCGGAGCGGCTCCGGGGAATATCGTGCGATCTTGGGGACGCGAAAAATTTGGAGACAAACGTGCAAAGGATTCTGGAGTTCGCTGCCGCGGGCAACAAGGTCAACCATGTGGTAATCACTGCCGCGGATATGACACAGCCTCCGTCTGTTGCAGAGGTTACTGTTGACAAGGTCCAACGCACCGGCACAATCCGGTACCTTGCACCGTTGATATTCGCCAAATACCTGACGCAATTCGTAGAGCGGACTGCGAACAATTCGCTGACTCTCACGAGTGGTGCGCATGCCCACAAGCCGGATCCTGGGTGGACAGTTATCTCAGCCTACTGTGGTGCCGTTGAGTCCATGGCCAAGGGGCTGGCTATTGACCTGAAACCTCTCAGGGTGAATGTTGTTTCGCCCGGAGCAATCATGACGGATGTCGTGAAGGACATTCTAGGGGACTTTTACGACACGGCGATCCAGATGGCGAAAGATAAATCCTTGGTCGCGAGTGCAGGTACGCCGGAGAACGTGGCTCAGGCCTATTTGTACTTGATGAAGGATCACTATGCCTCTGGTACTGTTTTGGAGTCCAATGGCGGGATGTTTCTGGCTTGAACCATGTTCCTAAAGCCTTGATCATTTGGTACTGTGCACGGGTTGGACTGCAGCGTTATGTGTTCAATGGGATTGAATTGTCTGTATCTAAGCATCTATTCGCGGTGATTCGCGGCTCCCTTTGTGAACCATTGTTTGAAATTGACAAGATTGTCCGCTGAATGTCCCTGCGCTTCTCTGGCAGCTCGCTTACACTCAATAGCCGCTGTAGTGTCGGTGGCGTATTCGGCGTACCACTTACCACCACAAAAGTTCATATAAAAGAACATCATACGTGATTCTCGACACAGATGAGTTCCATCATCATGGACTTTAGTCCAGGAAGCCAGCGGCTGATAGTCGACGGCGGTGCCAGTAGCTGTTTCGCCTATTAGTATAGTGCAAAATGCAAAACGGAGGAATAGATGGACATGTTTACCTTCTGTGAATGCTGCAGCCAAATCTTCGAACGAGATTGTCTGACTGATTGCCTGGACATGATTTCCATTGTAGCGTGAAGGATTCAGGAAGATTCCGTGGACAATGTCGCCAAAGTCGTCTTCCAAACTGACCCAGGGCATCTGGCCATCGCCACCGTATGGAGGAATGGCCAGAGTCACTTTCTCCCTGCCATCACGATACCAGGGGAATCCACCCCAAACCCTACAGAAAGATTCCTCACCCCAACATTCCATGAATGAAGCAGGAAGTACAGGGACGAACGTGGTAAATTTCTTCTGGCTCCGAGCATAGTCCTCAGCTAAGCTTTTGCCTAATTTCCCTCAGTGTCAGTGCGTTCAGACCATAAAGCCGAGCCATTCAAGTTATAAGGGGTCACATACAATCAAATCCTGAAATGTGAATCCGACCTTTTGTGGCTCGATGGATATTCGCCGCTGAGCTGTAGACCACATGTTCTACATTGGCCATTTCCGCAGCATCCAGGATGGCGGTATCCAGGTCATAAATATTAGGGCCGTCGAGGCTGTCTTCGTCGTCCTATAGAGTCCCAGATCAGTTAGTAAGTTCTATTCAGGTATACATAGTGCATTTTGGGAATATAGGAATATTCACAGGACCGTCGGAGTTACTGTTGATGAAAACACCCCAGCTTCCTTGAAAGGCAGCAGTCGTCTGTTTCCGATCACGTCCATCCGCGACCACGAGTTCAGCTCCCAGTTTAGCAATCTCTTGGGCTTTTGGAGACTCTCGGTCGCGCGTGATGACCCGCACTTCAAAGATATGATCTTTATGGGAGAGTAGTGACCGCACCACTGCGCTTCCTTGATTGCCTAAGGAAGTCATTAGCTACATTGTGGACAATACATCAAGATAAATTTGCTTGATTACCGGTACCGCCGAACACAGTGATGAGCTTTTTGATTACTGTCATTTTGTCGATACGAGGGATGTTTTTCGTAGATCGGTTGAGTACAGTGGATATATAAACACTGACTCAATATATCTTTCCGGCGTTGTTTTATGTCTACTGGTGCATATTATTTTCAACAATCAATAGGACAAGGTGAAGGAATTGTGATGACGTGGTTCAGGCCTGAGTTGTACAATAGTATGGTACGTCGCAGTGCATATCTCCTTGCATTGTGCATAGGCATGGCGCAGAAATTAGGGGGAAACGAAAGAGTTTTGCATACATACTCTATCTGCAGGTATAATATGGGAATTATCCATCGACCCACTTGACTTGATGCATAAATAGGCATCATGCACCATGCATGTCGCTCAGGCTCTAGATCTATCTTCATCAGCTAACTACAGTACGATTTCCTTAGATCAAGAAGTAGCGGTGAGAAGTCTGGTAAATGAGTCGGCCCAAGTCAGTGAAGTGTACTTGAGAGATATGACACTTTTGAGCACTATTTATAATCTAAAAGCCTGACAAGGCTGCTCTATATTGTTCCTCGCGCAGATTTCCTCATATTCAAAGAAGCCGATTTATACGAAAGTTGAAAATTTGAAACATCTCTTCTTCGGACAGCATGACCGTCAGTGCAGTTGAGCAATCGTGTCCGCCACCGGTCACGACCAAAGGTTCATCACTGAAGTCTGGTCAATCTTCCTTTGAAACTTTGAATCGCTACTCCTCGTTCTCCGATGAGCAGCAAAAGATATGGTGGGAGAAGACCGGACCACTCCTAGGGAAAGTCCTAGCCTCGGCTGGGTATGACCTCCCTCGCCAACTCGAAGCCCTCACCTTTTACTCCCAAATTCTGCTTCCGCTTCTCGGTCCTTTCTCTCAAAGTTACCGCAGCGCGATAACAAGAAGTGGCCTCCCTGTTGAGTTCAGTGTGAACTATCAGCAACGAGGAAACACTAAGCCTGTCGTCCGGATTGGCTTTGAGCCCGTCGCACAGGCTTCTGGCACACCAGACGATCTATACAATCAAATACCGATCACGGTAATGATCAGTCGGCTGAAGCAACTCAACATTCCCGGATTTGACGACGAATTATTCCAGCATTTCCTTCTGACTCACACCGTTGATGCCGATGAGAAAGTCATTTTGAGCGGTAACAAGATGGAAGGCAGTAGCCTGACCTCCCAGGCAGCGTTCGGGTTTGATCTGAAGCCGGATAATATCTCCATTAAGGGATACACCTTTCCAGCACTAAAGTGCCACGCCAGGGGCGCCGGATTTGGGGCAACCATCGCCGAGTCCATCACGCAGCTCGAGCCACGCATCGGCCACTTTGGGTCCTTTGATATGGTAAACGCCTACCTCGAAGAAACAGACGGCTACAGTCAGTTTGCCTTCTGGTCCTTTGACTGCGTGGCGGCCTCAAAGTCACGACTTAAGTTGTACAGTGCACACAACAATGTTGTCTGGGACAAGATTGAGGAGATCTGGACGTTGGGTGGACGGGCTAATTCTCCAACCGTACAGAAAGGTTTGGAGTATCTGCAAGATCTGTGGAAGCTCACAAAGGTGTCAGAAGGGCATCGTGCCTTTACTGGCGGCTTTGACGACGGGCAAGACTCAACGCCCACTCCCATGGTTTGGAATTACGAGATGAAAGCCGGCGAATCAGCACCATTGACCAAATTCTACTTCCCGGTTCATGGAGAGAATGACGAAAATGTGGTGCGAGGGCTTGCGCAATTTCTGATCAAGATTGGTTTGGCCGAGTATGGGGATAATTATGAGGAGATTGTCCGAGACTACTTGTAAGTCAGGCTCTACTGATGCGTCCATAAATTTTAACTGACAATCTACAGTCCCAAACGCGATATTGCGAAAACAGCCCGATTAACTTCGTGGATTTCGTTTGCCTACACTGAAAAGACAGGTGTATATCTTAGTGTCTACTACCATTCTTCTGATGATTATCCATGGACTGAGGAAGAAGAAGAAGAGACAAACAAGCAGTAGGCGGAAAGAATTGAGTCTTTTAAATCGAGTCTCTACTTAGCTCTTCATAAATAAATTCGCAGTATCCCAAGGGCAATTTCAGTGCTACAATTGGTACCCGCTTATAGATCTCCAATGACGCTTGAGCTATGATATTTTGAACATTTACAATTAGACATGGTTGATTGGGGACGACGGCCACCATCAAACATGAAAGAACTTTTACATAGGGCACATTCAAAACCTAAAAGGGAAAAGAAGGTGATTTTTTTCTGTAGCGCATATTCACGAAACGGGGCTGACTATATCATAAGCTGTCTAGAAGAGAAAGAAATGTGTCATCAACATCAATTTCGGTTTCGGGATATTGAATCACTCCTTGGTACTGGGTTTGATCTGGCTAGCAATTTGTGCCATGAGAACATCCGGATCTTTCTCAGCGACCTCCCACTCGCTCGAGATGATCTTCCGATGCTTCTCACTGCGCGGTGTAAACTCTGCTTCAAACGCGACCGGGGGCCCAATAAGACCCTGCTCTAGATTCAGGGTGTCAATTTCTACCTTCTTCCCATTTTCGTACCCTGGAGATATGTTGAAGCCCCATAAGATGCGGGTGACAGCAATGTGCAGTATCTCCCTGGCCAAAACTTGGCCTGGACATTTCCGTCTGCCAAATCCAAAGGCACCCAGCGGGAGATCATGGTTCTCTAGCCAACGCTCAGGATGAAACTCGAGTGGGTTGTCATGAATCTTCTCATCGAGATCCAATGACCAATTGTTGGGGATAATAGTGGTCCCACGTGGAATCCGGTAACCCATAAACTCGCAGTCCTCATCACCTTCATGTGGAAACCCAGCCGGAATCAGTGGTCGCCATCGCATGGTTTCTGTGAGTACCGCACGGGTATATGGCAGGTTCACGATATCGTCACTTCTAGGCAAACGATCCGACCCGATAACGCGATCAATTTCCTCCTGTGCCTTCTGCATCGCCGCGGGGTTGGCTGCTGCAGCCATCACTAGCATGCGTAAAGTCCCTGAGATAGGCTCGCTACCAGCGTCAAAAATGAAGCCGATGATATTGGCTAACTCGAGCTCTGACATCTGCGCTTCATCCATCCCTAATGCTTCACGCGTCCAGTTCCACGTCCCGCTGTTCTTGCCGTTGTTGAAATTGTCCATGTAAAGCTTCATCACCTCATGGCGCGCTGAGTCGGCACTCCGCTTCCACGGGGCCGCCCATGTGGGGAGAGAGTTGAGGGCTGGAAACAGTTCGACCAGGATCCCTAGCTTCGTCGAGGACGCCTCAGCCACATGTTTAGAAATACGAGACATCTCCGTCATAATGTGACTCTGCGCTGTTTCCACGCGAGTACCAAACGCAAGGGTCGCATTAATGCTGTAGGAGAATCGCTGGAAAATGGTTTCGAAGTCCGAGTTTGTCAGAAGGTCGTGCAGAACTTGCTTGGTTTCGAGGTCCGGAACGGGGTGATATTGAGTAACCCAGGCTGGGCGAAGACATCTCGTTTGGATTCGATGATGGATTCGCCATCGAGGACCATACGGCATCAGACCAGTATTAATTCCCTTGTAGATACATTCACCCATGTACACCATGCGTGGGCGCGAGTTGAGCACGCTCTGTTTGTTGTTGAGAAGCTCAACGGCGACTTGGTGAGATCCCACGCAAACCATAAGTTTGGGACCCATCTTCACGGTAACCAGTGGGCCATATTGGTCGGTCCATTTCTTGTATTGGCGGCATGGGTCCTTGGCCGGGAACTGATGTAGATTTCCGATTAAAGGCAGTGGCTTTGGACCCGGAGGAAGGGGTTTCTGAGTTAGACGCTGCAGAACATGCCATGAAAACCAGATAAGGAATGTTGCCAAACCAAGAAGTGGCCACATGATTGTCTGTTGTAGTGGCTGGTAACGAAAGCTGATCGACTTGTGTGAAGATATATATATATGCCATATGGAAGTGAAAAAGAGCCAGTTCAACCCCCTTACTTCGTTTATCATATCCCCAAAGCGGTGTTGCAGATAAAATTTAAAATCCTGCACATCGGCATACTGGATTCCTGAGAAACTACAGAGCGGGTACGGGCTACCAGCAGGGGATGTTCAGATTGCGGTCAAGGAGATGGACTGATCATCGTGTTGTGCATATGGTTTCTTATGGATGCAATACGACCTGTGTAGTTGTGATATTGCAGTTAAAGTAGATAGCGTCTTGCATCTTGCATCGCTGGGATGCTGTATTTCCACTATTCTTTTGTAGAGAATCAAGGTGGACACTGATCGACCTCTTATTTACCAATTAGTAATGCTAGAATGTGATCGAAACTTGATATTCTCATTTTACTCGGTCTTTTGCGAAATTGACAATAAGCAAGTCGAGGCACATAGGAGCCTTACAAACTTTCACTCATGGCATCGGACAAACGTCGTCCTGATTCTTGTCTCTCAATGCTGATTGTCACTATGGAACACATCATTTGCCATACTCTCTCCCAAAATATTCTCTGACAGTAAGAAGGGTCTCTCTCCCCTTGCCTCGCTTTGCCTTGAAGGCTGCGAGTTTCAATTCGGCCGCAGTTTCGATCTCCGATATTCCATTGGGATAGTAGTCCCCATCTCTCATTTGTGTGTAGATAAACATATTCTGAACACCATCAAAGATTCCTGCCTTCATGTCGGCGATATCCACACAAGGAATGAATCGTGTCTTCTTTCCAGTTACTGCTAGATGTTAGTATTTGTCTCCTTTTCGACCACGGTTGTAAAGTGCACTCACCAGCGCTATAAGTAGTAGTCATATTGGCGGCCGAGAGTAGATCTGCATGACACTGAACCAAACGGCGGTTCCAACGCAGGGGTTTCAAGAATATGCCATGGACAATGTCACCAAAATCATCGGCAATGCTGATCCAGGGCATCTGTTCTTTCCCACCCCATAGAGGCAGTCGACAGGTTGAGATGCCCTCTGAATCTTCCTTCACAGGGAATCCACCATAGAGATCCGCGGTAAATTCGCCAATCTGCTCTAAGTACCATCCCACCATAACGGGGGTAAATGTGTCAAACCCGGTCGCGGCCTGTCCTACCTCTTCGATTTTTGCTTTCACTGTTGAAATTAGCGGCCATCATTTTAATATCAAACAGTGCGAGAATGAGATTCCAATTACACACCATCCAAAGAGTTCAGGGACACTTTCCCATTGGTCAACCGGCTGACATACGGAGCTGAGCTGAAAACCACATGTTTAACCCCAGCTGCTTCCGCGCTTTTGATAATCTTGCTGCCCAGCTGGACAGCTTCATCATCAGGATATATCTGCATATAAACAGCTCAACTGTCAGTTTACTGTGGGATTGAATCGTTTATTGTATCAGATGGCCAAACCTCAGTAAGTAGGTTGATGAAGACACCCCAGCTTCCGTCAAGGGCCTTCCTCAAATCCGAAACACTACTTCCATCCGCCTCCACAACCTGGGCGCCTAACTCTTGTAAGAGCTTCGCTTTTTCTGACTTCAAATCCCGTGTAATGCATCGCACTGTGAACTCGGGGTTTTGGAGTATAGAACATGCTACAGATCCACCTTGATTACCTGGGCCGAGAAGTGTTAGCCATTTGCTACCCCTGTTAACCTGGAATGAACAGAGAAGTACTTACCGGTTCCACCAAATATGCTGATCACTCTCTTCTGAATCGTCATAATGCTGTCTGCGGAGGGGTATACTCAATGTATCCGTTGAGATGTTGCTTTGGATAGTAAATGAGTTGATGTGGACCGCAATACAAACCAAACATATATTTTTTTCCTGCCACGCTACTATTTGAAAGAAAAAAAAGAAAAGTCGAGATCACGAAGTACTGTACTGACATATTTTTTATGCATCTATTCTTGGGTCCAGGTCTATTGCGTGGCACAGCAATGCCAGGTGTTGAGTGGCTAATGGCTCACGCCAGTGGAGCCCATTGCCATGCGAGCCCCTTGCTCATCTTCAACTTAACTCATGCAAGGATAATTGCGAGCAATGGAAGATAGATCAGGAGGCATGAGATACACTTCGGATGTCTCATGGAAACAGGTCACTACAGTATGATTGCTTTTGGTGGATACCGGCCGCTCTATGATGCCGGTTTATGGCCACTGGCGTACATGGACTTTTACCGAAAATGCAGCGCTTTACCGCGATACCTGCGGACAACACACCGTACATGCTATAATGACTCCAACCTCTCCATCCTGACGCAGTTCTAGGGGCATATACATTGTACAAATAGGCGATTGGAGAAAGTGGCTTATTCATACGTTGTACCGTAGATCCTTTTCGATATTTGCAATTCTTCTCGTTACATATCGTAAGATGTAGAGGCTTAAGAACAATAATGCCATTGGCTTCTCGTGGTACATTCCAGCAAGTGAATTTTGACGCAGGAGCAAAAGAATGTGTACTGTAGTTCTAAGCGATATCAGGAATTGTTGCAGGGTATGACAGAATGGACCACCCGAGTGCCATTTACCATGGAAAAGTATATGCCACACTGATGCTACCTTCTGGCCAGGTGTGCTAGAATAGCCTGCCACTCTAGCATCTCTTCAGACATCTCATCCAGCGGTCCCCATGCCTCTTTCAATTTATCTAACACCCCGCGGCCCACTCGCCCTTCAATAATGAGCTTGTAGAAGTACTGCATCAGTCCCCGGTAGGCACTGTCGAGCGATCCCGAGATCCAGGCGTGATGGGCGCTGCATGCCTCCCCAACTAGAAACATGTGGCCATCGGCGGCTGGGCTGACGAGCTCGGGGTAAAAATGCCGGAATTGCCCAGGCCCGAAATAGGCGAATGCCCCCGAGGCGGAAGGATCATCATACCAGTTGTAAGCGTGAAGACAGACGTACTCATTCTGGATAATTTTCAACATTCTGCGATATCCGTATGGTCGAGAGGAAAAGGAATCGGTGTGGCTTTGGTGTAGGAGAGCGAGATTATGGTGCACAATATGCTCGAGTTCCTTCTTTCTCGCTCCATCTGAGTCCTGTCCTGTCAATGATGCTATTTGCTGGGCATCCTGTCCCCATGTATACGAGCACAACAGAACTGTGGAGACATCTTCTGTATTTGTCCCGGACGAAGGATACACACAGGTCCGAATGGGGAGGTCGGTCGATGCCTGACCACCCCGGATTTGACAGTATTTCGTCCACCATGCTGTTTTGAACTTGACCGCAATCTTGGTCGAGGCATCATAATGAACATTCTGAATCGCGGTTCTCTGACCTGGACTCAATATTCCTTGTCCCACAGCTATGCGACGAATACAAGGCAGACTGGCCGTACTGAAGACGGCAGAGTATTCTCTGGATTGTGTCTCCCCTTCGACCTGCACGGACATCGGATAGTGGGAGTCTGCCGTCTGGTATTCGATGGATGTAACACGGGATCCTAAGCTAGGCTTTCTAGACAGGATGGCTTCCATCTTCTCAATAACGCGGGATGTTCCTCCTGAGACGCGATACCACTCCACGCTTCTGCCAGATGTAGTAGGGTACTCAAAGTCCATGTAATCCAAAACAGATTCAGATAATGACTGATCATATAAACCTGACGCACTAGAATCGAAGAAGAGTCTGTGTTAATGGCACTTGAATAGTTAGAAAATAGAGGTCATACTAACCTCAGTACGGTCTCCATATGGCAAATGGAATAGAAGTCAAGGCCCCTGTAATTTCGATATCGGTTAGCATACACTTTCCATTTCTGATTCTTTTGCCTTTCTTTGGCTGAATTCACCCACATCTTGACTTTCAAGAATTCTCGCGTCGTCATATGATCATACTTCATGAGCTCCGCGAAGCCCTCTTGGAAATCATCCGCCAGTCTGGATATGAATGGAGTAAAGGCTCGTTTCAATATGCTGTCAGGACCCTCAGAAACAGTCCCGTGAAAAATGTTGGTCTTCAGCAGTTCGAGTTCATTTGGGAAGAGTTATTTACTGGTTTGGAACGAGACCACCGTTCGATATGCTGAAACGGAATGGATCATGTTCTGCTTCATTCGGTCTGTTCGAGGGTATTGACACCCCATTGAACATTGTTGGGCAATGCGGCGCCTCGTAGCAGTATGGAACAATATCCACATCACATCTTTCAAAAAGGTCGAACGTCCTACAACAGCGTGAGATGATTGAAAATGCCAAGTCCAATCTCGACCTTTACCTTTGTAGTGGTGGGATCTGAAGGCCCATCATATCATCCCAGTGTCAGTCAGACAATTTCTTACGCCTCGGAACTACGGTGATGTAACTAACCTTGGGAAACCTCATTGCTCCTGCATCATAGTAATCACTTGCTTTCGGTCCAAACCGATGTGTATACACTCTGCCCCCTGTTCGCTTATTTGACTCGAGTATCTCATAGCTGAAGTTTGGAAGGTGTAATTCATCCAGTAGCATGGCAAGATAGAGACCGGAGATTCCCGCTCCGATAATACATATCCGGATGGGCATCTCCGCACAGGAAGCTTTGTGTGGAAATGAAGGTAAGATTGGTGGTCTCGGAAGAGATCTGGAGGGCGATTCGTGTCCAATATCAATAAACAAAGTGGGCGACAGCCATATCCATTCACTCTCTTCGCAAATGATGTCCGCTTGGCGGATTTCATTTGAAATATGACATTTGACAATTTGCTGGGCCCATTTAGCTCGGGTTGAGACCGAATTTCCTGCCTGCTTTGAATTGAAATCAAGCGACCTTTCCATATCACGTAGAGCCGTTGTTTTCCCCTTGAACCTACCAGCAAGGATTTTTAGCCAATTGATTCCACTATGTGGCCAAAATTGAGCAACTCGAGGTACACAGAGCTTTTCCTCGTTGTGCTCCATGTGTTTCACGGTGGCTAGTGTCATTTCGCTATCGTTCACGGAATTTTCTCACCGATGGTGCCCTTTTACCTCTTTCCACATTAAAAAAAACGCCACATGCTAGGCTCGCTAAGGTATATATCTTCTTACTTCACAAAAAGAATACTTGTTCGGCCATATTGCTACTAGCTGCGTATACTCACATTGGCCAAAGGCCAGACTCTGACGACAAAAGGTGGAACTCCCGCAAAATTATTATGCATTAATAAATTGGCGGTGTAAGGTTGCACAGCTGCACATGTATGCATAAGAATGGAGCCTTTTTCATCTTTCTATCTCTTGCAGCTATGGAATGTAAGTCTCATGTGATGTATCAACAACATCAAGGGATGCCGTACGGCTCCACCATTCTATGGATCTGAAGATGCATTAGCTTCAGATCTCGTTTTGAGCAGGTGGCTGGGATTATCTGTCTACCCCTTCTCATCTAGCTAAGTCAAGAACCCCCGTATTTATCAATTTCCACGGCTAAATATCTTCAGAATGTCAGTTCTTGAAAGCTGGAATGTTGGCTCCGCGACAAAATCTCATCTCAACAACACATTGCTCAGTCGACTAGCAGTCGCATTTATAGTGTACCAAGTGATTGCAGGATGGTACAGATACTACCGCTCCTGGGTTAGTAGAAAATAACAGTTTTCCGCTTCACTGTGCTAATATCTTGTAGGTAAATCTCCCCGTTGTGGGGGCCAAAGGACTCATTTCATCTCGAAAGGAGGGGTGGCGATGGGCTGAAAATGGGATGAGAATTCTCCAAGAGGGATATGAAAAGGTTCGTAAGCCCCAGCCTTGGTTTCATATACCTGCAAACGGACTAACATACAATAGTATGGAGACTCTGCTTTCCAGTTTCGAACTGCACGACGGTGGGAGGTCTGTCTCTGCGATGATGCATTGGTCAAAGAGTATATGAGTCTCAATGATGACTATATGTCACTTGATGCTTTCAATGAGAGAATGTTTGAAACTAGGTACACTGCTCCTGGATTCGCGCATTCGCTTCATCATATTCCTGTCCCTGTTCTGTCCAAGGCACTCGCATGGTCGCGGGTGCGAACATCCGGGAAAGATGACCTCTACTTTCAGGAGCTTGTCGATGAATTGCAATTTGCCCTTGGCTCTGAAATCCCAGTCACTTCAAATAGTAAGTGCGTATTTCGGGTGGGAATTCATTAATTGCTAACGCCGGGTAGGAGATTGGCAGGAACTCAACTGCCTTCATCTCGGACTTGGTCTGATGCTGCGGCTGATATCCAAGGTACTTGTCGGGGATCCCTTATGCAGAGATCCCGTGGCTGTCAACCTGTTTGTCAAATATGGCTCAGCAGTGCCGGTGAGCGGCCCGAAGATCGCATGGTTGCCAACATTCCTCAAGCCGTAAGCTTCTCCTGGGTTCTCGCTTGAGTATTTACCCTGTTTATTGTTCCAATTTCACCGTCTAACATTTTTAATGCCTTCAAGATTGCTTGGGCCATACTTCGCTGCGTCACGTATGCATACCCAGCTTAGCAAGCTCGTTGCGCAGCAGATCAGGCAGGCGGAGGGGAAGACTAAAGAACCACAAGTAAGTCAATTTCAGCTTCGGATATTGCATCGCTCATAATCATCGCTTTTAGAATATCGGTGACTGGATGTGGAAGTGGGTAGAAGAGGAAGCTGCCGGAGTGTATAATGAGATCCATGTCGCTCAACTGGTGATTGCAGCCCTCTTTGGCTCCGTTCATTCGGCTGGAATGGTATGTTCTTGAGCTAACTGATAATCCACTACAATCCAACACACTGACAATCTATGTAAGGTTCTTGCCACATGCCTCTTTGAAATCACCCTTCGACCAGAGTACATCGAGCCACTACAGGAGGAGGCGAAGCGGGCTGAGCGACAGTTTGGCGTCCTGGGAAGGGAGGCCATTGAATCCATGACCAAACTCGACAGCTTCATCAAAGAGTGCCAACGATATAGGCCACTTGCTCCGGGTATGAACATTATATTCAGTTTTTACCAATGCACTTCACGGTAGCTAGCTAACTGGATACCTTTCTTATCAGCTTCCCTGGTTCGAGTAGCCACACAAGACTATACTTTCAAGAACGGTCTTACCATCCCCAAGGGGACGTCTGTTCTAACACCAAATCTACCTATGCTTCGAGATGAGCAGTACTATGATCGTCCTCATGAGTTTGATGGCTTTCGGTTCCATCGACTCGGTCAAGCAACCGGCCGGCCGGACTCATTCAAGATTGCAGGACTGAGTCCCAAATCGCGGCAGTTTGGCGATGGCAGACACACATGGTGAGTCCAAATATTCATTTTCATTGACCTCCATAGCATTAGACTGATCGAAATGGCTCTTCAAAGTCCTGGGAAGCAGTTAGCCGCCGATATGCTTCGACTCATTTTGGCCCATATTTTGCTGAACTTTGATATTGCTGGGCTTGACACAAAACTCTCCTCGACATATCCCACAATTGACCAACGTTTCATTTTCATCAGAAAGCGAGGGTAATATAATGTGGGCCGCAAAATTGCGTCGGTACCCAAAATGACCTACAAACCATAGCAATATGATATTCATGAAATGAATCGATGTTTCAGTGATATGATTACCCTTTTACTTTTGGTATGATAGCTGTATCTGACAATAACATATTGTGATGGGTTTCTCAATATCTCAAGTTTGTCCTGGATGCCTCGGGTAGCGAGTCATGCTATTGGGAGGGGACTCTCATCTAGTACAAAATCATGAACGCTAAACAAAATTTAGATTTTCGATTTAGCAAGAAATTATGCTCAGTAGGTCGCATTGTCAGCCATGCCTAGTACCCTACCTTTTTTGGGATTGGGTTCAGATAAGATTAGGCTATGCGGAGGTCTAGGTACCACAGTTGATTAACTAATGTTAACTTTATCCAGGGAGCTTTGTTAAATGACAAACCAGAATATTGGAGATGAGATGAAGGTGTGAAGAATATTTACTTCGGCCGCATGGATTGCCTAATTGGCCAAGTGTGCAGGCAGAGGATAACCCTTACGATATCTACTTCTCTACATGAAGTGTGCTATTTACCTGACTCAGTGCGATCCTGAATATTTATTTTAGAATATTGATTTGCATTTTAAACTCATAATATTTCATTTTCCTGCTAAGCCAAAGTTCCGTCTAAGCCAAGATATTCAATGTTGATCTCGCGCGTCCGAAAGCAAGCCTGTTTATCTCCTCATCATGATGCGTACTTTTCGTCATGTCCTCCCAGTAACCCATCGAGGTCAGGTACTGTGCGCTTCGCAACACTGTCATCCAGATCATACTCAGACTTGACCCTCGTGGTTGCTCGACCTTGCGCCCATCTCCAAGGGGTGATCCTATACAGCCTGAACTGGCTTGGAAAAGATCAATGACAGGCCATAGGGGGTGGTGCTTTCCAATTGCGTGTATTTGGTTTTCGATCTGCGCCAACCATTTTGCACCATCCATGGGTAGCAATGACATCGATGTGGCCTGGATAATAGCTTGCCAGAAGTCTTGGACGAGCAAACCATCCTCGAGGACAGTTAGACTGACTGTATCTGCAGCAACCAAAGATGCGTGAATGGTCTCAAAGACGATGACGGTGGCAACCCAGTCCACAGGCGCAATATAGATCCAGGAATTGTCCTCCTTTGCGTTGTATCCGCCAGCATTGATGGCGGCCGAAACGGTGCGCCAAATCACATCATCCATGTTGGAAATACCATCCGCAACTGAGCCCATCATGAGACCTGGCCGCACAATTGAGAAAGTCCTGTCGTGTCTTCCGTGGCACTTTACATAGTGCTGAATGAGCATCTCAGAAACTGACTTGGTCTGGCTGTATCCCTCGGCTGCAGACAGTGAATCGTAAACTTCTTCCGCAACGGGGACTTGCGTTTCCCCAGGCCGTAGAGCCGAGACATACGTAAAGTTGGTGGGATGGGCACTGGACGATAAAGCCCGCAGGAACTCAAATGTACTTTGAACATTGCTAGCTTGCAGGACATCGTAATCGTAAACCCAGTGCACCATCGCGCCATTGTGAATGATTGCATCAAAGTGAGACTCGGAATTGCCACAAAGAATCGACCATTGATCATCCGACAGACCCAGTTGAGGGAGTGCCAGATCCCCTAGCCAGACGTCAATCATGCGTCGGTAGTCGTCCCTCCACCACTGCGCCAGTCTCGCCGATTGGATAATGCGAGCCATTGCTTTGGTGACACTGGTAGTTCCCCGGACAAGCACGACCACAGATGACACATCGGGGCTTACAACCAACTGTTGAAGCAGTCGCGAGCCCAGGAATCCTGTACCACCAGTGAGAAAGACGGACCGCGCTGCTGGAGCTATGTGTTCAGTTTGAGGCGCATCACGACAGAGAGTGGTGACCTTTGAACTCTGCAGATTCTCCACGGCGCCCTTCAGCCTTTGATAGTCAATCCACCAACGGGCCTGTTTTGTGTCTGGCTGTGACAGTTTTGCGGGAGATCTTTCAGCGAGGATGATCTCGGCAATCATACGCACTGTCAGGGAGCTCTGGAAAAGCGTCGTTGTGGGAATGGTAACATCATACTCGCGCGCGATCATCCGCGCGAAAGCCATCATATCAATTGAGTCCATACCCAGTCGCACCGGTGTGACATTACGACCGGCGATTTGGGTTTCATCTGTGCAGTCGTCCGTCCCGCTGGGAATAGAAGCCGACTGGGACGACTTGACACGCTCGTTGAAAATATTTACCAGCCAATGTGAAAGCGTCCAAGCCACGCTTTCGTCTTCGTGGAGAGTCTCCTCGTCCGGGCTTACTGCCAAACGTCCAAGTTTGAATAGTTCTGCCGCTGGCAATGCGGATGCCGTCCGCTGAAGAACCTGTCGGTTGACTTTGCCGGATACAAGTAGTGGCCACCGCGGGAGTTGTAGGAACAGAGATGGAACCATTGCTGGCGATAAAGCGTGCTGAAGCGCTTCCTGGGCTCTGAGAGCTAGCGAAGTGAATGTAGGAGAATGCGAGGAAAACACTTCTTGTTCTCCTGGCGCATCTTTAGGGTCATCGTCGGCGTGAAGGTGGATCATGGCCACAAGGACAGGATGGACATTTGCCCCCCCAGGAATAATTACTGCTGCAATTGCCATGCAGTTCGCATCGAGAACCTGATGAAGGTGGTGTTCGAGCACTGGAAGATCTAGGCGCTGACCGCGAACCTTGATCTGTTGGCTAATACGACCTAAGAATGTGCAAGTGCCATCCTCGTTGTACCGTCCAAGATCTCCGGTTTTATACAGACGGTTTTGTGGGTTAGAGGTAAATTGCGATACCCAGTCAGCAGACTCGAGAAACACTTCTCCCGTCTTCTGGGGGTCGTTCAAGTATCCCCGTCCAACAATCGGGCCCTGAATAATAATCTCGCCAATTGTCCCAACAGGCACTAAAGAATGATGATTCTCTTGATGTACCAGCCAAAGACGTGATCCCATTCCTGCTCCAATATTGCGCACATCCATGTTTGCAGGGTCGATTGGATAGGCCGAGGCGCCAGTACAGCACTCAGTCGGCCCATATCCACAGAGAAGCCGAACGCGAGATCCCCAATATTCCGCCTGCGCAGGTAACATAGATTCTCCGACCGCAACCAGAGTCTCAAGGCTTGAAACATCGCCCGTGTCAATCAATCTTAACATTGATGGCGTGATCACCATCCAGGTGGCCTGGAATCGTCGAATTGTTTGAACAATGTCATGGCGACAATCTTGTTCTGTTGGAACGCACACCGTCCCTCCGGCGCAAAGGGTTGTAAGAATCTCCACAGCAAAGGAGTCAAAGGCGTAAGAAGAGAGATGAAGGACTCGAGATGCCGAGTTGATATGAAGATGTTTCTGCTGAGCCACAGCGGCCGCGGCAAATTGGCAGTGCTCGATCATCACTCCTTTTGGTTGACCCGTCGATCCGGACGTGAAGATAATGTAGGCGATATCTTTGCTTGTTGGAGATTGTCCGGGTGCAATCTGAAGTTGGCTAGGGCAATCCAGATCTTCCAACTGGGGACCAATTACATACACGGAGTCAAGCCCAAGACCGTTGGCCTGGGCGACCAAATTCTCGGACGTCAGGACTAGTTTTGCCTCGACTCTCTGGCAGAGGGCCTGATGGTGAGCCTGTGGCTGGTCTTGATCTAACATGATAAATGGGGTGCCGGCTTTCATAGCGGCGAGAATGGCCACAGCAACCCATCGTGAGTGAGAAAAGAGAATGCAGCTCACAGTACCATGCAATGTACCTTTGGCTTTCAAGTCTGAGGCAGCTATTGAGGACAGACGATCTAATTGGGCGTATGTCAAGTCGCCATCCCATGCGGACAAGGCGATCTTGTTGGGCCGAATAGTGGCCCTCTGGCCGATCACCTCCTGCACGCAGTAGTCACAGCTCTCTGGTATATCACTATGCCACTTCGAAAGCTGAGCTCGATCGCCACGGCAGAGCAAGTCGATGTCACCAAGCAATCGAGTGTCTTCTCTGAGCTCATGAAGCAGATGACTGAACTGCTCGAGCATCTGCGACGCCTGTCGCTGTGAGACCAGGGCTTCATCTACAAGCAAAGTGTAGGACTGACGTTGTGGATGAGGGTGGCAAATGAGGATCAGCCCAAATCCGGGGAATCCTTGCACACCCCCTCCTAGACGAACCTCAATATTGCCCAGTACTGGTGATTCAAATACCTCGGGATCGGATTGTACCACGAGCAGACTGCGGAATTGACACGCTAGAGCGGCATCGGAGCCCGTACGGGCAATATTTTGCAGACCGGAGTGCTCGAACGGAATTCTTCGAGTCATTGTTTCTTCCATCTGCTGAAGCATGTCCCGAACGGTCGATTGGCGCTGAAGTTGAACCCTAACGGGGACAGTGCTCAACGTGGGCCCAGCTACTGCTTCAATGCCAGGAAGATCTACCCGGCGCCCGTCCATTACATTGCCAAATACAACATCTTGTGTGCCACTGTAAAGGGAAAGTAACATCGCCCAAGCCAGGCATAGTCGTGTCGTTGGGCCGGCGACTGTAGCCGGGGCAGATGATGTGGTCAAGGGCATTTCAACATCCCTGTGGACGACGGTTGCCGCTCGAGGATAGTAATCCGGAGCTGGATACTCAGGGAAAGTGATCGGCTGGACATCAGCCATCTCACGCCGCCAAAATTCAGCAGTGGCAATAGAATCCTGCTTCTGTTGCAGATGCTGGACAAAGAGGGAGAACGGCAACGGTTGCACAACAGAAGAGCCCTGGTAGGTTTGCTCCACTAGCCTCAGTAACAGTGAAAATGTCCATCCGTCGTATATGGCGTGATGAATTGTGATTGCCAAAGTCTCCGGCTCTGTTGCAACACGACTTAGGCGGAACAGCGGTGATCCGAAGGCTATTTCAACAGCACAGTCACCCGTCAAAAAACTATCGACATCTGGGTATAACGTGGGGACTATTTCAGTGTTACGGATCACGACCTGGAATGCGGGGCTTCCAGAAATCTGCACGATCCGGGTTCTTAGTGTAGGGACCCGCTCAATGACCAGTTTCCAAGCATGCTCGAGGCGATCAAAATCGGTAGTCGGAGGAACACCGCAGAGAAATCGGTCGACGTACGCGTCCGACGCCGATCGGGTAGTGAGAGTGAGCAGACCCTCTTGCAACGGTGTACAAGGATACATATCCTCAATTTGAGCATCAGAAACACCGCACTGCGTGGCAGCACTCTCTCTCAAGGCTGTAACCCGATCTTCAGGGATCATCAAGGAGAACGGAACCGGTACACAGGCACGAGCTAGCGTCATCTGTTGGACTGTTGCTGCGAGCTCAGTCAGAGTCCAACTTCCGGTAAGAATGTCCTCCACTCGCGGAGTTAGGCCATTTTCTACTAGATGTCTTGCCAGCTGAATTGCTGTGACGGAATCGCCTCCAAGCTGCCGGAAGGATGTCTCCATGTCGATCATGGATTTATCCATTCCAAGGATTTTAGCAACGTTATCAACGATGAGATGCTCGGTCTTGTTCTTTGGAATTTTGGGGCATGGAGAACCACATTCGGATGATGATGACGATGTAGACTTTGGATTGAGCCAGGACACAAGATCTGTATGGGACAGTGTGCACACAGAGGCTCGCAAGCGCTTTTTATCCACCTTGCCGGTAGCGCCGAGGGGGAGACGAGTCAGCGGAATCAAAAAGGCTGGTACCATGAAACGAGGTAGACAGTGGGAGAGCTCGTTTTGTAATTGTGTAGCTTCCATGATGTATGTGACTGGATCGCGTATAGGCCGCGTGGTAGGGGCCAGATGCTCTTCCTCAGCCCACTCCGCACCGGCAGGAGTTTCAATAAAGCCTATCAGCACTGGGTCCGTCCTTTCATGGCGGCCATCTAATAACACTGCGTCTACAGCGACCTGGCGCTGTGGCTGGAGAGTGCGGATGGCCACCTCCACAGCATCCACATCAACACGCTGTCCGTTGATCTTGACCATAGTGTCCTTTCGCGAGACATATCGTACACTTCCATCAGCATTGTATTGGCCGAGGTCTCCCGTTTTGTAGAAATGACCCTGTACTGGAGCCGAGAACATCGACCGCCACTTAGGCGGCGAAACGAACACCTGCTCGGTGCGAATGAGATCATTCAAGTAGCCCCGACCAACAATGTGACCTTCAATAACCAGCTCACCCACTGCTCCAACCGGACTCAGGTGGTCAGAATCATCCGGCCGCACGATCCAGATGTGGCAGCCAGCGCCACGACCGAACGTCCCTGGAACCCAGCTCTTTGGTACAATTTCACAGCCCGCTGCACCAGCACACTCCGCAGGACCCCAGAGATCAAAGAGACGGGCGTGGTCTTTCCATTGCAATACGAGATCTCGTGTCACGTTCTCGCCTCCAAGAACGATGCTCTCTAGACCGGGTAGATCGCCGGGCCGATAAGCGCGTAGCATGGTTGGGGTGAAGAATGCCCAAGACGCGCGGTGATCTTGAATAAAGGTACCTAGATCGAGAAGTCGCTGAGTTTCGGATGGAATACAGAGACAACCACCACGGGCTAGTGCATACCACGTCTCAATGACGCTCATGTCGAAGGCGTATGAGGAAAATTGCAAAATCCGAGACGTAGGTTTTACATTGACTGCAAGGCCGTGGTAATGCGCCGAAGTTGAAATAGACTGATGAGTTAGAAGTACTCCTTTTGGATTTCCGGTGCTACCTGAGGTGAAAATCACGAATGCCAGATCACTGGGATCTGAAGATACCGTAGCCAATGTCACATCGGAGCAGTTTTCGGAGGCCGGCGCGTTTTCGAGGACATCAGGAACAATCCAGGGAACGCGTTGAATACCTTGAAGTCGGTGAGCTTGTGAGGGCGAACAAAGAATAATTCCAGCGCCGGTTTGCTCGAGAATTCCTTTGACGTATGAGTCGGGATGACTGTTGCAGAGACCAACACAGGCTCCACCAGCCTTCAGGACGGCCAAGACGCTGACAACCATCCATTTAGACTTTTCAAACAATAGAGGTACAATTGTTCCTTTGGAGAGCCCGCTGTGCACCAGCCGAGAAGCCAGGCTGTCAGAGAGCGCATCAAGCTCGCCATAGTTGAAGTTTCCATCCCATGCCGAGATCGCGGGAGTGGAAGGGTCATTCTTGGCATGGGCAGTGACCATATGATGAAAGCAACTTGAGATTGGTGGGAATGTTTCACTGTTCCATTCATGAAGCGTTGTTTGGTCAACAGTTGGCATCATATTCAAAAGTTGCAATGACTTTGTCGAGCTTGAGATGATCTGGCGAGTAATGTGTGCAAACTGATGCATTATCCTGACAGCAACATCTATGGAGCCCAGGGCAGAGGAGTATTGAACATGAAAGAAGAAACGACGTCCTGATGCTCCTGGCACGATTATTAGGCGCAAGATCTCGTTGTTCTCAAGATCAAGATTGGAGTGATCTTTCCAATTTGAAGGATGCTTCGCGGCTTGAGAAGCACCAGCTATACCGTCACAGCTATCAGAGCTCCATGGCATAATGACTGACACATGGGACCCTTGTACATCCTCACTCCCATTCTGCTTTGAAGTGACGAACTCTGAGCCGGAGGCACTGAACTGCTGTTGTTGTTTTTCGAGGTCGTCGAGAACAGTTTGTATATTATGTTCAGATGAGACATGAACAGTGGTGCTATTCTTTGCCTTTCTGATCACTGTACTGTTTTTGGCCTCAATTATATCTGCTTCGAGCTGAACAGCAATTATATCTGCTTCGAGCTGAACAGCTGTGGAGCATCCGTATTGGGCAAGTAGAACTGCCCAACTGAGACGAAAGATGCTCGACCAAGGGACAGTAACTCCTTCCCTGGCAGTGGTAGGGATGGAGACAGCCTCATTTAGACTGAGTGCCTGCTGATCTTGAGAACTACCGGGGAGGGTTGTAAAAGGACTTCGTGCTGTAATGTGCAGCCATTGGTCCGAAGGTCCAATGATTGTTTGCCCTGGCTGCTCCATTGTCACAGCCTGCGTATGGTAATAGAAGTTCAAAGACTAGGAGATTGAAGCTGGGAATAAAGACAATTTCTAATGCCGGATCCGAAAGAAAGACAATCAGGCCTGGGTTGTTCTTGATCATCTTGAGCTAGAAATTCCATATCAGCCGTACATGCATGAAGAATTGGAATGTGGCCCCGATCCATCCAAACTACTAGTCTATGATCACACCTAGATGCTCGATGCATGACCATATCATGCAGTCATGCAACTTTACACTCACCGTACCATATGGGCATGCCCAAATCAATTGAGGTCTTCCACATTGCGCCTCCCACCAATTAGTTCTTCCAAGTTTGTGTTAGATATTGATCATGGGAATCCTCCTTGCATCGACCATGATCAACATTGATCCCCCTACTTGACGCATCACTCCCCCTGCTTCAAGCAAAAAGAAAGAAAGCCATCGAATTTGTTTACCTTAGCAGCAATATTATATGCACATGCATGCACTTTTTTTTTTAATTCAGATTGTCTACGTACTGAAATCAATGGTGCAATGCGCACTTGAGAAACTCCAGTGACAGGGCCTATAGGGTCGAAGTATGGTGGAAGTGAATATCTCCTTATATTGATGAAGAGCAAAGACCTGGCTTTCGCATGGTCTTAGAAAGCAAACGGTCATCATGATCCTGTCCTTTGCCATCCTAACTGCCGTCCTGGCTTTTGGATTACGGCAGTCACCCCTTTTTTCAACACAACCCCACTGTCGCTGTCAACCTGGTAGCGCCTGTTGGCCTTCACAGGCGAGCTGGAACTATCTGAATACCTCGATTGGTGGTAACCTCGTCGCTCTTCGTCCAGCAGGCAGTGTCTGTTTTAAAGATGAATTCACACCCGACGCATGTGAAGACTTTGTGAAAAACTTTCACAACACCAATTGGCGTGTGCAGAGTCCAGGTAGGTCTTTGTCTGGAGCTATGAACTACTCTTTCATGTCATGTCTCGCTGACTATGGGCTCTACATCATACACAGCCTCCTTACAGGTGGTCAATTGGGAAAATCTGCGGTCAAGGGAAGAAAGTTGTCATGTCAGCCCCGACGGCAACATAACGCAGTGTGATCAGGGTCGAGTTGCCAGATATTCCGCCAAGGTAGAAAGCGTTTCTCAGGTGCAAGCAGTCATTGAATTTGCAGCCGCCAATGACCTTCGTCTTGCTATTCGCAATACTGGACATGATCTCGCCGGCCGCTCGACAGCGGCCGATTCGATCCAAATTCACACAGCTGGGCTGAAGGGAATTCAGCATACCGAGTCATTTCATCCCTCTGCACCATGGGGGCAAGTTGTCGAGTCTGAAGGCCCTGCGGTTACAGTCGGTGCCGGTGTGATGACCGGAGAGCTCTACTCGGCCGCCGCTGAAGGGAAATATACCGTCGTCGGTGGAAGTTGTAGTACTGTCGGTATCGCGGGTGGCTGGATGCAGGGTGGCGGTTATGGTATTCTTAGTCCCTCCAAAGGACTGGGCGTTGATAACGTCTTGGAGCTAAACATTATCACAGCCAAGGTGAGCAAACAGCATGGTCGGTTGCTATGGCATCGAACTATAACTGATGTGATTTACACAGGGATCCTACGTCACGGCCAACCGCTATCAGAATCAAGATCTTTTTTGGGCCGTTCGTGGAGGAGGTGGTGGCACCTTTGGTGTTATCACCAGCGTGACATTTCGCACTTTTCCAGATGTACCCGCAACTATTGCCAAGCTGAATGTGATAAGTCCAAATGGACCTGACGAGCCATTCTGGAATGCAGTTCAGGGGCATCTTGGCGGTCTAACTGCCTTGATTGATCAAGGAATTGCGACTCAATCCTTTGCTATTCCCAGCTTTCCCTTAGGTGGCGCCCTTCTCACCAGTGAGATTTATTTCATCAACCAGACTGATGACGCCGGGTCTCTACTGGTTCAGGACTTTGTCAAACAGGTCAAGGATCTCGGCCTCCATGTCGATTACTCTGAAGAGCATTTCGACCAACTCTCCACCTACCAAGCTATCCCCAAAGGCTTGGAACAGGCCGGAGTAGGAATCATGACAGCCTCGAGGCTGGTATCACGAGACTTAATAGCCTCGTTGGACGGCCCGGCGACCATGGCTCGAACACTATCCCGGTTGCATTTCAATACTGGGGATGCTCTGAGCTTTGAAGGAATAGCAGGTGGAAAGATCACCGGTACTAACAAAAGCATTGAAAGTGCCGTTCACTCAGATTGGCGTTCTGCAATCATGTCCCTGACTCTTGCACGAGCCCTTCCACTGGAGCCAAATTGGGAGACGTATCGGACGGTGGAGAGCGAGATAAATGATATACAACTTCCATTGTTGGAGTCGTTGGAACAAGGAGAGAGAGGGGGTTACTTGGGTATTCCATTTGCGCACGAGAGACAACCTACACACACTTTCTGGGGTTCTAAATATATTCGCCTGCTAGAGACCAAGCGTCGTTGGGACCCTAGCGACCTCTTTGTCACCCGGTTGGGAGTGGGTAGTGAGGATTGGGATGAGGAAGGCATGTGTCGAATAGCTTCCAGCAATCTCATGGAAACATTATTGTCCTGGTTCCGAGAGAGTTGCGGATCTCTCACAGGGGTCCTCTGAAGTCTCGGAGCCACGCGATACTTAGAATAGAGCTACTATTTTGAGCCGTCAAATATCTTACTCGTGCCATTCAACTAGCATGGTTCGAAACCGCTAGATCCTGTAACTTCATGTCACTAGATCAGGACAGGCTGTCAGAACCCACGACCTTGACGTGTAACCCTGCAATAGTATCGTCTTGATGTCAAATGTATGAAGCAACGGCAAATATGATTAGCCTGAGTTACATTCCAAGAAATCATCCTCCCCCGAAAGTCGGGTCGCAAGGGGATAGTTCTGGGCACGCCATGAGGCCACTGAGATGATTCATGTAGACGTGGTGCATCGTAGAAAAGAAGCGACTGGATGTGACATCCCTTGCCTCATTTTCGTCAGAATCAAGGAAGATCTTTCTCAGCTGGAAACCCCCACAAGGTCGCGGGTATCTCACGGGTCTTGCCGTGATCGCGTGAGGATCACGTAGACAGAGCTTATTTTGTCTGCAAATGTCTAAACTGACTGTAAGGGGGTTTACCCAGTGATGCGAGCTGCAGAGCCCACATTGACCAATCATAGTGGACTTACATACGCTCGAGGATTCTATTTTCCACTGTGGATCAACTAGCGTCGATCGTCTCTGGATCTCCAAGGACCTCGCCTGGGCACCGTCTGCATATGTAGCTATTTCTTTGTCATGATTCATGCATCATGCGCCAACTCTGGAAAAGCCCACACAGCGTCGTTAGCCAATGTTTACACGGCGATGCACACTCGTCTCTCCACCTTTCTGCAGGTCCTGCACAGCAATCGAACTTACCAACTGCAGGAATTTCCACCTGCGTCTTCAACCTCCTTACTTTGTGGTCCTCTTCAGCCGAAGTTGGAGCAATTGTTGGCAACCACGTAAGAGACAATGAATCGAAAAGTGGGTTGAGACACCTACTGTACAGTACTTTGAATCTATCGCAACCATGGATTTCGAGGCGCATAAACTTTCTGTCTACGGAATGGCGGTGAGAGTTCAGCTACCAAACACGCTGATGCACGTTCTGGATTTGATACGTTCTATACTTGCCCGAACCTGTTTTCTACATCCCTTTCTTCACTTATTGGAGCAGAACCACCCGACATCTTGATCTTGGGCAATTAAGGAGAAAACAGCCATCAAAATCACCATGACCACGCCTGCTATTGGGGAATCAACCGAAGCTCTGCAGCAACGAAGCCAACAATACAAAGGCTTCAATCCTATTCAATATGCGTGGTTTGACAATGAGGACAGCAAAAAATGGTGGGATCAAACGGCGCCGATTCTTACACGGGTCTTTGAAGCAGCCAAATATGATGTCCAACAGCAATACCTCTACATGACACTCTATCGTACTTTTCTCATTCCTTTCCTCGGCCCTCATCCAGGTGATTGGGGTTCATTCATCACGTATTCCGGCATCCCGGTCGAGTTCAGCATCAATTACCAGGACAACGGCCCACCAACCTGCCGGATCGGTTGGGAGCCCGTGAGCCATGCTTCAGGAACAGCCCAGGACCCCTTCAATAACGGCACAGTGGCTGAGGCCATGACGGCCATTGGTCAGCTGAAATTGAAAGGGCTCGAGACGGGGCTCTTCGATCATTTTGTCCAGACGTTGACCGTCAACTCGCAAGATGGTGCCGGCGTCGATGTGGCTCAGTTGCCCATATCCCGTTTCAGGAATCAGGTTGCGTTTGGTTTGGACCTCAAAGGCGGAGGGGTTACCATCAAATGCTACATATATCCAGCCCTTAAGGGCTTTGTAACGAAGAAGCCCTTCCGGGAGTTGCTGGATCATGCTATCCAGACCAGCGATGATGTGATGAACTGTGCCAATTATCTGAAGGGTGTCAGTGACTACTTAGAAGGAGCAGGTCTCTACAACCAGTACTCCTTCATCGGCTTCGATTTGGTCGACGGGTCGAAATCTCGGCTCAAAGTGTACAACACCATCCAAGACGTCACCTGGGCCAAGCTGGAGCAAATCTGGACTCTAGGTGGAAGCTTTGCCCACGATACCTCCATTCAACGAGGCCTCGGGTTTGCTCGAGAGTTGTGGCAGCTCCTGACACTTCACCTTGACAAGATGGCGGTCGGAATCTGGAACTATGAGCTTACTCCAGGGGGGATGGTTCCGAACCCCAAGTGGTATTTCATTCTCACTGGACTGAATGATCTGGAGAATGCACAGGCAATTATTAAGTTCTACCAGTCACTCGGGTGGCTCGAATTGGCTGAATCTTTCATTTCGACCTTCCAGAGTTATTTGTATGTTCTGACATTCCCCCCTTTAGATACCAGTTGACCACAGCTAACTTGTACCTTACAGCCCGGATTCTGACTTTTCTACAACTGACAATCTCCTGCAATACGTCTCTCTGGCCTATTCGGAGAAAACGGGTGTTTATTTCAGTGTATACTATCACTCATCTCGTTAGAATCTTTTCAGTATAGCTCAATCACTTACTCTTTAAATTTGATACTGGCCCGATGGCTCCTAGGTAAAACTCTCGATGTCAAAATGAACTTCGATACCCTACTGGTGCATTCGTTGACTAATATATAATCGTTGAACATTGGCGTTTGTGCCTCACTTCACTGCATCATCAGTCGTTGCAACAAAATACTTGGAGACTAGACAACTATCGAGTATGAGTATATTTCTTACCATCTCAGCTGACTCATAACACTTTTCAAAGAAGAAGTCTGATTTTCTGATTAGAGTCCTCTCTAAACCTACTACAGTACACCCTGTGCGTGATTACGTATGTCTCACTGTTGACAGTGCCCAGTTTGCACCGCCAAACTGCGAGCCAGTCTTCCTCATTTCAACAGATGTAAGATATGAATAAGTCATGTAGTCTTGAATTCTGCGGCATTTTGCGTGGCACATGTTTACCTCGGGAATAGGTTCCGTCAGTCATATCAGCAGTCTACTATGTAAAGTATTTATCATTAGGGAACCTCTCTTCACGTAAATGAGTATTACACATATAACCTATTGGGCGCTCACTTAATTTCATGATAAAATATCGGACTATCTTCGGTAAGCCTCATTAACACCCATATCAATCATCTTGCTTCTATGTTGAATTTCCCCCATGCTCTCTACATTATATGTCGACCTTTGTGTCGCATTAGACTGCCATTGCGCCATTCCTATTTCAATCAGAAAAAAGTAAAAGAATCAAAAAAATACGATTGGCGAGTAAATACATTCTTCGTGCCCATGTCTACTGTAGAAATGGCCGGGCTCATTATGGCACAAGCTATACAGTCTGCATCACAACTGTATCTCAAACGGTTGATACCAAAATTGAGGCTGTTGATCTGGGCAAACACCCCGACTATTCCACTACAAGACACGGCTTCAGCCAGCCCATACCTTCGCACCGTGTGATCTCTCTACTGTACTCAGTAACATACGTCATGCGGGATTATGTGATGCGATTTTGATAGCTCACATGCAGTATCTGTGTAGTACAACAGCATGTATGAGGTAACGCTATTGTCTATTACAGTTTGACCTGCACCTTGGGACAGAATTCGTATTGACAGCGCGCTTTAGACATCACTCCGGGCTTGTTGCAGAGCTATTGAACGCAGTACACCATGCTGCTGATCTGTATGCATATTGGTTCAGCTTGACTGTGCAGGCCTTACTACTGTGGAACACCAATCAGTTCTACACCGCTTGACAGCCTTGATACATTTCATATACTACTCAATGAGGTAGAATGTCGGTGAAATCCTGCTTCACTACTGTAGAATCTCATCGAGTGACAGTGCAGATGACAATGTGCAGTCTAAGGGCCCGACCACTCTGTTCTAATTTGGCTCAGATTTATAGCATACGCTGTATATGCACTTAGAAATAATAAATGAACGAAATTCGGGAGGGATTTTCAGTCTGAGTCCCGTCGAATGGTATTTTAGTAGGAACCACCCGTGAGCTGATCGTTTTCAATATACTCAAACTTGGAGCACAATATCCAAAACACATCATTTGAATTTTACTCCAAAGCACCGGCAAGCCATCATGACAGTGACTACCAAGCAAGACTCCAAGTCGGAGGTGACAGAAATTCCTGAAGTCTTTGTGGGTAAGCAGCAAATCGACGATGCTCTCGCTGCGGATGTCATCAAGCACATGGAAGTCGCTGGCGTTTGCATTCTGAGGAACATCTTCGACCAGTCCATATTAGACCAGATTCTTGAGGATTTTGAGCCACATGTGCCTAAGACTGACTCTTTTATTGGTAAGCAATGCCTTGAGCCGTGCTTAGATTCTCACATCAGCCCCCTCAGAAGTTCTGACCTTTTCGATAATAGGGTACACTGCGAACGGTTGCCAGATGACCGGTCTTGTGACCAAGTCGGAGACCTATGCCCAAAAGGTGATTGGCAATAGTATCTTCGAGAAAGTGCGCAATCATTTTCTCACAAGCCGTTATGGCTGCTGGGTAAGTAAAGCAATATCAACATATCCCGCAATCCTTCGAAAGTTTGAGACTAAGTTGTCACTTTAACAGGTCCAGGAAGGTATCCAAATGGAATTTGAGAATCCGCCGCAGCTTGATTCTACCGTTTGCTTCTACTTGAAGCCTGATTCGCCTGACCAACTGCTGCACCGAGATGATCAAGGTCATCAGAACTGGAATGGAGCAGCCAGCGAGTATGTTCTAGGCCGTGACTCCGGGTGCGCAATGTTTGCTGCTCTCACGGATGCTACAAAAGAGAATGGCACCACGCGCTTCATCCCTGGTAGCCATCTTTGGGACTACAACGTGCCTCATCCCATTGGAAATGACCCTCGGCTTCGCTACGCTGAGCTCAAGGCTGGGGACTGCTTTATGATGCTGAGCAGCGTCATCCACGCCAGCAGCGCCAACACGACAGTGGACAACCGACGTGTTCTCCTCTCTACCCATGTGACTAGAAGTCATCTGCGACAAGAGGAAAACCCTTACTTGACATACGATATTGAGAAAGTTCGAAAGCTTCCTGTATGGCTGCAGAAGTTCCTCGGGTATAACCTGCTCACACCTCTATGCGGCTGGGTTGATAAGAAAGACCCTCTTCTCATCTTGAACCCCGACGCCTCTCCTGATGATCTATACAATGGGTACGGTCGAGAATATCTTGCCTTGAGAAAGGAGGCGGATGAGAAGGCGGCCATTACAGCAAGCGCCTAAACTTTAGTGTGGATCAATTCAATTTTATAGTGGAATTATTGACAATATCTAGTTACAAATTGGACTCTCGCTTCAAGCAATTTCTTTCTATTTCAATTCCAATGTAGCCGAGAGATATTAGAAGGCAACTTCAAGAAATCAATGGAACAATGCAAGTGTATATTATTGAAATGTTGATGCTATTGTGGAAAATTAAAACGCAATCAGCAGCAGGCTGTAAAAAACCAGATAATCAGTACTTGTTCAACTGTCCAATGATTGAACCCACTACTGTAGGGGGACCTGGCCTAGGTACAATTCGCGAAGGCGGTAGATAAGCCAGCTGTATACATCCATGGATGGTCGAGATATGAAACCGCCCATTCTTTCCACATTTGTCAACACACTTATCAACTACAAATTGATGCTATTAAGGACGTCCAAGTTAGCAATTTCCTCCCATGTGAGATCTACCTGCAGGGAATTTTCTGCTACAGCCTGGCTCGTTTCTCTCTGTGCTTCTGTGTCGAGGGATATTGCGGCGAACCTCTTATGAAATGTACTGGAATATGATCTATGAATTAAAGCAACGTATGGGATTCTGTGGCATAAAAGTATACTTGTATACAATGAATGTAATGCTAAGGGCATCCTGCTATATCATCACAAAGCTAACAAGGCGTCAATATATAATCAACTTTTGAATGTCTTACTTTTGATATTTGTCCTTCCTAAAGTATGTTTAATGTTACGATACAAGCAGGGAATGTTGGCGGATAGAGAAGGTACAATATATATAATGTTTCAAATGATTACCGAGTTGTTTAAGTCTGGAGATTCTCTTTTGTATTAGAATCTCCTTATATACCAGAAAACTCTTCCTTAAGCTAGTCCTGAATAGATTTCCTAGGTGATGAATTAATCCGGTTGCCGTCATAGCTCATTCATGGCATGAACCATGGCCGGCCACCATAAATCTCAACAAAGTAGTGAACAGATATTTTTCTTGAAGTTACTTTCAAACCTGGATGTCATCTGCAGTATATTTTTCTATTAAAAAGGAAGAACGACGCGAGAAATCAAATTGTGCTGCAGACAAGACAAGACTGGGGAGGTAACGGGAAGGAAAGAGGAATGGTAAATCTACCATCGCATAATATCATTCAATATCAAAACAGTTATTCAGATTGTTAACTTAAAAGTCAAGTCAAGCTAAGTCAATGCTAATTTTGATTCTCTTTGTTTCTGTTTCTCGACTACAAATCATCTGTATATCTCACTTTTATACGTTAGCAAGTACATACGACCACAGGGTGTGGAGAACAGGGCTTCCCGTCCGCTCAGCCGTACTTAAGCCACACGCCGGTAAGTTAGTAGTTAGGTGGGTGACCACTAGCGAATCCTTACTGTTGTATGTTTTTTTTTTATTTTTTAAATGTGCAAAATCAATCAATCCTCCCCCCCACCTTCACTTCGCTTGTTCTCGTTACGCTCTGCTATCTATCCCTCCTGCTCTATAAGTTATATATATCTATGATCTCTACAAACATTTTCGAAAGAATAAAATGCCAAGTTATACCAAAAAATACATTTAACAGCCGTATTTTATCAGGGGGTGAGTGATATATTTAATGTCTTAGGGCCGCAACAGGAACTAGAAACAAAGCAAATTAAGAACGAGAATGCCATGCGGTCATTCATCACTAAGAGGCTGGTTGTCGAATTCCTCTTAGAGCAAGCCGAATCCTTATAGACAAAGAAAGGTCTTTATGATACACACCGTCTTCCATTACGATGTATACTGACCTTCGTTCTTATTCAGCACCACTTTTCTTTTTCAAAGTCAGTTTAGCCTTTCACAAAAGCCAGAGTATCTAACAACTTTCCTATTCGCACATGGTAGAATAAGATTGATCAACGCGTCTATGATCTTCATATTCAGCCTCTTTCACAAGATTGTGGCTACGTATTCCTGCTTAGGCCGGCAGAGTACGAGATATGCATAAGCCACCATCTCTGATAAATTGTCGCTCTCAGCCGACGGTCTAAATTAATGGACGCATGCTCAGCCCAAATAAGTCCCAGTCGTGGCGAAGACTTCGTTGTCCATTGCTTACTGATGCCTTATATAGTGTCGGGCTTTCGGGGTTCGCGTTAATGTAAGCCAACAAAGTGATTTCAACCATGGACAAGTCTATACGCACTTTGCACATCGGTCGTCATCCTGAACGAGGAAAATGCAAATTACGCATAATCATGACCTAAAATAATTCTTGTCGAGGTTATAATCCTCATTAAACGAGAACCAAGTCGCTTGATATCCATCTAACACATGCAAGCCAAGAAGTTGTGCTCGTATATAATCGTCCACCATTGAGTATTACTGCAATAAGTTAATAACGAAACAGTAAAGATGTCAGATTTGCCAAGCACGGCCTAGACACATGTTTTAGCGTACCACTTTAAATTAAAGTAAATGAAGAGCTTATATACGGGATCAGGATTTCTCTTAGCCAACTAAATATCGCTTCCATTAACAACCCCCCGCAGAACTTCCCCACCTCCGTAATAATGATTCTGTGAACCCTTCGCTTACCACTATCTAAACTATAAACCAAATTTAAACCTAAGTATTTGAGTCATGACTAAATCAGTCTCCATTTAGCGCCGCCCCGTGTATGGACTGATTCGACTTGGAGCCGCAATACGCCTGTCAGCTGTTTTCGGTGGGGGCGACATGCATGCTAGAGAAGCTAAAAAGTGGCAGTGTTCAAAGTGAACCAAGCAATTTGAATTTGGAGTTACTGTCCTCCGCAAAGCTCAAAAATGGGGGCGGAAAGTTCTTATGCATGCAAGTGGTGTCCGTGGCTTTGTAAGATTCGGCATCTCAGGTGAGGCTGGCCACGACCCTCTCTTGGGGGCTTTCTTTTACTTCGGAGATGTCGATTGAGCCTCAGCCTTGCGCCTCAATATTATGTGATCGGTTGAGTTAATTACATATTATTACAGAGCATTACAGAGGAATGGCGGTCAAAGCACGCTGGCTTCTTGCGCTGATATTTATGATAGAAGGCACCAGGGATACGATATATAACAGAAGCCCCTGTAATTTTTGACTCATGATCAAGCAAAGAGTCTCCTGTTTATATTGTGGTTTCTAGTGCTAACCTGGCCAGATGATAGGTCTCACAATCGGAGCAATGGGCAGCCTTTATCTGTGGGTGCTGCTGTTCAGCCAGTTCGTGCTTTCTCTGCGGTATGACCAAGAATTTTCTGAGTACAATCTCAATGAGAACAAAACCGCAAAGGATGTTCTTGATTACTGGGGTCAATGGCCAAAGCATATATACAACCCATCCCCTGCAAACTGGCGATTTCCCTTCTACACATTATTTCTCGATCGGTTTGCTGATGGTAACCCGGAAAACAATGATATTAATGGGACGGTGTTTGAAACCGACACAATTTCAAATCAGTATCGTTTTGGAGGAGACATGGATGGGTTGAGAGAGAATTTGGATTACATACAAGGAATCGGCATCAAGGTTAGCAAACCTTCGGTATATGAGTTGTCTTTTGGGAAAGTAACTAATGACTACTTTCACTCATAGGGAGTCTATATTGCTGGCACGCCCTTCGTCAACTTTCCTTGGAAATCTGACAGCTATTCGGTAGGCAACCCTGACTATATACAATGTGTCAATTTCTAACTGGAAACAGCCCTTGGACTTCAGTTTACTGGACAAACACTATGGCACCATTCAACAGTGGAGATCAGCGATCGACGAAATTCACCGACGAGGAATGTATGTTATGTTGGATAGTACCTACGGAACGTAAGTATCGTGGACCTCCTGGCAAGAAGATATGAAAATGACATTTTTAGTATGGCCGATTTGCTCGGCTTCGAAGGATTTCTCAACAGCACCGCGCCGTTGAATCCACTCGAATACAGAACGGTTTGGAAAGAAGGGCAACAATATTCTGATTTTAGACCGAGCAATCAATACAAGAAAGAGTGCAAGTATCCCACTTTCTATTCGGAGGTGGGAGTGCCAGTTGGAAACGAAACAGCGTTCCTCAATGAACTTAAGGGCTGTTATGACAGTGACTTTGATCAGGTGAGTGTGTCCAATTCAACACAGCAGTCTATCTACTGTCTTAATCCTAACTTTATAATCAGTATGGTGCTATGGACTCTGTGAGTCTAGCGCCTGACTGGCAGAAGTCTCTCGCAAAAGCTGCCTTGGTGCAAGACAGACTTCGAGAATGGGTTCCATCTGTCAGAAAGAAGATCGAACATTTCACCTGCATGTTGATCACTTCTCTTGATATCGATGCGCTCCGCTTTGACAAAGCAGGCCAAATTACAGTAGACGCATTTGCGAGCAGCTCCATGGCCATTAGAGAATGTGCGTCTCTTCTGGGAAAGGACAACTTCTTCATCGGAGGAGAATTCACTGCAAGCAATTCCTATGCATCGATTTACCTTGGTCGCGGACGTGAACCAGACATGAGACCGAGTGATCAGACGGAAAGCATTTCTCTCACCAATGCTTCCGATGATCGATTCTTTCTTCGGCACCCAGAAAAGCATGGAGCAGATGCGGCAGTATTTCACTACAGCATCTATCGTGCGCTTACTAGATTCCTCGGCATGGATGGCAATTTCACAGCGCCGGCAGACACCAGTGTTGATTTCGTCGATGCCTGGAACGATATTCTGATATCCAATGACCTCATCAACGTCAACACTGGGAAATTCGATCCGCGACATATGATGGGAACTAGCAATCAAGATACATTTCGCTGGTCATCCATTCGACAAGGAACAGAAAAGATGCTGCTAGGGCAGTTCATTACATCTCTCCAGCTACCTGGAATTCCTGTCCTGCTCTGGGGTGAAGAGCAAGATTTATATATCCTTGATAGTACAAGTCCACTTGGCATATTCGGTCGGCAACCCATGACCTCGTCACCCTCTTGGCAAATACAGGGATGCTATGGACTTGGATCAAGTCAATACAACGATTTCCCAGTCGAGGCGGCCTTGACGGGATGCCACGACGACAAGGTAGGTATGGATCATCGAGATCCAACACATCCAGTGCGCAACATCATCAAGTCATTTTACCATCTCCGAGAGCAAATTCCTTCGCTCAAAGACGGCTATTATCTCCAGACTCTCTCCAAGCAAACACATAATGTCACTCTTCCCGGATCTGGTGGCACTGCAACGGAACTCGGGATATGGAGTGTTCTTCGTGATCAGTTCCCCGGTGTGAATGACCTTGATCCGACCAACAAGACCGCGGTTTGGCTCATCTATCATAACGAGAACACAACGGTCTCATACGACTTTGACTGCAGTTCGCCTGCCAACAGCTTGCTCGCTCCTTTCGCAGGAGGAATCAAAGTCAAAAATTTGCTGGCGCCTTACGATGAGATTACTCTACAACCAAGCCAAGTCAGGCTAGAGATTCATGGATCTCCTAATTTCAACGGTTGCGTGGACCGAGCTACTTTGAAACCTTTCGAGTTCCGTGCCTACGTCCCAATAGCGCAATGGATACCTCCGCCCGTTGTGATGACAGCATTTACACCAGGTCACGATGCTAGAATCGAATCAAACATCACAGTCGTTGATGAACAGAGTATTGAGATAGAACTTCAGTTCTCGGTAAAGCTTGACTGTGATGCGGTAACAAAAAGTGTCGCTATCTCGTCCACTACCGAAAGTCAGGCAATTCCAAACATCAATGCAGAAAGTGTCTCCTGTGGGACGGTGACACCAGGAACTCCGAAGCATATTGGTCAAATTCCAGGTGCATGGTCCTGGAAAGCAACCTTGGACAACGTAACCCACGGTATACATGTCCTCACTGTCAAGAATGCCTCAACAGCAACAAAATCTCGGTTTACAAATTCGGTTGATCGCTTGATGTTCCGTATTGGGCGCAAAGATAATCCAATGATATTCCCCATATCGGCAAACTACACCAACACTGGCCTCACCAAATTCACTGCTGATGACGGCTTCTTGGTACATCACAATGCCGTCGGTGCAGATAAATGGCGATATTCAACGAACTGGGAGAGCTCATGGAGTCCGTGGAAATACTACGATGGGGGTTCAAGCCGAATAAATAGTCTGCCTTGGTCAGGTACAAAGCAACAGCGATGGGAGGGCGATCATGTTATTCTTCAGTATTGGAGCAAAGCGGCTGGAAGTGGTCAACATATCCAACATATGGACTTACGAGGGAAGGACAAGGCACCAAGGCGATTTCCCCATCTATTTGCTTTTGGAGATTTCAATCGCTTCGGCAAAGACATTGGCCTCAAAAGTGCTTTCTCTCACGATAGCAAGGATGGCGCATGGAAATTCCACCTCTCTGCTGAATGGCCCTCGAGACTCCAAATTAATGTTTGGGGATTGAACGCGGACAACGAGCTTGATCGTACCCTCATTCTTGGAAACACCCTGAACAGCAGTCGACTCAATCGACTTCAACCTGACTCACTTTCAGTTGCCGATAATATTGTCAACTTTACTGAATATCCGCCTGCACCATACATGGCCTACCGAATGGAACTGAACGATGGCGACATGCGATTTGAGCTGGTTCCCACTGGTTTGCGCTTGCACCAACAGATCATATATTTACTGCTGTGGATCCTTCCTATACTGACCGCGGGACTTAGTGTCCTGATTTACATGGGCGCATTCTACAACATCAGTTTCAACCGCACAGGTGTCAGCTTGCCATTTCATATTCTACCTGCATTCCTCCGCCCTCGTCAGAGATTCGAGAAATTGAGTGGAGAAGAGACCAAAGCAGCATCCATGACTGAAATGGCTGTGGCATCTACCCCGGGGATGTTCCCATTGGCAGCTTCAATCTCCTCGAAGAAAAAGCGGACTGTTTTACTGGCAACCTTGGAATACGACATCGAGGATTGGGAAATCAAAATCAAAATCGGTGGACTCGGCGTCATGGCCCAGCTCATGGGAAAAAACCTTCCACATCACGACATCATCTGGGTGGTACCCTGTGTTGGGGGAGTCGACTACCCAATCGACACATTAGATGAGCCTATGGCCGTCACCATCGCCAATAGTGTATACGAAGTGCAGGTCCAATACCACAAGTTGCGAAATATCACGTATGTTCTTCTCGACGCCCCTATCTTCCGCCAGCAAACCAAATCAGAGCCATACCCCCCTCGGATGGACGATCTTCACAGTGCAATCTATTACAGTGCCTGGAATGCCTGTATCGCCGATACTGTCAAACGTTTCTCCCACTGCATTGACATCTATCATATCAATGACTACCACGGTGCAGTGGCACCACTATACTTACTCCCGAATACCATTCCGTGTTGTTTGTCGCTACACAACGCTGAGTTCCAGGGTTTATGGCCGCTTCGCGATCAGAAAGAGCTTGATGAAATCAGCCAAGTTTTCAACCTCGACGTTGCTATCATTCGCAAATATGTGCAGTTTGGCGAGGTCTTCAACCTGCTTCATGCGGGAGCCAGTTACCTTCGAGTGCACCAACGTGGGTTCGGTGCGGTCGGAGTCTCAAACAAATATGGAGATCGCTCCTACGCGAGATATCCTATTTTTTGGGGCCTTAAGGAAATTGGCAAGCTTCCTAACCCGGATCCTTCGGACACAGAGCCATGGGATCCCGAGACAGAGGCCAACCAAGTCATCAAGGTTGACCAGGCATACGAACAATCCCGTGGAGATGACCGTTCCAAGGCGCAAAAATGGGCCGGACTGAATGTCGACCCGGCTGCTGAATTGTTTGTGTTCGTTGGTCGGTGGTCGGTTCAGAAAGGTGTTGATCTAATTGCCGATGTCTTCCCGGCAATTTTAGAGAAGCATTCAAACGTCCAGTTGATCTGTATCGGCCCTGTCATTGACATGTACGGGCAAGTTCGCCGCGCTTAAGTTGGAAGAGATGATGAATCTCTACCCAGGAAGAGTATTCTCTAAGCCAGAGTTCACGGCCTTGCCTCCCTTCATCTTTACAGGAGCCGAGTTTGCTCTTATCCCATCGCGCGATGAACCATTTGGCCTTGTGGCGGTCGAGTTTGGTCGTAAGGGCGCATTAGGTGTTGGAGCTTTAGTCGGTGGACTCGGTCAAATGCCCGGTTGGTGGTTTCCCGTGGAGTCCATGACAGTGAAACATCTCCAAAAGCAATTCAAGTTGGCCATCGAAAGTGCCATCGGATCAAAGCAGAAAGATCGCGCCATGATGCGAGCAAGTTCAGCTAAGCAGCGCTTCCCCGTGGCTCGATGGGTCGAGGACCTCGATCATCTGCAGGCGCAGTCAATTCGTATGCATGAGCAGGAGAATGATCCTTCGCGGAAGAAGCGATCAAGTGCCCGATACTCGCGCAACTTCAGCCAAATGTCCTTTTTCTCGGGGCAAACTTCAACTCCGAACCTTGATGAGATGAATCCCCTACCCAGAACTCCTCCCCAGATTCCGGATGAAGGTCTTCAGCGAACTCTCTCATTGGGAGTTCGGGCCGGCCCTGGCCATCAGATCAGACGTACTGTTTTACATGAGGGTACTGCATTAACGCCCAGACTGGAAGAAATCTCGGATCCTGATGAACAGCCCATCTCTCCAGAAGCAGCGGAGGCAATCATAAAACAAGGGCAGCATAGCTCTTCATCATCTGTGACTGGGATTGACGAAGGCCAACGAGGTAGATCTCTTTCGGTGACAACTCTATCACAGCCTTCAGCGGTAGCTGGTCTTGGAAATAATGACGCACATTCAAAATCAAGGGGCAGGCTGAGGTCCTCCTCGGTACTAAGCGTGGACCAGATCAAGGGAACACGTGAAAGTTTCTCCCTGGAGACTGCAGACCCGACGTTCAAAGACGAAAATGGCAAATATGCTCGCTATTTCCAGGGGATGCTGCAACGCTTGACTGGCAAGAATTCAGAAACCGATCTTTGCATTGAAGAGTTCATCGTGAACAGTGAGAAGGAATGGTCTGATGGCATGCGTGAAGTCAAGCTGGGTCGTGTATCCAGTCGCAGCCCTTCGCCTTATCTTGGATCTCGAAGATCTCCATCTATTAATGCTCAAGACGATGACGTTGAAGATGATGGCTCCAACTATGAAGACTTGTCAACTCAAGTACTACTGCGACCTGCAGCCTTCAGTCGACCGCCCTTGATCCAACGCTGGCTATTGAGGCGCGTATTCGATTGGCCGGTCTACTCAATTATTCTGGCCTTGGGCCAGATAATGGCTGCCAATTCCTCTCAAATTACCTTGCTCACCTCACCATCAGGTTCCAGTCCCGCCAGTCTCTACATTTTGGGAAGTATGTATATTGTCACAACTTGTGGTTGGTGGTTGGCATTCCGGCGCATCCCGTCATTTTATCTGCTCTCGCTACCCTTTGTATTCTACAGTATTGCATTTTTGGTTATCGGTATTGCAGCATTTATTCCCAAGGGTGGCGGTCAGGATTGGGCTTACCACATTGCCACTGCCTTCTACATCATCGGATCCTCCAGTGGATACCTCTTCTTTTCGCTCAACTTTGGAGATGATGGTATGTTCTGTAATCACCCCCGCTATAAGACTTTTACTCACTATCTTATAGGTGGCTCGAAGATTGAATCTTGGGTGTATCGCGCCTGCATTATTCAAGGAACTCAGAATCTCTATATCGCCGCGCTCTTCTTTTGGGGCTCTGATATCGCATCAGGAAACGGCAGAGCCGTTATTGAAAACGCGGGCGCTGTTGCCGCAATCACGATGCCAATATCAGCTCTCTTGTTCGGTATCGCCGTAGTCCTGTTCACCGGTCTACCCAGTTACTACCGTCAAACCCCCGGAAAAATCCCGGCATTCTACAAGAGCATCCTCCGCCGCAAGATCATAATCTGGTTTTCAGTCTCCGTGGTCTTACAGAACTACTTCCTCAGCATGCCCTATCAACGAAACTGGAATTATCTCTGGGCATCCAAGTACGTGCCACGCTGGGCGATCTTCCTGCTTGCCGTGGCATTCTTCATCGGAGTCTGGTATGTGCTCCTAGCTCTATTAGCTTGGCGATCCAAGAGCCATTCCTGGATCATGGCCATCTTTGCTATTGGACTCGGTGCTCCTAGATGGGCACAGATGCTGTGGAGCACATCTGGCATTGGCTGGTGGGTGCCGTGGATGGCGGGCGGGCCAACTGGATACGCGATCGGCGCTCGCGCAGTTTGGCTCTGGCTAGGAGTCCTGGACTCCATACAGGGAGTAGGATTCGGTATGATCTTGCTACAGACACTCACTCGAATTCATATCGCGGCGTCACTGTGTGCCGCACAATTGATCGGTACAATTACTACGTTGATTGCTCGCGCCAGCGCTCCAGATCGAGACGGACCGGGAGATGTGTTCCCTGACTTTTCGGCGGGTATTATCGAGGGAATATCAAAGCCCTGGTTTTGGATTGCATTGAGCTGTCAATTAGCAATACCTGTTGGGTTCTTCATGTTTTTCCGCAACGAACAGTTGAACAAACCTTGATTTGAAGAGGAACAAGGGAGGGGAGAAGGGGTTTCGGGCTTCCTTTTCGCTTATTATTTTTCGCTTATTATTTTGTCTCTCATGCATATAGACGTGTTCTCATTTTAGTATCATATGTGGAATTCTGGACACGATCCTCACTATTTTATTAATAAAAGTCGCAATTAGTGTCTTTCATTGGATCAAGCTATTTCAAGAATTTGAGGCATCGATCCCGACACATTGATGAGACAGCCGACCAGCGTTGGTGAATCTTGAGTCACCATTACAACTTAGCTGCCTCGCGTCAGCTTATCGCACGCGTACAAAATGGTGATTGACATTGCTCGGCTGTTCAGTCACGGATGTGATGCTAATGTAGCCAAGCCTTCCAAATCGTCGTTGCTCTGACATCCTTCCAGGCGAACAATGAAGGCATTCGCGTTCCTGAGTTAACAAGATGACTACCTGCCCCCAGTTATTACCAAGTACAATATCTTTCAGGCTCATCTTATGACTGTTCATGCGGTGGAGGAGGATTGAGCTTTCCAAACCTGGTAAGAAACGATAAGGCCAAGGCTTCGGAGCGGAAGGTTCAGAGTCTTAATTCTATCATTTAGAACATATGGCCATGTTAAATGGTAAATGAGATCTTGTAGTATTGGAGGGCCAAGTGCTACAATTTTATTTTACTATGTTCCCAGGCGCGGTTCCCAGCGTTATCCACCTTAATGTGGTTTTGCAGCATCAGATCATATGCATATCGAGCACGTAAACTACAGATAATGCACCAAGTAGATATATGCCTTGATTGATGCATCAACTTAGCTTTCTCTGGATATAAGTATAGTTCTGAAGTGGCCAAAGAACGCTCACATAAACTACTTAGGGTAGTGGCAAATCCCGTGATATGTTGAGGATACAAGAACCGTCTTTATAGAAGGTTTAGAGGGCAAGATAAACACAAATATCACTCCTTATCATGTTTCTAGATACAGCATCAGAATAACTGCGGTAAGCTTCATTTGCCATTCACTTACACTACCCAACCTACGATTAGGTTTTGTTCATGCTCTATCCATTTGGTATCGACCTGTCTGCTGTGCCAGACTGACATAACGCCGTTCCGATTTCGTGAGATAATGAACCAGATCCTACAGAAGGTGTGAACCAACGGTAGATTTAAAGGTATTCCCAGCGCCTTTGTGCAAAGTTAATGAGATGGTCTAGGAATCATCAGTAGCTGGTGAATCACGGTCCCATGGTTCGCTATTTGTGCCTCACCTAAAATGTTCATTCTTGGCTACGTTCTCGCGTTATAAAATATGGTGACGTCATTTGACATTATCTGTCTTAATATACGTCCACGGGTATGGCATGGAAGAAGTAAACAGGAAGAACTTTTCACTTGGATATTACTTTCAGTGATATCTACAGTTATATCTAGCGACACATCCATAATGTCTGAATTCTTACGCAAGATCAAAAATGCTGTAACAGGACACGGTGGAAAACCACAGAATGCCGTACATGAAAGTTCCAACAGCCGAGAATGTCAGGATCAATTTGAACCTCCCTGTGATAAATCACATTGTAAGTGAGACGTATACTTTTATCATTTCTTCTTACTTGTTAACAACCTCAAGTCAAACGCACTGTGCCAAGATCGTCCGCGTCCCTACCTGGTGCCCGAGGGAGGCAAGGCAACTTTGGCAAATCGAGATCTCTATCGCTCGCAGATGAATGGCATATGGGGCGTCGCTCAAAGAAAGTTACCTAGCTCTAAAACTACTACGGGCTGTTCAACCGGGCTCTGCACCGAAAGATGTGTTGTGAAGCACCTGGCTCCAAGGATCGAATGCCCCTGCAACCAATATCAGCTAAGTACAACGGACTACAATCATCATTTCGCGACGCTATCTTATTGTCCCCTGGCATGTTTCGACAACTTTATTTCCGCTTTCTCAAATTGATGCTGTATTTGAAACAGCCCTGGGGCTTCTGGCGGTACATGAAAAGCTAAATCTCAAAGAGTTCCTAATCGTGGATCATAAGACATGTTTGTCATTCTCATCATTAATAGCACACCGTAGATATTCCATCATGTTGCATTTAAGTAGTGAGAAGTCTCGACTTCTGACCCAGAGACTGCTGCTGCAAATCTGATATAATTCAACAGGTACTTTACCTCATAAAGAGGCAAGACCCTCAACCAATGCCTTCTTCTTTGGGGTAGTAATTGTATTTCAAACACTCCATATAATTTTCGGGAACATCAACTTCCATCTAGGCTAGAGCTACGATTCACCGCACCGATGACTTAGCTCACGAAATGCATATGTTTAATAATGAGGATTACATAGTTACATAGGCACACCTAAAATAATCTTTCTCGATGTTTACATTTCGATTGTTTTGAGTATGGCGATAAGTTTAGACGATTTCATCTGTTCAGGGATCGAATATCGTTTTCATTTTGCTGCGACGATATGATTCTCGCACTGGGCAGTCACGATGGGCGTGCACTTCCCACTCCTTGGTTTCATCGGCTAAAGCAGAGCCTTTCTCGTTTCTTTTCGCTGTCTTTTCTCCCCGTTTTAGGTTTCGTGGTTGATACTTGGAGTTCGACTTCAAACGGCGAAGTGCAGAGACATGAATCGTGGCATCCTCAGGAATATCCCGCGCTTCCCCCAGAGGCAACGGCCATCGAATTGGTCTCCAGGATTGGTCCTTTTGCAAATGCATTCTCCGGAGTGGAAAATACTCTAGCAATTTCCAGGATAAAACAGCAGGCCATTTGGCACCATCATGATATCGCAAACAATCATGGATTTCACCATTCGTGCTTGACTTCCAAAGTGCGTGCTCAAATTCAGATCTTTCATCTGTCTTTCCACTCATTTCCAATTTTTCTTGGCTGGCAACTCTATTACCTGAATCTTGTCGAACATTACCGTCAATTGACTCATCAAAGCACCAGAATTGTTTCAGTTTTTCAGGATCGAACTTGAGCCCTGCGCGTTGTGCTTCAGTAACCATCCACACCAATGGAACATGGCTTAGCGCCCAGTCTTCTTTTTTGCTGAATCTCAACCCCCCCCCAATATCGGCGTGACATCCAGGAAACCATACTTCTTCAACGCTCTGACCTTTATCTTTGTACTCTCCATAAGAGGTGGCATCGAGGATGAGATCTGGGAATGAACAGTCTTTTTCATTTCTTGACTGCCGGTGGGAACGAGGTGGAGGCCGATAGAACCTATCTTGCGGGGAAGGGCTCTGCAGAGAAAGATCGTCCAAAGTGGGCCTTCGCTCTTTCGCAAAACCCTGCTCATTAAAGCTATCTTGACGACTGGCGGAGCGTATACGCCGGGCCTGACGACTATACAATCTCGCTCGAGCAGCTCGAGCAGAGATCGGATTAGAATTTGCCATCAAGTCTTGTCGAAACTTAGCGCGATGCTCGTCAATACTGACTGCGTGGCGGATAGTTTTGGCAGTAGTTCTCGTCGAAAAAGGGTATAGAAATCGGTTTCGACTCATCTCAAAGTGCGGGATGCTGTTGACTGTGTCAAACAAACCTAGAAAGTCGATTTGCGTTACTGGGCGACAAAATGTCTCTCGCAATGCCTTCATATACTGGAAGACATCATCTTTCTCTTTCTGGCTAGTCTCCCTGCTATAATGGCTTTCTCCCCACTTGGAATAGATAGACCAGAGAAAACGAACTTTCCCTTCATTCCCTGCTTCTAATAGGCCAATGTGGTCGAGCATTTCAGCAAGTAAGCGCGCGACATACGCGCCGCGACTAAAGCCAATGAAGTAGATTCTGTCTCCAGGGGTGTAACAGCTCATGAGATATTTATAACCAGCCATGACATGTTCAGCAAAGGTAGACCCGAAGGCAGCGTCTTTTGCTTTTGTATACCATCTCTTGATGGGATTGGGATTAGCGTTGGCTTCGTTGGATACAAAAATGAAGCCAGTATCCATCCCAATTCCAGGTTGATAATAATGCAGGTGGTTTTTGTCATTGCGATCAAGCATCTAGATTCGCATAAGTATCATGAAAGAAGTTGCTTCGTATTAAGATCACATACTCGGTATATCTTGAGGACATTACTATCGGTGTCATCTCCGCGAAATTCGTATCCGGTACCATCAAAGCATAGAACAATTTGCCTCGGGCCTGTGGCTTGATCCATACCGTTACTTTTGGTTTCAAGTCTCGATACGTAGTAATTTGAAATGCTGATACATAATAGGAAACAGCATGGAGGGGTCCCTGTTATTTATTACGCTAACACTTGATCCTTTTTAAGCTTCATGGAGTGGTGACCTCATCAACAAAGAGTATCCACGGTTGATTTCAGCCTGTAGCGGAGTTTAGGGTTACGCTTATTATGGCGGGGCTTGATTTCAATGGTCCATGACCCGATACCAAAGGCCAGATCAGGATAATTCCGCTTACGGATAAGCAGATCGATCTACCGATAAGATTCAACAAATCGAGCATCACCCGTGTACCGTACCAGAGCTCTCACATACAGAAGGAATTTCGGCGCTCATACCAATTCCTTTTGCTAGATACCCTTTATGTATAATTCGGCTTCTTTCTGGGTCCTTTGTTTATTTCCAATAGATTGCGGTATGCTGCAGTAATGTACTGAAATTGAGCACTCGGGTGGGCACACGGGACGGCTGACGTGATCTCGCTATGTACCCCGGGGCCTAAGGTAACCTCAAGCCTCGAGATGTTTGGTCTCGGTAGAGAATACGAAGAACCAGGTAAGACTTAGAATATCTAACGCTACAGTAGATAGTTGAAAATAAAAGAACTTTGGCTACAGCGGATTAAATTAATTTGGTATCGTACATATAATATCCGTTGGATGCGGGAGGATTTGCCAGTGACGCCGTCTATCCTCGTAAAACAACTTCACCCTATAATTGATCGGCTTACCTATCCACTTTTCGACCAGTAGCGGTCCAAGCGTCCGCAGTTCCGCATCTTGCGCAAGGATTGGGATGGTGGTTGTGTTTGAAATCTAGACTACTCTATAGTTCGCTCTAAAGTCCAATTCGTGTGCTTTACACTTTGCCATGATAAAGTATAAATATAGACCCTCAACCCCTCTTCCGACAATTTCAATAATATTGCAAGCATTCGTACAGCTTTTTTCCACACTACAAACTGAAATCGACTATCATGGCTCCCAGGGTTGCTATCGTCTTCGTACGTGATGCTCCTCATTCATCAATCACTCCAATTTCACCCGCGCTGTCTTGAATTCCCGATCTTTGATGCTTCAACCAACTAACCAGTGTACTGAGCCAACAGTACTCGATGTACGGGCACATCTTGAAATTAGCCGCGGCAGAAAAGAAGGGCATTGAGTCCGCAGGTGGCACGGTGGACATTTTCCAGTACGATGTCCGAGACCTTGGCACAATCAGATTCAATCGTTAACCGCTAAGCCATTAGGGTCGCTGAGACACTTGGCAGTGACATCCTTGCGAAAATGCATGCTCCTGCTAAGTCAAGCTACCCCGTTGCTGAGCCTGCGAAGCTCCTCGAATACGATGCCATTCTTTTCGGCATTCCTACCCGCTACGGCAACTTCCCCGCTCAATGGAAGGCTTTCTGGGACAGAACTGGCGGTATTTGGGCCTCTGGTGGCTACTGGGGCAAGTATGCGGGCGTCTTCGTTTCTACCGGTACACAGGGTGGTGGACAAGAATCGACAGCGCTTGCCACTATGAGTACCCTCAGTCACCACGGCTTCATTTACGTCCCTCTGGGCTATAAGACTGTGTTCCCCTTGTTGTCCAACCTGGATGAAGTCCACGGTGGTAGTCCCTGGGGTGCAGGCACCTTTGCTGTAAGTCAGCCTTTGCTTTATCCCAACGTGACCTTCTCTGACTGACTAACCCCTCTGAACAGGCGGCAGACGGCTCTCGTCAGCCAACTGACCTTGAGTTGGAGATTGCTGAGGCTCAGGGAAAGGCTTTCTACGAGGCTGTGTCCAAGGTCCAGCATGCATGAGTGTGATTGCTTTTCGACAGCCCTCTACTCTCAGGGTCTACCTTCACTTTTTTTTAGATCATTTATGATACAATTACGATCTTACTTTATGATTACATGCTAGCTATTTACTAGGACCGATGATACGGTCATGTGAATTGGACAACATAATTGGTTTTCCTTTTGTCTCCCTGGTGGCGCGTAGCTGGAAATTACCCGCTGCTTGTTCGTAGGCTCAATGGTCGCAAAACTCTATGTCAAGTTGATCAAGTTGCCAATAAATATTAGTCATATAGGGCCTATGCGCTGGTTGTATTACAGTGACCTTGTCCAGTGACAGTTGGATACGTATGTTGCGCATTATGGGTGGTTCGGGTCAACTTCGGCTGAATACACAGGCCTCTGCCAGATCATAGCCCAAAAAATGTCCCACGGACCACCTCCGTGTCCGAAATGAATTCCGCAACTTTGTATTTGCCGATGTGTCTTACCCCACAGACCGTGTCTTATACCCACAAAATATCATGGAACTGCACAAGTGAGCGAGTGGGTCAAGTCGTGCACTATCCGAATATGGTTCTTATTGGGTGAAGGCATCACCTGATCTATACAATTTGAGCTTTAGGCGGACTGTAATTGACAAATTTAGTATGTCTTCTTCTCTCAAACTGCTTTACATCGCAAGACTTTCATGACTTGAGTATTCCACATCGACCTGCCTTCCAGACGTGACCACCCCCAGTCTTTTCTATCGTCACTATCAAATGACAACAAACGAAAATGGCACCCTCAAGCATAGATTATAATTGGGTAGCTACCGAGCTCGGCAGATGGGAACGTGACATTGATGAGGCGGAGCAGCTCTATACAACACTTGCAAGGCTGTTTGAAGGAACTGGGCGCACCTTTTTCGCAATGACCGCTCATATCTCATTTACGATTGATGGCGATGACTCCATGGAGGCGACAAGCCAACGTGTGATCTCAGCAGTTCGATTGGCATGGTTACGGATACGATATGATCATCCAACGATTGCATCCTGGGTTGAGTATCAAGCGGAGAAAGGAAGATGTCGCAAGATCTACGAGACCCTTTCCACCAACAACTGTCAACAGGACACATGGCTTAATGAGACAGTTTGCCCCGTATCTACCACGCAGACTAGTGAGGAATGGTGCAATTCCGACCCTCCGGTGCCCAGAATACCCACTCTCTTTTTGGTCTACAACAATGACCGGCCATCTGGACAACCAAAAACTTTTAGTCTTGTCTTGCGCTCTCATCACGATATCGTGGATGGAATTGGCTCTCTGCTACTGATCAACAACTTGATGAGATATGCTTCCGCGGCTTTTGATGACCCGGCCAATTTCTATGTACCCGCCTTTGGCAGTGAATGGAAAAACCTGAGCCCGCCGTTTCGGGTTGCGGCCTCACTGCCAGACCAGTTGACCACCGAAGAGGAGGAAATACTTGAACAGACAAAGACGCAGAAGAAGCTTTGCTTGAAGGATGTTGAGATTGCAACAGTGCCGTATGATGTTACCAAGCTTGTGCCCGGAATTCACCAGAGGGTATCTTTGACGCTCACATCTGATGAGACCCAACGTTTGCTCGGCGCCTGTAAAGAAATTGGGGCCAGTTTGACTCACGTGTATCATGCAAGCGCTGCTGTTGTGCTTTTCAGTCTACAAAAGAAAGGCCCTAAAGAGAGGAAAGTACGATACGTGAATTACTCTCTGATCAACGAACGTGGGCAGTGCCAGGATCCCTACAACTCTCCGTCGCATGCTGTTTCCGTTTACCACTCAGTCTCGGGTCAAAGTCTCGTCATTGACTCAAAGATCCCTGCCGTTGGCGATCTAGCACCAAGCCTCAAAGACGAGCTAAGTGAGCTTCGCAAGGTTATCGAAGAGGTCAAAAATTACTATCATGGTATTCGAGACAATAAAGGGCGCATCAATCTTGTGCCATCTTACTGGGCTTTGGGAACTCCCGCTTACCCAGCTGGTCCTGGAATCCCCCCTATCCCGGCAGCAAATAACATACCTTCCGTTTCCATCTCGAGCATGGGTGTTATTGACAAGATCATACAGGAGAAATACGGGGCCATGCAGCTTTACTCCCCATGGGTTACCGGCGAAGAACTGGGAAATGGTCTCGGGTTGTTCTTGGGGACCTTCCGCGGTCGCTTGGAGCTGAGTATCGCTTACAACGATGCCTGGCATACCAAGGACGAAGCACTGTCCTTTATTGAAAGATGCAACAGTTTAGTGCTCCAGCTGCTGGGCGTGGGGTCTAATTTTGTGTGACTTTGAAGATTGATTTACCAATTCATCACAATCTTGAAAGATCATCCTCCCTTTGCATTCTGAGGTGCATCATTTTATTTTTAGTCAATTCTGATAATGAATATATCGATAAATCTTCCTCTACATAATGTGTGCTTCTAATTAAGGGGCACTCCGCCGTTGAATTGCAGAATGAGATCCAGGATAAACAAACAAGCTGCCAAATACTATGAGTGCTCGATTCATGTTCGAACAGGGTTCAGCTCCCCGGTGGGGCCGAAGTTCAGCCGAGGGAGTTTCTAATCCCCAAAGTGGAGAGGACTGCGTGTTGACAAACCTGAATAGGAAGTTCGGCCAGCTCCGAAAAGGGCCACGAGTATTTGGCGGCATTTGGGTGACTTGTCTCGGAGCGCCATGAAGTATGAGTCCATTTGAACAAAATCCATTGCCCCGAAGCGAGGGAGGTAATTTTACAGATTGTCTTGCATGTGTCTGTCATATTTTGTGTTGATAATTTGCAATGCAGTCGTCGTTAGTTACATCTTTTTGATAAACTTCTCTTGGTTCATGAATGCTTTGAAGGGTTCATTTCCAGCTAGTTCATATCCTGTGTCCTTTTCTCTTCTTCGTCATACATTCATAGCTTTGACATTCATAGCTTTCAGTCATCTCGCAATGAAGGTGGTTCATTTCACTACTTGCGGTAGATTTCAGTGATCGTATATGATACTGGCACTATGGGCATCCGTAAAGTGCTTGTCGAGACCTTCCCCACCACATACCCTCAGCGGAGCCCTTTGTTCTACCTCCAGGTTCTGGTCGAAAAACAAGCCCTTTCTTCAATTCTTCTTGATTGAAGCTTCTGGTGTGCACAATATACGTATCACCCTTGGATAATGTTCTCAAACGCGATCGTGGCTCGGTATCCCATACTGGGTATAAGCTCACCAGGCCACCGACTTCCAACAAGACCATTTCTTGCTCTTGCTCTGTGTTATTTACACCCGGGTGGTCTACTCCTGTTGGACGCTTTCGGTGGGTCATATGATTTCCACTCAAGTTCGAAAGGTCGAGGTTGTCAAGCGCTGGCATCGATCGGCTTAGATGGCCAAATATCGGAGTCCATGAACCAGCAGTCAAATCACAGTCATGTAACTTCAGAGAGCGAATGTCGGGATGTTTCTGGAGAAGTAATAAGATAGACTCTTCTTTTGCGAAAAAGCCGGAAAAGGCGCAGTGCTGCAGCTTCGGGAACTGGGCTTCGGAGGCAATATTTTCAACAATTCGATCATAGCTATCCAGTCGCTTGCCATAAAGAGCATGGCGGAAGGATAAATCCAGCTCTTGCAGAGACGATGCGTATTTGAGGAGAGAAGTCACTCCCTGCGTCCCGTTGGCCAACGTTGCACGCGGATCTTCACAAGTTAAATGACCCTTTGAAGAACCAAATGTTGTGCGTGACGCTTTTTCATATTCACTCAACTCATCATCATCAGAATCGTCAAATTCAACCACGGTCTGTATCTCCGCAGAAAGACTGATTGCGAACGATACCAAATCTTTGCTCAATCCCGCTAGCTGGTTGGGACTGAGACCTGATACATAGGATGTAATATGACCAGATGGAATACAGCATCTAGGAGTGTTGCGATAGACATCAAGTTTCTTCACCGAGACCCCGCTCTGCACCATCGCTGTCAGAACCAAAGAGAGTACATGAGAGGCTCTCATCCAGAGCGGATGCCACTCTCCATGTTCTGTCGACTTTCTCTGCGTGCATCTTGGCCCAGTGATGACGGCGCCATCTAAATGAATGAATTCCAACCCGCTAAATTTTTGGAGCGCGATTCGAAGAAGTCCAATCATCTCACTTGATGATTCACTGGCTCGGAGCTCTTGCTTTTCTTTCAACCACTCTAAGTCGGAATTGGCGTTGAAAAGTTCCTCGGGGGTGTATTTCATAGTGGTGGCTTCAAAAAATGGTCCCTTGACCGTTCGGACCACGTATTTTCCGGATGCCACATTCTTCGCCAATTCGGTAGAGTCGAAGCTTGTGGCCACAAATTTCAATGAATGGATCACTTTGCTAAGGGCAGGGTTGCACGCCAATGAATGAAGGGAACGAAAACTCTGCGGTGATACATCGAGACTTGGTTGTTGAATGAAGCCTAGAAAGCGGGGTCCAATACATATTTCTGAGAGCCTTCGGTTTGTAAGGCGAAGAGCTTTGATTGTGTTGAGATCAAGGAATTTCAGGACTGTCTCGAAGACTTCTTGGGGAAACTTTTCCAGTTCCATGGTGAATGGTGATGATCAGTCAGAAAATAATTGAATTTGAGGCTCATGAGGTTAAAAAGGGTCTCGGTTAGGGACCGTAAAAGCTCGAAAGAGATGCTAGGGTTGCGCTTTAACCATTTCGGGATAATAAACTGACTAAGGTGCGGACACTTGCTGCGTCTTCTTCGATCCTCATGAGTCGCAATCTCTGCTGGTAATTCTTTCTGATTCCTTTTTTGTGGATTTAATTTCCCTCTTGTGATGATCTATGTATTTTCATCTATCTACTTCTCAACTTATACAGTCACCTTGAACCCATGCCTTGGCGCGTATACTCACAGACTTATATCTCCGACCGTCTCAATCGTCAATTTGTTGCTACTGAAACAATGAAGTCTCTCTAAAGTCTTATGTCGTAGCCCTGTATCTGTCGGCCAAAACTCTACCAACTGCCCTCGTTGAAGGTTACTGAAGAGCTGGTCAGACTCGGTTACTTCGAGTAAACGTATTTTTTGTAATCGACTTGTCTCAAGACAAGGTATCGATCGAGTCACTCTTTTTTAAGGAAGCAGAGTCAACAAAACTGTACAAAATGACTGATTGGTCACAAGAGAGAGACATGTAGGTGTGAAGGCTACAGAGCAAGAATGTAGGAGTCTATGGCTCAATTCCAGAGGGGTTCGGGCCTAGTCCAATTCAAGTATCATGAGGCGCTCTAGCAGACACGTTTTCGCCCAGCGCCTCGAGCATCTACGCTCAGGTCGCTTTCGATTCCTCGGAGCTCGGTGCTCCGTAGCCTATGAAACAATATCTTAAAGCGAGGTATCACAACTGCGGCTCTAGATATTCTTCTACCTTGAGAGTTACATCGCTCAGAAAGTTAGAGTTATTTTCAAGTTTCATAATTAACCATAAAGAGTTCTATCAACTTCCCCACACACAGTCGGCTCATACTCATCATAATGCTGTCAGCAAGGGTTGAGAAACGCTCATTTCTCGATGTTGTTGCTCTTGGGTCTGCCATAGTCTAATCGCTCCCATCTCATCACTAACCCACAGACAAGACAGACGGCACCACCAGCGATTACTAGATAAAATTCCCGTCCAATCACCGTTGCGACGGCACCAATTCCACGAGAAAGAACCTCAGGGTCGCCAGACTGCCACACTGCTGACGACACACCGGCGAGCGCCTCACGTAGGTCTTTGCCTGAGTACCCGCTCTCTCCAATGGCATCTGTCAACAAAGTGTATCCCACATTCTGATAAATTGAGCCCGCGATTGCCAAAGCAACTGCAATGCCGCCCATTTGCGCCATATTAAACATCACAGCGCTATCGACGCGGTCGCGGGGGGTTTTGTTTATCACATTCGAGACACCAACTCCGTGCTGGAAGGAACAGCCAAGACCAACACCAATGATTGCTTCAAATCCTAGTACTTGGGACTCGGAGACATCAGGGCTCAGAGTTCCGGCCATAGCACCGGCTCCCGCGACAGTTGCAATACCAGCAATGATATAAATCAGGTTATAGCGGCCAAATAATGGGAGCGACCCACCCACAAGAATCACCACGGCGATGAAAACCAAAACGAAAGGAAGAAGACGAACAGTTTGCTGCATTGCGCTGTGGCCGCGAGCGAACGCGAAAAACAGCGGCGTGTAGTAGAGAGTGATGGCGTACGACGCGCCCGCACAGCCAGACGCGACCCAAAGAGGAAGCAGGTCGGCACGGTTTAGTAAATGAAGAGGAATGGCGCGTTGCTCGGGAGTTGTTCCAATGCACCAATATTGTTGAATGGCCCATCCAACCAATACCACCCCGAAGACCACCCAGACTGCGATGGACGCTGCAGAGCCCCAGTACCACACAGGACCGGAGAACTCCAATGCGAGAGCAAACAGTACTGGGGTAGTCATGTTGAACACAATTCCGATAGGATCGATCGCCATCAGTCGGGAGAGCAACGGAATGTCTGGCCCCAAGTATTTGCGAGGGAGACAAATAATGGCGAGCACCAGGCTGAGACCTACCCAAGGCAAGTTCATATAGAAAGCCCACCGCCAGGTAGTGTGTTTGTTTGAGGCGAGGGCAGAACCTATGGGACCTCCAATGACGAGGCCCACGGCCCACGTTGCGCTCAGAAGACCGAATAGACGAGGTGTCTCTTCTGGCGTGGCGAAAACGGCGACAAATGTTAAGTTGCTATTTTATCGTGAGCTCCTTGGGACTAACATCGTCTAAAATACTTTGGAAGAGACCTTTGGTAGACAATAGCACCACCGACACCCATAATAATCCGTCCAACAATAACCGCAGGAAGATTGGGAGCTGCACCGGCCACAGCAGCACCGGCCATAAAGACCACAGCGCTACCTATGTAGATCCATTTCATGTCCACGCAATATAAAATCTTTCTGGAGAATGATAGGACTGCAAATACGGCGAGACTGAAGGATAGACTGATCCATGGTAGAAGCGTGATGTCGCCGAAGGCCTTGTAAAGAGCTGGCTGGATATTAGCAACGTTGCTCACATCATAACCTAAAACAATTACTTTGTTAGAATGCTAGCTCTGAATAAACCGTGTCAATCAAACTGAGGGGTTCAACCATTGATTAGTGTTGTCAGGATAAGAACTGAAAGAGTTCCTTTCCATTTCCAATCGGGGATGTGGCTGCGAGGATGAACCTCTGGCGAGAGGTCGCTTTGGCTTTTTTCCGAGGACGACATGGGAGGTTTGATGGCTCAAGAGTGTGTCTTGAGTATTCCGGAGTAGGTAGAATTAGGAAAAGGCATTAGCTAGGAGGGAAAAGTAGCTCTTGTAGATAGATGCATACGGCCTTTTCGACCCCAAGATATGAGGGAGATTAATCCTTGAATAACATTGCGCTTTCCTCGCCTGACAACGGGTTGCCTAATATATTCCATAAATAGTTTCTCAGAAGCATCATTTATGCAAGACAAACAAGGATACTGATTACGTTGTTTGTTGTGCTTGTCCACGAGATCTGAGCCCACTGACTCATATTTCCAACATGCCTAGACGCACTCAACAGACAGCTAGATTAGTATTGATGTTTGCAAAGTGATATATTGTATAGTAGGTCAGCACATATCTTTGTCCCCGAATCTATGACCCATTTGCCAAGTGGGGAACACCTGGCACCGTAGAAGCCCTGGGCAGCCTAAATTAATCATGGTCAGCATGCCCAAAGAAATACCACTCACACAAAATAGGAAATCGGGTTATAATGGGATTCTGCATTGGGACAAATGCTGCGCTCAATTTGAGTTAATAACATCGGAGTGGCTGCCGTGAGGCTTTCAGGCGTTCCATCGTCATCATCTTATCTCGCAGGGATCATGAGCCCGTTGTTCATCCACACTAAATATAGAGTGGGATATAGTGGACGAAACATGGATATATACTCTCCTTGCACTCCTTTATGATGGTTGGGGTGTTTGTTTTGTTATATCAATGCGACAGCATACTCCTGGTTAGTTTACTTGACAGTAATTGTTTGCCTACTTTTGCCGGACTTTTCAAATCATCAATTGCTCGGAAATCCTTTAATAAAGTCTCTACATCTCATTGCTTACACCGCTTATTTCTCGACCAGATCTGTCTTCATACTCGCCTCTTGCACCATGTTCGAATTCAAAGCGCATCTTAAAGTACCCTCTGCTTATACCATAACACTTGACAATCTTGTTCTGCAACGCCATTCATTACCAGTTCTTGCAGCTCTATTGATCGCAGGATATATGCTTTTCTCTTTTCTTTGCACCTGGCGCTATGCGCAGAAAGCACGTAGGATGGGTTGTGGGAAAGCGCCTCTCTACCCCAGTATGGACCCGTTCGGTATTTCCACACTTCTCGAAACACTTGAAGCAGCAAAGGAGAAGCTGCTCCCGGAGCTTGCACAGAAGCGAATAGCTTTTTTATCTCGCCAGCATGACAGATACGTTTCGACTTTTCGAATGTGCCAGGCCGGCCGGGAAAACCTATTCACGGCAGATCCGAAAAATATCCAAGCTATGCTAGCGACCCAATTCAAAGAATTTGGCTTGGGCGATACGCGTCGCAACGTAGCTGGACCTGTTGTCGGTCATGGTATTGTCAGTTTTGTTCCAGCATTCACAGTATCACTTCCTTTTCGCACGGTTTGACTGACTCTGCCTAGTTTACTACCGATGGTGAGGATTGGTTTCGCTCTAGATCATTGCTGCGGCCTCAATTTACGCGAGATCAAATGAGCAATCTTGACAGGGAGGAACGACACATTCAAAATGCGCTATGTGCCATTCCTATGCTATCTGACGGCTGGTCATCTGCTGTGGATATTCAAGCCATCTTTTTTCGTCTTACCCTTGACTCGGCTACCCAGTTCCTCTTTGGTAAGAGTTGTGATAGTCAGATTGCTGCTATACACAAGGACGGGGGAAGGACATCCGATGATACATTTCTTTACGGATTTGACCGGTGCATGTGGTTTCTCGCAGAGCGACTCCGGCTCGAGCGGCTTTACTGGATCATCTACAATCAGGAGTTCCGGAAGTGTATCAATATCGTTCACGCTTTCGTTGATAAGTATGTTCACGCTGCTTTGATACAGGCGCAACAACAGGAAGAGAAACCTCACAGCATCGGAAATGCCCCATCTCAGTATATTTTCTTGAAAGCTCTAACAGGGCTTACGAAAGATCCTGTCCGGTTACGCGATGAATCTTTAAACGTTCTTCTGGCAGGCCGTGATACAACGGCTTCGCTACTCAGCTGGACAATCCTCCTTCTCGCAAGACACCCGCTCATCTTCACACGACTGCGAAGCGATATACTGGAGCAATTTGGTACTTACGATCAGCCACGGAACATGGATTTTGCGTCTCTGAAATCTTGTCAGTATCTACAGCATTTTCTCAACGAAACACTACGTCTTTACCCAGTCGTGCCCTTCAACCGCCGTTGCGCGACAAAAGATACTACGCTTCCTCGCGGCGGCGGGAAAGATGGCACCGATCCTATCTATGTTCGTACAGGACATACAGTCTTGTATAGTACCTACGTTCTGCATCGTCGAAAGGATCTCTGGGGCCAGGATGCCGAAATATTTAATCCGGACCGGTGGGTCGGGCGAAAGGTCACCTGGGAGTATATTCCGTTCAACGGGGGTCCTCGAACCTGTATTGGTCAGCAGTTTGCTTTGATGAGGGCTAGCCATGTGCTGGTAAGGCTTTTGCAGAGGTTTGATCAGATTGAGGATGTGCACTCTGAGAGAGAGATCCGTTATGGTGTTTCGCTTACTTCTTGTCCCGCTGATCCTGTCACTGTGAGATTGCATCGGGTGGAAATGGAGGATTGAATTGTATGGCAAAGCTTAGAGTTGACAATATGGCTTATCTTAGCAATAAAGAAATTCTTGATATATGACAATACCTTGCCATCATAACTTATTCGAACCGTTATTCTGCCAAAATGGTCAATGTGAATGTGAGTCCTTCAATTTTGGGTAGCTATGTGGCTCTCATCAACAACATGAGCAGTTCTTCTCCGATGCAACTCGTGGGTGGTCCATACTCTTTGCTTCTGTCCATCGCATCTGTTTATCCGATTTCGATCGCCCGGCTCCAACTTCCTGACCAAGTGTTTCTTGCTGATGCCGCCAGCTGTGTCCCTGTGCCGCCGGGGTGCGCTCCGAGCACCATCATTGGTCTAAACACTCGCCCAGTCGGGCTCAATCCGATATTTCATATCTTCCAACGTGTTAACAGGACCTGATGCGAGTTTCCCTTGTGGATCACCTCCTTGTGTAGGATCTACCGTTGGCCAGAGGCCCGAGAACATTTGTTTGCAAGTTGATGTGATCAATCAATCAATCAATCAAAGTTCAATTAATCTGATGCAGCCTAAGTAGTACCGTCATGGCTATGCAGGCGCTTCTATCTAGTCGAAGCAAGAACTTGCCCATACGCCTGATAATCGAAATACAGAAAAAGAGCTGGTCCTCAAAAAGAGAGACTAAGTACCAGCTTGACGTGAAAAAAATATCCAACAGCCTAAAATTCAACCCAAAACATAAGAAAAACCTGGTGTCGCAGGCATCCAGGTACAAAGAACGTCGGCAGTTACACCATCTACCTTTCCAACATCCCACTTCTATGCCATCCTGTCTCTCCCCCTAAATCCTGCATCACACTGACAGGCCCCGTTCTCAGTCCTCACATCAGCCTCAATTGCTGCTCAGATTGGTCATGACCGAAGAATCTTAGTCCAATTTGGCACCGTATATTCGAATAGCGCGCTGAGGGACGTAGTCTCTCCACCCTCAGCCGTAGACGCAAGCATTGGTGAGTACCCAGCGTCTTCGGGACTCTGCTCCCTGACCTCGACATCGATATCGATGCCTTCTTGGTCGTTATCGGCGTCGAACTCGGCATGTTGAAACTGAGCAAGGAGGCCAGTCTGGTGCATGAACTTGGCCACGCAGCGGGTGGCCAGCAAGTTGATGTGTCAGGGTGTTTCCGCTCACAGAATCATTAGTATGGCTTTTGCTTTGCTGAGGAATACTCACCATATCATGACTGAGTAATAAAGACTTGATGTGGGTTTGTCCTAGCTTCCCTCGACAGGCATCAGCCGTCATGAGGTACTGGTCGCCAGCACTGCGTAGAAGTGCAAACCCGTCGCTGGCGCACCAACCCCGAAGGGATGATTCCCAGGAAAACAGGTATAAACTCCTGAGGTCCTGGGATGTAAGTGTGGGAAAACATGAATCAGGGATGATACGGTGCACGCTCCGTGCCCAGTTCATGAGTAGTAAAATCAAAAAGCAAAAGCAAATCCCAGAACTGCAAAAAAAGCAATACAAAAAAAAACACACTACCGCAGAAGCCAGCCCGGTCAGGAACCCAACATCCCCTAGGGAGAAGCCGATTCCGTCTCTGTATTGGCAACCACCTGATTGATCTTCCTCGTGATATTTGCTTCGATTTCTTGTAAGCAAGTTCTCTGGGCAATTGTACAGTGCAACTCTATACGATCGATTCGACGGTTGATCTGCTTGAGCAGACGGTGCGTCTCATCAACAGAATAGCCCTGTTCAAGATCACGAGAGGAGGGGGGGTCTTGTGTGAGCGTATAGCCAGAATGAATTCAAGTAATGCTGCCAGAGATGGGGCAACCCAAACTCCAACCACATTGAAAACCTCAAGTACTGTAGGGCTCATCATATAATAAAGGTCCGAAGAATTGGGATGTAAACTCATAGACGTCTATGTCACAAAACTATCTTTCGGGCAGAGAAGAAAGAAATAAAGAGAGAGAATAAAAAGGGAGAGCAGTTTTGTGGGAGTTGGTGATTCCTAAATGGGAAGTCACGAAGCAGGAAGGAACAACCGTGGGAGTGGAAAACACGTGAGGCAGACTTTCACCTTATACAACATGGCATTCGATCATGGAGCAATCGTTCTACTTTCTTCAGAGAATGATACAGCCGCCAGGGTTTCTTATGTCTCCATGTGATGTAAAGTCTTTTCGGAATGAGTCTCCAGCCATTACTTTTTGATACCTCTTTCTTTGCAACAAAGAGAGATTCCGGTAATACATCGCATCTTCAGACAAACCAGCCTGAATAGAATCCGTCTCGAATCGTGAACGAGCGTCGACTAGTTCGTGGACTGCCAACTCCCTAATTTCAACATTCATATGAGCCTTCCAACTGAAATCCTCTGGGCTCAAGCATGGTCCAAAGTCCTTCCACGAGGTGAAGACGAGGCAAGCATGTGTTGTATTCACGGTTCGTATCTCTAACTTCCATGAGGTATTGCATCTCCTGCAACGTCCTTCATCTGCCAGCTTGCTTAAGCTTGTTTCGGAACTGTATTGCTTGGTTTGAGATTTGATGATTTCCGAAAATTCCGGTTGAAAGTCGGTGATATGGCGACAGACTTCCATAAGATCGTGAGCGTTGAACGGCCACATCTGTGGTACATTTTGTTGCTCTACTATCGCTAGTTGCTGTGTTCTCAAGCAAAGGCCCGGTGGCGTAGAGCATATTCGACCTTCGACTGAGAATAAAGTCATCATGGAATCCGTTTCCTCACAAGCAAGTTTGGGAGGCCCATCGATGAATCTGCCCCTGCGAGGTCCTATCTGTGTGAATAATAATGATTCAAAGGGAATTCCAAAGCCAGGTCCAAAGTAAAACCTTCTCATGACAAGTTGAAGATGAACGAAGTGAACGCGGTACCAACACCATGATGGGTAGCTAGCAAAACACGATTCACGATAATGGTAGGACTTCGAGGGATCCCGAATCTTAGAGCAATGCTTCTCGGCTCCAACAAATGGCCCAACCTTAGGGAGCCCAATATCTTCCCACAGGTGAAGTCGAAGACACGTGTGGCAGACATAGTATTGCGGTAAATTGCGAGAAAGACGAGACAACAGGTCGATCCGGATCTCATCTATAGGGGTTTAGGTGGAATACTTTGGGATCTTATGGAAAGATTTCCCTGCGAGCGAGAATAACAATTGATGGTTGCATAGAGCCAAACAAACCACGTCAGCTAACGATGAGTGGTCAGAAATCATCCACAGTAGCTCAAGTGGAAGGCTAGTCAAGGTCGCGTGCTTTTTCGTGGCATCCATCGTGTATTGATAAGTGGAGGAGAGTGGTTAGTGATCAAGGCAAGGCATGTCTGGACCGATTTGAGTTATGATGAATGTGTCGTGTGAAGCAAACGGTACAAACATATTAAGCCTTGAAGTGCCGTGGACGGACCTTGAACTCACCTTATTCAGCAACTTTAGTAAAGAGAAAAAAGGACCTCGGGAAATTGGGGTTTTCGGCTTACTTTCAGTGCCCATGGATCCATTGTGTAAAACCTTGAGGATAGAATAAGTCTGTAATTGAGAGAACGTGACTTAATGTAGACACGGTTAGCCACGCACCCATAATTACATTCCAATTGTCGATGCAGTAATATACAAAACATTGTAAAAGTATAATTGCACCTGCCATTCCCATAGTTTCAATCCGTGTGTATTGCAAATCATGTCCATGCCACAAAGTCAGACTTTCTATTATAGTTTCGTCCTGATTAATTAGAGTTCAACAGCAAAAGTATTATAAGGATTTACTTAGGGATTTACAAAGTGCTGATTGGATCGGAGAGGTTTAAAGTGGTGGTCGGATCAAATTTCCATGTTTTGGAGCAATCCTGAACTAAATGTCAGAATTAGGCGAAATTGGGACCTTCAATAGTTAACGCTGTCTAGTTTGATATAAAATTTTCGTGAAATATTCTAAAGCACATAAAATTAGCTGACTTTGTTAAGACAGAATGGGTTGAAAACTGGCCTTTAAGCTAGTGAAAGTGGCAGTGTAGGCCACTTTTGCAACGTTTGTATTCTACCAGGCCCTAGTACCCATTAGGAAAAACATAAGCCGCCGGGATTACGGCGGCAGGGTCTCAGCGGGCGGTCAGACTATAATGCCTTAAGGCATTAATATTGATGCAAATCATGCAAATCGTCTGGCGCGATAACGCAGTTCAAATGTTGACGTCGATTCAGAAGACCTACGTTAATAGGTATGTTGTACATTTGCATTCTCGCTTTCTATATACTTTACGTTCGTTCTGATTATCTCGCAAGTAAAGTGTATGTTGTGTGAAATAAGAAATGCGGGGTGGTTGCCAATATACTTGGTTGCAATGCTGATATATATCTACAGCACCAATACAATTGCGACATCCACAACATGCAAAATATATTTCATTTTGAGTAATTTGGTGTTCTCAATACTACAATGAGACTCATGATCATACATATATTTGTACTGGCGAAGAAAGGCCATTCTGAACCACTCCGATAGGAAAAGTTTGATGCTTAAGAAGAGCATTCATATAGGCAATCAATGCACACGGTAACATAGTGGAAAGAATCCAATGCCCCCGAGAAGGGAAAACAGATTATGAAATTACCTAGCCGCAAGGAAGTAGCTGGCCATTCTGACAATAAATTATTATGATGATCTAGAAATAAAATTACAGTAGTGGCATCTGATTTGAGTCTCACGTTGATTCTGATGAAGTCTCAGTTTGAATGGCCGTGGACCATAAGATAGTGAAGAACAACTTGGCAATGGTCAGAGAAGATTAATTCTATGCTGATATTTATGCGGATTCACTGCGCATATTGAAGCTCTGCGTTATGAATCGGTAGGTAATTTGGATTCAGAAACACACTCTGGAATCCTCGTCTTGATCTGGGATCTGGAATTAGAAATCAAGGCATTTGCTGGCTAGGTCAGATTAAATCAAATTTTGGCGCTTTGTAATCCCTTTCACATGACAAATGTGGCAAAGTATGATATCTGGTGCTGGACCTGTAATTAAAAAATGCTCGCAATTACATTGGTTAGCAACAGTCAAATTTACTGAATGCCATAAACCAGATAAGATGATGCAGCCAACAAGGAGATAAAATGTAGATTTGCCTTCTCGCCCTTGCATGGGATACAAAAATAGATATTACCGGTCGCAATCACAAGAAAACCAAATCACGAGTCAAGAAAAACAAAACAACTACTCCTAACATTTCGGACAGAGACCTTGTCCGCGTACGCAAGAAATCTCGGCTAGTGGCATACTTGAAGATTCTATTGGTATGATTATTGATTGAAACACGGTTGAGTGCGATCAACATCAAATAGAAGAACCTTAAAAGTACTGTACTATTGAACGGTATGATCTGGTTGATTACGGTGAGAACTTCCGGATCGACAGGCACGACTAGATCAGTGATCTAGTGAAAGGCTAGACGATTCTATCTGTCCTGCATACAAGGGCATTTTCCCGCATGACCAGACCTAGATTCCATAGGAGATTCTACAGTACTCCAGCTAGAATGAATGCCTCGGTCGCATGGCAATACTAACATGCACCAGCACAGGCACAGACACCGGAAATGACATGTTCACACGCCCTGCATGGTGGCGCTGTGGGCCTCGGTAGCCGGATGCTTGAAAACGCCGACAATCAGCGACTTGCATAGATAATGTGCCAAAAGCAAAGTGCATATTAGACTTGTCATTGTGGCAAAGACAAGTGCCCTGTACAGTAAGTATTACAGTAGACTAGATCTCGCTTATCGAGATATATCCACTTGGCAGGGTGGGCCAAAACAAACAACAAAAAGGGGTGGTGGGGGTCTGCAATTTTAAGGGTCGTGGTGCACAAACAGGTTGGGGAACATGTCAGCCTGCAAACCACTGTGTAGGGCCGAGCCTAGAATGAGGTCTGAATTTTGGTGCCTGATGATACGTCGAGTCTCGGAGCTGCGGCAAGTCGGATTGATGCACTAGCCCCCCTGGTACCTGCATGATCCTGCAGAAATAGGCGGAAACCAGTGGTTCACGCCTAGAAGCTGTGAGACTGGGCGTAACGTGCCTCACCAGGGGGTTTGGTCTAGATAGCAACACAGACCGAGGTAACAAGCAGGGGTTGTTTTTTTTTTTTTTTTTTCAAATACCTGGGAAGGCTGTCCGAATATGACCTGAACCGGTTTATGCCGACAGTGCAGGGACTGCAAAAATTGGAGACATATCCACCGTATTCGGGCAGGTAATAAGATATCAAATGGATCATATGCATAAATGCTTAATGCTGGACGGAGTACATGAAGTACCTATCTGAAGTTAATCCGGTTTCTCAAGGGGGAAAAATAAAACACCAAAGTAAAGGATTGAGTTTCAATGTGGCCCAAAATCCCCCAACTAACATCCGATAATACGTTTAAAAAAGCCCACACACTGAATAACCCGACGTGTTCAGAGGTTCTTAGGGTAACCCCTGAGCCCGCACAGAAAAACCATCACGATCTGGGAGGGGCAGTGTGGGGAACTAGTCGAACTAGACAACGCCTCCAAGCAATCACAACTACGCCACTGGAACTAGCGGCTCCGGATGTGGAGTTTAATGCCTGGCCTTGGTTTAATTACTATCTGCAGTTCAAAGAAGCTGGACGTGTGATCCGTCCGAAGGGGACACCTCCATCCAATGAGAATCCTGGTGAATAGGCAAAATGGGACCGGTTCAGTCGCTTTGAAGCGACTCGATGCTGCTTGGCTTGTGAACTTGGCAGAGACCCTTTCGGGACCTGATCGACGTTATCCCCTTTTCGAAGTGGACGAGGTGGAAGTGGACGGGCTGTGATGTTGGTCCGGCACCTATAAGGCGATCGTCGTCCGCTGCCAGTTCCTCTCTTTTTTTCTCTGTGCATAGTATCTGCTTCAATCGGTTGTGATTCTTTCACCTGCTTTCCTTTTTGCTGTTCGCAGCGTCCACTCTTTGACATTTCTGTCACGACACTCTTTTAAGAATCCTAGGATATCTGCAGTTTTTTTTATACACGATGAAGCAGTCTCTTATTACCTCCCTGGTTGCCCTTGCGGCTTCCTCGGTAAGCAAATGAACCATGAGAAGTGCTATAGACGTGGAACTAATGTGTCATGAACTATAGGGAGCTCATGCCTCTGAGAGCTTGATCAGCGTCCCCGTTGGTCTCTGTGCTGGTATCCTCGGCGAGGCTGAGTGCAAGCAGCAGAGCTCCAACGGCGGTCTCATTAACGTCCCCGTGAACGCCTGTGTTGGTGCTCTCGGCAAGGCCAAGTGTGACCAGGCCTCTACTGCCAGCTCTGATGAGGGTTCCTTGATCAACGTCCCCGTCAACGTCTGCCTTGCTGTTCTCGGTGAGACTCACTGCAACCAGAAGACTCAGACCAGCGGTGGCCTCATCAACATCCCCGTCAACCTCTGCCTTGCTGTCCTCGGCGAGGCTGACTGCAACCAGCAGACCGGCTCCACCACCACCGCTGCCGCTGGTGCTTCCTCCACTGGCTCTACCGGTTCATCCGGCAGCCTCATCAGCGTTCCTGTGAACCTGTGCGCCGCTGTGCTCGGCGAGGCCGAGTGCAAGCAAAAGACTGCCTCCTCCGGTGGTCTCGTCGATGTCCCCGTCAACGCTTGTGTTGCTGCCCTTGGCAAGGCCAAGTGTGACCAGGTCGCTGGTGGTTCCTCCGCCGCATCTGCCACTGGCGCTTCCTCCACCGGCTCCACCGGCTCTTCCGGTAGCCTGATCAGTGTTCCCGTCAACCTGTGTGCTGCTGTTCTTGGCGAGGCCGAGTGCAAGCAGAAGACCGCCTCCTCCGGTGGTCTCGTCGATGTCCCCGTCAACGCTTGCGTTGCTGCTCTTGGCAAGGCCAAGTGTGACCAGGTTGCTGGTGGCTCCTCCGCCACCTCTCCTTCCGGCTCTTCTTCCACTGGCTCTACTGGCTCCTCCGGCAGCCTCATCAGTGTTCCCGTCAACCTGTGCGCTGCTGTTCTCGGTGAGGCTGAGTGCAAGCAGAAGACCGCCTCCTCCGGTGGTCTGGTCGATGTCCCCGTTAACGCTTGTGTTGCTGCTCTTGGCAAGGCCAAGTGTGACCAGGTTGCTGGTGGCTCCTCCGCCACCTCTCCTTCCGGCTCTTCTTCCACTGGCTCTACTGGTTCATCCGGCAGCCTGATCAACATCCCCGTCGGTCTCTGTGCCGCCGTCCTCGGTGAGGTTGAGTGCAAGCAGCAGACCGGTACCTCGTCCGGTGGTCTCATCAACGTCCCCGTCAACGCCTGTGTTGCTGCTCTCGGTAAGGCCAAGTGTGACCAGGTTGCTGGCGCCACTGGCACCGGCTCCAACGGTGGTAGCCTCATCAACGTTCCCGTCAACGTCTGCGCTGCTGTCCTCGGCGAGGCTGAGTGCCAGCAGACCTCCGGCTCCAACGGTGGTGGTCTCGTCAACATCCCCGTCAACCTCTGCCTTGCTGTCCTCGGTGAGGCTAAGTGCAACCAGGGCTCCGCCACTGCCCCTGCCTCTACCTCTACCTCTACCCCCTGTGACACTATCACCTCCGAGCACATCGGCAGCACTATCATCCCCGGCGCTTCTGAGACTCCTTCCCCCGTTGGCCCCACTGGTGCTTCTTCCACTCCCTGTGACACGATTACCTCCGAGGAGGTCTCCAGCACTGTCATCCCCGGTATGCCCGTGCCCTCTGGCTCTGCTCCCTCCGTCACTGGCTCCACTGGTCCTTCCGGTGTTGCTCCGTCCGGTGCTTCTTCCACTCCCTGTGACACCATTACCTCCGAGGAGGTCTCCAGCACCGTCATCCCCGGCATGCCCGTTCCCACCGGCTCCGCTCCCTCCGGTGCTGCTCCCTCCGTCACTGGCCCCGCTGGTCCTGCTGGTCCTTCCGGTGTTGCTCCCTCCGGTGCTTCTTCCACTCCCTGTGACACCATTACCTCCGAGGAGGTCTCCAGCACCGTCGTCCCCGGTATGACTATTCCCACTGGCTCCGCTCCCTCCGGTGCTGCCCCCTCAGGCACTGGCCCCGCTGGCCCCGCCGGTCCCGCTGGTCCTTCCGGCACTGGTCCCGCCGGTCCCTCCGGCTGGTCCCCTGTCACCGGTGCTCCCCACCCCACTGCCCCAGCCATGTCCATGCCCACCAACTTCATGACCAGCACCGTCAAGGTCTGCAACGCTGCTTGCTCCAAGTCCATGATGGTCTCCAAGTCCATGAGCGCCTCCAAGTCCGCTTCCACCGGCATGGTCGCCCACACCTCCCCCGCCGGAGGTGCTGGCAACGGTAACGGTGCTGGTGTTGCCCCCTCCGCCACCGGAGCTGGCGCTTCTCCTTCCTCCAGCACCGTTGCCTTCAACGCTGCTGGCCGCGCCACCGTCTCCGGCTTCGCCGTTGTCTTCGGTGCCCTCTTCGTTGCTGTTTTGCAGTTCTAAATTTCCGACTAGACCTGCATTTGTCCATGGTTCTAGCGTTTATTTGGCTGCATTGTTCTGCTGGAAGTTGGTCTCACGACGTTGTTGTCAACCACTCTTGACGTTCATATTTTGTTTCCTTTCGTGTCAGATATCCCAGTCTTACTATACTTTATCTTCTATTTCAGTGGCCTGATTGGGCCGAACATAGTTCTCATAATACTACGATATACGTCCTTTGACCTCTTTGCTTTGTAGTTGCTCTGTAGAGTACCTCAGATTGTGTATGTTTTCCATAAACCAAGTTTTAATTTTTCCAATTTCACATCTTTGTGTCGTTTAAACTCTAATTCATCTACTACAATTTGAGAAAAACATAATGAGGAATGTGATGTGATCAGCGTGAAGCCACACAATCACATGACAGTATACCACATTCGAGGCTTTCTTACGGATCTCTCACCCTTTAAAACACCATAGCACTGTTTCCGATTTCCAGACGGCCCCCTAGGATATAACAGTAGCTGGAAACTTATATCATGTCCCTAGGCTCTATTAGGTGGAATCAACAAATTTTACATACACTTATAACATGTTACCTATAGACACTCAGGGTACATGATTTACGCAGGGGATTGCTAGCAGACTCAGGTATCCTGAGTGCGCGTTAGCCCTACACACTTAACAAAAGTCGGGCTTTTGGTGGGTTACTAGGCGAGGGTGATGGTTGATCCGGTTCATTAAAATGTCACGAATCTGATGCCACATTAGAGGTAAAATTCGATGTAAATTACAATATCCAAAATGAGCTCAGATGCCGCTAGTTTATTGGTCAGGTTGAAGTTTGGGGCGGTGGGTGGCCTTTTAGTCCTGCTCTAGATTAAATACCAAGTTTCTTCATCAAGACCATGTATCTCATAAGTCAATAGATACACATTCAGTAGAAATCTCCCCTGTAGTCCGATCGATCCCATGAAGCAACAGACTCGAGATAGGCTGACTGTTATACGAAGTAAATTTCGGAGTGCCTCCATCATCGTCCACCGGCTGTGTTGCTCCAAAGATATCACGGTGCAGAGCCTTTTGTTGATTGATGGCTTTGACCACACCTAGAGTTTGATATAAGGGAAATGCACCTTCCTCTGTCGGCTTCAGATCTTCCAGTCTCTGCAGCCAGCCTTGGATCTCAAGACCAAGAGATCGGCTCTGGCATCGAAGAAGCGCAGTTAGAAGGAGACCAGAGAACCCGATTGTGTAGTTATTCATAGTGAGTGCTGTCTGCATGTTTATGCCCTCGACTATCCGAAGTAGCAATTGGACCCATGCATCTTCTTTGTGGCATTCGTATGTATCGCATGTTGGATTGCTGCTCTCTAAGCTTTGCAACAACCCCGTGCATTGCATAATCCGTGCTACTACATAGTATGCAAAATTCAGTGCCGCTTCGTGTGAGTGAAAATAAGTAGGCTCCCGAGTGAGACTTGTCTCACCGTCCTCTTGCAAGGCATTTTGACTTTGTATGGGCAGTTCGTTGGGAGGTAGTTGCTTGAGCCACAATTCTAGTTTCTCTCCTTGCTTTGCAAGCATATGGCACGTTGTTTCAAGATCGTCCGTCTTCTTCCATTGCTGTTCATTTGTGTAGTTGGTCGTTTCTCTTTGATGCCAGTGCCTCATAAGAGTTCGGAAGTTGAGACGATGCGATTCGCACATGATAGTTAAAACAATAACCCTCCGTCCTTGCAATGAAGTGAACGCCTCTTCATAAATACTTGGCAGAACTACCGCAGGCAGGTGCTGCTGTACTGAAAGAGAGCAAAAGTAGGCACGTGCCCACCATACCAAAATACGAATTTGTATCCAAGCTGCAAACAGAGCGTCTATGATCGAATCCTGCGAGCTGACTTTGAGTTGCAGAAGCAAGCTTGACATTCCTTGGTCATGACAGTAGAAACCTTTAAAGTTTCCCATAGAGGACTCGATATAGGCGAAAACGGTTAACACTGTTAAGACCATCGTTGTATTTGTTCGACAGTCGCTTTCGCTCAAGGCAGTGAATTTGTGAATTGCCGAGGAGTAATACAGTTGGCTTCTTGTTTGATGAACTAAATTAGGACTGAGGGAGCCCATATGACCATTTTTTGAGTCTCTTTTCTCCGGGTGAAGACGGCTAAAGTTGCACGAAGACAAGGCGAGGGTGGCATCTCGAAACATTGAATGATTGCCAAATTTTGTCGAGAGAGTTTGAAACATCGGGTGCATAGTTGGAAGGCAGCAATCCTCCCATATTGTTGAATAGAAAACATCACGGTCCAAGTGCTGCAGCGATTTCGTGACATTGATATTTCCGATGCGAGGCAAATAGGATTCAGCCTGCTTGGAGAGGTCGACATCTTCCAAAAGCTGCATATGGTTAGGTGAGGACTCGGTCCTTGCCGAAGGTATTTTCGAGCTAGTTACGTTCATAGAACGAAACTTGAAGTCTGGACGGTAGCTTTCACAGACTTTGCCCAATCTAGCACATGTCCCACATGTCGGTTGTTCTTCATCGCACTGAGGTTCCATGAGCTACTTGATATTATGATTGACATAGCCTCGAACAAACCTTCGTCTTTCTTTGCCGACAACTTTTGCAGCCATTTCGCGATCGAACAATATTGGTTTTTTTAGGTCTTGGAGGGAGTGGTCTGTACATCTCGATGCAGCAAATCAAGGCATTTCTTGGTCGAGAAGCGGTCTTTGGTTTAAGTTCATGTGTTTTTGGGCACCGTAAAATACCGTTCTCAATTTTCCGGGTTTCTCTGGCACTAGAAATGTAGTGATTGAGATGGTGATTCTCGATAGATCAATCAATAGTATCGAGTCAAACGGATACGGTTCCAAGCGCCTCGGCAGGAAGTTTGGAACAGATAAAGTGGAAGTCAATATTCGAGTTTCAAAACAGGGACGATTTCTTGATAACAGTCTTATAGTTGGTTTGTAATTTCATCACGCGACTTCCAAGGTTGTCGATGAGTCAAGAGGTCTGAGAAAGGAATATGGGAATAACGCCAAGAGATGGATCCACTCGTGGTTTGATCTGTTTGCATATTGTGTTGTCCATCTATCACTCGGAATCATCGCGATTTCTCTGCAACACCATCTCAATATGAATTTAGAGCAGAAGTCCCATGCGTATTCCAAGATCTGCGGTCTGGTTCAAGACATGAAGGTAGCTTAGCATACTTGTGGAACAGGCTGAATCAAAGGTGTACAGCCTTCCTGCGGTGCTGGTGCTTAATTAAACTACTAGCCTTCTCACTATATTGTTCAGGCTAAGTGCTTATTCAGCGAGCCATTGGAAACCTTCTCTTCATGCCAGGAACGTACAGGTCAATTTCAGCTGCCGGGCAATTGATGCAAAAGCTTCTTTCCAGGACTGTCGCACATCTCACCAAAAGCTGATATTATCTGGCCGGATGTTGATTAGGACAGCAAATCTTGTATTTTTCCTTGATCTTGTAAGTGCTTTGGTGTATATCCGTGATATCGAGAGATGGATGAGCATTTGGCAACAGGTGTGCCTTACCTTGATCAGGTCGATTTGGCGGTATATGCTTCATCAAACGTGCCATTGCTATGAGGAGCATGATTTTATGTCGAATTCAAATTGATCTGACTATTAACCTCGAAGACCCCTCGAAAAGCAGCTTGCAGAATTTCTCTTGTTAGATGTTCAATCCTCACTAGATCTGTTGATCAAATGTGGATTCGCACTAGAACAAATCAAGAGTGCGGGAGCGATGGCAGACGATTGGTAAGCCCTAGCTACTCCATGGATATTTGGCACTCCACTCCACTATGACTCTTCTAGTTGCAATCATTTCAAATTTCGAATTGTAATCAAATTAAGGACGATGTATGATTGGCCCACTGTATGTTTTTAACTGTAATTTGAATCCGACAGGGCGTTTTTGCCAATTGTAAACGCCGCGTATACTTTCTGTATGCAGTTAGCGTGCCTTTTCGAACCCCGGAGCTTCTATAACTAGGTATAGTGAAACTGAGTCAAATTTCATCTGAATCACTGGCAAAGCATTATAAGGCGGTTCCCACCCCCAGAGAAGTCTCGCGCAGTATACATTCTTTTTCTACTACCAATTTTTCGTCAAACATGTTCCTACCGAGTGTCCACGCAGAGACGGACAATGCCGTCCTGTTTCAGTTCATCCGTGAAAACCCCCTAGGAATGCTTATCACAGGAATAGAGTCTTCTCTAGACTTCCTGCAATGCACACACGTCCCCTGCGTGCTAGACCTGCCCGAAGAAGCCGGACAGTCCGCGCCCCAGGGTCGCCTTCGCGCGCACATCGCCAAACAGAACCCACAAGTGAAAGGCATGATTGAGGCCTTGGAGAACAAGCCAAATGTCATGGAGCTCGATAGAGATGTTCTTGTTGTTTTCAATGGCAAACACCATCACTACGTGACTCCCAAATATTACACCGAAACAAAGCCTGACTCGGGCAAAGTCGTACCAACCTGGAACTACTCGGCGGTTCAGGTCTATGGCAAATTGTCTCTCTATTACGATTCCAAGACTCCAGAAGCTGGGAAGTTTCTCTCGCAGCAAATCCAGGATCTTTCACAGCATACGGAAACATCGATCATGGGTTATTCTGGTGGTGAACGACCACAGCCGTGGAAAGTGGGTGACGCGCCAGAGAAATACGTCGAGTTATTGCAGCGGAATATTGTGGGAATTGAGATTCGTATCGACAAGATCCAAGGAAAGTTTAAGATGAGCCAGGAGATGCGACCTGGTGATCGGGAGGGTGTGGTACAAGGATTTTCGAAGTTGGGCGGTGAGACGGGGGAAGCTATCTCCAATTTGGTCAAGGAACGTGGTGTACTCCACGATGAGAAGAAGCAGAAGTCTTAGACGGCTTGTGCTGTTCAAGAAATATAAAAGTTAAGAGCCCAACATGGGATAGTAAATCTACCTCAAACACAGAATCGAAAGCTTCACCACCGATCTATTCTAGCCAATTTATGAACTTGAGTGGTATAAATGTCTCATGAAACAATATTATTGATAGTGCATATGTCTTATGTATCTTCTTTGAGGCTCTTTATGCTCGGTTTCTCTAAAAGTCTCGAATAGGACGCCATGTCTGGCAGAAGCTTTGTACTACATAGTGCTAGAGACGGAAGATTTTGATATAACAAGTTGTGAATGACGAAAACTTGCCAAAGGGTATGTCCTAAGTCTTCAAACTTGGGACAATAGTGAGTCAGTTTCTCAACAGCAGGGGAATCTGGAACGAGATTTTCTTGGCAAAGGCTCTTCCAGGAGAGCGGCAGACCATAGATACCTCGAGAAAGTAAGAGCAGGAGATTAAACATGAATCGAAGTTGGCAACAAGGTAATGATCTCTGGGGATTTGAATAGGGATGGTGTACTCGATAGTATAATGGGCGGCTTGTGGCGACAAGAGTGGCCTCGAAGACGCGCTTGAGTCAATATGTGTACCACACTTTATCCACTGCCTATCGCTGACTTTCAACTCCAATAGCGGTAAGTACCGTTTATATATTCGGTGCTGGTCTTTTGTCGAACAGGACAGTTCTGCTCCATCAAAGGCGACATGTATTGGGCTTGCTTTAAGGGAAGTGACAAACACAAGTCTTGTGTACAATGACTCAATGTTGGGCGGAAGCTTCAAACAGTCTTCGGACTCGAAAAGAACTTGAATGTGAGCGAATGCACAATTTTTCTCGCTTGTTTGGTGATCGTATCTGGGTATTTGGATTGGTTTCGGCGGGAATGATTTGATTTCCAACCTCCCCCAAGAATCTGAATGTTTCACACATGTCACGGGTTGTTTGCTCCATCTTGAAGAAGAAGAAGAAAAAAAGGGCTAGCAACCACGTCTATACATTCCTGTGTCGCAGGAAGTACCCAGATAGGCTTGGTCGCAGTCGTGACAAACGTTTTTGAGTTCTTCGTCAAAGATTTTCCAGAAACTATCGCTTTCACCCTGTAGGTAATCTGACCAGATTTCGGCATCAGGCTTTTTGAGATACCGAGAGGGGGACTATCAAGCAAAGGGTCACCGAAAGTTGGCGGTAGGAAGCTGTGCGAATGTTCGAACTGATCGCAAGCGCCGAGTAAAGTTCGGTCGGGGATTTCAAAGGAGAACGGAAACCCGTATGAGGATGCTTGATGCAGCACTCGATCTGCAGGGCGCTCGAGATGATCGGTTGAATGGTAGGCTTTCAGAAAGACATGCTGCAACCCATTTCGACCGCCAGGCGAAGACTGGAAAACTGTTGTCTGAGAACGGCCTGGATAAAATCAGTCAGATGACTCAAATGCGCCAAACTCTTATTTTGCTAACCTTCAAATAGAACTTCAACATTTTCAACCAGTGTTTCGTGCGGAAATTGGACACTAACAGTGCCTGTTATCCAATTCCCAGTGGTCAAGGGCTTAAGAGGATTGGGGCTCTCTGCCTCCAACTCAATGGTAATCTCCGGCCTTGGTGGAACGTTTAAGTGTTTTTTCAGAGTGTTGGCAGCCGAAGAAAGCATATTGTCTTTTGGGAGAGTTATTTATTCGCCCACTGAAAGAAGATAAATTTGGAACACTCGGCAAGGGTCGAGAGAGAAGTATAGAAAGCTTTTCCAAGGCTCGCAACTATTTTATATATTTTCTCTTGCCGATCAAAGGCCACCAGATTGAGTCATTCTACATACCCTGCCGAAGTTTCACGAACTCTCAATCAAATCAGTATTTGCTTGTGGAGATTCATGACGGCGGCTGCGGTCGACTAATACCAATCGCACCCGAGTACTGGATTAGGAAGGACAGAATGAATCGATTTAGCCTTGTTAAGAATGATCTTGAGAGGCGCTTGGCTCTCAGGTAATCATTGTTGGAAATATTACAGCAAAGAATCAACGGATTTGCTCTATCGATACCGATAGGTTTGAAACGGACTAGTCATTCAGGAAGTTTCCCACATACATCCATAAATTTCAAATTGTCCTATGAGTGAACCTACTGAAAATTTTAGCTTTTTGTTTCCTTCATCATGCCTTTCGCAGCTTCGTGATTTGTATCTAGCAGTATGTTTCACATATTCTTTCCGCATATCTGGGGTGTGGGTCGGCGCTATTCCTAACTCGATGTGCGGGTGCGATGGCAAAGTTTGCTTGACAGCCCCAGTTTCGATTTCCAGTCTCGATTTGACTGATTGTCGTTTACACTCGAGAAAAGCACAGCATCATCAAATTTGACAGACACACCACGAGTAGATCTACACCGTAGCAAAAGATCAATAGCCGTCTTCTAGAAGAGAGACGATAGTACTCCCAACTCCTCAATTAACGACAAGGTATAGATGGTAAATGGACTAACATAGGAGGGAGTCGCGTAGTAGGGAAAAAAAAAAAAACATACAACAGTAAGGATTCGCTAGTGGTCACCCACCTAACTACTAACTTACCGGCGTGTGGCTTAAGTACGGCTGAGCGGACGGGAAGCCCTGTTCTCCACACCCTGTGGTCGTATGTACTTTAGCTTTGATGGGAGGGAATCATATAGATACAGCCTTAGAAGCAGGTAAACTGTAATGTTAGACAAGGTTAGAGTTGCCCAAGTCGCGCAACCACTGCATTGACCCCTTCAGCTTAAAACAGCAGAAACTCATTGGATCATACCGTTTCCCCTGACAGGCGCTGTATATTGTCTCGGGATCTGCTCTATATTTGGAAGCATCAAAGCACTATATTTCTGTAGTGCCCTTAAACTTACATTGTGTCATCATGGGATTTGGCCTGTGATGGTATATGTATCGTTAGGTTTGACCCTTGAGGATTCGCTGTATAAAACTTCGCTAGTAATTACCTCGTGGATTATAGATTCTTTTAGGACAAAGATTTCCCTCTACAGAATTCGATAGAAGTGAAATGGTTTGTGTAGTGATTGCTTCGGCATCCGGAGCATATGAATAAACACATCTGACGAACATACATATATAAAGTAGACGGGCAGAGCCGACATGCTGCCAGAACAACAACCTTTGAAAACAATCTATGATTCATTTGCGTCATGTCGACAAAAAGCCCACCCATTGGCTGATTTATTGATAGACTAGCGTTGTTGAAGCCTCTTATTTGTAATACTCAGCCACCCAAGTCTTGATCTGCGCAATCTCGGCGTCAATGACTTTTTGGACACCCGCGTTCGCTGCGCCATTCTTAACAATGAGGTCAGAGCAATGGAAGCCACCAGGAATAACATTCAAAGGCGCCGAAGGCCGAGATTTGAGAGGCCCACCGGGGCGTAAGCTAGATGAGACTCCCGATTCTCTCCAGGGATCAAATTGTCTAGTGAAATAATTAACACAGCTCTCAATTAACTTGAGACTCACAGGGAAACCGTAGAAAGAAGAGAATAACTTACCCATTAGCCCAGATCAGTCGCGTAGTGTCGGTCAAATCCCAACCCTTGGTGTATGCATTGACTTCAGCTGCAGTCTTTCCCTTTGCGCTCGCGTAAGTGTAGCCGTTGACTTCAGGGAAGAAGAGAGAGCATTGTCGCTGCCAATAAGCGGCATTTACAGTCCGTGAGACGATTGAGGGAGTACCAGATGGAGCGCCACTAAATACATCTGTTAGAAAACAACATCGTCTCGGAGTCTTGCATGTTCTTACTCTTGCCAATAAAAGAAAGGCTCGTTGCAAAGAAGCCAGTTCCATTGACGATCGATAGCGTTGTCGATTGATGTATCGGTAAAGAGGGGGCTTGAGGCATTGTATGTATCGTAGCAAGCAGTGGTGCTTTCGTCGGTCCAGTAGCCATACCCAGTACATGCTGGAATTTCTTGTTAGAGATGTATAAAATTCAGGAAACTTTTCGTTGACTCACATCCAGGGAAATAAACCTCCGTAAACCACTTGGCATATCCCGCAAGTGCCTTTTCCAGGCCAACTCCATTGTGTCCTGGGACCTTCTTCGCGCCTGCCTCCACATTCTAATGAAGACGGTTAGTTTCCATTTCAAAGCTGTCAGAGTAAGTGAGAAATTACCTCAATGTAGTCGCAGAACTCAAAGAAGGAGGAATATCCTGTGTAGAAGGAGTTGGATTGCCACAACCAAGGTCCATTTTCCAATGCACTAATCATTGCGCATGTAGGTTAGCTCAGTTTCTCTAATGGACAGAGGTACTCGTACGATGCAAAATCATCGAACTCCAGGTCGCCGAGTCCGAACATGTCCTGTAACTTCTGGATTTTCTTTTCATTTCCGGACTCGTAAACTTCGTCGATGTGTTTTATCACCCTCGCGACATCCGTACTGCAATTCTTCGCCATTCCTTCCTGAACGGGAGTAAAGTATCCCCACTGAACATGAAAATGAGTGATTAATTTGTTTATCTGATATTCGAAAACTCACGTAGTCATAAATGGCCTCCACAGGAGCACTCGTGGAGTGATATGCCCAGAAAGTACCGGGAGAGACTGACTCAGTCCAGGCAGTCAAAGCTCCACTATATGATCCTCCACTCAGAACCCAAGGCTAGAGCCCAAAATGTCAGATCAAAATAGATTGATAGGAAGGACGCTTAATACATACGGCATTCTGGGGATTGCTGCTGTGGTTTGTATCGAAAGGAAGATCCACATTATTAGCGAAGTAGACGAGATCGGCGATAGAATTTTCTAGAGTTAGGTACTGTAGGTTCTCAGTTGTTAAATCAGTGTACGGGGTTGAGTTGCCCCAATATCTGTCTGTAACGCAATGAAGTTAGTCTCAGTTTGAGCTGAATTGGTTACAACATAAGACATACGCTCAAGAAGAATCACTGCGCCATCAATTTCTTTGGCAAAAAGACCAGTCAGAGTCCTATTTGTAAGATAGCCGGTATATTCTGCCGCCGCCTCTTCACCAGGAGTAAACAGCACAACCTGGTTTTCGGGAAAGGGTCAGAAGACTTGTTGAGTAGACTTTTTGATGCGAAGTATAGGTACCGGTGAGCCCTGCCCCGCCCACCACTCGTCGCTCCACCAGTACTGCTGAGAAAAGGTTCCCAGGCTCGGGTTTTTGTGATCGATCAATTGCTCGAAGAAAGAAGTGCCATAGGTAGCCGCCGTCTCTGCTGCTGCTGGAGGTGGAAGAGGTCGACGTCCAGCTGCCTGTGCACCGGCAGCCCAGAGCACGGACAAGGCAGTCAAGCCAAAAGCATACATGGCTGGTTTTAAGCAGGGACCGACTATTGCAGGCTCCTTATACGGACTCAAAGGACCAGCACCGTATGAATTCCTGGCACCAGCTCAATAGCCAAAAGAAAGAAAAAGTTGAAGCGACTCTTCTGAAGCTGGGATTGACTGGGAGTTTGTACTATTTATCCAACGCCACGTCAGGCAATGCCAGTCTCAGCTACGAGTTGCTACTAGCGGCGGAATCCCAAAGGCATTATTCATAAACGACTAAATATTCGCGCATGAGAGGCAAACTGATTCGGAGTCCGAGGCCAGGAACTGCCAGATTATTCAGTTTTATCGTGTAGACGAGCTCTGAGGGAGGGGGAATGCAACGCTAGTTACTGATCTAGGCGAAATTATGAGATTTGTGCTTCATGTCCGTCGGAGGTCCGAATCGTCTTACTGGCAGCAGATAACCTAGTCAAGATCCCGCGTTCGTGACTGGTTCCTGATAAGTGCTAGCATTGCTTCATTAAAATGGAGTGGGGCGGAAAAAGGCTACTAGCTAAAATCATACAAGTAGTAATAGTAGGAGTAATAATTGTTGATGTTGGGGATGAATTAGCCACCGATTCAACCCCACACCTTGGAATTGCAGAACATTGGATCGAGGGCCGCGATAAAGGCACAAATTCTAGAATAAGCAACTTCTCACCACATTTATTGAAAGTTATTCCTGCGTTAATTGCCATACATGAAGAAACCTTATTTGAACCTCCTTACATGTATATGCTGCTCGCTGGGCCACCCTTGCAACTCAGTTGGCTACAGCAACTACAATTAAGTATTTGATGGTAGGCAGTTGCTTGATTATCTTTTACCGTAAAGTCTTTCTGGAATCTTGAGAGTTGCTACACATGTATATTGGATAATTAGCCATTGGATATATGTCGACTCAATCCGGGTGGCCGTCAATCAGGTTGTCGTAGCCCACATCGAACCATTCTACAGACGGCTGGACATTGAAAAGTTCCCACAACAGCCCAGCATCCCATATTGAACTGCTTTTCGTACCTTCCTGGTCACTTGATTGACCCATGAGTGGATGGTTCACCTGCGGGGTTGTGTTGGCGTCGACCCCGGTACCTTGACCGGGAGTCGTTGTGTCGCGAGAATGTTGATTTTCCACTGAATTTTCTGCTACCACGTCGTGGGAAATATTTGACAGCCAAGGTGCGCTTCCTCAGATAATTCATTTGTATTATTGGTAGCTGAAGTTTGCTTTGGCGGAATTTCGAGTTGCGAGCAAAGACCAATCAATTGATGTAGCAACTTGTGGATATTTTTGCTAAATGAGAAATGGCCGCCAATACTTGCAATAGTAGCAGTAGCTTCTTTCAAAAGCTGTAGGTCGTCCACATCAGAGGTGGCAACAATGTTGCAGAAGATAACAAAAAAAGGCGTCAGGGGGTATAGAAGTACGGTCCTATTTCGATTCTGATTAACAAAATTCGTTTGTTATAGATAGTCAGGGTAACTTACCAGACGAGGGAATCTGTTGTGGATCCCGATGTGCTGGAAACATATGTATGGCACTGTTACATTGCTCTGAGAGCTTTTCCCGCGCATTGTACACATTCTTCGCTTTTTTGGTGATCGTGTAGATATATCGAATCGGGGCGAAGAGCAGTGCAAGCTAACGAAAAATATGTGAAGTCAACAGCATCCCACTCAGACTCTAGAACCGGTGTGTCAATGTACGTAGGGCGAACCTTCCAATACTCAGGCTGGGATTGAACATAATGGGGCAATCCAAGGGATACTGACCTCTGAAATCTTCAAACGGACAGAATATAGCTCGAATTAAAGGGACTCCACCAGATTTGATGGGTAAGGGCGACCATTTTGCCGTTCGGGTAAGGCATTGAGATATAGATCCTGAATACGGGCAAGTTGCACCATGATCTAAACCTTGTAAGATAGATTCCTCAGGTCCGGCTTCACCAATGTCGCCGGATTGTATGATAAACCCGGTAACGAGGATGGGCGCACAAGAAGCATGCTCAATGTCTTATCCATGTAGTAACACCAATAAACGCATTCTCGTACTTCGCTTCTTTCCTCAGTATCAAGGAGTGTCGGGATTAAATGGTGGTATCCCAGGGCTACGAGGCTCCTGGATGCTAATGCAGTCAGGTGCCAAGAGCGGCTAGTTTGGCCGGGAAACTGCACAAGCGAAGCCTTTGGTGAGTTAGCAACAGGACATGACTCCTGCCTCAGGTGTCAGGTAGGCTGCTGATACTTACGCCTGAAAGAAGAGCTTGGAGCATAGGGAGACTTCGAGATAGCGTAAAATCAATATCCTTCAGGCATCGCAGACTGGAGGCGATGTAGGATTTTCTAGATCCCTTGAGACAAGTCGACAAGCCCTAAGATGTGCAACATCGTAACCGGCGACTGATGTGAGTTGCAGCTTTGTAGTGAACACATACGGCGTATTGAAGGGCTAATTGGCCACTTACGGCACGATTGCTTAGCGCCAAACAGATGTGCTCTAGAGTGTTAGATGATATGTGATCGGGCCAATGAGTATGCTGGTGCTCTACTTTGGTCAGATTCTGAACACAGGTACGTGGAAAATTTAAAGCGAGACCTGCAGGGAAAGAAAAACATTGACGTACCACCTAATAGGTTGTAGAAAAGTTCAGAAAGAAGTTCCATCGGCGGTATCACGTCGTCACTATCTTTCTCATGTGAAGTGCTTTGCACATGATGTGACAATGATGCAAACTTTCCGACAACTGAGAGAGCGGATTGAAGGACCCGAAATTGGTTAGAGGAAAGATTTAGGTGAGAAACAAGCTCCTGTCGCATCATATCACTTGTGCTATTCGAATAATCAGGTAGATCACAAATTTTCTCGTCAGGTACGGTTATCGGGAGAGTGAGATCTTGGGAAAGGGATGGGAGCGCGATTCTCGGTTCGCCTTGAACTAAATTTTCAGGGCCTTCAATCCCGGACTGCAGTGCAGAACCATTTGACTCTCGTGGAGTATACTCGGCAGAGAAGCAAGAATAACAACCTAAACTGCTTGGTACAGCTGCTTTGCGTAAAGATCAAGCAGAAGAACGAGGCGGTTTGCCAGATACATTTTTCCTACTGATGGCTTTAGTTTCCGGTTTCAATCGCTGATGTTCAGCTAACTTACTTGGGCGGAGTCGTCCAAGCATTGCGTTACCGAGCGTACCGACTCACCTGTATCAAATGAATTGGGCTGTTAACAATGTTGGCTCCTTTTTCCGTTATTGGGTGCTGTCTATATATTGGCCACCTCTTGACTCTTTCGATACCAGAATCGTGGACGGCTCTATCGAAGGCAATTATGATGATGTCAGTTCACATTGTGTGCTCACAGGGAAGAAGACCATCGGGGGTTTGAGTGTCTAACTTATACGTGTATTCCTTCAGTATAACTACCTCATCTGATTCAAATACTTGCATGATTTTAACACGCCCTCCTTTATTCCGCGTATCTTGCACAAAGCCATTACAGGTTTGTGGTCTGTATTATCCGAGAATATCTATTCTAAACGACTAGATCGTATCATGGCTAGCGCCATCTAGACTAACCAAAGAGACGGCTTAAGCGTCATTGGGGTCAAATGAACCAAGGTGTGTATCTATGCCAAGGTGATAAGCGGGAGTGCTTAGGAAAGCGAAGAAAATGGTAGACAGTATTCTATAGAGAGATGAATAGAGGAGTTGGGTGATAAAAGCGGCCCGTAGGGTGCTATGCTGAACAAAGCAGGAGGCGAAAATAATGTAACAACATGATCCGGTTACGCCCCGGCTTGCCACCTTCTAGTATACTTTATAAGTTATAGTCTGTGATGTTATGCCAGGCATCTGACAGCTGGTTCAAATATAGGTCTTATGTCTGATTGCAATGGAGATAAATATGGCAATGGGTTGAAAAGAACAGACGGTCGTTAATCGTTCTGCTCTCGCGCAAGGGTATCACCCTAATAACAGGGAAAAGCATTCTATATATTTCCCTTTAACAGTGAGCCCAGTACATACGACCACAGGGTGTGGAGAACAGGGCTTCCCGTCCGCTCAGCCGTACTTAAGCCACACGCCGGTAAGTTAGTAGTTAGGTGGGTGACCACTAGCGAATCCTTACTGTTGTATGTTTTTTTTATTTTATTTTTTTTGTCTTTAGGATTTTTTGAATTGGTCCTTCAGTCAGCTTTGGCTTCCTTGGCGATCACTTTTTAACTACATTTTGCGCATGTTTTCGCATGATTACCGTAAGCAGGAAGCACTTTAAAACAGACACTTTAAAGAGGTTAAAAATTAGAACCAAAGTGTGACAAAATCATATTTACAACGTCAAGCAGTGTGCTCAATATGAGAATCTGGTATAGACCCTATTTGTTACTTTCCTGGACTGGCTGTGTCATTCTTTATTTTTAAGCTTTCTCGTAATATGAACAGAACCCGTATCATTGGTTTAAATACTAGACTTTTGTCGACCGACAAAAGCATGGTGAAAATCTCTGACACTGCGATGCGTACACCATACCATATGTGGACTAGTGTACGCTCGGTAACCTCCGATCCACTCAATATTCAAGAACACTCCAAGCTAAAAAAAGAAAATGATGTTGATCCTCAGGGAGCAGATTCCCTGAGTTGCTCGCTCCGCAGGACATTATTTGTTATCTCATTCTCAGGCTGTATTATTCCGCTTTCACCCTGTTGCAATTCCCATGCCTTCACGACGCAGTCACACGAAATCACGGCACGGATGCCTCCAATGCAAACAAAGACGACATAAGGTACAATTGCATATATTGCCATTTTCAATCCAAATCTTCTAGTCAATTTACACTACCTGATCTTCATGATAGCTGATACGACGAGAAGTGCGATGAATTACAACCTACCTGCCAGAAATGTATAGACCGTGGCGTTACATGCAGCTACAGTCAATCGACATCATCGCCAAGTAATGCTACACCATCATTTGCAATACTTTCATCTTCTTCGAGGCCTCCAACGCCCCCTTCAGAAACCATAAAAACTTCTGTCCCTTGCGTCCCAAAGAAAGACTTGAACTTGGAGGACTTGGAACTGATGGTCCAATGGTGTACCCATACCAGCCTCACGCTGTCCCGAAACAGCTCTGTCACATGGATTTGGAAATCAGTCATTCCCAGAAAAGCTGCCCACCATCCCTTTCTCATGAATGGAATCCTCGCCCTTGCTGCTTTACATCGAGCGTTTGGCGAATGCTCGGCAGATACTCGCGGGAGATATTTGGCGATTGCGCAAGCGCATCACTCTGAGGCTATCACCGGCATTGCGAGAGAGGAATCGCTGCAAAGTTCAAACGCCGACGCCACATACGCTCTATCCAACATTATCATCATATTTACATTTGCCCTTCCGTTATATTCCAAACCAAGTCACGAGATGGAGTATTTGGACGAGCTTCTCCGCATATTTCATATCTGCCGCGAGTCAATAACAATCCTCATGGCCGTTGTGCAGTGGGTGCGCGAAGGCCAACTCGCGACTTTGGTAGACACGGAGACAGTTTCTTTTCACCCTTCGATGGGTGCAAATCCTCAGCCTGCACCATACAATCTCGGAGCTCTGCACCATTTATATTCTAACATATCTCATATTTACACCGCTGCGGAAAGAGAGACCTACGAATCGGTAATTCAAGATCTTCAGATTGCCTTTGAGAGCCTTGCAAGTCCTCAAGAGCCAAGCACTGTGACTGCAATGTTCCGTTGGATATTTGCGGTCCGTAGAGAATTTATACAAATGTTGAAGTCGCGTAAACCACTTGCGATGGTTATCGTGGTTTATTTCAGTGTCCTGATGCATCGCCTACGGGGTTATTGGTGGGTAGGGGATTGGAGCCAAAGATTGCTCGATGAAATCTATTACACAATCGACCCGGAGTGGAGGCAGCACGTTGCTCCTATTCTTGGTTTGCTCAGAAAATCAGATATCCACGACACACCGGAGCAACACGAAAATGCAGATGTTCACGTTGACTCAATTCTTCAGACTTGATTTTGACATCAAAACATGGAGAAAACGACATTTGGACAGAACTTTAAATGCTAGACATTTTATCTCCCTGAAATATATAGTCAGCAAAGTCCATGGATGTTGCTTGCAAGGAAGATCCTCATACTAAGTTCTCGTCATCCCCGTAGCTAAATTGCTGATCCGCATTGGTAGTGCTGCCTAACAGAAATAAGAGGATGAGTGACTTGAATGAAACGGGGAATATACACATCATATTTACTTGGATGTCGCCGGCCCCAGCCCGCCAGGCGTCGTAAGTTCTGTATATTGCGGAGGCGAAGGGATCGCATATACTGCTGTTGCTGAATGGGAAAACTGAAGGCTGAGCGCGTCGTTTCATGCACAACAAATTGAGAAAATATCCCTGCCGCCAAGGCTGTGCTACTAAGGCAGCAGGCAATCACGATAACCATTATAGCAAAATTGCTCAGCCCCATTTTGATCCTCGAGAAATATCGCCTCAATCTTGAGACCACACTTCTGCAAAATGTGTTGAGATGCGACAACGCTAGGTGGCGGAGTATGAAAGTGCGCAGAAAGAAATGTGAATTTCGGAAATACCCATTTTGAAGATGGAAGCCTAGTAATTTATATAATATGGCAGCGGATCTCGTTGTTCTATTGTTGGTTAGATGAAGTGAGAGACCATCTGAAACTGCTCCGCGCGGATTTTTGGATCGTACACTATTCCTGTTTGGGCTCACGAGATCTTAGTCCAATATGAGCTAATGTAAAGCTTGTTACTAGTTAAGACATCGGGGAAACCGTGTTAAATCTATTCTCCAAGAATATCTTTTCCGTCGTACACCTTACCACTTTGGGACAACAAATACAAACCTTCGATCCTATAGATTCCAAACCCACGCTAATTATACGATGTGGACAAAACAAGATATTGGCTGCCCTGATTGGTTTTAATGTTTCCTAGTAAGTGGGCTAAATTCCCTTGAGAAAGGTTAATTCAGCTATAAAAGTCTCAGGCAACCCCCAATCTCTAAACCCGACATATTGAAACACCTCGAGCTAAATATTCAATCGCTTTCTTTCCCCTATACCATACTCATAATGGCTGCTAAATATGTATTATACAACTACACCCCATCATATGTCGCTGCAGTATGCTTTACCGCCGCCTTTCTCATTTCCGGGATGGGACACATTTGGCAAGCCAGTGTCAACAAAACAGCCTTTCTTACACCATTCATTATTGGCATACTATGTATGTATACCCGAATTCAATTGACGAACTAGGCTAATATCCAACCAGTTGAAGCTTGTGGATATGCCGCACGTGCGGTCAATGCAAAGCAAGCTCCGGATTACGCCGTTGGGCCATATTCCATGCAAAGCCTGCTCTTGCTTCTTGCCCCGTCTTTGCTCGCTGCTTCGATATATATGATTCTCGGTCGGATAATCAACTTGGTTGATGGAGGCTCCAGGGCTCTGATCCGTCCGCAGAAGTTGACCAAAGTTTTTGTCACTGGAGATGTACTATCGTTTCTAGTCCAAAGTGGAGGTATGTGACTGACAAGAACGATCTGTTAAATCCCCATCCGATACTGATACTCGTTGCAACTTCTTCAGGTGGTGCTATTCTAGCTCAAGCAAAAAGCCAGAGCAAAGTAACGCTCGGCGAGCGAATGATTGTTGTTGGACTTTTCGTCCAAATACTTTTCTTCGGCGTCTTCATGGCTGTTTCAGCTCATTTTCACAAAAATATCACCGCCGACCCAACACCGAGATCTCTTTCTACCACCAGACCTTGGCAAAAATATCTGATTGCGCTTTATGTGGCTAGCTTCATTATCATGGTCCGATCAATCTACCGTGTGGTGGAGTACATCCAAGGAACAACGGGCTATCTACAGAGTCATGAGGTGTTTCTTTATGTATTTGATTCGATGCTCATGATCGCTGTGTGTTTCGAGTTGAACATATTCCACCCCAGCCGAGTTTTACCCCATGGGAATGAACTCATCGAAGATGGCGAATACTTGCCGATGCGATAACAAGCATCGAGAGAAAAAAATGTTGGATCAAAGAACGAAGTAGAACGTGAGTGTAACAATATCAAAATCGGAATTATTCAGTCTTCTCAGAGTCTACTTTCAGACCCAGTAAGACTGACAACATACTCTGTACATACTGTGCAATGCGAATAGGCCCGCCAAGGTCCGCTAGCGCCCGCTTCTGCGAAACGTCTTATCGACAAGAAACAACGTTGATTGGGGCTAGGATGCGCGGGCAAATCTTATGGTAAGCAACCATGGATCGATGACTGCACTGAGGCCGTCACTGCATAAGCGCAAGACTGTCCATGCCAGCGTAAAGCCAATAGTTTGTCATGATTCGGTTTACAATTTACCCGTCCCAGGCAATTTTACGCGTCTTGTTGTCCCGCGGGGAAATGCCAAGGCTGGCCTTGTTCCCATTGGCTCGCAAATACTTGACTCTCCGTTGATTTAGCCAATCAGCAGACTGCAACTAAGCTCCACTCCGCTGTTCGTAAGCAAGTGAGCTCACCACTTTGCCTTTGTGTAGATGCCCTTTAATCAGCATTTGACCGAAGGCTTGGGAATCATTCCTACAAGTCAGCAGTATTTATAGAGAGTCCCCCGCCAGTCAATTCCATAGTATCATTCCAAACTCGTTTTATCCCAAGCCACCTTCTCCAATTCACGTATAGACACCGCAATGTCTTCCTATCTTATCACTGGTGCCAGTCGTGGTCTCGGAGTTAGTGACCACATGCTCTCTGCTGCAGTGACTGAGTACTGATATGAACAGTTTCAATTCGTTCGGCATCTTGCTCAGAATCCAGAGAACACCGTCATCGGTCTGGTCCGAAACAAGGCTGCTGCTGAAGCAAAGGCCAAAGAAGAGGGACTCCATAATGTTCACATGGTGGAGGCTCAGTACACTGATCTACCATCCCTCAAGGTGTGTAAATGTATCCTTAATAATGATAACATACTGATTCCTTCTAGGCAGCCGCAGAAGTTGTCAAAGGGATCACTGGTGGGAGCTTGGACTATCTAATTAACAATGCCGCCGTTATGTCTAAAATCAGTGAATTCAAATCGCTGGGTGACTTGTATGTATTGACTTTCAATCAAAGATACGACAACGCTGACAATGCACAGCGAGGATGACTTCGAGACTCTGGAAAAGGACCTCCAAGAATCACTAGACGTCAATATGATGGCTGTCATCAAGTCAATTCACGCCTTTATGCCTCTAATCCTCAAGGGAAATGCCAAAAAGGTCCTCACTATCTCCACTGGAATGGCCGATATCGACCTGATCAATGCAACTGAAGTCGAATTTGGCGCCCCATACGCTATCAGCAAGGCTGCTGTCAATGTCGCCATTGCGAAATACAATGCCCTGTACAAAAAGGACGGTGTTCTTTTCCTCGCCGTCAGCCCTGGATATGTAGCAACCGAGCGAAACAATGGTATGTCACATGATTCAATCATAAGCGCCCTGTATGTCCATACTAACGCTCATCTCACAGCGGGCGCGCCTGAAGGCGAGGAGGGAAAGATAGCTATTCTTGTGCAAAAGTTTGTGGAGTATGCACCGCACTTTACGCGACAGTTGACTCCTGAAGAAGCAGTCATTGCTGTTCTGTCCGTTATGGACAACGCCTCAATTGCAAATGGCGATGGTGGTGCGTTTATATCGCATCACGGGAACAAGCAGTGGCTGTAAATAGGCTAGACAAATTCGAGGAAATGAATTCATTTCAAGACGCGTGAATCATCGTTGAAGACTATTTTCAAACTTCCATGGTGAATTTAACAGACTCTGTGTTCAACTCCAAATATCGCATGTCCTCACCGGAGCAGTATTCACGACTCTAGATTCGTCCATCTCGAGTGGTATACGTTCTCTATATGCAAAAAAAAAAAACAAGACATGAAAATATCCCAAGATTGATAGCTTGAGTGCAGCGATAATTACCCATTGAAGTCAAAAGTACCGTAACTATTTCCTAAAAGACATCCCTAACAGTGGATGGATGAGATTGTGGCTTGAAATAAGCAAAGCTTTGATCTCACTGCATATCCAGTAATCCTTAATGGACTGCTTCTATCGTATTATTTACTCGAATCGGGCTTCTAGAGGCTCTGGGTCCTTTTCAGCCATTCACGCCGGGACCCTATTCGATGTTTTAACAAGCTCCCTCCAGACATTTAAATCTTGTTTCTTTGGTTTTCCTTTCGGCAAGCGAATTCATCATTAGATTAAACAAATGATTGTCATAACAATACTGCCAACGCAACCGCCGTCATTTACCGCGTGTTATGTGCAATCCCAAAGCGGCAAATGGGTTTGTTTTGCGACCCCTCCTTTCCCGCGTTACGATTGAACTAAGTGCTTAGCACCCCAATGGAGGACTCATCCGCATATTCGAAGGCTTTTAATTGGTGCTACGAGCAGCTTTCCACATTGGGGCACATTGAGGGGAATTTCGAAATTTCAGTGAATTGGATGTAAGGAGGGAACTATCGCATTGTATAAATTCAAGACCAATTCGCCTGTCAATGTCTCTCCAGGACTGAATGACTATATTTCGCAATGGCTGAATCTACTACTATACTTTTTGTCCCTGGCGCCTGGCACAATCCTGATTCCTTCGATCCAGTGATTGAGCGTCTGGAGACTGCCAAATACAAGACCAACAAGGTGCATCTGCCCTCAGTGAACCCGCCAACACACTTTCTAGATTTTGACGAGGATGTTGCACACATTCGCAAGCAAATCGAACAGGAAGTGAGCGCAGGACAGAGTGTGGTCGTCGTCGTTCACTCGTACGGCGCGCTACCCGCAAACGAGGCAATTCAAGGACTGGACATCCAGACGCGCCAAAAACAGGGCCTGACAGGTGGCGTCGCTCATCTGTTTTTCTGCTGCTCTTTTGTCATCCCAGAAGGACAGTCTCTTATCAGTGCTTTTGGTGGCAGTGATCTTCCTTGGTTCAGGGTGGCAGAGGACAGACTAGAGGTCAATCCTGCGAACCCAGACGAAGTCTTCTACAATGACTGCAGTCCTGCTCAGATTGAGACCGCAGTCGCTGCTCTCAGACCTCATAGCTACAAGTGCTTTCACAGCCCTTGCACCTATGCCGCCTGGAAGGAGGTGCCAAGTACTTATCTGTATTGTCTGCAGGACGCGGCAATTCCTCTGGCAGTACAGAAGATGATGGTTGAAGTGACGGCGAAGGGGTATGGCATGAACACGGAGACGGTGGATGCGTCTCACAGTCCATTCATAAGCCAGCCCGATGGGTTGACGGCGGCAATTCGCCGCGCAGCTGGGGAAACCATTTGATCGCGATCATTACTCTCAATGTATTAATTATTTTGATTCGGATAGATGATGATTCGTGAAAGCCTGCTTGTATTTTCTCATCCTCGAACATACTAGGCTAGTGTTGGCAGAAGCTCATTCGAAGACATGATAGTGTTCAACGTATCGACATACGTCCTCCACTGTGTGTTTGAATCCATAATTAGATCGTTCTGCACCCACATGGACTCAATCATTCCTTGCACGGCATACAGCCTGCGCTGATGGGACCGTTTATGTGTATTTTCAAATACAGAGAGAATGAGCTCCCGCTGGATATCGTTTTGCGCTTCGCATGCTATAAAAAATAGCGGAAATGCTCGCTCACATATCACAGACTCCCGGAGAAGACCAAAAGCTTCAGTAGCCCATTCTTTCACTTGTTTGTTGTTGGGGGATCTTTTCAAAACACGCTCAAAATAAATGAGCCCTGCCAGCTGATACAGCTTGGCCATGTTGTTCGCGCGTTTGATTTCTTCTGTATTATTCTTGCCAGAGAGGTGTGTTGTGTCTTGTTTGATTGCGGTCAATTCGCGCTCAATAGAGTCGAGAGAGCTTTGATCAGTGTCACTACGTTCGTATGACAGACTATTCAATTGCATTTCTGACATTCTGGCGATGAGATTTATCATCTCCAGTGAACATCCAAATATGCTGATAAACTATTAATCTTATTAGTAAGATTCAAATCGAACAACTGTCACCTTACTTGATCGTTTTCCACAGACACTAGAGCCGAAGCCATACCCGGTACCTTGAAAATCGATAAATTTTCCGGAGAATCAACCTTCCAATGTCTCAAGCTGAACCGTCCAAGAATATCATGATAGTGCACCCAAAGAACAAGAGGGTCGAATTCTATCAGTTTGGGATGCCCTTCTTTGCACATCTCGTGGAGCATGACTTTAGCGCCCGACAAATATAACGGCCATTGGAAGGTGCTCTCAGAAGGCATAAAGATCTGATCTCATTAATAGGCATTGAAAAGAAGGAGGCGAAATCAATACCTCAAATGCGCAGAGTAGCATGTCCACGGCTACATGTTGATAGATTTCTCTTGTCCCGGTCGTGATTCTTTTCATGGATGCGGTCAAAGAGCCCAGAGCTGCTACCTTTAGTTGAAGAGTATTTTTTCCGTGTCCATGACGGTGTAGAGAAGCTAGGGCTAATATTGCCCGCAAGACGGCCATTGAAGCGGGCGAATCGTCGGAGAATGAGAGCTGAAATAACAATTTCCAAAGCTTATATCCATCTGATCCGATTGGAGTGAAGGAAGTAACTACTTTCGTCATGACTAGAGTCAAATAATCAGCCAAGTGACTCTTCGGGGTTCATTCAATCCATACAAAACGACAGCAGATGGTCTCCATCGCCCGTTGTTGGCTCTGCGTTTGTCAAATTCGATAGAGTAGGAATCCACGTGCGAAGAGGTGGAAGTATTGCTTAAAAAATTAACGAGTAACCGAGTTAGCAAAACATACATACTACCCAAGCAAGTCCGAAAGCAATTTCAACTACTGACCTACACCACCCGGATACTGCAGATAATGCATCTCAACATCCGTCATCAACGTATTAATAAAATGCGCATCTTTTCCATTCTTCGACCATTCAGGCAAAAGCCCCTGACTCGAGCTGTTGATTGATCTGCTGGAACCGTGCGCCGGCCAACTCAATCGGAGACCATAACCCTGGCAGATGCGGGATGCCGCAGCGCAGTTCCGGCACCCCGGACGGCCCATATCACAAGCAATTTTTCGCTCTAAGAACAGCCAGAGCCATGTTATCTCAAATTGCATATATCAAATTCGAAGAAGACGCGCACGATCTTACCACGACATGTCCAACACCTTCGCTTTGATGCAGGTCCTACACGATAGGATCTTCGTTGCTTGGACATCTGGGTGTCGAGTATTCACTATCTTAGAAAACATAGAACGGGGACCATGATAGATTTTAAGTAGAAATCATTTGATTTGAGCTTCAAGGTGCCGGAATACGAAGGAGGTGTCATCAAGCTGCCCAAGTGTCATTGTGGGGCGGTAAGCACTAGCCGGCGAAGCAATGGGATACACGGGGCACGTGATGTTGAAATTACAAAAGCATTGGGAGAACCAGGACATTTTAGCTGATACTTGGAACAAAATGTAGTCGTCTTGGAAAGTGTGCTATCAAGTTGTTGCAACATGAAATGAGCCTAGAGAGCAGTCTGTGTGTACGCGGCCTCTTCAGAGGTTCAACTGGAGACCATAACATCTTTTGTCTGGTAAGACTCGAACTTCACCATTGACCAAGTTTGAACAATCCGAATGCATCCAAAAACTTCGTGGGTACACTCAATTTTGCCTGCATTTCCCCAAAGGTGAGGAGGGTGGATAGAGAAAATTGCAATCAGCCCTCCATCCATCCGTACATTTAATATGACACTATAAAAGGGTTCGTTCAGAGTTTGTCTTACAAAACTCGCTCCACAGTCCAATCTCCCTTCCCATTTGAGCGATCATCGAAGAACGGCTTAAACAGCTTCTGAATGATGTCATCTGGATGGAATCCCTGAGCCCAATCGCCAGTCTCTGGATCAGTAATTCTCCCCGAAACCAGAGGCATGCCGACCAAAATTCCATACTTCTCCGGTAGAATCTGCGCAAAAAGCCGACTCACAGTCTGAGAAGCAGATTTGGCAGTTGACAAAGAAGAAAATTCCAAACCTGGTGCTTTATCAAGAAGCCCCCCAGTGATCAAAAACAGAGGCTTTTCCCCGGTCGAGACAAAGTCCAGGCGGGCATTTCGCGTGAACCACTGACCGGCAACGAGGGTGCCAACTGCAGAAATTCGGAAATCGAGATCCAACTCTTCGGGGGTTACATCGAGGATGTTTGTCTCGGCTACACGAGCGACGTTGAAGTTCAAAACATCCAACTTGCATTGGAACTGCTCGACGGTCAAATCGAGAGCTGCTTTTAAGGCCGTGGTATCGCTAGCATCGGCTGTTTGCCAGATTATTTTGGCTTTTGGATTTTTCTGAACTGCCTTGGCTTCCTCTGCGATGGCTGAGAGGGTTTTTTCGGATCGCGCGATCAAAGCAATGTTCCATCCTTGACTTGCGAGCCATAGAGCTAGGGATCGGGACATGGATGGGCCAACGCCTACGATGGCGATGGTGCGGGGCTGTTGGGATGACATCTTGAGGTGAGAATTCCAAGGACAAATTATTGGAAAAGAGTGAGATTGGAACGGAAGAATACGAACAAAGACATTATGTATGACGTCTCGGATGAATGTGGATGCGGAGACTTTTGGTTTATAAGGCCCCATCTCCCCGGGGCTTACTCATAGAGCATTATTCAGCATTGCATTGATGAAAACATTGAACTATATCCCAGATGTCATACTGCATCTCATCTACCCAGCGGATAGTAACGTGGAAACTCAGGCATTCCAACTCTTCTAATCCAGATCCTGCTTAATCAGATCCGCCGCCTTCTCCGCAACCGCAAAGACAGTGGCCTGAGTATTGCCCCTAGGAACCAAAGGAAAGACACTAGCATCAACAACCCGAATATTGGCCGCACCATACACCCTCAGACAAGAATCCACCACACCGCCATCCTCCCGCGGCATCATTGCACACGTACCACTCACATGGTACATAGACAAGACAAGTTCCTTGCACAGGGTCCGCGACGTTTCCAAATCCGTCACAGGCTCAGAGGTATGAAGACGTCGGCCACCCTGCTTCAAAAGTGAAGCAAGAGGCTCTGTCTCAGCGATTTTATCCACATACAGATTATGGCGCGCCTGTAGTTCGACATCGGCTGGATGACGGAGAAGTCCAGAATCGATCCGAGGAGGAGCGTTCGGGTCGGAAGTTTGGATATGGACGGAGCCTCTTGAGAGAGGGTAGCTTAGTGTTGAAACAAGAGTGATGAAGAAGCCTGGATGGCTGAGACCGAAGATATCTTTCGGTTGTTCTTTTCTGGATAGGATCTGGAATGGGGCCAGGACGTATTGAGCGTGGGGCTCGTTGGGGTTCTGGAGCATCTCGTGCAGGACTTCGTATTGTTTCTTGTGTGTCTGTGAAATGCTGGGGTTGTTTAGAGATTCTTGCACTTTTTGAAGCACTTGAGACCGATCATCGTCAGAGCTGTTCACTAGCGGCATGAAGGCCGAGGTAAATGGGACCATGCCGAGAGGTCCTGAGCCATCAATTTCGTAGGCCGCCATTGCAGCAGCGGCTACTGCTGGGTCCCTGGCCATGTCGGCTGATGGCATGCCATCTGCAACCTCATATCCAAACGAGACAATGGCGTGGTCCTGCAGGTTTTCTCCAACGCCAGGGCTGTCGATGATAGTGGGGATATTGTGAGATTCGAGTATGTTTCGATCGCCGATCCCGGAAAGTTCGAGGATCTGAGGAGTTTGCGTTGTTCCAGCCGCAAGAATCACCTCCTTTGCCACCGAAACAGTGTACAAGTTCGAGTCCTTGGTGAATTGAACTCCAGTTGCAATGGCATCACTCTCATGTTCCCGCTTCTCCACGCATATCCTCTCCACCAAAGCGCCAGTCACAACCCGCAAGTTGGATCTAGCTTGAACTTCCGGCCCCAGATACGCAGCCGCAGAATGACTTCTGGTATGAGTAACTGGATCAACAGCACCAGGAGATACGAAGGGGCCTGCACAGCCTCCATTAATGGGATCTTCATCTTGTGGATATCCCAGAGACTTGAAAGTCTCCATCCACGCCGCGTGGAAAGGCATGTACTCATCGCCAAACGATACTTGCACAGGACCGGTACTCCCCTGATCTTGTGCCTCATGTTTCATCCCCTTGAAGAACTCCCGATTGGCGCTAGATAGAGGCGCAGCGGTATGAAACTTGCGCAGATATGGAGAAAACTCATCCCAGCCCCAGCCAGGGTTGCCTAGCTTTTCCCAGGCGTTCATTCCAGTGCGGGATGGATAGACGATCATGCCCAGATTAATGGCCGAGGAGCCGCCCAAAGTGCGACCCTTATTTGCCAGGATCTGGCGCCCATTCAGTTGTTCCTAGTCATGTTAAACACATCCTTCCAAGTCCATCAGTAACTTCATTGGATCCGCTTACCTGGGGACAGGATCTGAAATTCCAATCAAAATCTTCATGTTCAAAAGCCGCCATTGCTAATCCTGGAACATTGATGCGAGGATCATTTATACGGTTTGTGCCTGCTTCAAGGACAAGCACGCTGATGTTTGGATCTTCAGTAAGTCGATTGGCTACAACCAGACCGGCAGTCCCGCCGCCGACGATCACAAAATCGTAACTTGCATTTGCAAGTCCTGCAGTGGACTCGGTGTCAAAAGCTGCCATGGTCAACGTCTTCAGCTATATATGTAGTGCAGAGAAGGAGACAAATATTCAAGTAGGACGGAACCGCGCAGGATTGGGATTCAGCTGAGTCTAAGTAGCGGGGCATTAATTATCTTACTGTATCCCGCAAAAGAAATCAGCCCCCATGTTGGACGTCAGCACATTTCGAAGCTAACAACTGTCAGCCAATCTGCTTGCGAACTAGTGAGACTATCACCCGTCGTGGGTCGAACTGCATGAGGTAGCGAAGCCAATGGTCAACAGGTCTCTTGATAATATATTCCTTCTTTTCAATGTACTTGCAATGCAACATAATCAAATTTTCGTCCCTTCTGTGTTCATGCAAGGGTCACGGCTCGAGGTCAGACTGGGGAACTGCTCTACGATTATGCACCAAATGGGTCTCGGATTTGGTCAACTGGTGGGGTTATCAGCCTTACGCGGCACGTTGGGTTCAAATTCTGCTTTAGTATATGCATGTCATGTTTTGATATTTACCATTTGATCAGAACTCATCTGGATGGATCTTCGCAGTCTCGTTCACTGTTGGATATTATGATATCCAGATCCTTGGTTCCTATAATGCAACACCACTTATGTCTATTGCACTAGTTCAGGTCTACAGATATGAAATTGCAACAAAAAGTCATGAGTAAAATATGCATTTGGTATTGAATCTACAACAGATAGCTTTGATAATCCCATTGGGAACATCATCATTGCATCAACAACCGATCTTCAGCAACACCCCCATCAAGTAAGATATCTCAGGCAGGGTAATTCCTTCAAGCCAGAGCATCAGCCACAGCAAACAGTCGCCTCGTTCGCAACACTTGTCTGCTTTCCATCCCTTCACGTAAAATCCCCAATGTTAGCGCCACATCAACCACAGCGACAGCTAGCTCACAGGACAAGAAAACTCACCCAGCACTAATAGTCTCCCACGTAAAAACAAACGAACCCAGATAAGCCCCAATAAAGATACAAATAATGAAATACCCATTGTAATACATAGCAAGCCTACAGTAGACACCGTCAATCAGAATACGCAACCAAGAATACCACACGCCAACAAAAAGAAGCAAAACTCACAGCATGACAAAATACGCCACGGCAAACTGAACCATATGAATCAAAGCCCGAACCATCTGCTGCAAAAAAGAAGGCCGGAACCCAAACGACGGAATCTTCGCCGAGGAATTCTGTCCTGTCTCCACGGCTGCCATCTTCGCTTTATGCTGTCGGAGCAGGAATCTATCATACTCTTTTCCCAGACGGCGGAGGAACTCCAGCGCAATGACGAGCAGAATCACGCCAATGCAGCAGCCAGCGAACATGCCCTGCGAGGTTATGTGCCATGAGCGTGCGATGAAGCATGTGTCGATTGTGTTCCAGTTCCAGAGCATCTAGAGGGTATGGGGTTAGCATCGTATTGTGTGAGAGCGAAGGTGAGAGCGAGAGCGAGAGTGGGGGAGTTGGTTACTGAGATCTTGCAGGCGTGGGCGCCGCCCATTCCCATTCCCATGTCCATGTCTCCCATGCTGGCGGTGGAAGAGACTGTTGCTGCGGTGGAGGTGGTTGTGCTCATTGACATGTCCATGGAGGTTGGAGAGATTAGAGGTGTCGGGGAAAAAGAAAGTAGCAGTCGGAGAGATGTTATATTCACAAGCTTGCAGCTGTAAACAAAGTCCGTGTCATGTGTCAGACAATAAGTTGGCGCCAATATTGGCGTTGCGCAGGAATGAGCATGTTTTATTGCCAAGAGCCGAAGACTACAGGTCATTTTTCTTTTGTTTTCCCTTTGGAATTGTACACAGTTACTATCATGGGCAGTATTTAATTGGGATTAGGTCTAGACTATCAACATGCGTATCTTAACGATGGGACAATTATCCAAGGGATAAAAGTTGTCGGCTACAATTTTTGCCACAAGGCAGCTGGACTATATGATGTGTCTTTAGCAGTGATATTTTCTTTTTTCTTGTAAATAATTATACTGCATCAAAAGTTAATTTTGAAAATCCCCGACCACACTAGAGATAGTCACCAAATCAGTGCTTAGGTTAATATCTGCAACTTCATGATTAGCAAGAACTTATGAACCCAAACGGTAAGAAAAGACTCACGAAAAGCTCTCAGTGTGGAGCCAAACCTCCCTCGCACAATTATTCTCCTTGGTAAGAATTCTATACTGAGCAGCAGATCCAGCCTCACCCACATCATGGGTCATGGACGAAGGCCCACACACCACCACACCAACAGAAACACCATCCTCACTGGAGAACTCCTGGATCAAAGCTGGTAGTTCCGGACGACCGGAGAAGAAGCTGATACCAAACATTTCGACGGTAGTAGTCTCCCGAACAGCTTCATTGCCGGTCTTCTCATCTTCGGATTTCAGATCCGAAATGACTGTTTCAGTCGCCGTCTTCGTATCAATAACCTGGTGCTCACTATAAGTCTCGTGAATGTGAACAGAAACACCTGGAATAACCCCTTGTTGAGAATTTCGCAGCGCCATGTCTTCCAATGCTTGGATAAACCATGCGCGCATTCCGGGATCTCGTGTGGCGACCACGACCTTCATTTCAGCCTTTCCTTCATGGAAAGGAGAGTATCGAACGAAGTCCTCCAGCATTGAAAGCGTAAATCCTGCACCGGCACCACCCCCAATAATGAGACTCTTGTTGGAGTCTGCGAGCTTGTCCTCGGGGATGCCCCCATACGGCCCGTCCAGCAAAACAGGCACTTGGACACCGGGCGTCTTCCGCGCCATACTCATCAGTCGGCCAGTCAATCCACCGCGTCGCTTGACGTAGAACACGAGCTGATTGTTCTTGTTTTTGTGGGGCACTGAGCAGATGGTAAACGGGTGGGCCGTGAACGCGTGAACACCACAGGTCATGAAACGGAGGAAAATATGTTGGCCCGGCGTCCAGTCCATCTTGGTTTCAATGGTGACTCGAAGCGTGTCCTCGGTTTCAGGGACGAGACTAGCCTTGTGTCGGAAGCCGTGCTCGAGATATGTTTTGCATTGGGAGTATAGCCAACAGAGACTGTAGATAACTGCTGTGGCAATGAAGTAGTCCCAGGAGGACATGCGGAAGTCACAGTGAAAGAAGAAGAAGATCACGAAGACAAGTGCCATGAAGTAGTGTGTTGCTTTGAAGAATTCGTAATAGCGGTTTCTATCATGGAACGGATGTTAGACATTGGATGTTGGGTTCTACGGGAGAACATACCGGATCCAAGGAATCGACATCAATGTCAACCATGCTTGCGCTATAAGCGCGACCACACCTGTTACCCAGACTCCGCCCTCGCTCCAAGATGCAACAAGATCGCCTTTCCAGGCGTGGAAGACTATGAATGGGAATGTGTGGATTAATGCTAGGATGAACATTGCCCATGCTACCCAGTTGTGCCAGATGTTTAGTTTCTCGTGGGAAATTCCAGTTAATGCTGTGATAGGATTGGCTTTGGCACCTAGGATACTGTGAACTGGTTAGGTCTTCCAGATTTCCCGGTCTGAAGGGATGTGCTTACATTAGGAAAGGCATGCAGGCGAGAGCTAAGAATCCAGCACGGGTAGCAATAGGGGGGAGTTGCCGTAGCTGATCTCCTTTGTGTTAGGCCAGTAGTAGGGACGAGGACCAAGAGTCATAGCTGTTCAAGTATTCGTCGTCAATGACCTATTTTTCTCGCAGATGAAGCAAACTACTCACCCAAAAAGAAAACCGCGCCAGCGCCACCCAGCAAGCAAACACCGAGAGAATGTGTATTCCAGCCCCCAAATCTCCAGCTCTTATATGAGAGAAAGCGACATGCTGCCACCAGACGCGACCATATCGAATTGTGTGCTAGGCTTTGTGGTGCCGCCTTTGTAGCAATATGAGAAATGGTGAAAAGGATTATTGCGACCAGGAAGAACGCAACCGTCGGCAGGGCATAACGATGATCGGCTTCATACCAAAACACCCAGTAACCACTCTTGAGTGCACACTGCTCTGGAGTCATTGTACATTCACCCGCATCACGACTCGAGTGTAGCATGACAGGCTGGTCCAGCCACGGGACCATGCCAGTGCTTGATTCCATCTGCATTGCGGTTTTGCGGACAAATCAGTCACCACATTCATGGAAGATCAATCAGCGCCTGTGACAGAATTATAGTCAGACCGATGAAGCCTTCAGGGCTGTCTTGCCTGGATGTCGTTTGTGTTACTAATACCTGTGCCGCTAAATCCTCTGCGGGTACCCAGCCCTGCGGTAGACGGGACGACGCAAAGATCTCTGAATGATTGGATGAGAACATGCTCAAATTGCCGGGTTCCCCAAATGATAAGGCAGTTCGGAAAGGTCCGAGCCAGAGATCTCAATTGGAAGATTCTGATTCGCCCAAACCCGTGAGCGAGTATGAGAAGGTTTTGATATAAGCGCATTAGCGGCCCCACTGATATACGTCAATTCCCTCAATTCTGCAAAGATTTCTCCTGATTCTGTCATTTCTTGGAAGCCCACGTTGGCGTGGACCTCGGGGTGTCGCGGTCCGTGGGTTCACTCCCAAGGTTCCTGTCGCTTGCTCCCGACCTTTTTAGTCTCCCCCTGTTGACCGATATGCGTCACTATAGCCACTTTGCCATTCCTTCGCTATAATATAATATTTCCTTGTCAGTTCGCCATCCCCATTCAATAGTCAAAATGGACATGTCGGACATGTCCACCATGTCCACGGCGACAACCACGGCAATGTCAATGGGCACAACGACAGCCATGTCCATGTCAACGTCAACCTCAACCTCATCTTCCATGAGCGACATGTCAGATATGTCCATGTCAATGGCTGACATGGCAATGACCTTCTTTGTCTCTTTCAAAACACCTCTCTTCTCCACAGATTGGACACCGGGCAGCAAGGGCCAATATGCCGGAACGTGCATATTTATCATTGCGCTGGCCGTGATCATGCGCGTCCTGCTGGCCTTCAAGCCGATTTTCGAAGGTCGTTTGTGGACCGATAGCAATCATCAACATGCGCTCCATGGTCATTCGCATGTTGAAGCTGGGAAGTCACCTCGGACACCCTCTGGCGTGCGGATGAGTATGCAGGAAATTGGGAGTCGGTGGGCATCGTGGCGTGTGAATCCTGCTGCGGCTCGGGCGACGTATGAGGTTGTTCTTGCTGGTGTGGCGTATCTTCTGTGAGTTGAGGTTCTTTTATCATCTTTTGGTTGTTGTGGACCTCATCGCTGACAGTGCGACAGGATGCTTGCCGTGATGACAATGAATGTCGGCTATTTCATGTCAGTACTTGGAGGTGTTTGGTTGGGAACTTTTATGTTAGGGAGTGTGGCAGCTGATAGTAGATGGATGCATTGTTGACAGTTGGGCCACTGGCTAGGAATACTTGAATGGTGTCGGGTGTTTGATTTTGATTATATCATTGCCCGAGTCTCTCTTCCCTCTTCCCTCAACCTTGCAAAGTTCGGATTTTATCACCACAAACCAAAGACGAAATCTGAAGTAATTAAAGAAGCAAAATAATTTGAGCTAACTGATATTGACCCAACCTAGCTGATGAAGATATCCCCCAAAATACATCCTGGAATATTTGGTGCTTGCTCAGTGTGGAGTATTCAATGTTCAGCTAAAGACTCGAGATGGATGCAAAAGTGTCTTTCGGCATTACATGCGACTATCATAATTTCTCCCAGCAATCCTCGATCCACATACCGGGTTTCACCCAACTCATGTGTTTCTATTAGCCCTATTCTCGCCGTGATGTTCTAAAAAAAGAACCACATTAACGACGTCATTGGCCAATGCCCCGCTAAGCCACCCACCGCCACATCGCGTCCCTTTATCAACACTCCAAAGTCAACATCAGCATCAACACACATCCCACAATCATGCCTCCACACGAAGGACTAGTTCACCCCAAGGAGTACGACATCAAAGACAGCAATGTCGAGCTAATCGGCTCAGACCTCGACCACCGCGTCAAGTACAACTCCGCAACCACAGAGCCAGCCTGGAACAACGGCAAGATCGGCCAAGAAGCCGGGCTCTACATCTGGCGCATTGAGAACTTCGAAGTCATCCCCTGGCCCAAAGAAAAGTACGGCCAATTCTACGATGGAGACAGTTTCATCGTGCTGCACTCGTACAAAGTCGGCGACGACAAGCTAGGCCATGACGTCTTCTTCTGGCTGGGCAGCAAGACAACCCAGGACGAAGCCGGGACTGCAGCTTACAAGACCGTGGAGCTGGATGAGTTCCTGCACGGCGCGGCAACCCAGCATCGCGAGGTGCAGCAGTCGCCCTCGGATGAATTCTTGGCTCTTTTCCGTAACATTTCTATTCGGTCCGGCGGGGTCCGCTCTGGATTTACCCACGTCGAGGCTGAGGAGAAACCGGATATTCTGACTCTGTTGCGGATCTTCAAGCATCCTGGTGCTGCGCGGATCGATTCGCTCATTGTGCATGAAGTCGAGCCGACTTGGCAGAGCCTGGATGAAAATGATGTCTTTGTTTTGGACAAGGGCGAGAAAATCTGGGTTTGGCAGGGGAAGAAGTGTAGTCCGATGGAGAAGGCCAAGGCTGCGCAGGTGGTCAATGATATGACTCTTGCGAAGCATGTTGATGTTGAGGTTCTCTCGCAGCTCGAGTCGAGGTCGAGAATCGTTGTTGACCTACTCGGCGGAAAGGAAGACGCTCCGTCGACATTGGAGGCGCCGAGGCCCGGTCGCTTTGGGAAGAAGTCCAGCGAGGGTAGTATTGGTGCTCAGTCGCGCAAGCTGTTTAGACTCAGTGATGCCTCGGGTGACTTGTCTTTCGATCTTGTCAAGGATGGACAGCGTGTCAACCGGTCCGACTTTGATGCCAACGATGTCTTCCTCTATGATACTGGCAGCAGACTCTGGGTTTGGCAGGGATCTGAGGCTAGTGCGAGCGAGAAGGCTATGTGGCTCAAGGTTGCACAATTCTACGTTCGCAAGATCCAAGAGACTGTGCAAGAGGCACATCTTACACCTATCTCCAAGGTATCACAGGGTTACGAAAGCCCTGCCTTCTTGAAGGCCCTCGAGGTCTAATCTGTACATATACACCGGACTTTAGGCCATGTGACATGACTTTTCCTTTCTGTTTGAGTACTCATCCCTGGTCGCTTTTTGCTCACTGAGTAAACCTGAGCACGCCCCTAAATGTTACATAATCATTCAATTCGCTTCTGAAGTCACTGCCCAGGTACGCCGCGATAGGGCGGAAGCGAAAAGAAAATCGAGAAGATGAAATTTGAAGTTTTATTGATTAGTAGAATCTTTCGAGACGGCGCGTGGCGGGCTGCAAGTGGCCTTTCACCGTTACTAAGCGTTTTGTTGTATTCTAGAAGATTACTTGATTCTTCGAGAGTAGGGTGCTACAAAGTATAGATACGTTGTTATAGGTGTATTGCCTGTCGATCAGTTAAGGAAAGAATAAATCCGGAGGCGGTGGGAGAATGAGTGTGTGAATATTACATTAGAACTAATTCTTGATGGGATTAATGGGGTTCTTAGAGGATTCTTCTCAATGACCAAATCCACGAGTCCCTTGATACATAACGTCCCTTTGATGTTCCCCGCAATATCGGTGTACCCGAGTTAGGTGATAGTTCTCAAGATGGAAACGGAAAAGTAGGGAGGATGATATATTCGCATACCATTAGCAATACCTATAGATATAAATCTAATCTGACGATCATATAGTCCAATTTGATCTACTGAATCCTGGATTCACCGCGCCGAACGTAAATCAAATACTCAAGAATTATAGCTGAGGAAAGAACGCATAACTAATGCAATATGAGATCGTGGTAAGTTTGTGGTGTTTGCGACCCAATTTGGGGCCCTAACGCAGTACAGGGCTAGTTGAGTTTTGCGGAAGTCTATAATAGACTATCGCAATACTGCCTGGAGTTCACAATGGCAAGATGCTCCTTTTAGTGTGGGCGAAAAACTTTCTCCAAGATGGGATTCCATCATAGGATTGCCGTGACGCACGTATCTCGTCGCTAAATTGCCAAATATCTTGCACAGTCTGCCAGAGGAACTCTATGTTCCCAATATTATAATGAAGCATCTTAGTCCACCAGCTGGACCAAATGCTTCTTTTGTCCGGTAATGACTCACAGGATGCGATGAAGCCAGGCCACATAATTGATGCAGTTTGTTGGTTTGATAGTACCAGGCTTTCACGCTTCATTTTCTCAATCTCGAGTAGGTTGACTGCCACCTGATCGACATGGAATGGCAAATCTTCATCAGTTGAAAGTTGGCCACCATGAGTGGAAAAATAGATCTGTATAGCGTGGTAAAATGCACAAATATGCAAGTTCAGAATTCGCTTCATGAGGGCCCCCTCTTCTGATTCGTCATCAAACGATAAAAGGTTCACTTCCGACGCAACTTCCCAAGACTTTAATTGAGCCCCTTGGTCCTTGAATGCATTCACGAGGCTATTAGGCAAGGCTTGATGTTGATCATCGTAGTATACGCGATGACGGAAAAGAACCGTTATTGAGCGAATGAACGTCGCCAAAGTATGAGTCAGACCATAAGTATGTTGTAACATGTGGCCATCGATTGCTGGATTTTGACAAAGAGCCTCTTGGAGTTCCTTTGAATAGTCACCGTCGGATGGCCATGGAATACTCGTGAGGTTACACCGCGTGGTCTCAGATAAAGTCGACTGCAAAAAAAATGCAGTTTGAAGAAACGATCTGAGCGTTGACCTGTGAAGTGCGTTGTTTGCTTTTACTTCTGCGCTCAAGATATTCATGTGCTGAAAGGCTTCAAGGTGAAGAGAATATTCCGACATGCTGCCTTCCATTATCTAGTGTCAGAAAGGTTAAAACACAATTCACTTCAAAAAGACAATGATGGATCATCATACATCGATAGTGACAAACGAGAGAATGGCTGATATGGTGGCCAGCCATTCCATTTCACTTTTGAATCCCATTTGAACAGCTTCGCGTAGGAAGCGATATGCCATCATTCGATACTCTTGGGCAGCTTGATTCACCTCTGCTAGTACTTGCTTAGTACAGCCTTTAACAATACCTCTGACATGGAATGCTGCGGTCGCAAGCAAAGAGTAAAATATGGCACGATGACTCGGTAACGGTGTTCCGTCCCCACAAAGGCTGCTGCATCCCAAAATCGCTTGGGAGACATAAACATGTGCATAAAAGTTTTGAGAGTGCACTATTGGCTGTAGAACAGGCACAACGTGCGATATATAGTGCCCGAAGAATCGGTTTGATCGTTGCTCTCGAGGATGCAATTCGTTTGTAGCCAACCATGAGAGATCATGTCCGAATGGAATAATGACAGAAGACGTCGGCTTACAATCTCTTGGTATCATATCGACATCACGTAATATGTTTGGGATGCGTTTAGGGAAAACTGTGAAGGGACCGTCTTGAAAAGTCATCCCAGCTGTGTCGATTCGAGCCAACATTTCTTCCACCTCATCCAGGCCAAACTTCCATGTTGGAAACCCTATTTATTTATTATTCGAGAAACCAGCGACTTCAAGCTTTAAGTTACTCACGAATCATCATGGCTTTGCGTTTGATTGCGGATGGACGGGTTCGAGAATTGTCTATCCAATGCAGTAAGGGAGTGTAACCATCGCATGAAAATCCTCCCTTTTGGCATCTGGAGCAATGCGGCCTCGTGAGATCACATTTTACCTTTCTTCGACGGCATGTCCAACAGCTAAAAGAGTGAATAGCAAGTCAATGGCTCGGAGCTTTCAGTACGTACCCATCGAACGATTTGGTTTTGGCTACGCGGTTTCTATCTCGCCTGGGCATTGCAGTGGTTTGATTTTCCCAAAGTGTGTACAGATAAAGAGAATATGACGATTTTCACTTGAGCATTTGACAAAGTAGTCCTTATCTACTGTAGTTAAGTTATCTAATCGTCTCTTGCGTCAGACTGGGACTAGTTCAAGTTTATTCTTAGTTTCAGAATAGATAAGAATCTTTGAGTGAGAAGGCACCCGAGCGCAATTAATCCAATGGTTGAGTCTGTATAAAGTGAAATTAATTTTAGAAATTGGCCTGCTTTCCAGCAAACATCTTATATCTTGCAGCCGTTCGGGCACGGAATTGTTTCCCCCATTTGATAAAAATTCCAACAAAACACAGAAAGAAAGTGGCAATACATGCAATCGAAAGAATGACGTTCTGAATACCGACTGCTGCAAACCATGGGGTAAGAGCAAAGATAAAACAGGTACTGACGGTATTGCGAACAAAAGTGACACCAACCAATGCATCCCCGACGACCTGAATTTGTTAGAATCAAAAGGAAAAGGAGTGAAACGGGAATCTGAGTGCTCACCTCACTATATGAATCAGTGACATACGTCAACGTCACTGTGTTGATCGAAGCAGTGCCAGCACTTGATATAGCTATTCCTATGGCTACAATTGGCCAGGGAAGTCCTCGTTGGATTCCGTATCCAAACATGAGTGAACCACCAAGTACAAGAGGTACAAAGGGAATAATCATCCACAGCCGAGTCTCAGGCTCGTAAATCCCACCATTGCGGTGGGCGAGACGAAGAACCCAAGCATCACTCAAACTGCCTACGATCAAAGAGGAAATCGTTACCCCGATGAACTGAGGCAGGTTCATGAGTCCGATCATATCAGCAGAGAAATTGTATGGGGGCTCGGTCATTTGACTGGACATCGTTGTGCTAAGGGCATTCTGCAACGCCACCAGCACGCCATATACTGAGGCCACGAATAATACACCTGGAAAAGCTCCCATAATGATGAATGGTTGGTAGATGTGACGGCCAATTGTCTTCCAGTCATCCGGGGATGAGGTATTCAATGAAATACGTTGCCAGTAGGACTTGAGAGGTATATTCGGGTTGATCGTTGGCGGGCTGTGTGGCCCAAGATGTGCCTCATTGGAGCTTGGCTTTTGGGTGACCGACAGGAAGTCTTTCTTTGCTGAATCGATAGTCATAATAGCGCTTTCTTTATTGGCAACGGCAGTCAAATTCATGGCGGGAAGGTACTTGGTCTCTTCATAGAGAAATCCGAGGTGAAGGAAGCAAGCGCCAAATAGAATGGCGTTCCACCACCATACCCATCTCCACCCTTGGGAAACAGTGATGTATCCAGCAGCAAGTGTCCCCAAGGATCCGCCAAGTTGGACAGTCCAGATAAAGATGGCGTTCATCCGGCCTCGTTCGTGAACGTAAAACATATCAGCGATTGTCATTTGGATGATGACCTCAGACAGTGCGCCAAAAAAGCAGGACAATACATTGACCAACATGATATCAACGGGCTTTTCCATTTTCGCACTCCAAATGCTCACAGCGAATGTGACCATTGTACTGAGAAGATACAGCGGTCGACGCCCGAATTTGAGTGCAAATGGGGTCAATACCACTGCGCCAATGCCCAGAAAACCACAACCAATGGCATAAGAGTCATTCAAAATAGCCCAGCTGAAGCCGAGCTGCTCGTGCATTGGACCCCATGTTGGAGTTGCTGCGCAAAGGAATTCGGTGATGAGAAGCGCCCACAAGCAAGTCAGGCCAAAATTGAGATATTTGCGGAAAGGTGTCCAATTTCGTGGATCATTGGGGTCATCTGTTGGTCGAGGCTGTAAGATAATCTCGTCATGATTTGTGTGTAATTCTTGCAACCAAACAGTTCCAGGAGGCCAAGAACTTTTCTCGCTCTGCGTTGATGGATTGTTCATGGCCAAATCGTATAAAGATTAGGACTAAAGAATAGTTGATGTACGGAAACATTCTGATATTGATTCAGACATTCTTTTATGTCCTCTTTCCATGCCCTGAAGAGCCCAATGGCAACTTTCGTGAAAAATAAAGATAAGATAATTCATATTGTAGATAGGGTTGCTTTGGAGTCTTGTTGGTGGGCTCGCTAACAGCTACTCTGGAAAACGTATTGATAACGAAGAATTCAAATCGCTCCAAAAAATGCAGATAAAGCATTCCCACAAAACCCTGAACAGAATAACAAAGTACCACTTTAAGTTTATGGACTTTGACTGGTGATTATGATGTGGCTTGAATTCGGGGACAGAGTTATCTCCGGTAGCGACAGTGTCAGCAGCCTGAGCGGATAAACCCCAGATTCGGGAGAAAGCACCGATAGGCTCGCTGAGCATTTCTCTGTCGACAGATAAGCAACCCCCAGATGCTCACAGTCGGATCTGCAATTTGGAAGTAGTCAGCGAGCCTTACATAGCCGAATCTACACTTATAACTCACTGACTCAATAGGAGAGAATGGACGTGAAGAAACGTTTTTACTACCCGCATATCAGTATCGTGATTACAATTCTACCATGACCCTTCAAGTGACCCCGATTTCTCCTCCAAATGGCTCTAAAGTTGAGGTGAGTTGGTATTTCCAATGGACCTCAGTGAAGACCCGCTGACGAAGACAGATGGGAGCGATCATAACCGGTGCCGATATGAATAACTTGACTGATGAAGAATTTGGCTCCATTCGTAACGCCATATACACTTACCAAGTTGTCATTGTCAAGGGCCAACAAGAGCTCAAGCCAATTAACCAATTTGAATTTGTCCACCGGCTTGACCCAGATACTACTGCTGTTCATGGCTTTATGACAGACGATGTGACAGATGATACTGTCGGTGTACTTGGGGTATGTTTTTACTTTTCCTCGTATCCAACTACGCCCAATATTTACTGTTATAGGGCAAATTCAATCTTGTTCCTGGCTCGAAAGGAGTCACCCTGGTTGGACAAGGACACATAAGTGACAACAAACACGGCAATCAAGGCTTGACCCTGCGGTCAGGAACTCACGCCGACTTGCATGTTGAGACACTATCTGCGGATGAGCTCGCACGGGGTCAGTCACGATTTGGTGCTTTCCATTTTGACGGCGTCATCTACGGTTCTTACCCATCGCGTGTAACCACCCTGCGCTGCATCCAGGCTCCGAAAGGACCTGAAGTGACGATCCGCTGGGATGATGGGACTAATCGAGTAATGACTGCAAATCCTGGGCTTACGGCGTTCATTAATAGCGCACAGCTATATGAGATGCTCACGGCTGAAGAAAAGGTGCTGGTGGACCATAGCAGTTGGGTACCAGCGCCCCAGCCGTATGTATGGACAGGAACCCGAAAGATCCGTAATTGCGGTGTCGGAATGGCCTCTGGTGGAACAACTGTGCCACTAGACCAGCTGCCACCATGGACGGCGGACAAGGTCTATCGACTCCCTATGGTGTGGGTCAATCCAGTGACCGGTGTCAAGTGCTTCCAGATTCTGCCCGATGTTGTCCACAAGCTGTACTTCAACTCTGAAGCGGGGGCTGATGAGCGTGTTGTTGAAGATGGCGAAGAAATTCGCCTTTGGCTCAATGACATTCTTGATAGAATTTGTACTCCTGAGCATATTTTGATTCCGGAGTATGAGGAGAATGATGTCGTGATGTTTAACAATTGGGTATGACTATTTACTAATCCCCTCTTATTGCTGCAAGTCACTGACAATAGTTCGGTAATAGGGAGTTCTACATAGCTCTATTGACTTCCCTCAGAGCTATGGTACCCGAGTCAGTAAGTCTCCAGCCATATTTTCCCGAATCATGTTTATGAACTAACACAATAAAGTGCATCAATGTCACATTGCCTCTTCAACTCTACCAGTTGGTCCAACCGTGGTGGTTTAAGGTATTCGAGCTGATCTGAGCTTATTCGAACAAAGTGGTTTTGTTTTTGGAGCGGTTTTGTATCCCTAGCTCTGCCTAACTTGATTCAAACCACCACACAATGCACGAAGGATTTCATCATACTTATACTATCTTGCTTGCGTGTATTATGGATTCTATTTCTTATCCAACCATGCCGCAGGTGCAACATGACCTTTTCAAGCCAGCTAAATTGAATATAGACAATTAGATGACGTTTGCCATGGTCCTTCAGAATAGAGGTGTCTCCTTGGGACAATCCGTATGGCATAATCTTCTAGCTAGGTGAGCATCCAGGCCCTGGACTTCGGGAGTAAGATGCGCTATAGATTATTGATATATTCCTCGTAGCAGAATAGTTTTGGTTTTTTTTCTTAGATTTGGGTATTTTACATCTCGTTCATTGCTTTTCAGATTCTTCTATTCGGATTAAAAGTTGAACTGGCACGATATTGTTTCTCAAACAGACGTCAGATCGATTAGGTATACTGTACAGTACTACTTAACGGTCAAGATTTGGATCAATCTCGAGATTTGAGGGCAAAACGCATGCCATATAGCTTCCATAATGCTGTGTACTAGCATACTAAGGTTGTTCGTCGCTCTACTGTGCAGATGCTGCTTGTAATTCAAATTGGTGTATACTTTTCAAGCCCACCTCCGTACCTAGATACCTATGGAACATATTCAGTGCACGTAGATCATTGATCTAATCAATGTCGACACCGAGGATAATTCCCATACGATTCCCTGCTGTAGTCTTGCCTAACTACCACCTGATGGTATGGGTCATGACCAGCGACCATAATTCCGAACAAGTTCTATGAAGTATTTTGTCTAATCTATATACACTGAGAGACCCTCAAAGTAACTCAGAGCCCTCACCACCCTTATCCAAAGCATCAGCCTGCTTCCGCAAAACATCGGACCGGAATCTGCGGAACGCAGTCTCAATCCTCTTCTTGCTCTCCGGATCAGCAGAGATAGTCCGGCTCCCACTAGCAGCACCACCAGCGAAACCTACACGCGAAACAAAGATCAGCATGCCGTCAACCCCAATCACAACTTATAGAAATACTAACCAAGTTCACCACCCAAGAGCAACCCACCAGCTGAAGCAAAGAAATAAGTCGCAAAGTCGCCCAAAGTAGTAGGTTTCAACAATGGCGTAAGATCGGGAATAGATTCTGCAACAGTACACATATCAGCAATGCTCAAACCAAAGTGAAATGTCAGTTCCAACATACCCGTCCGCCCATCCTCAAAAACAACCTTGGTAGGTCTCTCCTGCGCACGAATAGCCGAGAAAAACGCCTTGCGTGTGCCTCGCAGACGGATAGCGGCCAGTAGTCCCAGACTCACACCGACGGCTGATCCTACAGTCGTCCATAGTGAGATTGAGGTTGCGGCTGCTTTGAGCTTGTCGCGGTCGTTTGGTTGGAGGTCGTGTTGGATGTGTTCGTCGGCTAGTTTTGCTAGTTCGTCGGAGCGGTTCCGGCGGAGAATGGCGAGTGATTCGGTCATTTTGGATAAATCAATCAATTGGGAGTTTTAAAGATGTGATGTCTGGGCAATTGGAGAAATGGGTGGAATAAGTAGCTTGGAGGATTCAAGGCGGATGGGTGACGTCATTGATCTGAACTGGCTTAGGCCGAGGCTCCGGATTCGGATGTATAAAAATGCAGACTGGGGATTCTTGTCGGCTAGTACCAATGTTTAGGGTTGTCGGGTCAAACATTCAGGGAGAATTCGTGATCAGGGAGTCAGTTGGGATAATTGTCACAGTAGCTTTGCTATCTGATCCAAAGTTAATGCGCATCATCTTCTGGCCTCTTGCACCTCCCATCTTGCATACTATATGCACTTTCATATTAAATTAGGATTTATCCTCCCTCCAATAGAACAACAACACCAATCTACATGCCCAGAAACTTTATCCATCTGCAGTGAGAATACTGGACGCCTAACAACTTGAACCTACCGGGGTAACCGCCAACTGCTGACGTCAGACCTCAGATCAAACAGATCTATAAGACAACCCCATAAGGTCCATACATCCCCAACCCCAACCCAGACAAGCCGTACAAGATACCCCAACATCAACTCATCTCCAAAATGGTCCGATTCATTACAGACCCCAGAAGCGCCCCAACCCCAACTCAAACCCCCCAAATAACCCTAAAAGTAATAGGCGCAGGCCTCCCCCGAACAGCAACATCCTCCCTGCAAGCAGCCCTCGAAACATTAGGCTACACACCATGCCTACACATGGCCCAGATAATACCCCACGCCGACCGCCAACAGCTCCTCATCACAGCAACCCACGAAAAAGACCCCTCCAAACGACAAAAGCTGCTCTACACCCTAACAGCCGGCTACGCAGCCGTCTGCGACATGCCGGCTATATTCTTCCTCCCCGATCTAATGGATATGTACCCAGACGCACAGGTAATCCTGACAACGCGCCCCAGCGCGCAGATCTGGGCGCAGAGCTGTTATGCTAGTCTTGGGTTCTTCTTCACGGGGACGTTCCGGGCCGTGGGGTTGCTCTGGAGGACGGATCGGTTGTGGTATTCTCTTAATATGCGCATTGTGGAGTGGTGCTTGGATCGGTTTGGGACTGGGGATCTGTTTACGGCTGGGGTTTATGAGATGTATAATGAGTCTGTGAGGGATGTTGTTAGGGGGAGGGGGGGCGAAGTGTTGGAGTTCACGGCTGAGCATGGGTGGGGGCCGCTTTGTACGTTTTTGGGTGTGGGTGTTCCTGGGGGGGCGTTTCCTAAGGTTAATGAGAGGAAGACTTTTCAGGTTATTAAAGGTATTTTGGTAGTTAAGGGGTTGGTTAGTTGGGTGGTGCTTGGGGGCTTGGGTTGGGTTGCGTGGTGGTTTGTTTTGGGGTTAATGGCATGACAGACTTCGTTTTTTTATTCAATACAGAACAGAATATTGCATCTCTTGTTTATTGCATGTCATTGTGCCCTGTTTGGGATTCTGTCGACTACTCCTAGTGACTGAGTCTAGAGACCTCCTCTTGTCTGATAGTAGCGACCCAACCAACAAATCCCATTTATGAAGTTCTACTAGCGATGTCAGATCTTTTAGAGCCTCGTTTTCAGGCGGATATTGACCGAGCAAAGTTAAGATCCCGGGTTATCTTCACCGAAAAGTGCCCAGTTAGAACGAAAGCTATGCCTCTTTAGGTATAGCGATTCACGATCTGTATTTTGAGGATTGAGCGTTGATAATTTTGAACATCAGCTCCCTTTTGTACAGACTCTCATTATCATCTGCTTCGTGTGAGTTCCACAATCTCTCGCGCCGCTTCTTCGAAATCCGGCTCTACGTGTAAATTATCCAATCCCGAATTCTCGATCTAGAATCAAAGTCAGACGTCAAAGCAAACAAACCAGGTCCAAAGTCCACTGACCAATTTCAGTCCCTTGTCACTGTTAGTACCCTGCAGCCGGACAACAACAGGAATTTTGAAGCCCCCATTCTCATTGGCAGCCGCAACAATCGATTCCGCGATCATATCGCATCGCACAATACCTAGTACATATCAACCATCTGCCTCTGCAGCCTTGAAACAACATAGACGCACCACCATAGATATTAACCAAAACCCCCTTCACCCTCTCATCCCTCCCCAAAATCCGAAAAGCCATCGCCAAAGTCTCCTTCGTCGCTCCACCCCCAACATCCAAGAAATTAGCACACTTCCCCCCAAAGAGCCCAATCAAATCATTCGTCGCCATCGCCAACCCAGCCCCATTCACAATATTCCCAATATTCCCCTCAAGCCGGACATACGACAGCCCCAACTGCGCCGCCTCGAACTCCTCCTGCTCCTGCGCAGACCGCTCCTCCAACGCAAAGAGCTCCTCCTGTCGATATCTCGCCGAATTATCAAAATCGAATTTCGCATCCAGACAAATAAAGTCACCCTCTGATGTCCGCACAAGCGGATTCAACTCTAGCAATGTCGCGTCCTTCTCCTTGAATAATCTCACCATGTGCTCCAGGATATACCTCACCCTCCCCATTTCCGAATCCGAGAACCCAAGCTCGGCTTGGATGTACGCGTGAATTTCATCCGTTATACCGGTTGTCAGGTTGAACCATAGCCGGTGTAAATTGTCGATGTTCGATTCGATGTTTATCCCCCCTTCGTTCGAGATTAACAGGACCGGGGAGGCGTGTTGGCGGTCGAACGTCATTGCTAGGTAGTATTCGTGGGCTATGGTGACTGCCTTGTAGATGTATAGCTTGGAGACGGGGAGGCCGGACGGCGGGGTCTGGTCTGTCTTCAGGTTGTGGCCGAGCATTTTGGTTGCGTTTTCGAAGGCTTCGCCTGGTCTGTTTCTTTGCTTAGATTTGGGTTGAGATGGATGGTTTTTGTATGCTTTGGTTGGGACTCACGTCTTGACGATCCGGACGCCGCCTTTTCCATCGCTGTCGTATTTTCCTTTTCCGCGGCCGCCGGCTAGGATTTGCGCTTTGATTACCGATGGTGCGTCTGTTTTGGTGCACGTTAGCTGGGGGGTTGGTTTGTAGAGTGGCAGTGTTGGTGGACGAACTGATGTCGATGACAACATTCTTGGCTTCTGCTGCGCTTGTTACGACGAATCCGTTCGGCACTGGGAGTTGGAACTACCCATAGTAAGTATTGCACGGTTGGGTGGGTGCACTCCGTACATCCTTGAGCAATTTATGTGAATGATGTTCCAGTAGACCGAGGCGCCGGATTTGCGTCAATGGGGCGAGGTTTTGTTTTACGGCTGATACGCCTGGTCTGAGGAGGTGGGTTTCAAGGGGGGTATGAATATGGATGAGACGGGTGATGCACTGTTTGGTATTCATGGTGGGTTATATTGTGATGGTTCATATGCGAAGATCGAGCTGTAGAATCGAGGTCATTTTATGCAGGATGAGATTGTTTGGGTCATGACATCAACATCTGGGGTCCGGGGGTGAAGGTTAACCTTATTTGGGAGATTTCGATCGCGTGATATGACGATCTCCGCGATAGCTTGGGAGATGGTGGCAAAGTGCATCCAGATAGTTTGTGATATGAAGGAATAGCAAACACCGGAATAATCTAAATGACCGAAATGATCGAGCTATGCGCTAATTCAACCAAAGACCCTGCAGCCGTTTGAAACGCAGGGCGCGTACCGAAAACTCCCATTAAATCCACGGGAAGCACAATATATATACAAATACTTTTTACCTCTCCCATGCTAGCTTCCCTCTGTCGAGGAATCAGTAAGTGGTAGGCCAATTGCCATTCCACCTAATAGAATGCTCCTCCTCGTCATCAATGACAACAACCATCCAGACACCAATCTCTCCGTTATTGGCCATCAACGGCGTACAATGGATCCACCGATTGCGGCCTTGGTCATTGAATTTGGTGACCCACTTGATGCGCGCTGTGACGCTCCGCCCGGACATCATGGCATTCTTGATATTATCGCGCTTGGCACCTGAGTCGCCGATGCGGTTGAGGAAGGATGATTGGAGCATTCCTGGGATTTGGAGGGAGGGGGATGTGAAGAGAATGCGGAGAGATGGGTATGGGCGGACGAGGAGGTACTATATCATTTGTCAATAACCTGGATATAAAAATACTCAAAGGTGGACGTACATGTTTGTAGACGCCAGTGAGAGAAAGGCTGGCGGTGGGGTTTGGCGGATGATTTGACTGGGATGTATTCTGATCCTGGCCGCCTTCGGTCTCGGTATCCGAATCTTGCAGGAAGAGCCGGTGATGCGGGTCCTCATTGACGATTGGTTGGAACAGGTTGCCTCCATGTTCGCGTACATTCTGCAGTTCGCGGGGACTGAAAAGCTCGCCAAGTTCTTGGAACTCGCTTTTTGATTCCTTGGTTGTCAAACCGTTGACAGAGGCATTCTCCTTTTTGGCGTGTATGTCTTGTAGAGATTCCATCTGGGCGCCCTCCATCGCTAGTCCTGAGACATCGACTTGGGCACCAATGAAGTAGCGGACCTTTCCACGGCTGTCGCAGAGAGGTGCACATTGGAGCAGGTTCATAAATGGAGAGCCATCGCGGCGGCTGGTTATCAATTAGCTGGCTGTTCAATTTTTAGTACAATGTCGGACTTACTAGTTGAGGAAGAGCTCAGAATGGTGTCGCTCGCCCTTGATCCCTTCTCGGATACGGCGCACGCTGTTGGGGTTTGTTTTCGGCCCTTGTAAGAATCGACAGTTCCTTCCGAGCACATAGTCCATACCGTACTGAGTAGTGCGGTGGAATTCTGACTGGGTTAGCGCACCTTTACAGTATAATAGCAAAAAGCGAACATACCTTGAGAAGCAAAGATAATAGGATTATCTGGCCGCGACGGATCGGTCAAACAAAACACCTCAGCCAGCGCATCGGCAGTACCCTGAAACTTGTCCGGAAGGGTTCCGCGCACGCGCTCCTCCACAACCTTGCTGGTAATGTTGATACAGGTGGACGTTATAAAAGCAGGTAATTCCTCTGCAGTCAAAGCACTCAATGCTGCCTGTACACGAGCTTCTAGCGCAGGGTTCACAGTAGGACCAACAGGCTTCTCGGCCGTTTCAACGCCAGCCGTAGGCACATCGACAGCCAGTCGCACGAGCGCATTAGCATATTCGATCGCTTTGAGCGATTTGCAAGCATTGAGATAATAAGTCAAAGTCGAAAGTGAACCAGGACGCTCTTGATGCAAGAATTCGCGGAATCGGGCAAGATACCGCGGGTTGCTGAGAATTACCAGCATATGCTCCGAGCAAAACATCAGGTCCGCTTGTCGCTCCAGGGAATGCAGTGGGGCCGCGTCGCCTTCGTACGGAGCAACCAAGTCATACGATTGTTCCTCATTTTCTTCGATTATCGGGTGGAATTGTTCGGAGCCCTCGTTGGGGTTTGTTTGTTGCAAAACTGGGAGTTCGTTCACCACAACGTTCCGGCGCATTGATCTTGTCGAAAGGGACGAGTGGACATCGCGGGTGGGGGTTGAAGGCGATCTGCATCATTAGTGACAATTTCGGTGATCTTGGGATTGACTTGTCTTACGAATAATAACCCCTCGGTGGGCCACCTATAGAGTGGTGTCCGAGCGATTGGTTTCCTACTGACTCCTGGTCCAGGGACAGATTGCTTTGCGATCGCTGGTCGAACTGGTGTTGGCCGTACTGCCACTGCCTGTCTGGTTGGCCTCCAATGGAATGATGACCGAGGGATTGGTTGCCAAATGAGTCGGCAATCGATTCTTGGTCAATCGAATATCTGCGCGGGGAGTCGCCGTTGGTTCTTGCGCCAATTGAGGACTGTCGCGATCCCATCGGTGGTCTCCCAATCGCTGGCTGACCAAAGGCTGACGGCTCGAAAGCTTGCCCCGGAGGAGAATTGGAGCGTACAGACATGGTCTGTGTTTGGGTGATGAAGTCGTCGTTTGGCTCGACAATTGCTGGTGTGTGTGGCATGGAGGAAGACTTGTAAGGTCGATTGTCCGGGATACTCGGCGGTTCCATTTTGAGCTTGCGACTGATCAAGCGACGGAAGTGAGGGGGATAAAAACCAGTGCCCTCGGTCGCGGGGGTTTTCAACAATGACTTCATTTAAGATTGACGGGCAAGCTAGCAGGATCTTTTTTTCAATAGTCTCCCATGGTTGTCGTGGAACGCGGGCGAATTAACCATGTTCCTTTGCAAGAGCTGGCCAGGAACAGCGGACAGTTGGGTAAAGATCGGCCTAGTAATTTTGGGTGGGCGCCCAACTCTCCCGATCGATCGATCGTGAAGTCTCCAAGGAACAGAGATCTCGCCGATCAGAGCCTGGGTTGGAGCCATGATGACATATGTGGATCGCCGATTTGTTTCCGAGATCTGCAAATAGTACGGTGCTGTTTTTTGGCTTTCAATAGTGTCATTGCGTTGGTGTTAAACGGTCGAATTTCCCCGTGGTTGGTATCCAGTATTTGTCACAGTGCCTCCAGGACTGTCAAGAATCCAAAATAGCAGGTCTTCGTGGATCTGGCCTATGGGGTTGCAACCAGCAGGGAGAGCATCCACTTAGGGGGGCAGTTGTTGAGCTGAAAATCGGATCGCGGGCTGAATTGGCGCCAATGAGCCAAAATTCACGGGATCTGCCTATCACGTGTCACTGGCTTTTGTTGTCTGATGAACAAAGAAGGGGATGAAAGAAAATCAGATTGCTCTATTCCACCCAATAATGGACCAAGTAATGCCCGGACCTGAAGACGAGTCTCACTTCACAAGGCGGCGCCAGCGACGCGCAGGCATCACAACCAACTAGCAGTGAAGGCTACGACGAGAATATCCAACTCGAGTCTATCCCTGGAGACCGGCGACCAGCTTGTCACCAAGATCCTTGATGCTATCCTCGAAGGCATTCCGATCCCCAGCTTGCCAGCTAGCACTGCTACCAGGAACAGCATTCTGACCGGTGAAGCCAATGTACAGCACATCATCGTCGCCATGGCCATTATCCCCATTGAGTCCCTCGTCAGGATAACACATCTGAGCCAGCGAGATCGAGGCTTCGCCAGTCGAGTCTGCGCCATTAGTATCGCCCCAGACACCATACAACTAAGCACCCCACGGTCAGCAGCTATCGCACGAGTCGCGTTCCATGAAGAGAGGGTGTATTTACCACTTGGTTGTTACAAACAACAGCCATCACACTCAACGGCTCCATGCCATACTGCTGCGGGTCGAAGTTGGTGTTACCGAACACAACATAGGGGTGCAGATTAGCATCGAGGTCCTCAATGCCAAACTGACTCAACTGATCCTTAAAAGCAGTCTCATCCTGGCCAGTTTGGTCAGAGCCACAGTCTCCGCCCTTGTCATTCAGTCCATCGCAATCTACGTCCATGTTATCATATTGACCTCCGTTGCCCGAGCTATGCAGATAGATTGCGCCGTCGATGTCGCCGCAGTAGGCGAATGTTGCAGCGCCATTGATTCCGTCTGTGAAGCCGCCAGCTAGTTTGTTGTTGCACGTTCCAGACTATCAATTGTTGATTAGAGGGGAGAGGGACTTGTAGATGTGATCCTGAAGCCGGTACCTTGTGATTGTCATAGATTTGCTTCAGGTTATTAGGAATCTCGTAGGCCGAGGCAACACCCAGCGAAAGGAGAATTGTGGCGGTGATATGATGCATAGTGTTTATATTCTGTTTATATATCCCTTTGAGCACCCGCTATAAGTTTCTTCCTGGAATTCAACTGTTTCTTATACCATTCACCTCACAGAGCCATACCCGATCAGGGGAATGAATACTAAAATTCAAGGCTCAGCGTTAGCGTCGAAAGGGGCAAAGATCAACGTACTGTTGCATTTATCAACGGGGCGCACTTGACGCATCACCTTGTCAAGGGCCCTGCATCACGCTAAGGAAGACCATATCACCTTCTAGGTTAAATCTTTTCAAATGGGAAACTGGGACTCGAGCCATTGATGTTCCATAGCCTATGAGACGGAGTGTCAGATCAAAAACTTTAGTTAGTGCTTGTTTCACACCGAGGACCCTGCAGAATTCAGTGGGGTAAGTTGTGGGGATGCGGTACTGAATTATGTTGTCACGGCTCATTTTACTAAACATGAAACCAGTGGCATTGCTGTTAACTTATTTGCTGTTGTTGGAAGGCTATTTTCTATAGCAGCGTGGCCAAGTCGGTCGGTTCAAGCGACCGAAGGAAAGCGCGGGCTTCCGTTTTGTTCGTGATAGGGTCTGGCGGCCAGATGGACCACGCCTTAAGCTGTCTATACGCCGTCGCGCACAGGGCGATGTGCTCTGGGATATTATCACGCCCGCAGGACTAGGTAGGCTTAGTATTGTCGTATTTGTATTGGCAATAATACCAGTCAAAGTTCCTTTGGGAGGACGTGAGTGTGAGCCCGTGGGCCAGCGAGCCAGCGGATGCTCGTTGATGCTCATGTTGGAGGATGTGATCGCGAGCCAGCGGTAGAGTGTTGACCCTGGAAGGTTGAAAGTCCTAAGCTAGACTTCGAAGGTATCGTCCCAGGCTCGGTGCCATCGGGATAGAGTCGCTGAGGCCCGCCGCCACCAGTTCTAGGGCGCCTCCGCGTAGAGCGCGTAATTTGGAGCGTATGCCGCTGATCGTCGGGAGGCTCTGCAGTAGTCCTCTGCTGTGGGACTTCTCCGCCCCCTTGTTAGCCAGCTCACCAAGCGCGTTCATTCCCGCTAATCCCGTGGTGCCCAGGACACCACGTAGAGTTGGTGTTAGGGGATTGGGATTGATTATTTTCCATGTGGCTGCTGCGTACAACAACTATTGTTCAAGTATCTCGACTTTACCAGACTATTGCTTACTTGGCAATACTACATGTTTTGCTTTTTTATTCCACTTAGATGATATTTCTATAATGAAGATCCCGGGAAGAACTTTCTTTGAACCAATTTCCTAACAGGGGTTAGCAGGGCAACATGTACCTCCCCATGGGAAGCATACAGGCAACCCATCCATTCAAGATCGACATTGTTATATTTAGATTTGTCAGGCAGCCAAGTCCAAGTATGGACATTGAGACTGCTGCATACAAAGGCAAACTCATGCAAGGTCTTTACCCTGTACTGAGCTTTCGCTGACAGGGACTTCTTCTTTGGCCCGTTGTACAGTCAAGGAATACTGTTTGCCAGCGACGAGCCACCACGCAAGCTCAATGATCAAAAATCCACCAACAACAACGCAAGTATAGTTCATGTTGGATACTGTGGAGAGTGGAGGTCAGCATCATGTCTGAAACCGAAGGTTAGTATGCATTGATTGGTACATACCAGTTGCAGGCATCTCATAAGGGAACGAGAAAAATACAATGGCAAAGATCAACCAGGCCACAGATACGATATTCACAGTCATACCAACTGTTTGCCCCATGAAGAACGGGCCACGGTGCATGGTGCGACGTCTCAGTAAGACATTTGTGAGTATTGGCACCAGGAACGCGAAGTTGTTGATTGTCCTGAAGGTTTGTCAGTGGCGTCGAGAGAAAAATGTCAGGGGTCAATCCTTTTTCAAGAACAGAAAAGGACATACACGGCAGAGCTCATCATAGCATTGAAAGCAGTGCTGGATCCCAAGTAGATACAGCCTAGCAGGCCAACAATGACTACCACACAGAGCTGTGCATTGAATGGGGAACCAAGCCGCGGGTGAACTCGTGCCCAAATTTTCGATAATGGCAGACCGTCGTCTCGTGCAAAGGCCCAAAATACCCGCCCCGTGCCTGTTGAGGTTAGAAAATGAAGGTTCTCTTTGTCCATTGAGTCCCACTCACTCAATTGTGATCCTATCACGCAAGGGCCGAGCGCAACCCACACCATGAACACCAATCCAAATGCCCCTCCCCTTGTTGACGTTGCTTGCCAAAAGAGCTCGGCGAGAGGGAGTCCAGTGTGCGTGTCGGCCAAACTGCTGTAGTTTTGGACTGAGAACATCAGACTGAGGAGGTATGATAGTCCGGTGACAAAGGCGATTGAGAGTGTGATGGCTGATCATGATATCAGCAAAAAATTATCCGCGTGAAGTACTGAAGTCAAGACAAACCTAGACCCAACGGGGCGTTTCTGCCAGGCTGTTGAAAATGTTCAATGAAAGTTCCTATCAGGTAAACAAACACAACTCACATTGGGCATTTCTTCGGTGATATGCTGTAAAATCGTCAGCATTTTTCTTTGTTTTCAATGAGATATGACCCACCGATATTCCATCCAATCCTCCCAGGGAATACATCGGATTCACCAATCCAGTGATGAAGCAAATAACATTATTATCCCAGCCCGTGTTGTTGATCCAAGTCCGGAAGACAAATTTACTGTCATTGTGCGCCGGTGCTGAAGCAGCAACCACAACCATGGTAATGAACCAAGCCAGCTGTAGATACACCACTATCACATAGCGTTAGTTTTGGAAACTGGGAAGGTCTGAGAAAGTTCGTGGGGAGCAGCATACAGGAGAACTTGTTAATCATCGGAATGAACCGATTGCCAAACATGACCACACCGGCAGTCAAGACATTGAGAATCTGGTATGCGACAAATGTCATCCATGGTTGGACAACCAAGCCATCGTGGTACAAGGCAATCAATGCCATGGCAGTAGTGGCGTAAATTAAGTTTGTGGATGCAGTTGTGAAGATCCCTATCCACCATTAACATCGGGGGCTTACCCTCATGGGGTCAACTCACAGCCAAACACAGTGCACCATCCAGTCGCAAAGCTCAGCAGACTGTTGTATCGTTTGGGTGCGATGGCAGCAATCCAGTGGTACATTCCTCCTTCAACGGGGTAGGCTGAGACGAATTCCGCAAGGGATGCGCCGACGAATGATTGCAGGATGAAAACGAGGATGAAGCCGTAAATCACTGGCAAATATCAGTCGAGACCTTGCTCAAGCTTGGTTTTGAGTCTTTCTCACATGCTCCCGGGCCTCCAGCATTGATTGCTGTGATCAATCCCAGACCGAGACCTGCGTTGTGTTAAAGATGTGACCCCTTCAGTAATTCTTGTATGATAGAGCTCACCCGTCCACGAGATCGTGCAGTTGGCGGCCAATCCGATCAAGCTCCAAACAGAGAAGTGTCGTTTCAGCTCTTGTTTGTGTCCTGGAGGTTGTTAACACTTGTTCTCGCCACTGTGCAAGGATAGATAACATACCCATTTGCGCCAGTCGCAGCTCATCTTGATTCTGCACATTGAGTTCACTGCGCGATAGGGGTGCAGAAGTGGTGGGGTCTCCCATAATGTGCGCACTGTATATGTTCCAGATAGAGAGATGAAGATGAAGAGAAAGAATACAAATAAATAACATTGGAATGAGGGGAACTCGAGTCCTTTTGTTGATCACCGGCAAACATGGAGAAATCGCCGGTTGGCGGGTCCTGTCCAACGTTGGACCGCCCGATTGGGGGAAGCTTAATTTGCGGGGCCGTGTGTATATCTCAACCGCTTCGCCGGGACGCTGTCAGTTTGGTGATACTAACCCTCTCGCATGGCTGTAGGAACTTGCAATTGAATGATAAGCCTATAGTGATCATGTACTGTGGCTTGTGTGCTATTTTTTGTTAAGGTTCCTAGGTCTACTGGGCTTAAGCGCTACTCCGTGGGTATAAACAAAACCGGACGGCTTCGACCGTAGTCAGTAGAACAAGCGCGTGTTCTTCTCTCAAAGCTCTGCTATAAATGCTACTTTTTTCACCACTCGCCCTCTTTCCTTCACATCATCGTCCGTCCAATTTCTTCTACACTTCAACATCTGGTTTACCACCGTCACGATGTCTGCTTCGGATCACTCTAACTATGCTTTCCTCCTTTCGAACGATGAAGTTCCTTTCATCCAGTATGATGGGTCTTCTGACGCGGCTGAGTCTGGCGGCTTGTCTGGTCAGGTGCTTAGCCCCAACGATGCTTCGTCCCCCTATGCCCGACCTGTGAATCGTGCTCCATTTGTTCGTCCTGCTGCTTCTCCTCCTGCCCTGCCTGCGAACCGTGCTCCATTTGTTCGTCCTGATACTTCCACCACTGCTCAGTCTGTGAACTGTGCTCCATTTGTTCATCCTGCTGCTTCCATTCCTGCTCAACCTGTGAACCTTGCTCCATTCGTTCACTCTGCTTCTGGCATTGAAGTTACTGACGAAAATGCAGCTGAAGTTATTGCAGGCCTTAACCTTAATGCCCCTGCTATTCTACCACAACAGACGACACAGGCAGATCATTTGCCTTACTTTGTATGGACCAAGATCCCAAAGGTCCGCAAGTTGACCAAAGATCGGGGTCAAGAGCCATGGACCACCGACGTAACCAATGTTCTCTTCAAGCTGAAGATCCTAGATGTCATCGACAACACTCTTCCTCATCCTGATGAGTCTCACCATCACTACAAGGATTGGATCAAATGGTCTCGACTCGTGAAAAAGTGGACATACCGCGTTATCGGCCCAGAGATTATGCCTCATTTCGAGAATTTTGCTGAAGATCTTCAATTTGCCGATGAGACCGTTGCTCTCGCTGTTGCTCTTTCCGTCAAGCCCACTCCGATTGACCGCAGCCAAGATGATCGCATGACCAAGGAGGTGTACTCGCTTTGGGATATGAAGCGCCATGACTACACCGACGTTTCGGATTACATCGAGAACTGGAATGCGCAGGTTCAGCACTGTCGCCGCATCGGTCTCGGTATCCCCAACTACGTTGCTGCCAAGATTCTGCTCCGGGAGCTTGACGACGACTTCCCTTTGCTCACGACCTGCATCAATACGCAGATCCGTGAGCAGGACGCACACGCTCACAAAATGACACATGGTCAGCTGTGCGACATTGTCGAGGCTTTCAGGGCAGCTGCCCTTAGCCGCGAGCGTGGCTCTGGCCGCTCTGTCTAGAGATGCGGGTAAGTTGTTCTCCTAGCCTCATTGGCTCTGAGCATTGACTGATATTTCTGATCTCATAAATCACAACTCGTGTCATTCCTCCGAGAAAACATCTCCCTGAGCATAATCTGGTGAATAATTGGAGATATCGGAGGAAACATGATAAATTCTGATACATAGCAGTGAGCTGACATGTATCTAATTTCTCATCACGAGTCAATGCCAAGATTGCAATCTGCAGACACCTTGTTCGTACTCATTAGGTATACTCAGCGGAGCTGTGAACTGTAGATAAACCGTGTCGATCCTGTAAGATGATTAGTTAGCCCCAATAAGCTGAAACTCGCCTCAGTTCACGCTCACCATTTGCCATTCTTCTCGCCCACTTTTTCCAAGCGTCCTTTCTCAACGAACCCACGCTCGCAATACCATGCCCTTAGCCCCTCGCCATTCATATAGGTATCGGGGTCAATAGCCACAACAGCGATCACATTTCGGACTCTTGCATCGGTACTGACCCCAATAGATCCTCCCGGAACCAGACTGTCAATGTCGCCAACCCGCTCCTCGCACCGGTGCTCCACGAGGCCATCATGGACCTTGTTCATAATCGCTTCCAGCAAGATAGTTCCCAGTCCATGTTCTCTCTCTTCCGGATGCATGAAGATAGAGAGTTCCACTGTAGGTGCATATGCAAGCAGGTGCCCGCGAAACGGTGACAAGTACGCATAGCCGAGAACCAAGTCCGCCCCATCGTGTGTTTTTCTTTGGTCTGACGCCAGCACCAGAAATGGCAGCTTTCGCCTTTTCAGGTCGCGTAGTTTATCTTCGTATTCAAAAATGGGAGGCGGGGTCGTTGCGAATGTCAGCGAAGTGTTGACAATGTAGTAGTGATTGATGTCTCGAATCTGTGGAATGTCTGCAACAGTGGCCTCTCGGGGGTTTATCATTGTGTCTAGGCGGATTTAGAATTCACTGATGCAACCAGCAAAGCTTGTCAGGCCCAATGGTGCCTGTGACGCTTGAGGTGTTGTCTGATGCATGGCTGCGGACCACGCTAAGGAAGACGCTAAACCTCTTTGGGGTGACACCCCGCCAAGACTTTGTATAGAAGAAATTGTCGAAAAGTAAACAGACACAAAACAACTTCTTAACCTTTGATTCATCGCAAGATGTTGTTCCATGTGTCGTTTGGCGGGGGAATCTCCTTCCTTGCGCTTGTAGCCTTCCTCTTGACTCGGTACTTCGTCACCTCCTTCTTTCCTTACCTGATCTTCGACCAATCCAACTCCTGCCTTCCCACTGCTGACACTATCATCATGCCTGATCCGGGCTCTCGCAAGGACAGGAAGAAGTCCAATAAAGCCAAGAAGGCCAAGAAGGCCAAGAAGGTCAAGTTCTCCCAGTCGGTGCACTCCCCGGCGCCCCTCGGTGCATCCACGAGGCCTATTGTTTACCCGACCCCAGCCAGCAGCGAACGCAACGGTAATGACAAAAAAAGCAAGCCCGCCATCGACAAAAGAAAGTCACCTGATCATGGAGAGGCTTCTCAGTCTCCTCCCCTGGAGATGCCAGACAGCAGAACCGCCTTCTTGTGTCCCCACGGCTTCCACTTCCCCGGCAATTATGCTGGTTCCAACTCTGATCCATCTGGAGACGATGAAAACTACTTTGGCTGTCTTGTTTGCGATGTTATGCGCGATTACCACCCTTACCAGCCCGAGAATGCCGACTCGGACCTTGGAGAACACTGGATTCGCCACACGGTCAGTTCTGCAGCCCGAGCTCTGTCGAGTATTGAATACTAACTATCTCTTTGTCTAGGACTACATTTGCGGTGTCCCCACCGAGCGTGCCTCGGCTCCCATTCCTGAGGTGGATGTGGGTGTCGCCGATAGATGTCTTAGGCTAGCGCAGGATCTGCTCGCCCAACAGGAGAAGCTTCTTACCGATCTCAGAGACTGGAACAATGCTCCTATTTCGGATACCGATGATGCAGGCGATGACTCAGTCAAGGCTAAGATCGATGCTGTCGCTGAAGAGAAGAAAGAGGTAAAGACCAAGAAGAAAAAGAAGAAAAGCGTCCAGAAGCCTGTCCGAAACAAGATTCCTGTTGATGAGAACGCTGCCAAGAATGAGCTGGATCAGGATTCTCTCGATTCTGCCTTCCGCATTTCCGTTGAGAGAATGAGTTCAATGGATGAGAAAATGCTTCGCATGTCGCTCAAGGAGTTGATGAGTGACGAGGAGAAGGAAGAGCTTGTGCTGACCCATGTCATGCTTGAGAGACAGCGCATTGCCGATGAGAAGAGTATCACTGATGAGAACAATGTTGTCAAGAAGCGCCGCGATCGCAAGAAGAAACCGCTTGGCCTTTTGGATATCATCATGAAGAAACGTCGTGAGGATGAAAAGAAAGAAGCAGAGGACAAGCACGTTACCGAGGTCATGAGGGGTCTTCTTACTCAAAGAATCGCCGAGGAAAAGGCTGAGAAGAAGCGTGCTAAGAAAGGCAAGAAGGCTAACAAGAATGGAAAGGCCAAAATCAGTGATTGCGACAACGACAACGACAACGACGACACTGCGCCCTGCCTTCAGCTCCTCGAATACCTCGACCGCAAGCAGTCTGCCTCCTGCCTCAAGAAGCGGGTTTCTAACACCAATGAGCCTGGCCCATCCAAGTGAATCTTTGTATGAAATGGCAGTCCCCCAAATCTCGCAAAATAGCACACACTCCATGCCTAGGACGTGTGTTTTTTTCCCTTCTGTGATCGCTCTTCTTTTGCTTCTGATGTCATGAGTATTGAGTACTGCGCCTGGGGGACCATACACCAATCTGTTGTTTCAATGGAATTTCTCTGACTGTGTGACATACCTAGCGGTTTGACAAACGAATTATTTTTATTATTTCTAGGCTCCCATGCTTCCCATGTAGGTTCCACCGACACAGTATTGGCGCGGAGATATCCGCGACGTGTCGACGATTCCCAGTTCAGCCACACAGTGCAACGTACAAGCATCTCATACGCAGCCGGATAGAAATAAGCATAGCTCAGTCTATCTGGCTATGAATAGCCCATGGGCCGTAAATGAGGCATCTCGGGGGTAAATCGGGGTCCGCGGACCGCGATTGCAGTCAGAATATTAGGCAACAAATTATTCACCCGATCTCGTCCCTGTTTTCTGCAGTCATGGTTGGCAATTATTCGTCAGTTTGTAAGCACCTGCCGATCAGCTTTCCCCATAGGGCTTAGGCGGGCTATCACCCTTTTTCCGCCAAGGACCCTGACGAGGCTTGTTCGTGAGGCTAATTTGTATAGGCACCAGCGTTTTACAGAGACTTCGGTTTTCCTCCGAAATACAACGGTTGACCGCGGTATGGGCCTTGTTCATCCATGGCGGAACTTACCTCGTACCAAGACATTACCTGTATTCCCCTGGGTACGATGTAAGCTTTGGCTCTGGCCAGAGCCCGGAGCAGCCATGACAGCACACATACTTAACTGAGATACGTCAGGGCAGGAACGTGTCATCGTCGCTTCCTCGCAAACTGAAGACTCACCTTTGACGACGCTTTGTATTGCACTCAACCATGGCCCCTGCGGTGCATTCTGGTGAACCGGTACCCTCAGGCAAGAAGAAGCGCTCACGACGCGGTCGAAAGGTTACTCTGGATCTCGGAGGTCCAAAGTCTAAGAAGACTCTGTTACTGGATGAGATTGGCGATGCTCTGGTTGATCAGCTCTATGCAAATCCCCGGCATGAGGAACATCTTGATGATGCTTTTGATATCTCCTTTGTCTCTGTCGCCGACCATCTACGCAAAAACCTCGATGCCGCCCTGACTGCCTCATCATGTCACAGCTCAGCTAGTCGCAGCACTCGCACGGCATCAGGATCTCTTTCGACCCCGGCAACGAGCGTGGATAGTAACGAACCACCGCAAATCGTTCACTCGCTAGAACGGCCCGCTGACCTCCCAGATGCCAAACCTATCACCCCTCGCTCAAAGCAGCATCAGCCAGAAAAGGCTGATGTGTTCAGTCTCGACGACTTCACCACAATGACGGCTATCGAGCGACTAGCCGCATACCATGGCCGGGTTGCTCACATGGGCATCCTCGACCGCAGCTATCGCTTCTTCGTGAACAAAGCTCGCACAGCAGCGGTCTCTTTCAAAGTACAAAACAATGTGGCAGTCGTCGGCGGAGACCCATTGTGCACCACAACAGACATCCCAGAACTCCTCTCCGAGTTCGCAGAATACCGAAAAAGACACCACTGGGGCATAGCCTTCATGGGAGCCAGCGAGACCTTCACAAGAGAATACGCCCGACGAGAAGGCTGGACAACCATCCGATTCGGCACCGAGCGCGTCCTCAACCCCCAGACCAACGAAGTCCTCTTCGAAACAAGCGGTAAACGCATAACAACCCAGAACCGCCAACTCCTCAACAAAGAAAAAGGCAACATCACCCTCGGCATCTACGCCCCCGCCGTCCACGGCACAATCCCCCAGCTCCAAACCGACCTGATAGCTATCTACGACGCATGGCGCGAAGAGCGAAACAGCTCCCCAAGCCCCCAGGCCTTCATAACAGTCTACGACCCCTTTGCCCTCCCAGCACTAATGACATTCGTATACACGCGCAGCGCCGACAACCACATCAACGGCTTCGCGGCCCTCCGCCATCTCGGCTCGGGGGGATACCACGTCGACCCGTGCATCGCCGCGCCAGGCAGCGCAAAGGGAATCAGCGATCTGCTGCTCGTCGCGGCCATGGCGCTCCTCAATCGCGCAGGTGTCTCATACCTCGGCTTCGGCTTCGAGCCGCTGCATGCCCTGGCGCGGGATGACGTGAGCGGCATTCCTGGCCCGTTGGCTCATCTCACAAGAGATCTCTATGGCCATGCTTTCCATCGCTTGCCGATTGGTGGGAAGAAGGCTTACCATGATAAATTCCGCCCGGATCCTACGCAGGACTCGGGTCTTTATCTGCTTTTCCCTTCGGGTATTCCTGGGCCTAGGCATTTACTTGCTATGACGCATATGGCGAATATTAGCTGGCGGAAGATCTTCTGGGCGGATGTTAGGGGTTGGACTTCGAGGGGTGGGAGGACTGCTGTGGTTGAGGGAGGAAGAGATCGGCAGGGTCTGAAGGAACATGATCGGGATCTCGACCAGGACCAGCCCCAGGCTGGGAATTCGGTGTTTTTGGATAAGCCTCTCTTGTTGGTTCGCGAGAGTAGCTCGTGAATTGTCTGGATTTCGGCTCCTATTTCTGTTGTTTTCTCCTCATTTTGTCCTGGGTGTTGGCTGTGCTTTACTGCACACATTTGGGGACTGTATCATACTCATAGCGTTTTGTCCTTGGGTCTTCTTTTTCTGTCGTGTTCTAATAGCTCAACACTGTTCCTTGCTGGGGCTTTGACGATACCATTAATCATGAACCCATGCTTCATTTTCATCCTTCTTCCTATTAGCTTGTCTATCATTGGCGTTGGGGTGCCCCATTATTCTGGACGATTCAACTACTGGGCTACTGGTTAGATGAATTGGAATGGTTCAAAGAGATTCCAGTGAAGTTAAATACAGTATCGAGTCCATTTCTGTAACGCAACATCCGAAGCGAATATACTTGTCAATTGATTCATGGTGTACAGTTGATGCAAATGCAAGTCCAGAATAAACGCCATGGAACCCTGCATCACCCAGTAATACGAGGGCAGAAATATTAATTAACAACTACGGCCAAAGAGGAAGTCTTTGACAATGGGGGAGCCTGAGAACTCCGGGTTGAGAAGGATACAGCTAAGGCGAGGTTAGAATATGGATTTGGGTCGGTTATGTGATTAATGCTTGCAACTTGAACTTACTTGAGGAAATACTCCAGGCCCACGCGTCGCGATTCCAAGAATTTTGGGCGGAATTTGACTATTGACGGTATTAGCATTATTTGCACTATTTCGGTTGATGTCCTTGCTGATTGAAGAGGCGACTAAGAGGATCAACATGATATACATACAAAGAACGCTTTTCGGGGGCAGCGCGGGTAACGCGTTTCGAGCATGTGGGAATGAAGCGACCAGTCGCTGGCGCAAATCATCGAACTCGGAGTATCTAAAGGAAGCAAGTCTGCGAGTTAGATGGGTTGCGCCGTACGGAGAGGAAGCGGGGGCTGAACATGCCTTAAGCGAGTAACAATTGGAGCACCCTGTCCAATAACACATACGTTAGACTCCAGCTCCAATTCCAATTTTAAACCAAGCTGGTTATCCCCTCCACAGGTCATTACTTACATCAAGTGTAAAAATTGTACAGTTCCAAACAACATACGATCCAACCCCAGTCATGCCCTGCACGACGACGTGATCATCGACGGAAACGCTACGCGCCCAGAGTCCCCGACTCGTCTCCGAGTTTGGGTCCGCTGTGTGGTCTTCAAGTGTTATCGGGGCAACTCGACTTAAGGATGATTGCGAGACGTGTGAGGCGTCGCGCTCATGTCGGTGCCAATATGGGGGTACTACGCCTGAAACGGGGCGGGAACGGATAGAAGATGCAGCACTCGGTGGAGTTGGATTTGGATCTGAGTAGCCGTCATTGTGGGCGTTTGGTGCTGTGCCACTTTTGATTGAGATGATTGAACTGGTGTCTGGTCCGGGTGCGGGGAAGGGTTGGAGATCTGAAGGCGGGGACTTGGATTGGGAGGATGTTCGGGATCGTGTTCGGGATTGGGAGGAGAGCTGCGGCTGCAGCTGCGGCTCAGCTGCCGGTCCGGCCTCCTCAGAAGCTGGCTCCATCCATTAGATGTTGGTTGTGAAGTTGGGGGTGGTTGTGGTTGTGTCCTGTTGAAGCTTTCGCCTGGGTTAGCTGGTTCTGGTTCTGATTCTGTCACATGGCCGATGTAGAACCTCCGCTTTGGATGCTCAAAGGGTAGAATGTGGCTTAGGCAGGGACTTTGACCCTCATGCGGGGTGGAAAGCATACAGTGTCAGGTATGGTGGCGGGAAGTCGTGGTCTATTTTGGGCCTTGGGGCGTGGTGATGTGATGCAAGGATCGGGAACAAGCGATGGGGGCTATCCGATATGGGACAGAGCTGCACGATGTCAGGATATCAGTGGCGAGTCGGAGGCAAAGACAACGTACTTTGGAGTTGGAGATGGTGAAAGTCAATTGGAGTGAGACACCCGTGGACGGGGGTCACGGGGCTTAGCTTATCTAAGGGGATGCTCGAAATCAACTAACAGCAAGTTACTCTTCACAAAGAACACGACCAATGGCTTTACAACCTTGGGCTTCAACGGATTTTACTGGCTTAGAATAGGGTCTGTATTTGCTGCAGCTGTCAACGACTCAACTCTCGTCTCCAACCAACAAGACACTAATCCTAACCCGGTAAGCGTCGGTGATCGGCTGCAGAGCACTGAGACACACTTATCGCTTCAACGCACTGGAGTGTCTGACTTTACTACACTTCTTACAGTGGAGACTGGTCGGGAAGCGAATGGTGGCACCATGAGCTGGCAACACACCCTTCGCGAAACTGCCGATATCCCCGGATTGACACGTCTCAGGCAAGCCTCCCTGGAATGTCGCTCTCGGTGTCCAGGCCTCGCTTCCAAGGGTTCCAAGATTTCCAAGATTTCCAAGGCTCCAAGAACTAAGCTGTCTCACATTACCAAACGCATACAGATATCATGGCCTGCAGCAAAAAGAACAATCCAATGCGGTAGAACCGAAAGGGTACTAGTCCGTCCCACCGGCCAAACGAGCTAGTAGATACTCTTTACAGAGGCAATAGTCCGGTGATCATTGCTTTTTTTCCCTTTATGAACTCTGATTTCTCCTTACTAGTTACCCTTTTTTTTTCTCCTTCTCATTCTACTCTTGTTGGTCTTGTCTGCTCGTGTCGTTGACCCCCTAACATTCCCCTACTTGGTCGAGAAGGAGTCCAGGAGTTTGAACGCGGTAAGTCAGGTCCCCTTCTGTTCTAGTAGACCCCATATCCCTTCATTCCCGACCTGTCGCCGGGCCTCTATATCTCTATTTAAAGCAGTACAAGAGGTTTTCGGGAATTCCTCAAAGCTAGATTGCTAACACAAAACTGAAGTAGCCTCCTCCGTCAAGTCTTATTCTAGATCATATATCACAACCATCAACATGTTGTCCAAGACTCTCTTCGTTCTCGCATCGGCTGCCTCACTGGCAAGCTGCCAGTCTAATTCTACCATTGACACAAATTCAGTTCCATATGCTACTCGACGTAAGTCAATACCTCATCCAACCTCCCTACGCAGCATAGAAAGCTAACATCTACCGTACAGAGGCCTGGTGCAGCTCTCAGACTTCCTCATGTCCTCTCCTCTGCCTACAATTATCCGGGGCATCCGGTTCCCCCACAACCAACACCTGTGACGCAGTGAGTGAACCAAAGTACCCAAGAGCTTCCAACATGTAACAGTCTAACAAATCTTTAGACAACACTAGACTATGAGTGCATCTGCAGTAATGGTGCCTCTCCCAACGCTACTGAATACTCCCAGACAATCCCCTACTTTACATGCACACAGCACAACGATCAATGCGTCACCAACTGCAATGGCGATTCCTCCTGCCAATACGCCTGTCGATCAGACAATCCCTGTGGAGCTCGGGCCCCTAAGCATTACAATGTGACTACTACGACTGCGTCGACTGCAGCTGCGACTGCGAGTGCTACAGAAACACCAGTCAATACTGCTGTCGATGGGTCGACTGGTGCTGCACCACGTATGGTTTCTGTTGAAATGAGCCATGTCTATGGGCTGTTTGCTGTTGTTGGTGTTTTCACTGCTGGTTTTGCTTCCCTGATGTAGGCGCTGAGATATATGTTTGACGTGGCCAAATACTACTCATCAGGGATATTATTCGTTTATGACACTGGGTATGGCGTTTCCTTCCGTTGTGCAGCTTCTTTTTGGCTTTCATTTGCATTTCTGATTGCATTTGCATTGAGCGTTTATTTGTTCCTATGAGTTTTTGTGGAGCTGCATATGCACGGTCAATCATTTGACCCTTATTAAAACTAATTTCATAGCCCAGATTGCAGCATAGTGTAAGAAATTTTCAATTCTCCAGTATATTATCATCAAATTAGATTTGCTTTGGATTGATTACCCCAAATCTACATCTTAGCTCTCAATCTAGTACTATCCATCCGCTGCCCTTCATCGTCCTGCTCTGCAACTTCCAATGCCGGGAACTGAGCCGGCATGATCCGCCGTGGGGTGGACCCTGGGATCACAGAGTACTTGGAGAAATCAAGTACACCGCACTTTTCGCGGAGGAAATCCTCGTCCGTGTCCAACAACCCGTTGACCACACTATGTGGGGCACGAAGCATAGCTAATATAGCATCGGAGAAAATGGCCTATTGCAGCAAGTCAGTAATTGTCGCAAATTGATAAAATAAATTGCACACATACAGGCTTTCGCAAATCCTTCTTGTGGGATTGATCAGCTGCCTTGTTATGCTCTGTAGCTGCCGATTCAATAGACTAGACAAATGAATGCAGTCAGCAATGTCCCTCACATACTGAAGCACTCCAGAATCAATAACCATGTACTTACCGATGCAGGCCAGATACTGGTCACCGCCATTTCATTTCGGCCTTGACGAACAAAGTCCATGGCTAGACCTTTGACCAAGACGCTCATCCCGACCTTACCTATATCACCCTATATCAGAATCATTCCGCTTAACCAATTCTCGATAAATAAACAACTCACCCATAGCATAAGCCGTCTTCCCGCGAAAGAATCTGGAATAAATCGGAGGCGAGACAACAACAATCCTCCCCTTCCACCCGTTCTTCTCAAAGAATGGTAAAGCAGCTTGAACAGTCGCATAAAGCCCCTCGGGATTCACCTGCTGCATAAGTCGGAACCGCTTCAAAGGCGTATTCTCCACAGACGACCACCAGATCGCCCCGGAGTTGTAAACCAAGACGTCCAGCTTGCCGAATATACGCGCTGTCTCTTCAATAGCATGTTGGATCTGCTCCGCATCGCGTACGTCAACCGCAACCGTGGCAGCGCGGCCGCCTGCTTCATGGATCTCCCGTTCTACGGTGTTGATTGTTGATTTTGATGAGTTTGGGTCTGGGGGGAATGGGACCACACTTGATGCGTCTGAGGTTGTTTTTGCCGCTAGCATTACTGGGCTGGGTTAGTGGTTCTGAAGCCGAGATGGAGTAGATGTATATGTACCCGAGTAGCCACTCTTTGCGAGATCGATGGCAATTTGACGGCCGATGCCACGGGATGCACCCATGACAAGGGCAACTTGCTGTGAAGATGCCATCTTGACTGTGGGGGTGAAATAAATAGCTCGAACTGCTGTACAAAGGTTGACGGAGGTTGGATGGTGTTACCCCGGATTAAGCTTGTTATATGTAAGATCACAAACGACTGTGCCTCGGGGCCGAGATTGAGCTAATGAGATGTTTACTCGATCTTCGGCAAAGGCAGGGATTATAATCAAAATATTCTGAAATCTCTAAGCCCATAAGTAGGTCGATTTGATGCTTATTTTCCTGATTACTCAATGTCCCGAAGCCGAGGAGCCTCGGGATTGTTGCCTCAGACGTCAGGCATCGATATCAAACTATCTACCTGCACTTGGACTATGACATGACACTTTCAACGGGATTTTCCAAGAAACCTGTAAAACATATCTCTCAGTCTCTTCTGATATTCAACCATGCGTCTGGAGGATTCAAGGGGACTGAGGCGGTCAGCGGGCGGTGATGTGGGCGGTATGTTACTGCCTGTAAACGACCATGATCGACTTGCACCTCATTTGCTCTTGACATACTCTACCTCGTGTTATTAGCGTTCGGAATCTTGACTGCTCTCTCTTCTTTGTGACTGCTTTGTTCTCTTAAAAACAGAGCTTGACACACATTAATCCCCACCCGTGTTAACTTGACTCACCGGCATTGTCTGAACAGTGAGGCAAGATGGACACCTCATTCTCTGAAGCATCGAGTCGGTCTCAGGCCGATACTTTAGCTTCAGCTTCAGCTGCAAATGCTACATCTCGTACTTCTTCTGTCGTTGGTCAATCCGCGCCACCTGTGAAGGTTGACGGTATGTGGAACCCCGCGGGGTTGTGCCATCAAGCAACCCTGCTCAGGCGTTTAGGTGACGCTGACAACTGGATTTCGCAGATGCACCCAAATTTGATCTAGAAACTTACATCTCAAACTACTCCGGTTAGGAATTTCATTCCCTTCAAAATCGGCATTTCTAACATTTGACTAGGGCGCACCCGTTACGACCGTCTCTACCTCATAGGCACGTGCTCCACTGTGCTGTCCGTCGATGCCCTGAAGGCTGCCATCACCGAGGCCAAATCCAGCAAGGATGTTGCACGTTACGAGAAGGCCGTCCGCGCACTGGCAGACATTGCGCCAACTGATCCCTCCGCGTCACTTGACAACGCTTGGATTCAAAGTACCCAACGATACGTACGGACGCAGACTGAGCGACTTGAACATGAACTGAGGGGATATAAAAATAACTTGATCAAAGAGAGCATCCGGGTAAGCACTGAAAGTGAACTCGTGTGCGAATGTGATGCTGATTACCACAGATGGGCAATGAAGACCTAGGAAATCACTATCACCAGACGGGAGACTTGCCTGCCGCAACCAAGGCTTACGCTCGCATGAGAGACTATTGTACCGCACCTAATCATATCACATCTATGCTATTTAAGATGGTCAATGTCGCCGCCGAACGTGGAGATTGGGTCTCTATGCAGTCAAGCGTGTCGCGTTTGCGCAATTCCCAGTCGAAGCCAGAAGACGCGGCTAAAAACGAATCCAAAATCTCCGCCGCCTATGCACTCTCACAAATGCGTCAGCAGGCCTTCCTCGAAGCAGCCAATGTTTTCTTGACTATTCAGCCAGACCTTGGCGACAATTACAACGAACTTATCACCCCCAACGATGTTGCCGTGTATGGTGGTATCTTGGCTCTTGCAACCATGACTCGCGAAGAACTACAACGCAACGTTCTCGACAATACTTCTTTCCGCAACTTCCTCGAACTTGAACCTCATATGCGCCGCGCCATCGCTTTTTTCTGCAACTTCAAGTTCCGTTCCTGTCTTGACATCCTGGAAGCCTACCGCTCAGACTACCTTCTCGACCTTCACCTCCAGCCATATCTCGAAACATTGTACCAGCGCATTCGCACAAAGTCTATCAAGCAGTACATGGTTCCTTTCAGCAGTGTCAGTCTCGAATCGATGGCGAAGATATTTGCACCTGAAGTTATTGGCGGCGAAGCGCGGCCTACTGGTCTTTCATCGCCATTCGTGCAGGAGCTGATCACCCTGATTCAGGAGCGTGTTCTGGATGCCCGTATTGATCTTGAGAAGGGATTGCTCGTGTCGAACCAAGTCGACGCTCGGATCGAGGTGCAGCGCACTACCCTTGAAAGCCTACAAGAATTCAACCAAGAGGCCCATTGGCGAATTTTGCGTGCGGCTTTCCTTCATTCGGGGCTAGAGGTGGGAGGCATACCCGGAGAAAGGAGGGAAAGGCCCGGGCAGACCTTGAAGGGTGCCAAGTTCAGCCGGGGTGGTTTGCTTGACTGATGACGAGACCGAGCTCGCGAATAAATCGAGGCGATCCGGGCGCATGAATGATGATCAATGAGATAATACCCTGATGCCCAGCTGCAATCACAATACAGACCTTACTTGACTTAGAAAAAAGAAATAAGGCCTTCTAAAATATGCCGTGTTCCTCAATGTATATTTTCTCCTTGTCGGACCATCGACCAGTGAAGGTCCAGCCTGACTCGGATATACTCTCCTACGAACTCATTTCAGAAGATCACCGGATGCTGGGCTGGCTGGAAACATCCTGTTTCCCCCGTGTCCGACCCTCGTCAGGATATGAATCCCACCGATCCAATCCGACCCGTAGTATCCGACGCCGTGCAACATAATTTGCTGGGCGGTATTGCTCTTCTTAAAAAAAACCATCAATATAGATATACTCAGGGGGGACCAGAGAAGAGAATGTCCATGCGAGATTAATGAGGCAAGAAAGGTCTAGGATAGACGGTGAACACTGTTAGGGCTGAATGGGCTCCTGCAGCATGAACAACGTCCGCCAAGTACAGTAGGGCAGCTATATACCCCAGCGCCTCTTCCCTTGAATCCCTGTAATACCTTGGATACTCAACCCCCGGCAAGGGGGAGGGGGCTTCGGGCCTGCTTTGTCTTGGTATCATAATATCCAGCTCACCGCGCATCCATATCATTTATATCACAGTATTTGTGGTTATCTCTAGCCTCTGTCGCAAGACTGATTCTCGGCATGCCATGCTTGGCTGTCTCTTCTCTCTGCTGTGATGATTTAGCGCGGAAAATCGACTGAAGCGTGGACTTGGAATCGTCTTCGATCTCAACTATACTCTCTGGGTATAACGACCCTGGGAATTTAGCCACGACGACAATGAGACATTCTCCACCGCAACCGCAGCATGTACCACCATTGACACTAGCTTTGGTACCAAGCATTCCTGCGCTGGCAACTTCTCCGTCGGCTTGCGTGTCTTTGAAGCGAACCTTTGAGACGGACACCGCAATGCAAGAGTCTTCGAGGGCACCGGCACGATCTCCTACATTAAGAATTGTACAATCAGTGGGTATAGAGTCTGAGAGAGAAGATAAACATGAAGACCCATATCACTTAGCATCGCAGTCAGCCCCAGTCCAGGAGGAAGAGAAAGAGGAATCGCGAAGACCAACACTGATACCAACAGACCGGCCTGGTGGGACTTTGACATGGGCTAATCTTCCAGATTCTTCATTTGTTGATGAGAACTCATTTTCTTCAACTTCCCCTTCGATCATCCCTTTGATTCCCTCTATACCATCCACAATGGATGTTCCCGGAGAGACGGATGATACTATCTCTGTGGTCTCAAGCGACGATTCCTCAGTCTTTGACCAGCATTCAGACAACTCCAGCTACACAGCGTCTCTCCTCTCAGATGTGCAGAATTATAGATACGAAAACAACCGACGTTATCATTCCTACCGGGAAGGACATTATGTGCTCCCCAATGACGACCAAGAACAAGATCGACAAGATCTGCTCCATCATGTTCGAAACCTAGTGCTGAACGGCCAGCTCTTCCTCGCTCCACTGGGAGATAATATCCACCGAGTTTTGGACGTCGGGACTGGCACTGGCATCTGGGCCATCGACTTTGCAGACTCTTTCCCCAACGCCGAGGTGATCGGCACCGATTTGAGTCCTATCCAGCCATCGTGGATCCCACCCAACTTGCAATTCATTGTGGATGATGCTGAATCACCATGGATGTACAGTACCAAACGGCCCTTTGACTTCATCCATGCTCGCGATCTCGGGGGTGCCATCACCGACTGGCCGCGTTTGATTCGGCAAAGCCATGAACATCTTCGGCCTGGGGGTTGGCTTGAGCTACAGGAGTTTGAGGTAACGCTGAGAGCGGACGATGATTCAATGCGTCTGGCGCCGACTTTGTGCGAGTTTCTCCGGCATTTGCAGGCGGCCAGTGAGGCATTTGGTCGTCCGATGAATATGGCCGAGGGACATCGCCAGAGGTTGATTGAGGCTGGTTTTGAAGATGTCAAGGATGAAATGTACAAGGTGCGACTGCATCTCTCTGCGTCGGAATCTGTGACTGTGCTAACCTTGTTGTAGGTCATCTCTACTCCGTGGGCTGATGATCCTGTGCAAAAGGAGATCGGCCGTTATAACATGTGCTCTCTTCTCATGGCAGTCGAAGCCTACTCACTGGCTCTGTTCACTCGGGTTCTTGGTTGGTCCAACGAGGCTACTCAAGTGTTCCTGGCAGGCGTGCGTAGTGATATCAAGAATCCCGCCGTCCACTCGTATTGCTACTTGCATATCGTTTACGGTCGGAAGCCAAATTCCTAGGGTCAGATCTGAACTGGTCTGGAGTTCCCGAATGCTCTCTCGGGGTATGAGAGATCGAAGATCAAATGGTGGTTAATAGCAGACGTTGTGTCACTGCTCTGCCACTTTCCGCCCCCGCTCTTCCTCTTCTCTCTCTCTCTCCAACCTCACCCCTGCAGTTGGTGCATCTTTGGAATCTTTTTCTTAGTTGGACAGCAAATCACTTCTCTCAGAGACTCCTGTCTTCTGTTTTTCCCTCATCGGCGTCCCCGATTCTCGTAATAACATGGTGTCCGGGGCGTACATGGCCTCTACACCGTGGTTCTCCCTCGCCCCATATCTCACTATGTCATGGATAGCGCTGGAACCTCGCATTTGGGGCCTATCTGCAGGATTCCTGGTAAGCTGCAGTCTTGCATTTCCTGTACACCCTCGGTTATCGGGGGCTGCAGGTCCCTACATATCTTGCGTTGCCTTTTCTGGATTCCATCCGACATACAGCAGCTCCTCTGTCCTCATTCTGAGTATCTGAGCTCTCGGATAACTAGTATGAACTTTCCTTGTGTCGCGCTGATGATCTGCAATATCACAGCTCTTGTTCTGGGTCTCGTACAGCATCGTTTACGCTTTTTGGATTTCTCCTCTGCGTCATTTCCCCGGCCCAAAGCTATGGGCCATTTCACGAATCCCCATGGGCATCTCCGTTCTACGTGGTCATAACCATCTAGACATCACGGCTCTCCATGCCCGGTACGGCCCAGCTATTCGGATTTCTCCAGGCGAGCTTGCTTTCAACACTGCCCAGTCCTTCCGTGATATATATGGATATAGACCTGGCGGCTGCTTTCAGAAAGACCGCAACCACTACCTGCCGCCTGTCAATGGTGTTGATCATTTGCTATGTGCGGTTGACGATGCCGACTACACACGACAGAAACGGTTGTTGGCCCATGCCTTTTCTGATAAAGCGTTGAGGGACCAGGAAGGATTGATTAGAGGCTATGTCGATACGCTGATTAATAAATTGCGGTTGGGTGTCAAGCATGAGGATTCCCTAGTTGACCTCAAATCTTGGATGAACTTTACCACTTTCGACATTACTGGGGATCTGATGTTCGGGGAGTCCTTTGACTGTCTCAATAATAGCCAGCTCCACCCTTGGATCGAGTTGATTTTCGGCTCCCTGAAACTGCTGGCGTTTTATACTGTTTTCAACCAGTTTCCATCAATCAAGAGAATCTTGGACCTCTTGATTCCTGCTGAATTCAAGCAGAAGAGTCAGGAACACTTTGATCTGACTGCACAGAAGGTTGATCGCCGGTTGGAAAAAAGGATGGGCCGTCCGGATTTTATATCGGCCATTCTTCAGAATGGGCTTGGTGATGAGACGGGTCAGCATTTTGAAAGCAAGAGGACAATGACAAGAGCCGAGATTCATTCCAATGGTTTTATGTAAGTGACACTCTAGATCTCAAAGTACCTTTTACTCGTTTATGCATATGAGTGGGAAAATAACATATTAATTCAAACAGTCTTATAATAGCAGGTAGCGAGACCTCTGCAACTCTTTTGTCTGGCTGTATGTTTTTCCTGTGTACACACGCAGAAGTCATGAGGGGGCTGGTTTCTGAAATCCGGACTGCCTTTGAGAAAGAAAGCGACATAAATTTCCGCAGCCAGAGCGGTTTGACTTATCTCGAAGCTGTAATCGAGGAGTCCCTGCGCATGTTTCCACCGTTCGTGACCAGCCTCGCCAGAGTTGCGCCGCAGAACGGAGCACTTGTCAACGGCCAATTCGTGGCAGCGGGAGTACGATTCTTGAACACTCTCAATACATGATACCAGCCACTGACATAGACCAGACAATAGTATCATGCCACCACTATGCCTCGTACCACTCGGAATCGAACTTCGCCTTCCCAGACCGCTTCATGCCAGAGCGCTGGCTGGGAACAAACCCGGTTTTTGAAAATGACCAAAAGGACGTCTTGCAGCCTTTTAGTCTCGGTCCTCGGGGATGCCTTGGCAAAGCGTGAGTCTTTAAATCAATTGATAGAAACTCGTACTTCACGAAACGGGATATGGATATACTGAACACCATATTCTACCATTTAGCCTTGCTTACTTCGAAATTCGGTTAATCCTATGCAAACTACTGTTCAACTTCGATATCACCCTCTCCCCAGAATCTATCAATTGGCTTGATCAGAAAGTTTACTTCATTTGGGAGAAACCTCCTCTGATGGTTAAGCTGACAGATCGATTTCCCGATGCTGAGCTTCCACTCCAGGAGCCTTTGACCATGTCCTCCAAGTGAGAGGTTGATTTGAGTCAACTCCAGAGAGCATACTCTGCTATCGACTTGCACGGTGCAGGCCGGCGTTAGATGTCTTATATTTTCCCCACGAGATCCATGATTTTGCTTTTTTGCGTTTGGTTTCGAGAAGATATTATTCGTTCTCATTTTAATGGGGTTTTTTGTCGCTCTTGTCCTGCTCTCTTCGCTATGACTAATGCTGACCATGAAGGTCTTCACGCTTGTTGTGTGCACTAGGCTCGTTCCGTTAGCGTTGCTCTTGCTCCTGTTGTCGAGTCTATTGTACTTCGACTGTCTAGGTTTCCTAACTCTGCCTCTGCCTCTGCCTCTGTTTCAGCCTAACTAGTACAGCCCCTCTGGACTCTCCTCGCCTGATCCCGACAGAGATCAAAGAAAGATGGATATTTCAATGAGCTGTTATCTCTTTCCTACTTTACTCTTGTTTATTTAATTTCTCGGATTCCAATCTTACTCGATATCTACTGTTTCGGAGGCTTAATGCTCAGGAAAACTTTGATAATACCTTAACGTCAATAAATTTGGCCGATCGCTACACCATTCCGTCTCGATCGATCCCAATATAGCAGGAGATAAGTATGAGCTATTAAATTAAGTTATGAGAGGGGATCTGCTGCACATATCAAACAAAGAAACGGATTTCTTTGTTTCATATGTGATATATCCACTGTTAACGTTATACTTTCGATCCTATGCCAAGACATGGTCAAGGCGTCTATACAGTACCGGCTAGCCCTAATCCGACAGGACGCCCTTGCAGCGACGCGCTCTGCGCCGCATGCTACGCGATCAATAGTGTTATCATTGACAGCTTTGACCGCAGAATGATCTACAGATCGACGCGGAGTTACAGTACATTTTTTGGCGGGATCAGCTAGCGTTGAGTTGAGTTATTGCAGATTGCTGCACAGCACACGTACAGTACTGTAAGCGCGACCTACTCAAGTGATGGACGGAGATTGGCACTGAAGGGGGTAGAAAATGGTATATTCAGATGATGAAGATACACGTATGAAAAAAAGACGCTAGATCGTAGTCTGTCGTGGAGAAAGGTATCAAACATTAAGGAATAGTAGATGGACACATATATGTGGGATACATGATTACATCCGAACGAAGCAACGGAAGAAACAGAAACCCCGGAATAATTAAAAGTCGAGCGCGAGGCTCGTATCGTACTTCACTTGGCCGGCGCGACTGCTGGCGTGGCATGCATCGGGTCAGATGTATGCTTTGCTTTAAATGAAAGCGCAGGCCAGGGCCAGGGCGGCACCGCCGACGGTCCAGAGGTTTCCGCCGAGCTGGCCGGCGGCGTTGAAGGCCGATGGGGAAGCGGAGGGCGAGCCAGTTGCGGAGATGACGGCGTCGGTGGTGGGGGCCGCAACCAGGGGAGTGGAAGTGGCGAGGGGGGTGGAGATGAGCGCCGAGGAGGACTTCTTGGGGGTCATGCTCGGGGTCATGGTTGGGGTCACGGTGGAGGTGGAGGTGGGGGTTTGGGTGGGAGTCACGATCTCGGTGGTGCTGGATGGGGTTGGGGTTGGGGTGGGAGTCGACGTGGGAGTCGGGGTGCTGGTAGAGCAGGGACCGGTGACGGTCACGGGCATCCAGTTGAGATCGGCTGAGCCGAGAGTGCCGGAGGGAGTGACAGTCCCGGCGGAAGCCTGGCAAGAGGCGTAAGTGGTGCCTTCAACATTGCAGGACAGAGTTCCAGTGCTGTTCGATATTAGTATCGGATGCGATGCGATGCGCGATGCGCGTGGTGTCGCGTGCACTTACGTTCCCTGCATGTTGATGTTGCGGAGCTGCATGGAAGTTGGGGCGGCAATCGCAGTCATGCCCTCGCCGGGGATACCACAAGCAGTGGCGGCCACAGTCTGGGGGCAGTTGATACGGTAGGTAGTCGCATCTCCCTCCTATATATTATTAGTCATTGGTTCATCAGTCGCGCATGATGCACGCTCTTGACGGGGGGTACATACGCTGCCGATGATACCGGCTTGGAGGTTCATGCCCTGGAAGCCGGGCAGGAGAAGGTCTGCGGTGTTACCAGCAGCAACGGTGGTAGCGCCGGTCAGTAGAGCGATAGAGTGGAAACGCATTTTGGCAATGGTGTTCAGGCGATATCTATGTATTGAAAATGGGTGTGATAGGCTGAAATTTCGCGGTAAAGTTGAGTATATGGTAGAGAACGACTGTTCAAAACGAGCGACTGGAGTTTAACGAGAGACTGAAGACGAATTGAAAGAGTGAAAGACGGACTAGGAAAGCCTGAAGATAGAAAGAAGAGAAGTGGGAAACCGGGGGGTGATATTGACTTGGCGGGTGGTGGCCCAATAACGCCAAGACTGCGACTGCACAGTCCAAGCGGGCTCCAACGTGCCAGGAACAGGCCCCAGGGGTTCGGAGTCAAGCGACCAAAAAGGGGGGGCGCTTGGCCCCAAATGCTCTCGAGGCGGTTGTTTACGGGGAAACTTCGACGTTTAGTTCTAGGTTAAGGACGGGGCTAAGCCTGTCTGGGACTAGGGCCCGAACAGACCCCTGGGTCGAGCGCCTAAAAGGGAAGGTTGTTTGATGCTCCTCATTAGGCCGGAGACTAGCGAGATGAGATCAACAATTGAAATTTCAGACGGTTGTCCACAGTGATCTGGAGCTCGGCATCTACGGTGGAGATCCAGTTGAACACGGAGTTCTCGGTTCAATATTTGCAAAGATCATTGATATCTACTTCGTATGACTGTTAATTTCCCTAATCAGCCACACGACCTCACTAGCGTGTTTAGTCCACGATTCAGATTAAACTGGGGCGTCGCAAACTCGCGACGCTATCTACCGCAAATTAATTTAGGTCATGAACCAGTTTGCTCAAATTAAATTGCAACCCACTTTTGCCGAACCTCGTGTAATGCACTGGAAAGTCGTTCAGCCGCGGTGCTGAAATTGTATTCTCAGCGGACGCCTTTACCCTTGAACACAATCTTTCTAGGCAAAATCATTGACTCCTTTTAAGCGCCCCAAAGTGATTAAGTCCTCCACAGATAAGACCCGTGGAAAGCAGCACGCCATTGAAGCCGGCCATAATATAGAATGGTGTGCCTGATGACAACACGTCAAATAAGAGTCCACCCACTTTGGTGAGCAGGAGGATTCCAGCCCCGCCATACAGCGAGTACACGCCAGCGATGGATCCTTTCAAGTGCGACAGACGCTCTAGTCGGTGGTTGACGGTTCCGCCCAGAAGAGGCTGACCCTCACCAGGCTCGGCGTCATGGCGCGCCGCGGCGCGTTGCTGATCACATATTTTTCTCAAGGTTTCGTCATCGTGACTGACGCGCAGGATACCGTTGCTGAGAACTGCCAAACTGCAAACGATGGCTCCAATCTGGCTGACCCCCATTAAGGCCATCACAACAAATACCCCTGAACTACCATCCGGTCCTTTGAACAGAGGGCTTGGAAGCTTGGCAAATACCAAGTACCCAATGATTCCCACAAAGGCGGCAAAGAGGAGTGGGAAGTTGTACCGACGCGATTTGTCCGTCAGATACCCGAATGCTGGGGCCGAAATCAAAGCAACCAATTGGGATACACCGGTTAGGATGGAGGCAACGATATACGCGCGCGGGCAGGATTTCTTGATATCACCCAATCCAGTTCCATGGACGGGTTGTCCATCGTCACAAAGGCCCGATGCCCGATAATAGTGATTGACAGCCAGTGGGATAAAGAGCGAGATTCCCACAGAAGAGGCTCGGGCTACAAAGCCTCCGATATAGCCTAGGCCAATTTCACGATTTTGAAAGCCCAGAAAGAGGGCGGTTGTTAGTTGCTTCCAGTATGGCAGCCTTGGAATATCGGAGTCCTCGTCATCTTCATCACAACCTGAATCTGATTTCCAGAGTGCACTCCAGCCTTTGCCCTCGTCGCCTGGGAGATCGCGCAGTCCGAGAAAGCACGCAAGACTAATAACCAAGGAAATAACAGCAACCAGGTAATAGCTGCGTTGGATCGCCTGAGCAGGTGTCAACCCTCCCTTCTCAAATCGTGCTGGGAGCGGAAGAAAAACGGCCAGTGCCACCAGAGCGCCACAGCCAGCACACATCCCAACAAAGCCTGAAAGTCGAGCGGACGGTGATGCACCGGAACTACCGGTATCCCTCGGATTGTAACCATTCCGGGCACGCTCCGGTGTGATGGTCAGCTCCGAGGACACAGATACACGGTATGCCTGAGCGCTGAGAGGTTTACCAGTGACAGTTGGCAAGACCGCTGTGACCATAGTCGAGACAGCGGAGCCACCAACGCTGAAAAGCAACCTCCCCAGTAGAAGCTGAGGGTAGATATTTGTGGCCTGCACAAAGAGAACTAGAGCAAGGGCTACGATGGCATAGCCCGCAGTACATACCTGCATTGAAGGTTAATATGGTCACGCCAGTCAACGACAGTAGATAACATACATGCCGAACTCCAATGCGGTCTGAGAGAACACCCCAAAGTGGGCAAGCTGCTAGAGCGAGGAGCTCATCTGCGAAGCCCAGAGTTCCCACAGCATCGCCCTCTCCATCGTGGAGTCCAATCAAATCCGTCACCACGAAGGAGATGGACGAATTGATGAACACTAAAAAGGCGATGGAGAAGGGGCACACCGCCAATAGATAGGTTAGCGTTTGGCTGCGCGAGGCAGTAAACAATGCCGGTGACGAAGCCATCACCGACGAAGATTCATTTCCAATAAGACAATAAGTATGGGTGTTATCAGAGGAACAATTACCCTGATGTCGAGTGAAGTGGATGTCTTCAGCTGCACGTCTGAGAAGGACGGGGGCAGGTTACACATTTGGTCATCTGGGGTGGGGTCACATGACGTTGATCAGATAAACATTGATGTCACGGGTTCTTCATAGATCTTGGTTTATTTCAGGCTGGTGAGATCTTCACAAGTGAGAATATGGTTACATATCAGTTGATTGGTCATTGGGGCAATATCTCAACAAATAGACGTATACTATCGGTTATTTGTTTAGTCCGACATTCGACCGAACTTGAAGCTACAATGAGGTCATAGCAATCGAGTCCTCTCGACGAAACAAGTCTATTCAAATCAGCCAAAGTGACATGTTTTATCTTTCAAGGCGCTTGGCTGGACCCAATTCATTTCAAACAATCCTTACTATCCTGCGAAGTCTCAAGTTTCCCTCGGGGCCATATAGATTGACGGCACGTGCAGCTGACGTAAGATGCGGAGAGGCGCTCTGGAAAGCTGTCCAGATCAAGCTACACTTCACAAGTATACGCCATTCCCTTCTTCTTCTTTCCGCCAAATGCTTTCTTGAGACGCTAGTTCCTCACTTCTCCCTGGTCCATGACCTTCGGCACCATATCAGTCGACAGCTATGAGACTGGCCGCGTATGCTGGGGTAAGTAATACCGCTGCTCAATCGAGAGGGGAGACCGTTAACCCCGTTTGCAGGCCTCGGTGGTCCTGGCCACCGGTGTATTTCTCAAAGCTCTTCATCAGAGGGCCAATTTCTATTCAGCATGCATCTACCTTTCGCAAAGTAGCGCGAATCTTATGGTGAGTTGGCCACTTTGGTTGTCGCACGGGCGTCGTCCGCTAACTGACTTGTTTCTAGATTCTCACGAATTTATGCCTTCTTATCACGGGCTTTGTACTTTTCTGGCTTCAGCGACTCCTGTACGGCCCCCTGCGAGCGATCGAAACCGAACAACTCTACGAACGGGCGTGGTTCGCTGTTACGGAGACATGTCTGGCTATGACCATCTTCCGGGGTGAACTTGGAGGCTGGTTCTTGGTCATGTTCATTTCGCTACTGGTTGGGAAGGTTTGGGGCTGGATCGGTGAAGGTCGTGTCGAATATCTGGAACAACAACCTCCGGCTAATCCGCGCTTGTTCCATATTCGCCTGGCCCTATCGCTGGTGCTGACCGTGACATTTGACTCTTTAATGTTGCGATATTGCGTACATACCGTCATCTCTCAGGCGCGACCAGACATGATGGTCATGTTCGGATTTGAGTTCGCAATTTTGACTATCCTCTCGACTTCGACCCTCCTCCGATATGCCATCGCATTGACTGAAATATCTATAACTCGCCAGCAAGTCAAAGCCAAGATATCTGAACGTCGGTCTGAGATTCGAGCAGCCCGTGTACAAGCTATCCAAGAACACGCACGTGCAGGGGCTGCCTCCCTCCTACGGACTTGCCCGATGAGAACGATGTGGATGAGATGGACATTGACGTGCCCGGATGGGAAGAAAAGGGCCGCTGGGTGTTTTACCTGGATCTTTTGACCGACTTATTGAAACTCGTGATCTATCTGTCCTTCTTCGGGATTCTCCTCACTTTCTACGGCCTGCCTATTCATATCCTGCGGGATGTTGTGGTCACCATCCGCTCATTCGCTCGCCGCATCATGGACTTCATGCGCTACCGAAATGCGACGAGAGATATGAATGAGCGATATCCAGATGCACCGGCAGAAGAGGTTTCCCGGGAGGATGTGTGTATCATCTGTCGCGAGGAAATGCACCCAGTTCAGCCAGCAGCAGGTGCCGGCGTGGAGCCTGGGCAACCAGCACCTGCACCGCGTCGTGTTCCCGACCGTCTTCGTCCCAAGAAGCTCCCGTGTGGGCACATCTTGCACTTTGCGTGCCTCAGGAGCTGGCTTGAGAGGCAACAAAACTGCCCGACTTGCCGGCGTCCTGTTCTCGTGCCCACTCGAACCCAAGGAGCTGCTGCAAATAATGCTGCAGCTCCACGAAATGATCAACCTGGTCCACCAGGTGTCAATGGACAGCCTCGTGCGCGAGTCTATCAATTTGGGCCCTTCCGAATTGGCTTTGGGGCTGTGCGCGGAGACATCTTCCACAACCTTCACCAACAGATTCACCAAGGCAATCCAGCCGGGCAACCCGCTGCACACCCCGTCCCTAATGCTCCGGGCCGACAGATTGGGCTTGGATTTGGCTTCGGCCGCCGTCCCCAACCCCCCACCCCCGCGCCTGCCCCACAGGCCCCAGGGGTACACGCAACCTCCGCTGTTGATCTCAATGTTCAGCTACTGCAGATTGAGCAGCGGATTACCGCTGAAATCAACTCTCTCCGTGTTGCCACAGAGCAGTTGAACCGCGTGCGTCAGCTCCAGGTGGAATTAGAGCAATTGCGCATGAACGGAACTCCTCTTGCTCAGCCGGGTCCTCTGAATCATGTTCAGTTTCCTCCTGGCTACTCCAGCCACCGCTTTGATACAAGCCCCGAAAATTCTTTACGTTCTGGAGACCCTCGTCTGCCAGAAGGATTTACACTTCCTCCTGGCTGGACTCTGTTGCCCCTGCAATCTATGCAGCCTAGCGTCGGTGTACCACAGGCAGTACAAGTTCAGCCTCTGAGTACCACGGAAACTGCCTCGCCTACAGCCCCGTCTAGTGCTACGGTTCCCCAGGAGGCTAGCTCCCATACTTTCACTCAATCTCCGCTTGATGGAGGAGTGGAAGTATCGGGCGCCGCTACGGAAGCACTCTCGACTGCCAACGGAAATGCCAGCCTGCAGCCCACACCCACTGTTTCTTCTACTGAGCCCCGGGCGGACTCTCCCTCTCAAGAATGGACAGATGTTGCGCCCACAGAGTCCACCGAATCTCCCAAAGTTGGCTCAGCCTCCATCCCGACTACCTGGGGTAGCAATGGTGCAACTGCCACTGCGCGCGATGCTCCTGACTCCGATCATTCGGAGTCTAAGGGCAAAGCTCGCGCAGTATCGGTCGAAGAGACCGATGAAGACGCATCTTGATCTTGCACATCTTGTATTTTTCTTTCCGGCCTGCTCAGCCCTTTCTGATTTCCCCCCAATCCCCAGCGTTGCATGGCGTTTCTCGCGAGCAAAAGATCATACCCAGATTCCTTTTCACGATTTTTATACGGTTGAATTCTATGGATGTCTACAAATGTGTACATGTAATTCAATGGAAAAGTAGCAATTGCACATGAAGGGTCTCTCTAGTGCCTGTCTCGGGGGTCCGGTGCCGCGTGGCTGTGCACGGATAGGGGCCGTCTATGCATCATGACTTGACTGGGCATAACTATGGCGCATAGGCAAGTGACGCTATGTAGAACGATAGAAACATAGATAAAGGAGCTTGGAGGTCTTGAGTGCTTGAAATACCATTCAATTGGCCTAGACGCAATGTTCTCGTGCTTAGCTGCTTAGGATCGTACCCTAAAACCGCCCCCCGAAGGCTTGTTTCGTCATTGCGCTGCGCAGGCACTAACTCCACATCCCGTGTTTCAGGACCCAATGATCAAGATAGAGTGATGTGTCTCTTACGGTCATGGAGTTCTTCTCCTGAGACCCTTTCCCGCCCTTGAAACCCCCTTCCGAATACTCCGGAGGGCCATGAGGAAATGGTGATATTTGTGCTATGTAAGGACCCCTGGCTAAGCCTCGCAACTATCCTCCGGCGTACAGACCCCCCTGCCCATACCCATGCCCATACACTTACACACATATAACGTTACATACATTGGCTAGAGACATGCGACACAAGGCTAACCCTACTCGCAGAACATTAATATAATAGACTACCCTGTCCATGCTTCTCCCACGGCGAGCGGTCCTCTTCCTCAGCGCCTGCTTCTTCCTCATCCTCCTCTTCACAGCCCGAAGCCTCTCCAGACCATGGCGTGACGTTCCCCAAGTCATAGGCCTAGGCGACCTATCCTTATCCCACAATGCCTCAACCTCAGACCGATGGAACATAACCCGCGCGCACAACTCAAACGACCTCTACGCGCCCCCGCCAAACTTCATCCCAGGCACGCCCAGGCCCCCGGGCTACAAATACACCAAGACAATGGTCGTAGCTCGCACAAAACAAGAAGACACAAGTTGGATAGCAGAAGAACTGCCGGACTGGGGACGTGCCGTCTACGTCGCAGACGATCCCTCTGCGCCCCTCCACCCACCTAAAAACAAGGGCCACGAAGTCATGATCTACCTCACCTACATCGTCGACCACTACGACCGCCTTCCCGACGTAGCCGTCTTCATGCACTCGCACCAAGTCGCCTGGCACAACGACAATCTCTTCGGCGGTGACGCAGCCGAGCTTCTGCGCCGTTTGAATCTGAACCGTGTCGTCCGCGAGGGTTACATGAATACCCGCTGCGGATTCGGGCCTGGGTGTCCGGCCTGGATGCACCCCGGTGCCATTGAAGCGGATGAATCGAAGCAGGAGGAGACCATGCTGGCGCGTGCTTGGGGTGAGCTCTTCCCCGACCAGGCCATCCCGAATGTGCTGGCTCAGCCGTGCTGCGCGCAGTTTGCGCTGTCTCGAGATCGCATTCGGTCGATTCCGCATGCGCGCTATGTGTTCTATCGGGATTGGTTGCTGGGAACGGAGTTGAGTGATTATATCACTGGGCGGATCTGGGAGTATTTGTGGCAGTATGTTTTCACGGGTGAGGCTGTTGTTTGTGTGGATGAGACTGTTTGTCTGTGTGATGGGTATGGGTTTTGCTTCGGGGGTAATGAGGAGTTTAGAGAGTATCAGGCTCTGGAGGCTAAGGTTTCTAACTTGCAAGGTGATATGGCTAGTTGGATGTGGTTCTCCGATAACCTTGATTTTGCGGACGACGAGAACAATGGGGGTGGGGATGATGGTCAAACTTTGGAGCAGCAGATTGAGGGTGCGGAGAAGCAGATTGCTCAAACACTTGAGGCTGCCATTGAGCGTGGCAAGAATCCGAAGTACCGTGCCCTGGAGGCTGGTCGTCCCTGGAAGGAGGGTGACGGGTTCTAAGCTGGTTGGCTTGCCTGGCTTCCCACTGATGGTTGTGCATGATTCATACAACATTTTCTTGTCATACTCGTTTACACACGAGTGATGTGCTTGAGATTACATTTGGGGATTGGATATATCGGCATATCTGGACATGGGCAGAAAGCTCATATATCTGCCAGTATATTTCCATTGGATTTATCACGAGGGAGTCATTTTGTTACACCTGATTAGACATGTATATTATTTTCTGCTTCAATTGAGCTTATGATATCTAGAATGAAACAATAGATGCACAATACTTTGTTTGGTATCTGACTTATTGATCAGTGGTCTATACTCTGTAGTTACTCTGTAGGGTTCGAGATATTTGAATCAGAACTCCTATGGTTGGGCAATTTCCCTTTTGGTCATTGGAACGGTATAAAACTTTCCTCGTGTATACTATCGCCTTATTCCATACTTAAACCCTACTTCATTCTGTATAGTTGCGGCGAGGTTGCATTCCTCCGGTACTGAGTCACGTGACAGCAGGGTTTGCACTGTCTGTCCTTCCTTCAAACCACGCAAACATCTCCAAACCCGCGCCTCTTATCGCCAACCCACGAAGCTTTTCGGCTTTGTGATTTCTCAGAGCTCTATTCTTCTTTCTCAGACACGTGCTTTTTGCCCTCTGGGGTGAAGCCAACTCTGGCATTCGAAACGGTGCTCTCCCAAGCCGCATTGCCAAATTCGAAGCTATTCGCGCGCCGATATCAACAAGAGCTTGATAAGAGCTTCATAGCGACTTGTTTGACGATCAAGCAGATCATCGAGACGCGCGTGAATCTATTTTGTCGCCAACAAACATAGTCGCGTCGCATTTTCACCCATAGCCCACCTTCGAAAGCATATTTTCGTCATATCAGCTTATCGAATTGGGGCGCAAAGGCACTCTAGCCCTATCCGATACTATGAGCTCCTCCAATAATCAACCTCCTACCACATCTTCTTCCGATGTCCCCGCCCAATCGGGTGCGGCTTCTCATCTCGATCCGAATGCGCAATTGGGCAACAACGGCTATGCGCCAAATGACAACCAGCTCGCCGGATTGGTAGAGGCGGCTACCGCAGCCGCAGACCAAGATGTCTCGCAATGGGCTGCCGCCGCTGCAGTTGCGGCAGCTGCCGGTGCTGCTGGTCATCACCACCAGCTGGACGGCTATGGTGCCGACATGCACCTCGACGACGACGGGTTCGGAGATGCCAAGTTTTCAGAGACGACTTTTGGCACCGGCATGAACAATGGTAGACATTTGCGCGTTCCCAGTCACAGTGATCACTCCCAATCTCCGGGTCTTTCTCGCACGGTTTCGAAAAAGCGAAAGAGGAACGATGATAATCTTGATCCGGCATTGGCTGGGGCTGGTCTTTCCGGGCAACAGCAAGCTCACTCTGCTCAGCAGCCTCATGGCTATGCTGGTGCTGGAGACAGTATGGATCTTCGTCCTGCTCAACCTCAGTCTTTGTCTGATGCTCGCGCTGTTGGTGTCCATTCTGCTGCGGCATTGTTTCGTCAGCCTTCCAGCAATAAGAAGTACACTCGACCTCCAATCTCAAAGATGTTCTCGTCACTTGAGATCTCACCTGAGAACTTTTTGCATTTGCAAGCAGCTGCAAAGAATTACATGCTCAATGATGAACACCCCGAGAGACGGGACTGTGTGGGCCAGCGTGGAAAGGGAGATAGTGAAATGGTCAAACTTCGTCTTTGGAACTGCGTTCGTCAATTCCTTGAACAAGAAGGCAACGGGGAGCGCTTCTTCGGAGAAAATGTAGTCAACGAGGGCATGGGTCCGAGAGCATACATTTGGCCGCGTGACCACCACAAAATCATTTCACTGGTCATTCCTTTGCTGCGACGCATGGTCACTAACGAAAGACAACGTCAATACGCCATTGAAACCCGGAAGGGTGGTGGTACGGATGAACGTCGTCGTCGCAAGACTGAAGATTTCTCCAGTTTGAACAGCCCACGCTTCTCTCCCGAGCAACACCTCCAAATGCAAAACCAACAACATCGTCCTGATGACATATCGCACTCAATGCCTCCGCCACCTCCTGTGCAGCAATCAACAATAGACACTAGCCAGCCCATGGATCTTGGTCTAACAGACCTCCTCTTGGACGGTTACACCGTTGATTGGGAGGAAATCGGCCGATCCTATGATAATTACAACCAAGGATACGAACTTGACAACCTCTGGTCTCTCTCCGGGCTCCAGCAACCTAACTGGCGTGGGATTGTTGCTGCAGTTGACAGCCACTACCATGTCATCCACGGCGGAGACTTCAACTGTATCCCCTCTTGTGAAGACCAAAACATCGACCGCATCATTCATGCAGACTCATGCTCAAACCTGAACTGGCGCATCGGCGGAACCCGCAACACCCCAGCCCGGGATGAATTGTAAGCAAACAACCCATTCTAGAATCAAAGAGCACAAACTAACAACCCAAACAGTGCAAGCAGCATAACCCGCGATGTCTCACGCATCATCCGTGAAAACATTGCAAGCAGACACGGCCACTCAGCTCAACCCCAAGACACACATGACCAATTCCACCCTCAGCAACAGCCCTTCACACCTCTCGAGCAAACACAACCCCCCACAGCCACAAACCCGCCTTCAAATGCCCAAACATCCCTCCTCGTCAGCATCCTCCAAGGCGGAAAACGCATCCTCCCTAGGTTTGATCTCCCCGCCAGCCAATGCCCCAACATCGACACCGTCAAGCAAGCAATCCTCCGTCGATACCCCGGCCAGATCCCCGGCCTGCCATTCCAGGATTCAGAGGGTCTTACCATGAATGCCGCCGCACAGGAAGCGCGCGAGTCCGCCGTTATCGCTGAATGGAGAGTCAAGGTCTGGTTACCGGATGGGATGCTTCTTGTTCAGAGTCAGAAAGATTGGACTATTGCTTTGCTTTCGGCTGATACTGTCGACTGGATGGATGGTGATTTGAAGGTCCTTATTGAGGTCGATGGAGGGCAACAGTAGTTGCTTTCTTTCTACTTCCCTTTTTTGTTGGTTTAGTCAGTTGTGCTCGATCTCTGATCTCTTCGCTTCTCTGGTTCCTGTTTTGTAAGATATCCCTGTCGTTTTGCATTTCTGTATTTTTGGTTCTCTTTGAACTATTAATTACATCTGATACCCTTCATCTCTATTCTAATTAGTAAGCTTTCGTTGTTTGCATGGTCTGCTATAGCGTCTTTCTGTGATCCATTGAAAGCTCAAGTTACGAGTGGTCTCATGTGTTGAGAATTAAGGCTGCTGGCCATGGCCTATGCCACGATTATTTATCATCTTAGAGTCGGATTAGGTCTAGCTTTAGGAAAGGTTTTCTACTATATAAGTTCAGAGATTCGCCATACATTCATTGGTGAACTCCCAGACTCAAACAACTAAATTTCTTGTGTAAGATTTTTCATTAGTATAGGACGATCTAGTCGTCATTCTTCCCTTCGGATATCGTAACTTTTAACACCATAGAATCAAAATATATGAAAGTTTATATATTCAGGCAAAAATATGAAGACAAGTTCCATATCTCATAATACAGGGTGTAAATATAATGAGCAGGTCCCAGGATAAACTGCACGGCTCGAATGTGTCTTACGGAAAACACTAAGCATCCAAATAAGCAACCGCTCTATGCGCCAAAAAATGTCCAAAGAAAGGAAGAAAAAGAAAGAACTTGAAGGTGATTAGGAAACGGTAGCTTATTTGTTGTGTATGAATAGCGTCCGGAGGGAATCCCAATGGTCAGAGTCGGCGTAGCTGTAACCCAAGTCAGTATCAGATACAAGGCTTCTCGTTCCTAGAAATGCTAGATCCGGGTTACGTGGGAAGACATACATGTATACCATGCTACTCCGCAAGCTGGAAGCCAATGTCTCCGGGTACCAGCGGAAAATGTACATGACAAAGGCCCAGGTCATACTGGCGAAAACAGGCCAGGCATTATCCGTAATCTTAGTACGTGCCTCTGGTGTGATGAGGGAGGAGAGAGGATGCATATTAGGTTGGATGGCGAGTTTGGCGAGAGAAAGCATCACACGAGCGAAAACATAGATGACAATCTAGTGAGTGTCAGCTACCAATCAGGTATAAGGGATAAAGCGGACTATTATCTCAGGTCCGCCATATCATAGAATAGGCACACATACCTGCTGGCTAATACTGCCCGGCTGTCGTCCAAATACTGCATACCCGCCCAGCAGGCCTGCAAAGAAACTATCATACCGGCCCTCCTTCCCAGCACCACCAGGGTTGATATTCCGGAGAAGGACCATAGAAGCCTTGTAAATGATAGCAAATGTGGCGAGGTTGCGCGCATGCTGGCGAGTAGCTTTGAGAACAAGCTTGGTTTTTTCCCGTATGCTGTTTGGCGAAAAGGTCAGCTCTGCGAAAACCATGAGGTGTGAATAGGGGAGCAACGTACGTTCCAGACCTGAACAGGAATATCATCCTAAATGAAGTCCACAATAGTTAGCTTCCCGTTATATCGTGTTTTTTTGCCTGTCCGACGACCAACATACACCAGCGCATGCGGAAACCGCACTTTCGATCCGTAGACAATTCCATTGCGAGCACCCTTGACAAGGGACAGTAGCGGCGCGAGTTCGGGTTTGAGGATAAGCGCCTCCAGTTGGGACTGTGTGATATCGTGAGTATCTTTGTTTATCGTATGGTTTGCGATACTTACCAGCAGTGTATCCATGCCGCCGCTGGACCTCGGTAGGAGGTCAGATTCTGTTCGGGGGTCGACGGGGGTGGTACGGCGGGACAATAGACTTGAGGATGATGGTGAACAGAGAAGAATAGAGTAAGAATAGAAGATGAAGGAGTTGGAGAGGGGAACGGCACTTTACTCGGTTCCGCATTGAGAAGGGCCTCGGCATGTGAGAGCTGAGCCGACGTCATGGTCACGTGTATGTATACAGATCGACTGCGGATATAAAACTGATACAAAACTACGAGATCTCTATATTGGAGTATAGTCTAAGTCTAGCTGGTGCACTGGATATGGTGGAGGAAATATCTTTATCATGGTAGAGTTAAAAAAAACTTTTCATATGCCGATAAGACTGCTCATACAGGCGCAGAAAGTATACAATCCCGTCCGGCCCAAACGCCTTAGCAAAAGAAATAATGCAAATCTTAGTTTTTCCGTGCCCGCTTGTGGCTCTCTTCTTCCTCTTCAGAGTCCTCATCCACACTCATGATATCTTCCTCCTGTTCCGGCTCCTCGTCGTCTGACTCCATACCGGCCCGGCGCTTCAGACCCTTCATCTTACGGGTCTGCATGCCGGACAGATCCTGCTTGCCGAGGTGAACACGACCAATCTTGTCACCCATAGTGTCGGTGATGACGTTCTTCTTGGTGCGGGCCTCCTCGTTAGGACGCTTGCCCTGCTTCATAGACTCCTTCTGGACCTCGGGGGCGGCCTGGCGTGTGCGGCCGACCTTGAAGTCGAACTTGGGGCCAACCTCCTGCAACTCAACGCGAGGGAGCTTGTGACCGCTGCGCTTGGTTATGACTCTGTACCAGCGCAGGTGGATGACAGGGGAGAGACCTTCCTGGGGCTCGTCGGCGGCAACCATCAAGACATACTGGAGACCCTCGACGTCGATCTGACGGGTCTCCTCGCCCTTGAACATGTCGAGAAGAGTGCTCTTGAGGATGGTGTGAGCGGTGGAGGTAGGGTCGTCCCAGGGGCTACCGGCGAACAGCATCATAGGGCGGAGTCCAAGTCCAACATCCATCTTAAGCTCGTTGATAGGAGGAATAACCTCGCCATCTCTGGCGGGGAGCAAGTTCAACTCGCACAGGTCGAGAAGTTGTGAGTTGAAGACACGGGCCAATGTAACACAGTTGGGGCGCTTCTTGTTGTGGCTTCCAAAGGCGACCACACCGCACTCGTTCTTGTTCGCCAGGAATTCGAGACTCTCCGAGTTCTCGTATGGGTGCAAGTTCTCATTCTTCTTGTGGAAGAGAACCGAGTAAGGCTTCGTCAAGTGGTGGAAAGTCTTAAGAACGGTGTCCAGGGCCTGGGGACATTTTGCGCCGTGGAAGATCAGGGTCTTCTTGGGGGGTTCGATGAGCTGGGGCTCCCGTGCTTTCAGGATGCGCGCAGTGCGCGGGTTCTTGGCCTTTCTGCAAATGATGGTATTAGTCGAGAACTGCGGTCATGACGGTCACATTCAACTTACACTTCTCTCAACATTGTGGTGTGGTTAATTTGCTGAAAGGCTCGTAGCAAAAATATCAAAAGAGCGGAAAAGTTTTGGATCGATGGCTTGGCGCTGTTATCGATAAAGAGCTGTCACGTGGGAGCTAATATTTCGGGAATAATAACTTAAAGTGGACCGTCTTGCATCAACAAGTTTCGTGGTCTAGCGGTTATGATTTTCCGTTAACAATTGCTTCAAGCATCTGTTCCGGAAAGGTTCTGGGTTCGATTCCCAGCGAAACTAATTTTTTTGGTTTCCCAATTTTATTGTCAACTATTGGCAATTAATTAGTTACGGTCCTATTTTTTTTTTTTTTTTTTTGGCAGATCTATATCGATTGAACAATATATTCTGCTTAACAGGTTTACTGTTCGCACACTGTTATCTCTTTTTGAATTTATATAGGTTCGTTGTTGAGAAGCACTGTCACGGATATATATAATCTAGTTGCTTCTTCAAGTTAGGTTGACACTAAATATATGTGCACGTTGGAGTACAAAGCTACCAATCGAGGTAATAAATTAACAGAAGGGAATCAATTCATATATTTTGTTTAATCCTAACCATATAGAGGTATTCTACTCCAAACGCAGCTTCGCAAACTCTTTAATCTGCTCCTCAAGACGAGCAGCATCACTCTCAGCATCACGAAGACGCTTCTCCTCAGCCTCGCGGACCTCGGCCTTGACCTTGTCCTTCCAACCAGGGCCGTTGATGATACCCTGGGACTTGCGAACAGTGGAGAGAGCCTTGTCGAGAGCAGCCTTGGCCTTCTCTTCCTGCTCAAGAGCGACCTCCTTGGAGACGCGGAGGTAGACGGCGGCCTCAGCACCGACGGGGGCAACAACACAGCCGGAAGGAGGGTTCTTGTTGTCGGGACCGAGGTGGGTCAGCTCGCCGAGGGTCTTACCACCGAGAGACTTGATGGTGGTCATCTGCTCGGAAATGGTCTTCTCGCTTGTGGCATCGTAGGTCTGGATGATGATGTCACCCTGGGTTTTGACGTCGTACTGGGCCAAGATGGAGCGGATGGCCTTGGAGGAGTTCAGGATGAGCTCGTAGGCGTTGGCGGCAGCGGGGTCGTCGAACTCGGCGATGTACTCGGGGTACTTGGCCTTCATGATCGAGATGGTCTCGTCGCCGGCGCGGCGAGGAAGACGCTGCCATAGGTGCTCGGTCACGAAGGGCATGATGGGGTGGATCATGGTGAGGGCACCGTCAAGGGCTGTGTACAGGGTCTGCTTGGCAGATTCCTGAGTCTCGGGGGAGGCGTCCTCGGCCAAGAGGTACTTGGAGTTCTCGAGGAAGACATCGCACAGTTGGGCGTACCAGTACTGGTAGGAGATCTGGGCGGTCTGGGAGAACTCACGCTGCTCAAGGGCCTCGTTGATTTCCTTGGCGGCAGTGTTGAGCTTGTGCAGAATCCAGCGCTCGGAGAGAGACTCGCGGCCAGTCTTCTTAACAGCAGCCTGGGGCTTGAAGTCATCACCGAGCTTGCCAAGAACAAACTTGGTAGCCTGGTAGATCTTGTTACAGAACTTACGGTAGGCGTGGATGACCTGGATATCGAAAGCAATATCACCACCTGCGAGATGTTAGTAATGTGCATTAATTACAGATATCAAATGTAAAACATACCTCCAGTAGTGTAAGACACAAGGGCGAAGCGGAGAGCATCAGCACCACACTCGGGAATGCCCTTGGGGAAAGCCTTCTTCTGGTACTTGGTAGCAGTAGCAATCTCCTTATCGGCGATGTTACCCAGCTGCAGCTTGTCGTGGAGAGTCTGCAACTCAATACCCTCCATGACATCCAGAGGATCAATAACGTTACCCAGAGACTTGGACATCTTACGGCCCTCAGAATCTCTGATGAGGGAGTGACAGTAGACCTCCTTGAAGGGAATCTTGCCAGTCATCTTAATGCCCAGCATAATCATACGGGCGACCCAGAAGAAGAGAATATCCCAACCAGTCTCCAGAACGGAGGTAGGATACAGGTTCTCGAAGTCGTGAGTCTGACGGGGCCAGCCCAGAGTAGAGAAGGGCCAGAGGCCAGAAGAGAACCAGGTGTCGAGAACATCGGGATCCCGGACCAGAGAGAACTTCTTGCCGGGGAACTTCTCCTCAGCCTTCTTTTGAGCATCTGCCTCAGTGCGGCCGGTAACCCAGAGGTTGCCGTCGCTGTCATCACCATCCTCGCCCTCAATCTTGACGAAGTAAGCAGGGGCCTGGTGACCCCACCAGAGCTGACGAGACAGACACCAATCGTTCAAGTTGTTCATCCAGCGGAAGTAGCTCTTCTCGGCAGACTCGGGACGAATGATGATATCACCGTTCTCAACGGCCTCGATGGCGGGCTTCGCCAGACTCTCCATCTTCATCCACCACTGGGGCTTGAGGATAGGCTCAATGACATCGTTGGACTTGGCGCAGCGGGGGACCTTCATGGGGTTGTGCTCCCACTTCACGTAGAGACCCTGCTCCTTGAGGAGCTCAATGACCTTGTAGCGGGCATCGAAGCGCTTCATGCCGGCGAAGGGACCACCGTGCTTGTTGAAGGTACCGTCATCATTCATGACGGAGATGAACTCCAGGTTGTGAGCCTTACCGCGGTTGAAATCGTTGAAATCGTGGGCAGGGGTGATCTTGACGGCACCAGTACCAAACTCGGGGTCAACCTCAGTGTCAGCAACAATGGGAAGCAAACGATCGATGAAAGGATGACGGGCATTCTTGCCAATGAGGTGCTGGTAGCGCTTGTCATCGGGGTGAACAGCGATACCAGTATCACCAACCATGGTCTCGGGACGAGTGGTAGCAATCTCAATGCGCTCCTTGGTGCCATCAATCTCGTAGCAGAAGTGAGTCAAGACACCGAACTCGACCTTCTTGTCGTAGCCGGGCACATCGAGAAGTGTACGACCCTCGATCTCCTTGTTCTCGACCTCGAGGTTAGACAGAGAGGTGTTCAAGTGCACACACCAGTTGACGAGGCGGTTGGCACGGTAGATGATACCCTCCTCGTGGAGACGAACGAAAGTTTCGGTCACAGCAGCGGAGAGGTTGGGGTCCATGGTGAAGGCCTCACGGCTCCAGTCGAAAGAACCACCAACACGACGCAAAGCGTTCTTGATGTTCTTGTGGTACACGTCCTTCCAGTCCCAAATGAGACCAACCATAGCCTCACGGCCAATGTCGTGACGGGTCTTCTTTTCCTTCTTCCACAGCATCTTCTCGACAACGCTCTGGGTGGAGATACCGGCGTGGTCCATTCCAGGAAGCCACAGGGTGGTCTTGCCCTTCATTCTTTGCCAACGGATCATAGTGTCTTGGAGGGCGTTGGTCAGGGCGTGGCCCATGTGAAGAGAACCGGTAACGTTAGGAGGAGGAATGGGAATGACGAATGAACCCTCGGGCTTGACCTTGCCATCAGGACCGAACTCAGGCTTGAAGAGATCACGCTCTTCCCACCATTCGAGACGGCCAGCTTCAATGACCTGAGGGTCGTATGCGTCTGCAGTCTTCTCCTTCTCGGGCTTGGCCTTCTTTTCGGCCTTGGGAGCTGCATCCTTGGTGGCAGCAGCCTTAGCAGCCTTGGCAGCTTGCTTCTCTTTGAACTTCTTGTCCTTCTCGGCCTTCTTGCGCTCCTTTTCCACTGTACCCCATTCCATGTATTAGCGAAGATCCTTGATACAACAGTCCATTTGGACCAAAGAGACTGTTTGTCGGTGTGATTGGAACATACACTCCTTCTCGGTCTTCACCTTGGGAGCGGCATCGCCACCCTGGTGCTGGCCCTGAGGGTCCTTTGCGGCGGCATCGGCGATGTTGGCGCGTGTCTGTTCGTCGACCTGAGGGGGTGCGCTGGTAAGGGGAGCCGTAGGCTCACCCGCTATTCGAGCAACATACATGAGCTTCTGCGCAAGTGTCATGAGTCATTGTTCATTGTACTCACTGGGGTTTTGGGAGGCAGAGTTCTGAGCCATCCTTGAGAATGCACGATAGTGAGGAGTAAATCTCCAAGGCGCCGATCGCGCCACGAACCGCCTGATAAGTATCTTGAGAGATGGAGAGATACAAGGTGGGATGGTTGTGCGAAATGCGGGCAATTAAATTTCCCACGGTGGGTGAACGAATGAGAGCGCGGGGCTTGGTGGGAGGTTCGGTGCCTCAGTGGAGTCGGACGAAACACGCTTATACAATGGACATGAGTCACTTAATTGAGCATCATTGGGTCTTTATATACCCCCTGTTCGATTGCGCATTGCTGGTCATCTATTCTTCTTTTCTCAGACGTTGCGATAAAGCCCTCACGTGACACGCTGGAGCCAACGGGTGATCTGAGGCACATCTATAACGTTAATGTTAACTATTGACTTGGAGTATTTCAAGCTTGGTTTGATCGCATGGTATTAATTTGCAGGATTAGATTGACATATTGTATGAGACCATACTTCGTTGTCGACCGCTGAGACCTACCATGCACTACACTCTAATTGCATACAAGTCAGTCATCACTATCATCTCGTCAAGTTCTATAGCAAGTTTTTTTTTTAAATTTTTTTGTCATCCACATGTTTCATTCATATGATAGAGCGTGAAAGGATGCAATGCGCTGTCTTGTAAAAGAAACCCCCTGAAAAACAATAACGAAGCCAAAGAGCACCTAGCAGAAAGGCCACAACACCAATTCAACTATGGGAGAAATCAATTGAAAAGGGAACCCACGAGCAGCGCTATACAGAAATAAAAGATGAAAGAGAAGAGTAGCCCATCTAAGACGCTGATTTATCACGCTCACTGACACGCCAAACGACCCAGGCGATAAGAGGGTCTTATAGACCCAGGAGATTAAATGTCATGATGTCTTGTCATCAAAGTCGTCTTCATTCAGGATTTGATCAATTGCCGCAGTCCCTTCTGTGTAAGGGCCTGATAAAGATTGGAAAAAGGGTGAAAAGGGTGGCTACGGAAACCAAACTCCTTTCAAGATGTCGGTCACCGTCATACCGCTCATCACAACAGGTTTCAAATGCAAAAGGTGATGAATGCCAAGATTCTTGGCGCAATCTTGATGGCAGGATGCGGAGAACTTGAAACTCGGGCATTGCAAAGGGGGATTGAAGCCATGGTCATCAACGGTCCATTCGGGAAACTCAGGACTGGGTAACGTTGTTGTGGCTGAGAGCCTGTGCATCGGCGCGGACAGGGTCAAAGTATGCGTGTCCCATAGCCTCCTGAGCAGTCAAGCGTTCCTATAAAGTTGATTAGTATAGAACAAGAGTAAAGCGTAAAAGGCAACATACAGCATGGTCGTATCGCAGAAGCTTGTCAAGGAAGTCAATGGCCTCGTCTGTGACGAAACGCTGGTTCTCAGCGTTGACAAATGAATGCCACGGTTTGCGAGGGAATCGAGAAAGGATGTCATCATATTGCGGGTCCAGCTCGATGTCGTACTTGTCCAAGTACTCAAAGAGCTCCTCAGTTCCGAGGACCTTGGCAATCTTGACCAATTGATCAGAGTTGCTGTTTCCATGGAAGAAAGGCTCCTTGCGGAAGATCATGGATGCGAACATAGCACCCAGAGACCACATATCCAGAGAATAGTCATATTCCTGGAAGTCAACCAGCAACTCGGGACCCTTGAAATACCGAGACGCGACACGGACGTTGTATTCCGTGCCCTTGTGGTAGAATTCAGCCAGACCCCAGTCAATCAGGCGAAGCTAGAAAATATTAGAACCGCTCTCTCCATTTCAATGAATTCAATCATCTCATCCACTCACCTTGCGCTTCTCATGATCAATCATGACATTGTGGGGCTTGACATCACGGTGCATAATGCCCTTGCTGTGGCAGAAATCGAGCGCCTTCAACAGCTCGTAAACATAGAAGCGGACGTCGTAGTCGGAGAAGCGGGGGTATAGAGTCCGGAAATCGGTGTTGTTGATAGCTTCAAAGACCAAGCTGGGGGTCTTGCTCTGGTTATCGCGAACAACATCCAGCAAAGCAACGACGTTGGGACCACCAGCAAGGTTTTGAAGAATCTTGATCTCACGCTTGATCTTCTTCTTCTTGACGGGCTTCAGAACCTTGATAACGCACTTCTGGTAGTTGACAACGTTGATGCCTTCGAATACCTCAGAGTACTTTCCCCGACCTGGTAGTGAAAAAAAAATCAGCAAAGCTTGATCGCTAAATCCAGCTATCGCACAGGACTTGCGACGCTGTCTCTCGATATGCCAAAGAATGGCGTGATCTGATTATATCTCACCTATCTTGCGAACGATCTCATAATTTTCCAGCACACCCCAGGAGATGTTAACACTGTCATAGTCCCAGTAGGACCGAGGCATATGCTCATTGACATCAGCATAGACGCGCGCCATGTTGACGATAGCAGGCGGTTTCCGAGTGCGCCCACAATTGAAAGATGTGCAGCGGGGTCACGAGGGGCACGGCCGTGTGACGAGAGACGGGGAGGTGAATCAACTTCAAAGGCAGAGAGCAGCAAGCCCAGCAACGATCAAGCCCAAACACAAAGCTCACAAGAGACCTGGAGCAATGGGATAGACGGAGTGAGATATTATGATGATCCGTAGAATGAGATCCCAGAGTCACGGGACCGAGGGTTTGTGGGGAGCCGGTCGAAAGCGGTTAGCCACGGATCAATAGTTAATCCGATAGATTTTCTGATTGCCCGTTTGGGACAGTTCGATGTGATCATAAGTTGAGCAAGACAAGAAGAGAAAGGCAGGGCTGGCCTCCTTTTAAACCCACCATGTTTTATGACCTGAATGTCCCTTTCAGCCCGGATGACCCAGAGGTGCCCCACACTCTCAACTTCCTCGCTGAACGTAAGTCATTCATTCCGGCCTCCGGCACAAGATCCGCCTTTGGAGCACATGAGAGACTGACCTGACATGCTAGTTGGTTACACCACCGTGGCCTTGTCTCAGACAATCAATGGGAAGCTTCCTGCGAGCCTCACTCCACCCGCTCTTCCAGCGAACCCACCGAAATCGCTTCAATTGCTGACCCGGCTTAACCTAACTTTGGCCGACCCCGCACAGAATCAACGGCTGGCTGCCTTGACTCAAGCCTACGATCTGGTTGCGCTCCGTCCCACAAATGAGAAATCTCTTCTAAATGCCTGTACGAATCTGGAATGCGACGTGATCTCGGTGGATCTCTCCGTGAGACTGCCATATCATTTCAAGTTTAAAATGCTATCTGCAGCGATCTCACGTGGAGTCCGAATCGAAATCTGCTATGGGCCAGGAATCACAGGGAGTGGTATTGATGCGCGGAGGAATCTCATCGGGAATGCAACTTCCTTGATCCGCGCAACACGCGGCCGAGGTATTATTGTGTCAAGCGAAGCCAGAAGGGCGTTGAGTCTGCGAGCCCCGTGGGATGTGATCAACCTTACCTGTGTCTGGGGGCTATCACAAGAGCGCGGAAAGGAAGCAATCTGCGAAGAGACGAGGAAGGTCATCGCGCTGGCCAAGTTGAAGCGTACCAGCTGGCGCGGTATTGTTGATGTTGTCCATGGCGGAGAGAAAGTTAAACCAGACAATGGGGTACCAAAGCAGAAAGGTGCCTCAAAGCCGAAAGAGCCAACAGAGCCAACAGAGCCCGAGAACGGGGCTGATAACCTCAAGAGAAAAGCGTCTATCAGCTCCGAACCTGTTGCCGAGGACCCCGACAAACCTCTCTCGAAGAGAGAAATCAAGCGACGAGCCAAGAAGGCGAAATTTGATGCCAAAGGAGGAAACACCACTTGAAAAACTTGGGCATGCTGCCCTCAGTCTGCTGGTCGTTCTGGAAATGGATCGGTGACTGTCGGCACCCGCGATGAAACCTAGCACCACAAGAAACTAATTTCTCTGCCACCCAAGAAGCCAAGAGAGCCGGTCTTCTCGGGTCACGTCGGCGTGGGTAATATGCTGTGAGCATGTTTGGCCTTGACTTGGGTGGTGGTTGCCCGAGGACTATGTGAACACTCACTGTGCCTCTAAATATTTGCTACAACACTTTGACGACAGGATGATGCAAAGATAGCTCCTAAAGATAGATTTAGGTCGTCTGGTAGCACTTTTTATCCGTTTAATGGCGTTCTCAAGCTAATGTATCTATTGATGTTTTATTATGCTCACAATTTTGATATCCAACCTCATCATCAAAATGACAAACTGACCAATTCACCATTTCTTATCTTTTACATGTTTACCATAGATCCACACACACTGTTCTAACTTTGTTAAGTTCAAAGTCATAGTGATGGCGGTGTAGACCCAATAGTTGCAGATATTGACTGTAGCCACCAGTAGAGTTATAATTTCAATCTTGTTGATCATCCCGAACCTTATCCATGGGCGCCTAAGACAGGTTCCCAGAAAATTGAGCTTGTCGGAGCTGAGTGAGGCGGCTATCGCTACTGACTATTTTCAATGCCATGAAGCTATCGAGGTTATGGCAGAAATATGGATTCGAGATCTCGAGAGCACCATACCAAAGTCGGATTCGAAAGATCTGAAACCATGGATTATGGTATCCTCAGTTTTCAACAACCCTGAAATCCTCCATAATACAACCAAAATTGCGATGCAGCACGGGAAGGGTCCTTTTGATACCGACAAGCTACCAATACCCAAGGCAATCAAAGGTACTTGGGATAATCGATCATCTGACAACCCCAAAGACATTTACTAAATTGTCGATTGTAGATAAAATTGATCAAGACAGACAGCAATACTTGAGAACACTGGAATTCTGGTTAAGTACGCGCATGTCAAAGCTGCTGAATGGATACCCTGTTTGCAGATTCAACGGTTGCGATGACAGATTCCTGGGTTACTTCACGAAGAAAATCACACAGGCAGGACTAGAATTGAGTATCACATCAGGTAATTTGAGCAGAAAGTTCGGTTCCGTGAGCATTTCTTTCGCTGGTCATAGCACTGTCTCCGCGGTGAAGACTGTAAGGGATTGGACGTCAGAATTGAGCTGTACCTACATCGGCTGTGACAACCTGAAGGAGGGCCTAGGAAGAGAAACCCATAGACATATTGATGAAATGGTTCTTCAGCGATCGAGAGATGCATGACCAAATTACCCTCGGGTTCAGCTTTCTGCGCAGGCCTCATCTGGAGTGTTTAAAGGGTCTTTTCCTGTGATCAATAACAGTCGACTTCAATAGGGGGATACTGTAATAGACCACTTCTTTCTATGTTTAATTGACAATCTCTTCCTCAAATTCACTATTATCTATGGACGATGGTTTAGACTTTAGCAATAGGTTTCATCAGCACCAAATATCGATCTTGCATCTACACCACCTCAACCACCACAGGGGAGCTCCAGGGATACAAAACAAATCATAGCCTCTCACCGGGATACTGGGCTCTACAAAACCAGACTATAGGTTACTTGCCACGAGACTGGGCGCATACGAAACCCATTATCAGCCCTACAAGGTCAAATGCCACACCAACCAATTTCCCTCGGCTCTCCGTATCATCCCTGTCATCCTTGCTCATATCTGACGTTCATACAATTCCAACAGCCCTCATCGTCTCCGTTTGGGCACTACTGCATCCAGGATGTAACGCCATGTTACATCTACTGTACTATATATGCACGATGTAACAATTCAAAATCGATTTTGAGAGCCCTCGTCTCCACAGAAGATCAACATGAAACAAAAGGCCAACCCCAAGATAAGAGAAAGAGGGGAAAAGCGCCTCAAAATGTACTCTGTACACAGTTATTCTCAGAATATTATCTTCCCTGTTCTTCAAGCCGCCACTCATCTCGTAGCGTCGGAACCGCGGGAAACGATGCCATATGCTCTTTCGCTAGCCACCATGCAAACATAAACAGCTGCATTACGTCTCCACTTTCCCAATAATCTTCCCGTCCAGGGCATTCACATGCAGGTTTCTTAATGAAATTGAAATAAAACAAAAAAAAAAAAGGCAAAAGAGGAATACTCAAGTCATAACTTCATATCGATCGTCCAGTTTCCTCTGTATGAGGATATTCCCCGCGGTTGTCTCCAAGGTATATCTCATGCACAAATTAAGTACTCCTCCAATAAGATGCCACAGACGGCATGGGGTGTCTCTCTCTAGATCTGATCTCGGGCTTACTCGGACTGAGCCGGCGGACTTGTGTCAGTTTACATCACTCGTGCATGGATTTGCTTAGACACGGAACAACTCACCGTATCGCCGGATATTTCCTTTCTCGTGTTGGTATCTGCCACAGAGCCGCATTTCTGAGGTGGCAATTGGCTCAATTGGAGGATTTGGATACGGAGAATGTAGCAGGATAGGTAAGGCTGGTTGTGTCGACCCAGGATCCGACCCCTGTCAGTTCGAAGTTCATGTCTCGTTGGACGGGGAGTTCTGTGCTATTATTCCAAAATGAGTCGATGTTAGTTGATAACTCCGACATGCGCTCAGTGGTATACTGGAGTATGGGTTGGCTTGAGGTGCTGCTTGAATATGAAAGACCTAGAACCAGGAGGATATTATATACCTTTGTGTGTGATTTGGACTTGTGACGGGGACGTCGGTTTTGTTTGCCGTACCAGTCTTGTCTTGAGAGTTGCTGGGTGCAGCTGTTTTATCCATTGCTGCAGTAAAGAGAGAGTGTTGAACTGCTTTGTTCTTTATCAGATATGGAAAAGGTCTCGAAGGACTCAAAATGGTCAAGTGGAAGGATAAGATGATACAAGTCCAGGACTCGACCCAACGGAGCCATGGTGACTTTATACCCCAGCTCCCCCTTCTATATCCTTAGAACACCACCAAGAATCAACCGCTGAGGAAGTGCTGTCAATCCAAGAACGGCATAAACCTCACGCAATAGTATATCGATTATCATGAATCCGGCATTATACCCGGAGGAAAGGAGACTACCCACCAATGACGATTGGCGCGGGATGCCCGCGTTAATCGCTGGATAGGGACTGCAAATCGAGGTGATTGGCCAGCTCTGGAGCATGTGCAGAGAATATCTGCCCAAGTATTGAATCTTGTAGTCTGTTGAGCCTCATTTGCAAGCAAACTTGGTCAGATTGAAACATGTATATGCGATCAACGGTGGTTGCCTCGCGACTAGTGCGCGAACCATCCTTAATGTCTCCATGGGTGTTGTTGGCTTTTTAGATTATTCGGCTTTGTGTCTCAGATCTCCTCGGATCTCCCTGTATCCACCAAATGCTCGAGAAGTATACAGAAATGTACAGTACTGGTCCTGTTAGTCGGAATAACGGCCAATCAGACACTGCCTCGAGCTACACCACTACCGTTATAACTTTAACCGGTTGAAAGGCAATGTGCAATTTCAAACCCCGCACAACCTAGAATAGTCGAGGACAGAGCTTGCGTCAAGCAGCCCTGTTCTGGAGTTATGTCTATCTTTAGGTATCGATGAACTGTGACGAACAGATGCACAGACGCAACGACCCGCTAAGCAAGTAATTTGCATAGCTATCATATCCAGTTGCATTGAATAGACTCTGGTATTGAGCAGGGGGGATATTCCACCATAATTATGATAGCGCCCATGCAACCGCGCTTGGACTCCGAGCCAGTCACAGACATACATGTGTTGATGTCGGCGACAAGAGCGGGCTGAGACTTACACCAATGGGGAGTGAGTATAGAGCTTGTGACTAAACTAGTATCAAAATGTAAACATTGGGGTTGTTACGTTCTCCATGCCCAGTGCCAGTTTGCGGTGCGAGAGCCTCCCAGCAAAGAAAAATGTTTGGAAGTGCGCCAACCCAGCATTTTTACCTTGAAAATAACCAATTTCCCGCAGAATGCCAGGGAATGTATCCAGTAAGCCTTGGAGGAAGGTGGTATCCATCAAAACGTGAACCAGCACATATCGCATTCCACCAGTTGACTATCCAGTTGACTACTACTAGTATTTCCTGATGGTTATCCCGCCAGTTAACTGATACATAGTGCTGCAAAGTCTCAATCACCAAACCACGTATCCATATCCACAGAGCACCCGAGTATACTTCGATCATAATCCACCAGAGAAGAGAATCTACACAGTGTTTCCCGACTGTTGCCCTAACTAACACATTGGACTCATTTTATACTCATCGGCTCCGGCCGCTTATCGCCTCGTCTTATCGGCCCAGCCATTAGCGGAAACCGCCGACATCTCCGCATTCTGTTATAAACCCTCCAACTCCCTTCCCTGTCAATTTTAGCCTGTAGACCTACCCAAGCAGAGGCAACATAAACCCGAGCGATTGTCCAACGCACGAACCCCAAACCCTGACAACTCAATCACCTCAAACCTCCCCATAATGGCGCCGATCCTCACCACCAACCCAAGTGTAACGCTCACTCCAGAGCCACTGACACCAATGAACTTTGCACCATTCGGCACAGCACTCGTCTCCCCCCTTACCACGCGCGCTGAGCGTCGCCCCTCAACCCTCCTCTCTGCCACCCTACAATCCAACCCCAGTGCTAGCGAACCAAAACTCCGCATTGAAGTACAGCCCCATCTCCCCGCTTCTCGACCGCTACACAAATGGCTGCCCAAGCGGCCAACCTGCCGAAGCGCGCATGACCATGTTCTGCTGCTTCCCGCGCAAACTGCGCACTGTCTATGCGGGTCGGCAGCAGGCTAAGCCGGACCAGGAAGTCTTCGATGTGCGTATTCTTGAACGTCATCCGTTTACGAACCAGACGTTTATTCCGGTGGATTTGTCAAGCCGGGAGAAGGTCGGCGGGGAGGAGGAGGAGGAGCCGTTGTTTTTGGTTGTTGTGGCGCCTACTTTGAAGGGGAAGACTGCTACGGCGAAGAATGAGGCGGGGGAGGTGGTTACCATTCGTGACCCGCCGGATTTGGAGAATGTGAAGGCTTTTGTGGCGCGGGGTGGTCAGGCTGTTACTTATGGTGTTGGGACGTGGCATGCGCCTATGGTTGTTCTGGGGAAGAGACGGGTTGATTTTGTTGTCGTGCAGTTTGTTAACGGGGTTGGTGAGGAGGATTGTCAGGAGGCTGCGTTTGGGGAGGGTGTGGTTGTTAATCTTGGAAAGAAGGGTCAGCTTGGTCGGGCTGAGAAAGGTCCGGCGAAGTTGTGGTCTAAGCTGTGATTCTGTCACATCTGCTTCAATTATATGTGGGTGGTGTTCGACTGACTGGGGAGTTGGTTGAGAAGAGAGAAGGCGACTACCTTCGTAAAAATTTGGTATCTTAAGCCGAAATATTGTACATAGATATTATACATAGCACTGTGAACTACATATCAACTTCATTGCTTCCCAACACCTTGCAACGTGGATCAATTGTCACTGGAGGTTTGCGTCGGAGGTGTTTCGTCTCTCATCTGTTGACGGATTCGCGTAGCCAGCTCGAGTGTTTCTTTAGGCAGACCAGCTAGTTGAGCAACTTTCAAAGCATGAGACTCCCGATTGACTCCCTTCCGCAGACGATGAACGAAAGAAAAGCCGCCAGTAGCTGTATCCTTGACATCTGTGCAGTATCTCGCCAATGCCTCGAAGTTCTGGGTCATATCCGCGAGGGCATGAAAATGGGTAGCAAAAAGTGTGCGGGCCTGGTTATGATTGTGTAGATGGTGCAAACAAGCAAAGCTGACAGCTGTGCCATCTTCGGGAGTTGTGCCTCGACCAACTTCATCCATGATCACAAAGGACTTGGAAGTAGCCTGTCTTAGAATAGCAGCCGTCTCTAGCATTTCGACCATGAAGGTTGACTGGTCTCGGAAGAGGTCATCAGCTGCACCAATGCGACTGAAGATCTGATCGACGATGCCGATCTCGGCATAAGCTGCAGGTACGTAAGACCCGATCTGCGCGAGGATTGTGATCAGTGCGTTTTGTCGTAAGAATGTACTTTTACCGGCCATATTAGGACCAGTAATGAGCCAGATTCGCTCGGAATCACCCAAGAAGCAGTCGTTGCTCACAAAAGATCGGCCTTGTTCTTCTAGCCCTAGCTTGACGGTTGGATGTCTTCCTCCGATGATCTTGTGACAAACGCCGTCATTAAGAATGGGTCGTACCATTTTTTGTTCTTGAGCTAGAATTGCGAATGAACAGCCAACGTCCAGTTCATCCATGACAGCTGCGTTCCGGCGAATCTTGACAAGATTCAAGATCACTTCGCGGCGGAGATGCTGGAAAATTGTCTGCTCTTCTTGACGAATTCGAATCTTAACTTGGTCCATATTTGCACCCAGATCTGACCAGGCTGGCAAATAAAATGACCGCGTGGACTTGGTAGATGAGACGTTTCGAGTAACGCCTAGGTCTTCCAAGGACTCTTGAGATATCTTGGCACCTTTAACGTGACATATGTGACCTAAGCCAGGTGTCCATTTGAGGGTCAAGGCGGATGATCCAACTGAATCGCGAAGCTTTTGTGTCAGTGAAACCTTTTCATCACCTAGTCGTTCCAGTTCCGCATGAAGAGCATTGAGATTCTTGCTTGCATCGCGTCTCATTATCCAAGTATCAATAGGACCGGATTCAGCATCAGTTGCCGCAGTCCTATCATTGGTTTTTGACCTGACCTTTTTCGGTAGGCTTTCGAGCTCGCTGGGTGTGCCCTCATCGAGTGTCACCTTTTGCGCCAGACTAGCTGCTTCTGCAGCAGTATTGTCTTCGATGCGTTGCTTTTGCAGCAAGCCCTCCTCATCAATGGCCGCGAGAATCTTTTCAGCCAATGCAATCGGGCCATCAAGATATAACCGTGAAATCATAACCGTCACGCTGTTCTTGAGATTAATGTTCGAGATTGGAGTTTTGCTGTGATTAAAGAGAACTTGTCTGACTTCCTTCGAGGCCTCGATGGCCCTAGATAGACAGATCAAGTCATCTGGGTCCCCTTTTCCAAGGGCGAATTTCTGAACCAGGCGTTGTGAATCATAACTGCGTTTCAGCAGCTGAACAATGCTCTCACGAAGCTCCTCGTTGTCCATAAAGACCGAGACGAGGTCCAAACGTTCATTGATGATCTTTAAAGATGTCGAAGGAGAGGCTGTGTAGCATGTTAGCATATGAGAAAAGCCCGGAAGAGGAGTTACACATACTAAGCCGGTCTCGCAGAAGCCGCGAGCCACTTTTAGTAGAAGTTCTTTTAACAGCATGAAGAAGGCTTCCCTTGCCAAACCCATCTCTTGCTGTTTCCAAGATCTCAAGACCACTCAAACTATTGCGATCGATACTCATTGATTCATTTAAATGTCTTCGACGAGGAGGTTGCAGCTTAAGATTTGATCCTTGTAATTGGACTCGAAGATATTGAAGTAAGCTGTATCCAGCTGCCACTTCCTCTGGAGTAAAGGACGCACGATCATCCTCAGGAACGGGTGCCTCGAGCATGGTTCCCCACTCGGACACTGGGTCGAATGTCACAGGGAATTGAAAGAAGGTGACCAGACGATGATCATGTCCAACGAGTAACTGTAATTCATGCCCAATGAGATCTTGGATATTCTGATCAACCAGAATTTCACGGGCTCCGATTCGGGCAATTGCAGATGGAAGCATTTGAGTTGTTGTCAGCTGTGTGAAGAAATCGCCAGTCGAAAGATCCAGCCACGACAACCCTACCTGCTGAGGCACAGAGGACAATATGTGTTGATGCGAAGACTGGGCATCACTATTGGCATGTTGCTTCAGCTTCGATTCCATAGTGGCAACATCCAAGTATATGGCCAACAAGAAATTGTGCTCAGAGGGCTCTATGAATTTCTCATCAATCAGCGTGCCAGGAGTGACGACTCTAGCCACTTTGCGGCCAAACAAGAGACCGCCTGATAGTGCTTTTTCCTCTGCATTAAGAGCAAACTCCTCGCTAATAGCTACATACTTGTTGAGATCTTGCACAAGCATCTTCAGGAAACGGTCGAGCTGGAAAAAGGGAAAGCCAGCCATGGGAACTGGTCCGCCATTGGTCTTTTTGGTCGCCAGTTTTAGGCCAAGAGACGATGCTAGTTCTTCTGCTTGCTCAAAATATAGCTAAAAATCCATCCTATCAGCATATGGAAACACTGTAGCACAGCTTCCATTCTCATACCTCGTAGAAGCCCCCGACTCTGGTCAAAATGACACAGTTCTTGAATGTTTGCATGTTGTTTCGATGCCCTTGTACCACAGTCGGGTATTGAGGAGCTTCGTCCAGTCCATTGTCGTATGCCTCAAGCTTCAAAACACCCTGAGGAAGGTCTTTCAATTTCACAGTTGTTTTACGCTTTGCGCCTCGTATGGGGACTTTCAGAGCGGTATACACGCGTGGGTGGATGGCAGGCCGACGCGCATGATGGCAGACAGTCCGGTGTATTTGACAAGGATAGGATGGACATATTGATGCCGTTACAGTTGGTCTAAATTGGACCGATGTCAGAGAAGACAACCCATGTAGACGCATTGTTGCGCGCGCCAACTTGTCTGGAGCGGCAGAACCACTAAAGCTCCCCTCCTTCCGCCTTCGCCACGAAATCTTCCCGAGCTTCTCTCCTTTGCTTCACATATCTACATCAACCCTGGCGTTTATTTTCTCACAAGGACCGTGACTTGAGGAGGATGAGCCAGGTTTGTGAGACCATCTGAAGTTTTATCATTTGCCGACAGTTTTCGTGTCTCGGCGGGGCCTGAATCTTGACCTCCGCGCCCAGGCAGATTTGTCGCAACCTTTCTTTCTGTCGTTTTTCGTGAAGCCACACTACCACCAAGATGGCGGACCAAAATATTTCTCAGTATAAGTACTCGGCGATGTCCAACCTGGTTCTCCAGGCGGACCGTCGTTTTATCAGTCGCACCCATGACGAACCAACTGGAGACCCGGAGTCTCTTGCGGGTCGCATTGGGATCCGAGAGATGGGTGGGCGAGTCGCGCGTGACAATGCGCCCAAGTCGAAGAAGACTGGCCCCTCAGAACTTGAGCGAGGCGCTATCGGTGAGGGTGAAGATGTCCTTTTACGTGAACAGAAAAAGCGCCAACGCGGCCAACCGGCACAATTACGGGGCCAAGGAATCCTTTCAGCAGCCGATGCCTTTGTCGAAGGCCTGAAATACCGTCCTCGGACACCCGCAACACGAGCCACCTACGACCTTATTCTCACAATCACCGGAAGCCACCTTGGCGATGTCCCCCACGAAGTCGTCCGAAGTGCCGCCGATGCTGTCTTGGAATTGCTTAAGGATGAAGAAATGAAGGATTTCGATAAGAAAAAGGAGATCGACGATCTTCTGGGAAGCTCCATGAATCCGAAGGAGTTCAACGAGCTTGTCAACGTAGGCAAAAAAATCACAGACTACGATGCCCAAGATGAAGATGAAGAAATGGACGGCGGCCTAGACGAAGCGGGTGGTGAACTCGATGAACGCCAAGGTGTTGCCGTAGTCTTCGACGAAGAAGATGAGGATGAAGAGCGCACAGGAACCGTGGACGAAATTCGTGATGAAGACAGTGACGAAGACGAAGCGGAAGAACAAGATCAACCGGAAGAGGACGTTTCAGCTGCTCAGGATGCTGAAGAAGGCGATGAAATGGTCATTGACGGAGGTTTGGGTAAAACCGACAAGGACGGCGACAAGACCGGATTGAATGTCTCGGCCCGCGAAATTGATGCCTACTGGCTGCAGCGCCAGATCGGCGCCCTTTACACAGATGCACATATTCAACACGAGAAGGCCGACGAGGCTCTCGAAATTCTCGGTGCTAAGGACGAAGACGGAACACCAAAACCCTTACGCGATGTTGAAAATGACCTCATGGAGCTCTTCGATTACGATCATCCCGACCTGGTCGCTAAGCTAGTCACCAACCGCGACAAGGCCGTTTGGGTCACGCGTTGGAGACGAGTCGCCGAGGACGCCGATGCTCGCAATCTCGTGGAAATTGAGATGGTCGAAGCCGGACAGCGCGCCATTCTCGACGAAATCCGCGGCAAAGAAGCTCGCGACGATCTCGCCGATCGCCCGGATAAGAAGATGAAGTTTGATTTGATGGATGTCGACGTCCCTTCAGGCCTCACGGCAGACCAAAAGACCGCCGAGGGCGGACAAACTGGCCCTCTTCAGCCGAAGAGAACTATCAACTTAGAGAACCTTGTGTTCCACCAAGGCAACCACCTTATGACCAACCCCAATGTCAAGCTTCCTCAAGGTTCAACTAAGCGTACCTTCAAGGGTTACGAAGAAATCCACGTGCCACCCCCCAAGGCCAAGAAGGAAGCTGGAGAGAAGAATATTCCCACCACAGAGCTGCCCGAATGGGCCCGTGTTGGATTTGGAACCTCCAAGGAACTCAACCGAGTGCAGACGAAGTGTTACCCTTCAGCGTTCCACGATGATGGCAATCTGCTTGTCTGTGCTCCTACGGGATCAGGAAAGACCAACGTCGCTATGCTTACAATTCTTCGGGAGATCGGCAAAAACCGCAACCCCGAAACCGGAGAGATCATGCTCGATGATTTCAAGATTGTTTACATTTCTCCGCTGAAGGCGTTAGTACAAGAACAAGTTGGTAACCTTGGCAAGCGTCTCGAGCCTTATGGTATCCGTGTGTCTGAGCTTACAGGTGATCGTCAACTCACCAAGCAACAAATTGCCGACACTCAGGTTATTGTGACAACTCCCGAGAAGTTCGACGTTATCACCAGAAAGGCCTCCGAGACTAGCTACACCAGGCTCGTTCGCCTAGTCATCATTGATGAGATCCATCTTCTCCACGATGATCGTGGTCCCGTCATTGAGAGCATTGTCAGCCGAACCATTCGCAGAGCCGAGCAGACTGGAGACCCTGTGCGCATTGTCGGTCTCAGTGCTACTCTCCCCAACTATCGCGATGTGGGAAGCTTCCTGCGTGCCGATCCTGTCAAGGGCATATTCCATTTCGATGGCACATACCGCCCTTGCCCTTTGAAGCAAGAGTTCATTGGTGTCACCGAAAAGAAGGCCATTAAGCAGCTAAAGACGATGAACGATATTTGTTACACCAAGGTCATGGAGCAGGTCGGACAACGTCGCAATCAAATGCTGATCTTCGTTCATTCCCGAAAGGAGACTGCTAAGACCGCTAAGTACATTAGGGATAAGGCCCTTGAGAATGAGACTATTGGACAGATTCTGCGCAGTGACGCTGCCAGCCGTGCCATTCTTTCCGAGGAAGCTGATTCTGTTGATGATGCTGGCCTCAAGGACCTCATGCCTTACGGCTTCGGTATTCACCACGCTGGTTTGAGTCTTGCGGATCGTGATTCTGTTCAGGCTCTTTTCGCCGATGGAAGTATTCAGGTCCTCGTCTGTACTGCGACCCTCGCTTGGGGTGTCAACCTTCCCGCCCACACCGTTATCATCAAGGGAACGCAGGTCTACTCTCCCGAGAAGGGTAGCTGGGTCGAATTGAGTCCCCAAGACGTTCTCCAAATGCTTGGACGTGCTGGTCGACCTCAGTACGATACATTCGGTGAGGGTATCATCATCACATCCCAAACCGAGATTCAATATTATCTCTCGCTCATGAATCAGCAACTACCAATTGAGTCACAGCTGATGAGCAAGCTGGCGGATAACTTGAATGCCGAAGTTGTGCTTGGTAATGTTCGTACTCGTGACGATGGTGTGGAGTGGTTAGGTTATACCTACCTTTACGTCCGAATGCTTCGTTCGCCTGGTCTGTACAGTGTTGGCGCCGACTATCAAAATGATGATGCATTGGAGCAAAAGCGAGTAGATCTCATCCACTCCGCTGCTGCTGTTCTCGAGAAGGCTGGTCTCGTCAAGTATGAGAAGAAGACCGGACGACTCCAGTCAACTGAGCTTGGACGTATCTCATCTCACTACTACATTGGTCACAACTCCATGTTGACTTACGCTCAACACCTCCAACCCTCTATTACAACCATTGAGTTGTTCCGAATTTTCGCTCTGAGTGACGAATTCAAATACATTCCCGTCCGCCAAGATGAGAAGCTTGAGCTTGGAAAGCTTTTGGGTCGTGTCCCCGTCCCCGTCAAGGAAACAATTGACGAGCCCCATGCAAAGATCAATGTTCTTCTGCAAGCTTACATCTCCCGACTCAAGCTCGATGGGCTTGCGTTGATGGCTGATATGGTCTACGTGACACAGTCGGCCGGACGTATCATTCGAGCCCTTTTCGAGATCTGCTTGAAGAAGGGCTGGTCTTCTGTTGCCAAGACTGCATTGGATCTTTGCAAGATGGCCGAGAAGCGCATGTGGCCCACCATGTCCCCCCTTCGCCAATTCCAGCACTGCCCAAGAGACATCTTGCAAAAGGCTGAGCGAATTGATGTACCTTGGGGCAGCTACTTCGACTTGGATCCTCCCCGTATGGGCGAGCTTCTTGGTATGCCCAAGGCTGGACGTGTTGTTTGTGACTTGGTCTCCAAGTTCCCTCGACTTGAGGTTCAGGCTCAAGTCCAACCCATCACCCGGTCTATGCTGCGTGTTGAGCTGACTATTTCTCCCAACTTCGTTTGGGATGATGAGGTACATGGCAACGCGCAAGACTTCTGGATTATCGTTGAAGACTGTGATGGTGAAGAGATCTTGTTCCATGATCGCTTCTTGCTTCGTGGTGAATTCGCCAAGTCTGAAATGAATGAACATCTTGTCGAGTTTACTGTCCCTGTCACCGAGCCGATGCCACCCAACTACTTCATTTCTCTGGTGTCTGACCGATGGATGCATTCCGAAACTAAGATTGCCGTCTCCTTCCAGAAGCTTGTTCTCCCGGAGCGCTTCCCTCCACACACACCATTACTGGATATGCAACGTGCACCAGTCAAGGCACTGAAGCGCGACGACTACCAGGCGCTCTATCCTGATTGGCAGCACTTCAACAAGATCCAATCTCAAGTCTTCAAGTCAGTCTTCGACACCGATGACAATGTCTTCATCGGTGCTCCTGTCGGAAGTGGCAAGACTGTTTGCGCTGAGTTGGCCCTACTCCGGCACTGGTCCACTAGAGAGGGTGGCCGTGCAGTCTACCTTGCTCCCTTCCAGGAGCTGGTCGACCTCAGACTTGCTGATTGGCAGAAGCGCTTCAGTGCTTTGGACGGAGGCAAGACTATTGTTAAGCTCACCGGCGAAACCACCGCCGATCTGAAACTCCTCGAGCAAGGTGATCTTATTCTTGCTACTCCTGCTCAATGGGATGTGCTTTCCCGTCAGTGGCAGCGCCGCAAGAACATCCAGACAGTGCAATTGTTCATTCCGGATGAGCTTCACTTGCTCGGCGGCTACGGTGGATACGTATATGAAGTGGTTGTTTCTCGTATGCACTACATCGCCCTGCAGACCGAGAACGAGATGCGCATTGTTGGTCTCAGTGTGCCTCTTTCTAACGCTCGGGATATTGGAGAGTGGATTGGTGCCAACAAGCACACCATCTATAACTTCAGCCCGCATGCCCGCCCTGTGCCTCTTGAGCTTCATCTCCAGTCCTTTACCATTCCTCACTTCCCCCTCCTCATGCTCGCCATGGCTCGTCCTGCCTATCAATCTATTCTGCAGCTTTCACCCGATAAGCCTGCTCTGGTTTTCGTTCCAAGCCGTAAGCAGGTTCGTGCGACTGCTATGGATCTTCTTTCCGCCTGCGCCATCGACGACGATGAAGACCGATTCCTGAACGCTGATGCCGAAGAGCTCGCTCCCCTCCTTAGTCGTGTTCATGAGCAGACTCTTGCCACATCGCTTTCTCACGGTATTGGCTACTACCACGAGGCCCTTACTGCCACTGACAAGCGCATCGTCTCGCATCTGTTCAGTATCGGTGCTATTCAGGTGATGTTGGCTTCTCGGGATGTTTGCTGGGAATTAGATATCACAGCTCATCTTGTCATCGTTATGAACACTCAATTCTTCGATGGCCGCGAGCATCGTTACATTGATTACCCCATCAGTGAGATTCTGCAGATGTTTGGCAAGGCCTCCCGTCCAGGCCAGGACAAGCTTGGCCGAGGTGTTCTTATGGTGCCCGCTGTTAAGCGTGACTACTACAAGAAGTTCCTCAACGAGGCTTTGCCCGTCGAGAGTCATTTGCAGGTTTACCTACACGATGCATTTGTGACTGAAGCAAGCACAAAGACCATCTCCTCCACACAAGATGCGGTTGATTGGATGACATATACCTATTTCTATCGCCGACTTCTTGCAAACCCCAGCTTCTATGGTCTCAGTGATGTCAGTCACGAGGGTCTCAGCACCTTCCTGTCCGAGCTTGTGGAGAACACATTGAAGGAATTGTCAGAGGCCAAGATTATCGACCTGGATGAGGAGGATGACAGCGTGTCACCTCTGAATGCTGCTATGATTGGAGCGTACTACAACATCTCCTTCATTACCATGCAGACCTTCCTTCTGTCTCTTTCAGCCCGCACTAAGCTCAAGGGTATCTTGGAGATTGTCACTTCGGCGACTGAGTTCGAATCTATCCAGATGCGTCGTCATGAAGCTCACATTCTCCGTCGCGTGTATGACCGTTGTCCCGTCAAGATGGCCGAGGTCTCCTTCGACTCACCACACTTCAAGGCGTTCGTTCTCCTTCAAGCTCACTTCTCGCGCATGCAGCTTCCTCTTGATCTGGCCAAGGATCAAGAAGACATCATCCGCAAGGTTCTCAACTTGCTCAGCGCATGTGTGGATGTCCTCTCATCTGAGGGTCATCTGAACGCCATGAACGCCATGGAGTTGTCGCAGATGGTGGTTCAGTCCATGTGGGATCGTGATAGCCCTCTCAAGCAGATTCCTCATTTCACCCCCGAGGTCATCCAGGTTGCCAATGAATACAAGTATGTATCTGCAAGCAGTTTCTTAGGAACATTTACTAATCTCCGTTCGTGCAGGATCAATGATATCTTTGAATTCATGGAAGCCATGGACCCATCTGAGAACAAGGACTACGCTACACTGGTCAAGCGTCTCGGTCTCGACAACAAGCAATTGGCGCAAGCTGCCGCCTTCACCAACGAGAAGTACCCCAACATCGAGCTTGACTTCCAAGTCGAGGATCCCGATAACATCACTTCGGGCGAACCCTCCTACCTCAAGGTTAAGATCGAGCGGGATCTTGAAGATGATGAGGAACCCGATGCCACTGTCCACGCGCCGTTCTATCCTACCCAGAAGATGGAGAACTGGTGGTTGGTCGTTGGTGACGAGAAGACAAAGAGCCTCCTCGCCATCAAGCGTGTTACGATTGGTCGCAAGTTGGAGCTGCGTCTAGAATATGTGGTTCCCACGCCTGGAGACCATGAGTTGACCCTCTACCTCATGAGTGATAGCTACGTCGGTGTGGATCAAGCACCCACGTTCAACGTGACTGCAGCAGAGGGTATGGATGAGGATGAAAGTGAAGAGGAAGAGGAAGAAGAGTGATGATTTTTTGATTTGCGTGTAATAATAGCTATGTTTTGGGTCATAGGATACAAAGGTGTTCTTCATTCTCTAGTCTCTGTTCTCTATTTCCTGTTCTCCATTCCCCAGTCTTCAGTAGTCTTTGAAGTCATCAAGAATGTAGGCATGACGCTTTACCCGATTAGGGCTCACCGATAACCCCCGCATGATCAGGTCCCCAACCTCTCCTTCTCCAACTCTCTCATCTCATCGCATCTCATCGTTCTATCTCAATCATATATCATCTATTATCTTCTGTATAGTGCATACCTCAACACAGCTCTCTCAATCTCCCTTTTCTAGCTCTAAATCTACACCCTGGGAGCTCTTAAGCTACCTATCTTATCTCGCCACCCTGAGCTGATATGGCCATTCGCTCCATGAAGTTCACTCCCGAGTAAGTTGCTCCTGTCACCGAAATTATCTCATATTGGCTCTTATGCAAATCAATTGATGATGTATCGATACTAACATTTTCAGGGTTCTGCTTGGGGCACCCCGACGGTCCTCAGCCGTCCCCAACGCAGCTGGTACCCTCGCAGTCTACACCCAGACATCTTATTCCTTCGAGTCCCACTCTAAGACAAATGAGATTCGCGTCATTGAAATCAATTCTGGCCGATCTGCCCTCATCACCAACGACCCCGGCGCAAGCAACCCGCAGTGGCTCGACACGAGTGATCAATTAGTCTGGCTCAAGACCAAAGCAAACGGAAACACAAGCTTCATCGTTGGCAATGCCCGCCAGGCGAATGACACATACACTGCAGGTACGTTGCCAGGCCCAGTCTCGGACCTGAAGGTTACCCTCATCGAACCCGGCAAGGTTGGCTTCGCCGTGACAGGCAAGGCCAATCCCGATGGATCGCTATACAACCCGCATGATGCGAAGAAACCATACACAACTGGCAAGCTATACACGTCTCTTTTTGTTCGGCACTGGGATTCTTATGTTGAGCCTCAGAAGAACTCCATCTGGTATGGTATTCTAGAGCAGGCACCATTGTCGCCAGCCCGCAGACAAGCTGGCAAGTACTCCGTCTCGGGCCTTACGAACTTGATTCAGGTATCTGGATTGGCGGGTGTTGAGTCGCCTATTCCGCCGTTTGGCGGTACTAGTGATTTCGATATTAGTCCGTCGGCGATTGTGTTCATTGCCAAGGACCCCGATCTCAATCCAGCTACTCATACGTCTTGCTCGTGCTACTATGCTCCCATGTTCTCATGGACTAGCATGAGTGCAACGGATGCCAAGATCTGCAAGGTTGCCGGTCTTCAGGGAGCGATGTCATCTCCCGTTCTGAACTCAGATGGTAGCTCCATTGCGCTTCTGGCTATGCGCGAGGACGGATACGAGTCTGATAAGAACAGAATCTTGTATGTTCCTAACCCATGGGATGGAAACATGGTTGAAATTTTCGAGTCGGCCGATGGCGAAGGTCTTTGGAATTTGAGTCCTTCGGCCTTGTCCTTTTCAAATGACGACAAGTCGTTGATAGTCGTCGCCGAGGAGATGGGTCGTGGTGTTCTCTACCAACTTCCTCTGGAAAATGTGCAAAAGGCCAAGCCAGATTCACTGAAGCGACTGACCCGCTCTGGATTCGTGAATGACGCAGTTCCCGCGGCTGCCAACTCTTCCAAGCTGTTCTTGTCTAGCAGCAGCCTGGTTGATAACAGCCTGTGGACGATCATCGATCCAGCCAGCCCAGATGATGTTCAAATGGTCTCATCAAACGGCCGAGGTGGTGCTGCATTTGGTCTGTCTCCTGCCCAGGTGGACGAGATCTGGTTTAGGGGAGCTGAAGACCATCCCGTTCACGCATTCGTCGTGAAGCCATCCAACTTCAAACCCGGGGAGAGATACCCACTCGCTTATATGATTCACGGTGGGCCTCAGGGCGCTTGGAATGATCAGTGGAGCACCCGCTGGAACCCTGCTGTATTTGCGGAACAAGGATACGTCGTGATCACACCCAACCCGACTGGCAGCACAGGCTACGGTCAGCCTTTCACTGATGGCATCAAAGGCCAATGGGGTGGTCGGCCTTACGAGGATTTAGTACGAGGCTTCGAGCACATCGAGCAGAATCTTAATTACGTCGACACCTCTCGTGCAGTCGCTCTCGGTGCCTCTTATGGCGGATACATGATGAACTGGATCCAGGGCCACCCACTCGGCCGCAAATTCAAGGCTCTCGTCACTCACGACGGTGTGTTCAGCATGACTTCCCAGCTAGCCAGCGAAGAGCAATACTTCCCTCTGCATGATTTGAAGGGACCTATTTGGAAGGTCCCCGAGAACTGGGCAAAGTGGGATCCCTCTCGTTTCACTGAACACTGGCAGACTCCTCATCTGATCATCCACAATGAGCTGGACTACCGCTTGACTATTGCCGAGGGTCTCGCTGCGTTTAACGTTCTGCAAATGCGGGGCGTTGATAGCGCGTTCCTTACCTTCCCTGATGAGAACCATTGGGTTCTCAATCCCGAGAACTCGCTTCTTTGGCACCGGACTGTGTTGAACTGGATCAACAAGTATGTGGGACTGCCCGCGGTGTCCGAGGAGCCCGATCTCTCCCTCCGAGTGGGCAACATGTCCATCTGATCGTATAGTTTTTTGACACCTCGGCTTATAATTGGGCCTGAAACATATATAATGGATGATACAGGGGAATGGATGAGATTGTTCTTTTCTTAGTAACAAAGCACCGCAGTCCACAGAGCTATAGTCGAACGTTTGTGTGATTGGGATTCAAGCAAACGATGTCTTTGTCGCTCAAAGAGACGTTTTTTTCGAGGCGTTTCATCGTATTGTCCAGTCCCTTTGTTCAGTCAGACAATCGCATGCTTTTCTTCCGTCCGTCTTTCATGTATATAAGAGCTATTTCCTCCATCCAATGCTCATCTCCAGAATCAACTATATCCTCCATTTGAACCACCGAGATATCACCCCAAAATGAACCACCCAAACTCACCCAGTAGCCCCCTCTCCCCATCCTCTCCAACAAACCTCCTCCCCCAAAATATCGCAGACCTCCTCGCCAAAACATCCCACCAACCCTCCAGCAAACACATCCACCCACACTTCCACCTCGTCCTCCACCACCTCAGCCAATGCCTCGAGCCCCTCGTCTCTGTCACCACCGCCCAACCGCACCCTGATTTCCCAGAGACCCTCCTCGCCTACAACTGTCTCACCATGGACCAAATCGACAACCTCGCCCGCCACTTCCATCAGGTCTACCCTCCCCTCCCCGTCTCAAAGAAGTACCCCTTCCCCATCCGGCCTTGGATTGGCACGCCTGATGAGAAATTGGTCGATCTTGAGACGAGACGGAGGCGATTTGGGAAGTTTATTGGCTTGCAGGGTTGTGAGTCGCCTGTGCGGGAACGGGTTGGATGGGAGGTGGAGTGGGATATGTGGAGGGAGGAAGTGGAGATGGATGTGGAGATGGATGATGAGGTTGATATTATTGTTGATGGGGGAGGAGAGGGGGATGAGATAGATGTAGAGATGGAGATGAGGGAATCAGAAAAGGAAATGCTGGAGCGGATGGAGAGGGAGTGGCAGGAGGGTCTTGGGCGAGAATATGAGACGCAGGGCCATTTGTGGAATTTGAAGTGAAAGACCAGAGCAAAATAGACCAGATTGTATAGATCTAAACAATATGAACATGAACATGAACATTAAGAATCAGGTTTAGCCGGCGGGTAAAACGGGGAATCGCCAAGGGAGTTGCAGGCTAATAGTCTGGCTTGTAGGCTATAACGGAGAGAGACGAAGACTATAAAGGTATACTCTCAGCCCTAACATTCGCCAACTACACCACCACCTCACCACCACAACCACATAAGATAAAACACCATGTCCAAACCACTCGTCTCCCACATCTACACAGCAGACCCCTCAGCCCACGTCTTCAACAACAAACTCTACATCTACCCCTCCCACGACCGCGAAACAGACATCGCCTTCAACGACAATGGCGACCAATACGACATGGCCGACTACCACGTCCTCTCCATGCCAGACATCACCGGCCCAGTAACAGACCACGGCGTCGTCCTCCGCGACAAAGACATCCCCTGGGTCTCGAAACAGCTCTGGGCACCAGACGCTGCCACCAAGAATGGCAAGTTCTACCTGTTCTTCCCGGCCCGCGACCACGACGGCATCTTCCGAATTGGCGTCGCTGTCTCCGAGAGCCCTGAAGGCCCGTTCGTGCCGGAGTCGCACTTTCTAGAGGGGAGTTATAGTATCGACCCGGCCGTGTTTGTGGATGAGGAGGCGGGCGGCGAGGCGTATTTGTATATCGGTGGCATTTGGGGCGGACAGTTGCAATGTTGGGTTGAGGATGAGTCCCAGGCTGGAAATGAATCTGGGGAGAAGAAGCTCATCTTCGATGCGTCCAGATCAGGACCCCAGGAACCCTCCGGTGAGGGTGTCCCGGCGCTCACGCCGCGCGTGGCGCGCTTGTCGGACGATATGTTGAGTCTTGCGACGCCGGTGCGGGAATTACTGATTCTGGCGCCCGAGACGGGCTTGCCTCTTCTGGCGGATGATCATGAGAGGCGCTTCTTCGAGGCCGCGTGGATGCATCGCTATAACGGGACGTACTATTTCTCGTATTCGACTGGGGATACGCATTTCCTGGTCTATGCTACGGGGTCGTCGCCTTGGGGGCCGTTTACGTATCGGGGCAGGATCTTGGATCCCGTGCTGGGGTGGACGACGCATCATTCTATTGTGGAGTTTAAGGGGAAGTGGTATCTGTTTTATCATGATTGTGAGTTGTCCAAGGGGGTGGACCATTTGAGGTCCGTTAAGGTGAGGGAGATTGTTTATGATGAGGCTGGGGATATTCATCTTGCGGAATGATTTGAATAGGAGGGTATTATGCTGAGGGATATTCCATTGTAACTTAGTGTATGTAGTTCATGTCAATAGTCGTGGAGTTAATGGCCCATTCCATGCTCCCAGTTCTCTGTGACCAGCTTCCAGTACTTCTCGCGTGTGCGTTCGCGGAATGTCTTGCCAAACTTGATCATGAATAGGAATACTGCAGCACATGCCATGCCGATGAAAGCGGCAGAAATGAAGCAGTTCTGGTATCCCATATTGTCGATCCAGGGTGTAATGCTGAGAAGAAGTTAGCCTCCGTCTCCCATGAAACAGAAAAAGAACTCACCCATAGCCAATGGCAAAGGACATGGTGTTGCGAACCAAGATGACACTCGCCATTGCAACACCACTCAGTTCTCGGTAGCTGTCAATGAAATAGTTGACACTGAGTGTAATGCCGCAAGTGTTGGTAAAGGCAAGCATGCACATGGCAACAATCAATCCGAACCAGTGGACCTCATATGCAGCACCGACGCCCCAGAGAATGAGCGATGCAGGCACCAGCACCAGACAGGCGAGGAATGGCCACAAGCGATGCTCTGCTTCCATGACTCCATTGTTGCGGCGTGCGAGTTTGATAGTGAGCCAGTCACTGAAACGGCCCGTGAAGATGGATCTATAGGAGTTAGTACTGATTGGAACACAGGAATAGGGAATGATTTACCCAAGAATCACACCAAGGCAGCATGATAGATAACTGAGACCAACCATGGACGATCTAGTCAAAGGTTAGCCTGTATATCTGGAGATAGGACATGCAACGCTCGCCCGAAATTGTATGGAGCACCACCCAGAATGATCGAAGCAGTGCCATTCAAGATGTTGAACAGAACCAGGTAAGAACCATACGAGAATCTGCTATATGTTAGTATAATCCGAGATGACAGGAAATCAAGAACCATACCCGGCATAGAAAATGACAGGCCAAGATAGGTAATACAAAATCTGCCAGAACCGACGGAACATAGTGTTTTGTTTCTGGCGCGGAGCCAGAAGCGACAGCTTCTTCACATACGACTTCTTAGTATGCATCACGCCAGCCTCGGTTTCAGGTGTCAAATCAACAGTAGGAGAATGTTTCTCATTCTCGGTGTCTGCAACGCTGTTTGAACTTTGGGTCGACGATCCAGTCCGCACAATGGAACTAGGTTCATCAACGTGCTCGCGCACATAGTTTGTCTCTTCGCAGAAGAAAAAGAGGAAGATGATTGCGCAGCCAACAAAGATGCTTGGCCAGTAGAATACCCATCTCCAGCCTTGGTATTGGGCGATGAAGCCGCAGATTACCGGTGCGAAGTAGTTACTTCCTGCCAGGAAGAAGGCGTACAATCCCATATACATTCCACGTTCGTGGGTGAAGTACTAAATCCGCGTGAGTAGCATTTCAATCATCACTGGCAAGAGATACTCACCACATCTGTCACCGAGATCTCCGGGAGCGCTTCAACAGGTGCTGTGAAGAACCCCGAAACAACATTACGTGCGATCCATTGGCCATTGGTTCCTGCGTACGGACTATCATGTTATCTTGTCAGCAGCAGGACCTCAAGCTGACTGATGATGCTCCTGAATCTTACCCCCACATGGTAACTCCCTGTCATGATAGTCAGTATAGATTCAAACATGCTCTAGACAGACTCCCTACCAGAATTCCAATCAAGGACAAGATATACGTTGGTCGCTTGCCATACTGCATCGCAAATGGTTGCCAGAATAACAGTCCCCATCCGGCCAATAAGAACATATACCCCGTTCCCTCATTCAAGGTGCTGACAGGCAGCCCCGTTGCTTCATGGAGCGGTGTCAGGACCGAGTACACCACCGAGCAAGCAATACCGGAGAATAGTGTATAACTGTGTGAATTGTGAGCACTAGTACCAACAGCACTCCCTCTCAACCATTGTATCCTTACATGCTCACACAAGCCGTCGATAGCATTTTTCGCCTCGGACTCCAATTGAGAGGATCATCGGGGTCATTTGAAGGTGTCGGGACTAGTACAATGTCTCTGTCTCCGCGGTCCAGATGTCTGGCTTCCAGGACATGGTTTACATCCACCAAGGTGAGTGTACCTGGTATGACTGTAGTGTCGTATACTGGTGCCATGGTTGCGACCAGCTGCTTTTTGAGAAAGATCAAGATTCTCTAGAGAGAGAGGGAGAGAGGGCGTGCATATGTAGAGTAGACAAGGGATAGAGGTCGGAATGGGAAAAAGCAAAGATGCTGTAGTTGAGGGGAAAGGAATGCAGATAACCCTAACTCTCTTTATCAGCCTGTATCTGAGATGTCGGAAGATATTCCGCTTCACAGGCCAAAACCAGTTGATAGGATGAGTTGAGAGCAGAGATAAAGTCGAGGTCGCAGCGGTGCGGAGTAGCTTTGGGGTTTAGTTCTTATCACTTGCCTATGGGAGTAACCCGCACTGCAAGTCGGCAATTTGAGAGTCGATATTATTGGCTTAAGTTGTATCAGAGAGCCAAAGTCCAGGTAGCTCAATTGACCGGCGAGTTGGCCGATTTGGAGATAGCTAGGGAGTAGATGTTTGCTTTTTATAGGGGCTTTGGAGCTTTAGACGGCGTTCAGTCCAACTATATCACCCCTGTCTCTGCTTTCTCGCCATTCACTTTGCTCTATTCGAATGATTCCAAATATGACAATAAATTGACATCGCTATCACCCTCAAGCCAACTCGGATAAACCTTGGATTGAGGAGACTAGAAGCCCGAGTCACACATGGAGGGATATAGCCATTTACCAGCCCAGGACTACTCCTACGCCCTGTCATTCGCTCCAAGCAACAACTTCCTGTCAACTGAGAACTATGCCGACACGAGGTCCAAGCGAATGCGGAGTAGTCGGGGTTTAGTCCGCTCTTATCAGTCGCGAGGGCAATTAAGCCTATGAGCTCAAAGCTTGTACGTAGTGACCCCAAGTCCCGAGATTGAGACGGTTGCTGTCTGATTCAGGGCCATATTTCCCTAGAGTCGTTGTTCAAGAAAAGCCTCGACCAACTCTTGGCTACGGCGCCATAACGCCTCGGCGCTCTTCTCCCCCGCCGGAAAGTCGAGATACGGCAATGGGAGGGCTTGGCAATGATCGAGAAAGGCACCAGAAGATGCTACGAGATCGTATCTCGAGTGAGTGGTGTGGCGGCGTTATCGGGCGCTGGCTTACCTTCGAGCTCCGGATCGAGCAGTCCACGCAGGACAGTGGCACTGCCTTGCGCGAGCGATTTGGCGCTTGTTGCAGGAGGATGGGGAGGTCTTCGCCCGCTGTGATAATCATCGGTGGTGAGATTGGTTCTTGTCGCCGCTATCAGTCCTTACCTTCTCTGCGCAGTTGCAGCCAGGAGGATATCTCCTCCCATGAAACGTAGGTCTGGACGTTGGTCTTGGTGTCTGCAGCACAATTGAGAGATCAGACGGTTGACCCTCCGCTCATGAACTCGGAGTATGAGACACTCACTTCCGGGGTTCGCAGAAAACACTGACATCGATCGATCCTTGCCTATCTTTGCAAGAGATTTGACAAACTGGATATTCGCCAGCATGGATTGTGCATACCCATCTAGACAATGATATGTCTCCCCACCCTGCAGGAAGAACATATGATATCAGCACGCATCTTTCAGCCCAGTACAACAAACTCACCGCAAACCAAACATCCTCCCACGTCGGCGCTGGCGCCTCGTTCCTCAAACTCGTCGTAACAACCACAATCCTAGAAGTCGACGCCATGACATCCATCAACAGCCGAATCAAAAGGAAATACGTCAGATAGTTTTGCTGGAAATGGGACTCGTTCCCATCTTCTGTGGGCTCTCAGGGTACAGCCATCACCGTCGGAAACGCACTGAAGCCATCGATCAATTCCCCCATCTTCTTGATGGTCTCCGCTGCATCACGGACTGAAGATAAGCTGGCGGTATTGATGGGTACGAAGAGTATCGTCACATTTCGGTGTTTGCGATTGAGGTGGTCGATTACTGGTTGCAGTTCTCGCTGGGAGAGGCCCGTGAATATAATTGTTCCTGCGCCGCCGTAGGCGAGAGCGTCTGCGGTTGTTGCGGCAAGATCGCCTCTTTTGAGACCTACTAGGAGAACTAGGAGGTGTTAACTGGGTGTGGATGGGTGTGGATGGGTGTGGATGGTGATGAAGAGCATGGGGGGAGTACATGTTTTTTGCTTGACTTGATCAGGGAACATTGTCGCCACGCCTACTCCGTGCGTGTGGTCGCAGAATGGGATGCTTTTGCTCATTATCGAAGGCTGTCAGGGCTTGGTATGAGTTGGGAGATGTTTGCCATCGAGATATCGAGTTGCCCCAGGCATTTCGTCATAATGAAGGCATGTAGAGCTCAGCGAGGACACCGGTAAATGATTATTAGGAGTAACCGAGAAGATAGATGAAGAGAGACACAACTGAGTTATTTTACTAACAAGAGGCTAATGGAATGGCGAACAGGTTAGTCCTGCCAGCCCTGAAAGGATACCGAAATCGCATTTATACTATACAAGGAAAAGCACAAACGCAATACGGGCCTGCCGGTCAAAAGAAACGTAAAAGAAAAGAGACATCCAAGCTAATGAGATGGTCCTGCGATGTCATCTTCAGGCATCTGCTCGATGACACTCTGCATAAGTTCAATGAGCTCGTCGATATCTGGTCGTTCGGAGGGCTCGACTGTGAGACACTTGCGCACGATGTCCTTAACAGGTGAGCTAATGGCAAGGCTGTCACTCTTGGATGCGTCCTCGCTCTCGCCAGACTTGGCCTTCCCCTTGGAAGCACCGGACTTCTCATCGGGGAATCGCCAGTCACCACCGAGAACACACATGCTCAGGCTACCACCGGTCTCTTCGCTGCGTGCCTCGAAAGGACTCTTGCCAACTAAGCAGGCATACAATGTGCAGCCCAGGGACCAAATGTCGACCTTGGTATCGATAATTGACCCAGTCTTGACGTCGAAGAGTTCTGGTGCGCGGTATGGCATGGTGCTGTGTTCTGCGGCAGTATCCTGTACTGCCAAGGCGAGTGACCGGGAGGTGATGGCGATCGGGCTAGGAGCCAGAGATCCCAAGTCCATCAGAATGGGGCTTTGCCCATTATCATCGATCATGATGTTGCCTGTACAATGTTAGCTGTAATCGAAGAAACGCGCGATACTGCCAGTCAACTCACCAGGTTTGACGTCGCGGTGCGCATATGGGCGCAGATCGCCATCTTGAACACCTTCCTGACTCTGGGTCACCTCGTCATCCATCAAAGGCTCATTCTCCTCATCCTCTTCATCCTGAGCAATGCGATGGCTTGCTCGGCGCTTGGGCTTCATCTGCATCGTCCGTTCCGCATCTGCCTCCTCGCCTTCCCTGCGCACTGCCTTGGCCTTTCGTGTAGATGTCGCACCACTCTTCACGCGGTACTGGTGCATAGCACGGAGCGCCTTGGCGACACCGAGTATGAGGACCAACAACCGCTTCTCCGGGAACTTGGTGTGGTTGACCAGATTGGCATTGATGGCATCTTGGAGATTACCGCGCTGGTAATATGGAAGAAGGATGTAGACCGTCTTGGAGCCTGGATCGCCGCCGTCCGATCGGAATTTTGAGCCGGATTCGGTGGACACGCAGTGGTCGATTGAGTGGATGATGTTGGTTTGCGATGTGAACAGATTGTAGGCTTCGACTTCTTTCAGCGCCTGCGATACGGATTCTTGACCAAAGGGACAGCGAATCTTCTTCAGTGCGAATAGTTCGCTGGTGTTCTTATCCTGCACGAGGTAGACATAGGAGAAACCGCCCTGTATTGCGTCAGTCCGACTTCCGACCAGCGAATTGTCGGGATTCATACCTCACCAAGCAGGCGCAGGAGTTTGAAGCTTCGATTGTTGATCTTCAACTGTGGACTGCTAGGAAAACAGCACATGCAATCTGTGAAATTGTAGAGGAGGTCGAAGAAGTACTGCGCCATGATGCTACGGCGTGCAATGCGATCTGGGGGATCGGAGGAATCGGGGGGATCGGGGAGAGAAGCTTGGATGCTGGACCGGGGGCGGGATGTCAAGAAATGAAAGATCGACAGTAGAAAAGAGATTTATTGAAGTATTTGAAATGCGTAGAGGTAAGGACGCATGCAAAGGGAAGATGGAAGTTGAGGTGTCAATGGGTGTCCAAGTGGAGTTGCATTTATTTGTTGTCCCCCTTTCTTACTTCTAAGCTTGTCTGCTTGTCTGCTACTTCTTGGCTTTTTGGTCCTTTGGCTCTTGGGAGTTTGTACATATCGTCTCTCCTTGATCTTTTTATGGGAGTTGGGTCAAATTCCATCTCTTTGCTGAACCCTTGGCCCTTGCCCTTCCAGGGGCTGTATCTCTCGTTTGGACGCCCCATCCCACTTCACATATCTATACCAACTTCAGCTGCAACGGTCTGTCACGATGCCTCTCGAAGATGTCCAGGTCGGGGACGTGGTCAATGTCCCCGGCGGCATGCATGGAATAGTCAAATTCCTCGGATCGGTAGCCGGAAAACCAGGTCGTTTCGCGGGAGTCGAGCTGAGTGCAGAACATGCCCAGCGAGGGAAGAATAGCGGCGATGTGGACGGCCGCAAGTACTTTGCGACCTCGACTCCAGGATCCGGAATCTTTGTCCCGATGAACAATAGCAAATACGTGACCCGACGGTCAACCTCGAACTATTCTACGCCGACGACTCCGGCACGCGCACCAGCCAATTTCAGCAAGTCTGTCGGCCCGGCACTCACTACACCTCGTCCACGCGTCCGACGACCGTCTCTCCCTCGTCCGGAGTCGCCCCGTGTTCCCCCTCCGAAACTGAGCCTGGGCGGCTTGCGTACACCTTCAGCGGCGTCCAAGATGGGTGGAATCAATGGCATGCGAAGCCCAGTCAAGGCACCATCCCGACTGTCGGATAGGCCCGCGTCGCGGATCAGTACGGAGGACGACGCTTCGTCATATGGGCGGCAGTCCGACTTCCGGCAACAGGCCCACTCGTCAGAAATTCAAGATTTGAAAGATCAGATCAAGAGCCTAGAGAAGCAGCTTTTGGACCGAGATAAGCAGCTAGATGAGCAAGCGGGAACTTTGAATGATTTCCAAAAGACATTGGAAGAATTAGAAGGATCGGACGGCCATTCGATCCGAACACAACTGCGCGAACGCAATGAACGGATTGTCCAATTGACAACCGAATTTGATGGCCACCGAGCCGATTTCAGAAGTACCCTTGATACATTGGAGATTGCCGCCTCCGAGACCGAGCGGGTCTACGAGCAGCGTCTTGATGAGCTTATGCAGCAGAATCAACATTTCCTAGACCGTGGGGAAGATGTCGAGATTGTTGCGCAGCAGCTCAAGCAGCTGGAAGAGCTGGTCTCCGAGTTGGAAGAGGGTCTCGAGGATGCCCGACGGGGAGAGGCCGAGGCTAGAGCCGAGGTCGAGTTCCTCCGTGGTGAAGTCGAGAGGACCAAGTTAGAGCTAAAGAAGGAGCGTGATCATTCGGCCGCGGCGTTGAAAGATGCACAGTCTACATCAGACAGTCCACGAAACAGCAGCGAGTTGGACCAGAAGGACGACGAGATCCGCGGACTCAAGGCTATCATTCACTCTCTCAGCCGTGGGAACCCCGATGCAGCAAGCTTGGGACAGAATGGCTCGGGAGATGACCACAACCCAGACCTCTCTGAGTTTGAACAGCGAATCCAGGAAGTCGAAGAGACCATTGGCCACAAAGACAATCGCATCGAGGAGCTCGAGCGTCAACTTCAAGAAATGCATCTTGAATCTCAAGGTGGTCGTAACCGCAGCTCTACTATCACACTCTCACCCAAACAACATAGACCCTCCCACTCCGCAGGCAACATCTCCAACAACTCAAACGGCCTGAACCAAGCCCACCGTCTCTCTGACCGCACCGTTGTCCCAACTGACTGGCACGATGCACCCTCCGAGCCACGTCATCTCCGAGGGGCCTCCAATTCCTCCCAACAAAGACTCGAGACAATGCATGAATCAGAGCGCGGCTCCGACGAGGACACCATGTGGTGTGAAATTTGTGAAACAGGCGGCCACGACATTCTCAACTGTACCAGCATGTTCGGTTCCGGACAGAACAACGACCAGGCCAAGAAGCCGGCCGAGGCCGAGGAGCCCACTCCGGACCACCCAGCTGCTGAGAACCCGGAACACAGTCACGAAGCCAGCTCGGAGAGCTTTGTGGACGCTGCCCCCGCGCAAAAGACAGGACGGGATGTCGTCCTAGAAGGACTGAAGGGTATCGGCGGACTGGGCAACTCCATGGATCCGATCGCTGGCAAGTCCTCGGGCGTCGTTGACGAGTCGAAGTGGTGTGCCCTGTGTGAGCGAGATGGCCATGAGAGTATTGACTGTCCATTTGATGAATAAAGTTCCGTGTGAAATGGAATGTACGAGTGGTATGGGTTCAGGATCAATGCACCACGAGAATTCGCAGCTTACCATCACGCTGCTGTATGCATCTATGGGGGTTTCTTTCTAGCACATGATTGTTGGGTTGGTTTGGTTTCCGCCCCGGTTAATAAATGGTGTTTTGGCTAGGGCTTCGTGGGAGCTGGCTGGGTTGTGATCGATGGGATAATGGCGAGGATGGAGCTGTAATAAATATCCCGACATAAACAATGTCGTTCATCATGTCCGTTCTTTCTTCCTCTGTATAATCATATCTTATTTGCCAAGTGCTGCACCATACTCTATTTCCATAACCAGTCATCAAAGAATGTTGAATTCGTCGCTCATAACACACCTTTCATGACTCATCTCAAACCAAGATATTACACCCTCGACGCCTTCATGAGTTCACTCATCACGGTTGGACAATCTCACCATCCTTGTACCTCGTCGCTGCACTTTCTCCGCAACCCTTACATTTCCGCTTCTCTTCATCGGCCGTGAACTCCTCGACAACAGCCTTGACTTGCGTCCCTAGGTCTGTGCACACGAAATGTTTCTCCCAGACAATTTCCTTGCAGTTCCTGCAATACCATCTCATAATATCCAATGCGCCCTCAGCCCGCGGCTGTTCCATAACGATACCGACGGTATCTTTAAAGCGCACAGGGCTGTGAGGGGTGTTTGCGGGTAGTAGGAAGATCGAACCTTCGTGGATGGGAATATCTTGGAATGTGGGAGGTGTGGTGGAAGTATCGACAGTCTTAAGGAGCATTGATCCTCGGTATTGGTAGAAAAACTCGGGTGTGGTGTTGATGTGGAAGTCTGTTCGGGCGTTTGGCCCGCCCACTATCATCACAGTGTAACCGGCAGTGGCCGGAGATGAGGGGTGATAGACACAGTAGTTATTGACTGGGGGTTGGAGGAGGTGTGAATTCTCTTCGAGCCTGTGTTTATTGACATTGGTTAGTCTGGTGGTTCGTAGCTCTTCTGCGATGAAGTGTTGCGACAGTCACGCGATGGTGGGGGGGTGTGATATAGTTGAGTCGCTGATGTCAAAGCGTAGGAGATATAGTAGACATACCATTTTGGGATATTCAATGCCGGAGGAAGCATAATGTCTGCACTGTGTCTGGTCTGTCCAGATTGAGTAGAGAGCTTTGCAGAAGTTAAGTTGGACCCTGAGAAATCAAGATCAGATGTTCGGAGATACCAACTGCATCCCCGGACTTAGGAGTCGGCCCGGATCAACCTTGGCCCGTCAATTTTTCTTTTTCATCACTAGAAACTACTGAGCTTAGCGGAGATCTTCTTGACCAACAATTCAAGATGGCGACCTCACAACCCCCTCTCCGGTTCACAACTCATCACAACCTGGTATATCGCTTGGTCCTCTCCACTCTCACCGGCCGCACAGTCCACATCTCGCAAATTCGTTCGTCGTCGCCCACGAACCCAGGTCTTGCGCCTCATGAAATTTCTTTCCTTCGCCTCCTCGATGCAGTCACCAATGGCTCTCAGATGGAGATCTCCTACACGGGTACCATCCTGGTTTACAAGCCTGGTCTCATTACAGGTAGCACATCTGGCACTGGAGCTAGCGGCGGCATGATCAACTACGAGCTTCCTGCAAACTGCAACCGCGGTCTCAGTTACTACCTTATTCCCCTCTGCCTACTGGCCCCCTTCTCCAAAGCACCTATGAAGGTCCTTTTCACCGGTCCTGGTGTTATTACCTCGTCGACCCCAACCGGTGACATGTCCGTCGACAGTGTGCGGACTGCGATTCTCCCTCTGTACAACCAATTCGGTATCTTCAACAACATCGAGCTCCGTATTCTGCGCCGGTCAAACCCTGGTCCTAATGGCAAGGGTGGTGGTGGTGAAGTGCAGCTTGTATTCGGTCACCAGGTCCGTCTGCCGAAGACTCTGCATTTGATGAATGCCGGCCGTATCAAGCGTGTTCGGGGTGTTGTATACTCTGTCGGTGTCTCTGGTTCGAACAACGCTCGCATGATTGAGACTGCTCGTGGTATTCTCAACCCTCTCTGTCCGGATACATATGTCTTCTCCGACGTTGCGTCTGCGCCGTTGATTCCGGCCCCGGATAAAACAAACCCCCAGGCGAAGAAGAAGATCGGTCTTGGATTTGGTTTGTCCTTGGTTGCCGAGTCGTCCACCGGTTGTCTTTACTCGGCTGATGTGGCCTCTCCGCCAGCGGGTGGTCAAGCACCAGAGGATATTGGAAGGCAGTGTGCTTACCAGCTGTTGGAGACTGTCTCCAAGGGAGGCTGTGTGGCTCCTGCGGCTGCGGCGACTATGATGACCCTCATGACCATGGGCTCTGAGGATGTCGGTCGTCTGCAGGTTGGCCGGGAGGTGATTGCAGACCCGAACATGATCCAACTCGCCCGGGACATGTCTACCTTTGGTGCTCCTGGATGGGGTATCCGCGATGCAGCGGGCGAGAATGACAACGGTGATGTGATTGTCAGCGTTGTCGGCCGTGGAATCGGCAATGTCGGCAGAAAGGTTGCTTAAGCATACACGGCCTTTTGCACTCCGACTCTCTCTCTCACATTGAGTGCGGCAACACTTCAATATGGTGGCCTTGTCAACAGGCCACTCCCAGACCGAGGGCATATACGGTCACGCGGTTCATTTCTGCGTCGACTGCGGGCTGTCGTCTGCACCTGTTCTCGCGGACACTCTTGACTGTCGAGCATGGAGCTTGAGTTGTCACTCCGCGAAACACCCCAAGCCATGTCCTGCGCCCAAGACGTGTACATTGTTTACTTCTCAAATGTCATGATACCCACAAAATTCGCACTGTCGCTTCTTGCTTGGTTGGGCTAGAGCAAGGTGACCTGATATAGAATTCCATAATGTGATTTATTCATTATCTTTTTTCAATACTTGTATTTGTAGTCTGCTCAACTCCCAGGACCTTTTGACGTTATTTTTTGTGATTGTTATTGTATTGCTACATGCTAGGTAGGTAGTCCTAATAATCCTCACTACTTGCATTAGAGATAAGGTAGGACGAGCTTGTTCTCTTAGAATTTCCTATATCCTTCAATATTAACCCATGATATCATGGATATGTTGTAAAAAGAAATCTTTTGCTGGTCTCTATTTTGGACTCTAGTATATGATATGATCGCCATGAAAAAAAAAAAAAAAAAAAAGCAATGCCTCAACGCCAAAGATGCTAGGAAAAGTGTTCCTGCAGCAGTCAAAACTGCAGAAAGCAAAGTGCTCAAACGCTCTCAAAAGAAATATGTAAATCAACTCGAACCAAGAAAAAAGGGTGACAAGAAAGCTCATGAAATGTGCAATGAAAAGAAGCAAAATCCAGTTGTAAAAAGAGAAGAAAAAGGCAAACAGAACGCAGAACGAAAAAAAAAACGATAGGAGTATTCCAGGGTGAACTAGTCAGAAACATCCTCATCCTTACCAGGATACATAATATCCTGTCGCCAAACAGCCCTGATATGGCTAACGAAGACGAAGATCCACATGCAAATCACACAAATCGACATCGCCGAGCCAAACCCACCAATAGCCTTGCTCTCAAAGGACTTTCCAAGGGTAATGGTAGCAAGAGTAAAGCCAGTGTTGGGGAAGACCATAGCCCACCAAGAAAGATGGAACGCAGTGGGCGGCGAGCGCACAACAGCAATGAGCGCAATACAAAAGAACCACAGGCTCAACGCCCATAGGAACGCGCCAGCGGCCAAGGCGAGGATCTCGAGCATGCGCCCATCGGCCACGCTATCACTGCTTTCCATGACGCTGAATGTTTCTGGGAGTCCTCTGGCCATGCCAACGAGGGCTAGGGCTGTGAAGGCCGGTGGGCCGACGCAGATGAACATTCCTGGTCTGTGTTCGCGGCATGGGAGGCCGGATTCCATCAGCCGGCCGATGTAGTGGGAGTACATCATGAAGGAGATGCAGAAGCCTAGGCCTTGGAAGGTGACTCCGGCTGTGACGATTGGGATGGAGGAGTGGTCTGGTTGGCGTTCGGCGATGACCGAGGCGATGGTGCCGCTGAGCATGACTGGGAAGGCTGGAAGAATCCATGAAGGCATCATTGTTTGAAGGCGGTATGTGTGTGAGGAGAAAAGGAAGGAGTATTGAATGGCTGCGACGAGGAAGGTGCATGCGCAGTAGACCCAGAAGAGGACTTGGAGAGTCTTGGAGAAGGCTGGTTCTGGGTTTTCGCCAAAGTAGCGTTCCAGACCGGTGATAATTGTTGCGACTGAGAGCCAGAAGGTTGGGAAGAAGAGACCTTCACGGTCGTGAGTTAGGGAGTCGATGAAGCCGCCGTGGAAGATGAATCGGGCTGCCATCAGGGAGCAGACTAGAGTCATGAGAAGAATGTTGAACAGGTAGACTGCTAGCCCGATTTCTTTGAGGCCTTCGAAGGTGTTTGGCTGACTGGCTATCAAGAGGGCAAGGCCTCCTGTGCTCATTGTCAGAGTGTACCATGCCCAGGTGAAGTGACGGAGACGTTCACGAAAGCCGAGAGGGCCTTGCCTCTTTTGACCCTTTTCTTCTTGGAGGATAGGCTGGTCGGAGTATGAGGAATGTGAGGAGGGTGGTGGGTGTTGCTCGTAGCTGTTGTTAGGGTAGACCCCTAATAAGATTGGGTTGCTCATAATGAGTGTATAGATGGGGCCAGTATGGAGAAATGGAGCAAAGAGAATCGATAAGTGGATTTATAGACTATAGACCGTGGGTCTCAAGAAGAAGAATCAAGAAAGACAGTAAGAGAAAGGCTTGAAGCATGAACTGGAAAGACAAGGTGAATGGGTAAGAGGTTCATATATAAGTAACTTCAATTGAGGCAAATCAATGGCATCAAATTGAAAACCAAGTAGATCCATTCGGCCAAGAAATTCCAAGACCACTGTGCCTCACAAGGAGAATCACAATTCAATCAAGTCTCCTATAATCAGTATGACGAATCCTTGCAAACGGACCTACCAGCGACGTCAATGTTATCAAGACCCATAAAACCGGCAATCCAAGAAAGCCCCAAGAATAGATCGGCCCAGAATATTGGGCTTGGACGATGCATAGTATGCATCAGGGGTGGATAGTGTCTGGGCATCAAACTTTGGTGGCATAGAGCTTCGATGCCTAGGGGGGGAGGACAATCACTGGGACCGCCAAGAACAGAACCACTGCGTAATCCTGCTACACTGCCTCACTCAATAGGCACAGTGTATCATCCACAGGATACTGTATCGTTGGGTTGTCAATTGATCCACCTGTCAAGAGGATCTGTGGCAAAAGAAGAGACCTTGAAGTCACCGACGTTACGCAGATGATGAATCTCAATCCCGTTCTTCGGGCCGGCTGGGCAGTTTCGAAGCGAGCAAGCTGCCCGACCCTTTCCGATAGGACGTGAAAGGGAACAGAGCGCATTCAACGTGCCTGGCTATGCCAAGAGAGATGATCGACAGTGCATCAAAGACGGTCCGCTGCCAAGCTTTTAGTTGTGGCGAGAAGGGAGTTGGGTAACACCATTGCTGTTCGAAATCAGGTATATTGAGATTGTTGTCTGGACTAAAGTGCAGTGCTTCGAATGATTCCCGTGATGTGAGGATGTGAGGTGAAGAGAGAGAGAGAGAGAATGTTCAGATCCAAGCTCATGTCTTGGCACCTCCTGAACTTGTTATCTTCACAGCCTCCGCACTATTGATCCTCGCCAAGAGTTCGTTGTACATGTAACATGGCTGTCGATCGGATGATCAGCCAGGTTCCAAGGATTCCAAGGGGTTTCATGCTTATTTTTGGGCCCTGAATTTCGGCTGCCTGGTGGTGATTCAGACATCAACACCTCATCTTGCCAAGAACATGCCCAGAGTGGATTGTGATGCTCTTCGAGCAATGAAACTCTCGGATTAATGCTACTGTACTCCGTGAAGTGATGCATAGCAAATCTAGAAGCCTGGGAGTGTTTTATCATCAATCATCCGCAATGCCGTCCATGAAAGTACGCCGCGTCTTCTATGGCGGAGAAACGATGTCGAGCTCAGATTTGCCGTGATATGGCTCGGACTCGGGAGAATGATTCATGTGTTGAAGATCTCAAAGGGGGTATTTCTAGCCTCTCTGTCGAAACACGAGGATATCAAAGCGCGAGACACTAAACCTCAAATGGAGTACAGTATTTATTCACTGGAAGAAGAAAAAAAAAGACGAGCACCAAAAGATGAAATTCAGGATAAACGCTCAACCGGCAAAAGCCAAGAATATGCAAGAACAAAGCAAGATTATGCGCCTCAAAGTGACAAATTATGCGACAAGCATACCATACAGCGCGGGAGTCCAGAACTCAACCTTCAGGGTAGCATTGCAGAAGGAGCAAAGCTAAAGCATCTGCATTACATGTAGACAATGTCTGGGCATCTCCATTGCCTCAACCCAATCACAGCACCACGTTGGCTCACATCATGCGGTACACAAGATCAGAGGCCAGCTCCGTCGTCATGTCCAGAAGCGAGCGGAGACTCTTAGGGGCAGAAGTCTCGGCCCGCTCCACTGTTGCATCCACCGGCCGGAGCGATGGTGTTGCCGTTGCAGAATCGTCTGGCGAGTGGTACTTGGCCAAGTCCTTGACTTTGCAGGCTGCATAGTGTACAACCAGTCGTCGCAGCTCATTCTCCCGAAGTTGCGTCGCGGACGTTGGTGAGATGGGCTCCAGCCGGGCTGTTTTCGTGTAAGTATAGTGGACTAGGTTCAGGACCATCTGGGCCTTGCGCGCGGCCAAGACGCCCAGTTTTTGAGATGGGCTCCGCTCGGCTGTTTCTTGCTCCGTGAAGGATATAAGCAGGAGGTCTCGATGTAACTTGCGGAGACAGAGCTGCGCCAGGGCGGGGATGAGGTAGCGCGTGGCGAAGACGTAGACTTTGGCGTGGAAGGTTAGGTATGGGAGGTTGGATGTTGACTCGACTGGGGATATATTGGAGGCTGCGTCATCGTTGTATTGGAGAGAGACGAATTCATCCCACATGCTGAGGCCTGGTTCACAAGGGGACGAGGCTTGTTGTTGGGCAAATGACATGTCGAGCATTGGCCGGGGCCGGGGCATTTGACTCTTTTCTCCAAACCATGAGTCTGCTAGGGGTTCTGAGGTCTTTGGTGTCCATGCAGTTTCCGCTGGTGGTTGACCCCAATCCCCAGTTTGTTCTGGCTCTAGCTCTGGCTCTGGTTCTTGAGCAGGCTCTGGGGTAGGCTCCTCAGTAGGTGGCTCCGGTTCCAGCTCACCCTCTGCTGTTAGCCACTCTTCTGGAGCTGCTGCTGGTGGAGGTGTTGATGGAGGCGTCAGGTTGACAGGCTCTTCTGTTGCAGGAGCCACATCTTCAGCTGCTACTGCTATCTTGTTTGCCTTCTTGGCTTTCTTGCTCTTTTTGAGCTTTCGTGCTGGGCTTTGATATTTCACAGGTGCCTCGTACTCGGGCTCTGCATACGCCTGCGGCTCGACGGCAGGGTAATCTGGCTGCTCTGGTGCATCCGGCACAACCGAGTCTGCATATTCAAATCCATTCACTTCTGTGTGCTCTGGTTCTGTTTCAGGCACAGCTTCTTCGGGGTAAATGTATTCAGGCTCAGGCTCAGGTGCAGCATACTCTGGCTCAGGCTCGGGTACAGCAGACTCTGGCTCAGGCTCGGGCCCAGCTGGAGGCTCAGCTGGAGGCTCAGGCTCCTGATACACGGTAGTTTCCGCCTGGCTACGATCCCCAGGAGGCGGCGACGGCGCAGGTGGAGGCACAGCCGACGAAACCGATTCAGATCGGTAAGTATCTCTCCAAGAAGTGCCCGGACTGGGGGCATTCTCGACGACACCAGACCTACTGTCCTCTAGGGCTTCCTCCTCCGACTCGGTTCGCGGTACACTATAATCACCAGTGTATGCATACTCGCAGAAGGCAACAAATGTCTCAACATCCTCCTCTTCCAAAACGGCAATTCGATGTTTTGACTCTCTCGTGTGGCCATTCATCAGATTATGCAGCGGTTTGGAGACATGCTGGGCGAGGGCCGACTGGATTGTCAGCTTTGTGTGTCTTGGGCCGACGAGGAAGGTGAATGACGGTGAGTGGATGATACTGAGGGTTCATATGTTAGTCGGGGTGTATATGCAACCAGTTGCATTGCATACCTGCTATAATCTCGAACAGAGTCCATGAGGCCGTGGATGCTTAGGATGTTGATCTCGGGAGATTTCCCTTCTAACAAGTTATCGCAGATTCCACGCCCTTAAATATTCCCTCCAGCCCAAAAGTCCCGAGGCGATCACCGTTCGGCTACGTGTGCAGCTGTGGAGAGGAAATATGCACGATGGGGTCAAAACAGCTAGGCAGGTGTAAAATTTGGTGCTATTCTCTCTCTTGATTCGAACCTCCCCCTCGGATCTCTGCGATTGTCATCATTTTGCCTATCCAAATGAACAACGCAGAGCAGCGCAGAATCCTCGCTCCCGACTGGCCCAACTGTATCGCGTTGGCAGGTTTCGTGCCCAATCCCAGCCTGTCAAGAACCCAATAGTCCACCTGACTGGTTGATCTGCTGTGCCCCATTCTTTGGGTGCTGGATTTTGCAAGCTTCACTTTGTTGTCTGATTTGTCTGGTCGTGCTCAATGTGGCGGTCAACGTTGCTGCTCGCCTTCGGGATATTCTCAGCTACTCCTTTGGGCGGTTGGATCATGAAATGGGCCGAATTCAGAGATATCTTCAAGCTGACTAGTAGCTGACTAGTAGCTGACTAGTAGAATTGGGTTAAAATTGTTCTATTTGTGCTCTGCAGGTGGTGAAAACCCCCCTCTTTGGCTTCGAGTTTGGACCTCTTAACAACTCACCATATATTCCCAGGATCCCCAGGTGGCTTGAACATTTGATAGCTTCGGCGAAATAAGTCATCTGAACTATGCAGCTTCACTGCACGAGATCACCCTTTCGACAATTCAGGCTTGGCAGAAAATTCTTGATCTATATCCAACATAGCCACGATATACTACATAATACAACGATAGAACCCCCCCCCCAAAAATAAAAGAGCAGCGATCTGTTCACAAGTATCGTACAAGTCATACAATGCCACAAAATAGACCCATACAACATCAGGCCATAAACTAGCCCTGCAATCAGCTAGTATGCATCAGGCGAATCTCAGTATGCCCAGGCTCCCACTCCCTCAGCCCTTCCCCGACACTATACCAAAATCTCAGCCGAATGCACTCCTTCCGCGCAGCCTCGAGATCCCCTGCATCGAAGAATCCCGCGAGAGCCTGCACGCACTCCATGACACGCCCGTCATTCTCCTTTTTCAAGGCATTGATTTGCGCCTCGCCTTCCGGCGACGCTCCAACTTCCTCAATCGTCTCTTGTACTTCCATCACTTCCATCAAGGTCTCCGGATCCAGCGCGTGCTTCGTGGATGCATCCTCGGCCGTGACGTCGATGCCGTGCAGTTCGCGGAGCAGGTACTGCGCCCGTTGGAGCGGGTCGATTAATGTCCGGTAGGCTTCGTTGATACGGGCTGAGAGGCCCTCTGCGTGGGCTTTTTCGTTGCCGTTGGGGTATTTGTCCGGGTGGACGAGGCTTTGGAGCTGGAGGAATTCGCGACGGAGGTCACTGAGGGAGATCTCGAAGGGAGATGCTGGTGGTGGGCCGGAGGGAAGTGTATTGGCGAAGATTGTGTAGTGGTTTGTTATGTCCGGGGCGCCTGCGAGGACGGGTTCGCTTTGACCTGAGGGGGCTGATGCCTTCGTGGATGCATACCGGTGACTTGGTAATGTGTTCCAGGTTGCTTGCCGCGGCTGGGTTGTTTGCCCGGCCGTTGTTAACCCGGCGACTGTTGACTGGGTGCGATATCGGCAATGCGCGCTGATATCTTGGGATGCAGGGCTAGTCAAGGAGCTTTGTGGCCTTGAGATAGGCCCTGCTATGCTTGGGCGGCAGATCTGGGCAACCCTTGAACGGAATGCCATGTTTATGTCTATGTTGTCAAAACGGTATTCTGTATTCCCGCGGAGAAAAAGCCCTCCAGCGATCGCTTTACGTCATCCCCGCACTCCCACGTGACCCAGATCTATAAGAAAACAAAAAAAAAAAAGCCAAAGGTAATTCTCTAATTGCATTGACAGATTTGGATCGAGGTCTTGATTCACTAATTACGGCAGACAGGTTGAGATAAGTGGCTGGTATATTCATATAGTGACTTGTAGGCGGAAGGGAGACACCAAGTCTAGTTTGCCATTTTTACATGCTGAAAGCTAGGCTTGCTGCATTTCAATCCCGAGTGACTTTCAATTGAAAAGGATGTAGGCTGAGGTATCAAAATTTGAGTCGTAAATGTTGAATCATTCAATTCCCCACAGCTTCACGGTACGGTCATGACCACAACTAGCAATCCACTTGGTGTCATCGCTAATATCCGCACTCAACACATTGCCTGAATGACCGCTCAACGACTTAACCAGTGACCAGTCGTCCGCACTGTAGATATTGACATCCTTATCGAAACCACTGCTGACGAAGAATGTACCCGACTTCTTCGGTTGAACTGGTGTGTTAGTTGCTGCAGCACCGTCGATATCCATGTTTCCCTCGGTGGAAGGCAAGAATGAAGATGACTCTGCACCCTTGTACCAGCGAAGGTCAGACACCACACTCTTGTGAGCACCGATTCCGCCAGTACTTCTCACTTGACGCAAGTCCCAGCATTTGACCCACCCATCACCAGAGCCAGAAAGTACCCGGTACCCATCCTGACCCCAGTCCATACCGTAAATCTCGCGAATGTGGCCTTCAAGAATCATCACCGTGCGTCCTGTTCGCAGATCCCAGATACGTCCGTTGCTGTCGAATCCACCACTGGCCAAAAGAGAACCGTCGTTGTTGAATGCTACGGTATAGACTTCTCGTGAATGACCCTCCTGCAGGAGCAGCTCTTGTGTCGTTTCAAGATCCCACAGCCGCCATGTGGTATCGAAAGATGCCGAAGCTGCATATCGACCCGAGGGATGGAACTCTGTACGGCAGACACGCCCAGAGTGGCCAGATAGCGTCGCGAGCGGCTTTTCTTGATCAAGGGCCCAGAGGTTGATATCTCCCTCGCCACCTCCTGAAATCAAATTCACCGTTGAAGGCGAGACATTCGAACTGGGAAGCGTGGCACCTGGGAACCATGCCAATCCACCCACACGATCCGTATGGCCTTTGAAGTTGGCTGTTTCTTCCAAGTTAGGCACCGTGAGTAACTTGATACCACCGCTCCAATTTCCAGCAGCGACTGTCTGCCCATCCGGTGAGAACCGACAAATGCTGACTGGTCGATCTCCCGCGATTTGAGACCCATACAGTTCAAATCCTTGCAATTTCTCTTTAACAGCTTTGCGATGTTTGACGTGTGTCCGGAGTGGGATTGTCGATTCTTCTTTCAGTCGCGCGATTCGAGCCTTGGCGCGAGGTAAAGAGTAACGGGCAATATCCTTGCGCGCTTCAAACAAGGCATCAGTGCCCTCTGTGTAGAATTCTTCTTGTTGTTCAACTTCATTCTCCGGCTCGGCTTCTTCCATTTCAATATCTTCGCCTTGCTTATCCGCCACATCGGTCAATAGTTCACGTAGACGGTCCCGCCGATCTGAAGGACCCTCGCCGAATAGCGTAATGGGCTCGCCGAACTCTCGTAGCCGTGCGCGCACTTTGGCGTCGTCTGTGGGCACCACCATCGCCGCTGCTCGACGTTTACGTTCAAACTGGGATAGAATAGCGGACGCTCGCTCGGTGGGAATACCCGCCGCGGAAGAGGGGATTTCATAGTCATGGTCAACCGCTATAGTTGAGCTTCCGTTAGCATTGTCCAAGAGAGATCTTTGAAGTTGCGACTCACGGAGATCGGCATAGTTGATGCCCATGTCGGTGTCCTAATTGCGATTGAGGTCAGCTAGTGCTTGAGAGAGAAGATATAAGTGCAGAATATATCTGTTCCAGGCAAGCGCCGTGAGAGTTCAAGGTCGCGTTTAAATGCGCAAATTGAGCTCCATCAGGGTTGGGTTTGCTTACCGCAGACTCCTCGACATAAGCTTGTCTAGCTGGATGCATTTTGGCTAGAAGCTTGCGCTTCGAAACAAATTAAAAGTACAAAGAGATCAAGTGCTGAAACCAAAAGAGGAAATGCGAAGAGAAGAGGCGGAAGTGGCAGAATTGATAAAGCTTTGGCGGTGATGGAAGAAGTATATAATTTGGTCAGTTTTGTTGAGAAGCCACCTGAATAGCCCTCAGATAGAAGCGAGAGTATGAATAGTATCTGTTTCAATACGAAATCAAGATATACAGGGAATCTTTTACTCAATAAATACAATTAGCCCAATCAACCCGTATGTGACCGCAAATAACTAGTTAACGTGGTCGGCAAGCGAGTGGGCCATGTAAGCGAGTGGGCCACCCAACCACTTTTTCTACACTTTTATCGATATATCTCAACCATAACGCTATTATATTGATTAATCTCTTCTTAGACAGGCATTCTTCTTGTGCCCTATCTCGCTACATTTACCACATTTAGGTGGGCGCCGCATAACCGGTGCTTGCGTAGCCTGCGCCAGCGCTACCCTCGGTCCTGTTCTTGGCTGAAAGAACTGATTGTGAGCTTCCTCTAGCTCTAATGCTTCTTGTACTGATAAACCGTCATCGTGGGCTATCCATCTATTCACACGAGCGCGCTTTTGCCTTTGTGTAGCGTTGGCGGCACGTAGTTGCTTGTTTTCTTCCTCGAGAAGTATACCGTTCTGCATTGCGACTTGGCAGCCTTTAATAAGCTGGTTTAGCGCTGCCTGTGAAGGCGAGGGTGGGCTATTTGAGCGTTGCTTAAGGAACTCTTTGATCGAGGATGCTTGCTTTAGAAGCTCGTTAACGTTCGCGGGTGTATGTGGGTAAAATGCGCTTGTGTCACTGCCACGGCTGGAAGGTGGCGTCGGCGTCCGAAGTTGAATATTGAGCTTTGATAGCACTTCTTGAGGATCGAATGGTACTAATCCTGCTGCTTGAAAGCTATTCTTGATTGTGTCTGTTTTAAATGCGTTGACACGAGCTTGTGGATATGCTAGGAGGAAGTTAAGCTTGTCGATATGGTTGATCCCGAGCCGTATTTTGTTACCGACTAAGGTACCGTACGATTGCTTTAAAACCGCGAAACATCCGATATCAAGAGGCTGTAAAAGATGCGATGAATGCGCTGGCATACAGATTGGTATAATATCGTGATCCGCGCAAAGTTGATCGAATTCTGGCGTAAGATGGCTTCCGTGTCCGTCGAGGACTAAGAGTCGATATTTTCCATGCGTACGACTATTTGTCGACGGAATAAATTGCTTTTGAAGCCAGCGAAGGCCGATCTTATCGGACGTCCACCCGTTCGCACTAACTTCGATACGCCAGTCGCGTGGAAGGTCTTTAAACCACGCTTGATTGTATTGCTTACCCTTAAAAATAAGGGTCGGTGGAAGCGCCCACCCCGAAGCGTTAACTGACTCGATTGCAGTTACCCACTCACGGTTTCCTGGCTGTAAAACTGATCTCCGACCGTAGTATTCTGATCGGGTAATCACTTTTTGATTCGCACAAAGGCCCATTGCGAAGCCAGTCTCGTCAAAGTTATAGATATCGTCCGAAAGGATACCGTATTGCTGAATCGTGGCTTGCACAGTGTTGAACCACTCTTGAATAATCTTTGGATCCTCTTGCTGTGCCCGCTGGTAGTCGTATCGTCGTGAAAGGCGAGAACAAAGCTCTGGATGGCGTTGGGTGAAGTTATATACCCATTTTTCGCCGACGGTTTGGATGGGGGTAGAACCACGCTTCGCGAGTAGGATATTCGCCATTTCTCGTACGTGAGCTTGTGTAGGGGCTGCTCCACGTAGATCTAGCGATAGTATCCGCTGCTGAAGTAGTTCCTCTTCAATTTGTGTCATTTTATGACAATTTGCGCGAGATTCAGCGCGGTTTGTAGTTCCGCGTAGTCGACGCGTGAGCGTAGTGCGGGGGACCTGAAATTGGTCTGCGGCCTGCCTAATAGTGCTAATCTCTTTACTCTTGATAGCCTGTATAGCAAGTAGGATACGGCCTTCTTGCTGAACGGAATTTTGGCTCGATCTGACGCGAATTGGAGGCATGGTGGTTGATAGAAAACAGATAGATAGACCGGGATGCGAAAAAGTGGTTGGGTGGCCCACTCGCTTACATGGCCCACTCGCTTGCCGACCACGTTATCCCGTGCAGCCTCAGATCTCAGGCAGTGAAAAAAAAACCAAATGACGCCAGGCGGTCGATAAGAGCGGGTACAGTCTTATCCACGGCCATGGATTTTTGTCTCTTTGAACAACTTCACTTTGACATTTCGACCCTTGGCCACCGTGGGCCCTCTATATATATACCCTTTACCCCCCGAGACCTTCAATGATCCCGCCAAGTGTTTCGTGCAGGACCTGCAGTTCCGCCTGCAGTAGCCTACAAGCCATCGCTCGAGACGGGGTGTTCTCGATCTCCGCCAGTTCTCGCACATCCAAGGCCTCATTACTTCTCACCAAGCCTCACGTCCGGCTGTACACGGTCAGATCAAAGTCCCACCTGCGCAGCCCGGCGCTGCAACTACAAGGCCGAGCCCAATCTCGCCGAGGATTCCATTCCACGCCAGCTACACACCTCGAAAAACAACCCTCTCCTCCGCCGTCACCTAGCTCCCCCTCAACGCGTGTCTCCTACCGCGTCGCCGTTTCCTCGAGTGGAAAAGGTCGCCGCTTCAACCCCCTCACAAACGCCCACAACTTCGACCCCTCCGCCGACGCGCTAGGCGTAACAAACGACAAGAATAGCGTCAGCAGAAGGCGCAACAGACCCGATAGCGGTGAAGATGCTTTCTTCGTCAGCCGCATCGGAAACAGAATCTCAGACCACCAGCATGGCAACGCAGAAGCTGTCGCCTTCGCCGTAGCAGATGGTGTCGGTGGCTGGACCGAATCCCGCGTCGATCCGGCCGACTTTTCCCATGGCATTTGCGGCTACATGGCGCACACCGCGCAGACTTGGCACGAGCCTGCTGAGCTGCTCCGTCCGAAACAGCTCCTTCAGGCTGGCTACGACCAGGTCGTTGCGGACCCGACGATTCGCGCCGGTGGCAGTACTGCCTCTGTTGGCATTGCCTTGCCGGATGGACGGGTGGAATTAGCCAATTTGGGGGATTCTGGCTCCGTGCTCTTGCGCAAGGCTGCTGTGCATCAGTATTCCGTCCCGCAGACCCATGGCTTTAATACCCCTTATCAGCTTAGCGTTATCCCGCCCCGCATGCGTGCCCAGTCGGCTGTCTTTGGCGGTGCCTTTTTGGAGGATTTCCCCAAGGATGCTAGCGTTACCAATTTGACCATGCAGCATGGTGATGTGTTGATGCTTGCTACCGATGGTGTCTTTGATAACCTGAACAATCAGGATATTCTCAAGCTCGTCACTGGACGAATGATCTTGACCGGTGCCTGGACGGCTAATGAGTCTGGCGTTGGCGTCTCAGATGACCTGCGTACTTTGACTGCTCCGGGTGGTTTGGCAGATGCGTTCCCTTCAACGTCCCGCTTGGCCAAGTCCAAGTCCAATTCCAAGAAGGAGACCGAGACTGAAGAATCTGCTTCTCGTCCTGAGGATCAGATCACCTTGCAGTCGATCCTTGCTGCTACCATTGCCGGCGAGGCGAAGAAGGCTAGCATGGATTACCGCCGCGATGGCCCCTTCGCCAAGGAGGCTCAGCGTTATTACCCCGGTGACTACTACCGCGGCGGCAAGGTGGATGACATCTGTGTGGTGGTCGTAGTGGCTATCGATGATAGCCTGGCTGCCAGCGGTGCAGTCTGAGCGATGAGAAAAGAGATCAAACCGGAAACTGGAAACCTAGATCTCACCTAGACACAGCGTCATCTGGTGCCGTTCTTTTCACATTCTTTTCTTTTCTTTTTTTATTTGTTTTGTTCTTTCTTTTGTCTGGGTGGCTGGGGTTGGTATATAACTTCATGGCTATGTGCATATAACTTAGAGGCGCGGGGGCTTTATGATTTGATTCTGCGAAGAGAGCATTGCGTTATGCATCTGTCGTCCTTGGTCGATACCCGATACTCGATACTCGATACCTTGGCCTGGACTATACTATAGAAATAATTGAACCATCGCATGATGGATTTTCGGACCGACTGCTCTACTGCGAATGTAGCTACGAATCCACCGCTACAATGGCTACTCAGATAATTGCTGTAAACAACTTGTGGATTTGACTTGTCCTATGAATCACTTGAGCATAGTGAAGCGTAGCAGACAGCCATGAAGGTTGCATACTTCACTACGTATGCGGGAAGAACTTCCATCATATCCATCATAAACCATATTCCTCGCCGAATTCCTGGATTTGGAGTGAGACCAACACGAAAGCTAATGATCACCACAGATCGAGAATGTCATGGTGCAACTTCGGAATGAATGACGACCCATGTAACTCTGTAACCTGTTACTCCTATGCACATGCACCAAGGCCAGGTAAGAAAAGGGCGATGTACAGAAACAAGCAGTCAGGGAATATCGAGAAAGAAAGAACAAGAAACAATCACATTTTCCATTGATTCAAAGATTGGCTGGGTGGTCCAGCCCCGTAATCCCAGGCGTTGAAAGATGACAAAGTACAGTAACAGGCCGGCGGTAAGCGCGTAGGTTAGAACAAAGACAAAGAAGAGAACAAGAAAAAAAGAAAAGGGAAAAAAAAAGAAAAATGGGAGTGCGCAAATGGTTCAAGAAAACAGTCATGAAGTGTGTATCTCAGACCATTTAAGCGGTCTCGGTCTTCTCTTCAGAAGGTTCCTCTTGCTTCTCTTCCGCCTTTTCATCCGTGGTCTCTGCGGGCTTGTCGCCATCGGCCTTCTCCTCCTCGGGCTCAGAGGCCTTTTCTGCGTCAGCATCAGGCATCGGGGAGTCGAGGTCATCCTTGGCAGACTTGGATTCGGGCTCCTTCTCTTCCTCAGTCTCCAGCTTGGGAGTGTCAGCTCCGTCATCCTCCTTGTTGGAACCATTGGCAGTAGGCTTGTCGTCCTTATCAGTGGCACCGGCGGGGGTATCTGCGTCTAAGATATTCTTCCAGCTAGACAGAATGTTCATGGCGCGGTGACGGAAGCTGAATTCTTCGTCGCGAGGAATTGAGTTAAGCTTGACAATCATCTTCAGGACTTTGTTGATCTTGGTAGAACGGATGATTGAGACTTCCAGATCAGCGTGCTTCTCCAGCTTATCAAAGTAAGATGCCATGCTGGCCATCTCGTCCTCCTTGGGAGGCTGGTCACGGGAAATGAAGCCCTTCTGGAGCTTGTGACGAAGGAAAAGGACTAAAAGGCGTAAGTGCTCTGGGTCGGGCGTTCCTTGGGTAGGGAGGGAACCAGGGTTTGGGGGAGACGTACTCTCTTTCTCCTTTTTCTTCTTCAATTCTTCGGGATCCACGGGCTTGGGGGACTCCTTAGCACCGGCACTGGCGTCTTCATCGTCGCTGGGAGCAGGAGCTGCCTTGCCCTTCTTGGCGGGAGCTTTCTTGGTCTTGCTGGCAGGGGTCTTTTTCTCCTCGGGGGCCTTAGGGGTGGTTAACTTCAGCTTGGTGTTGGTCTTGGGAGTCTTGGCGGGCTATATGCGCAATTGACATGTTAGCAAAGGTGATTAAAAAAAAGAGCATTCTGCACCACCTACCTTGTCAGCCTCGGCATCAGTCTCGGTGTTCTTGCGTTTCTTAGATGCCTTGGACTTCTTAGTGTCATCCACATCCTCCATTTCAACGTCAGTTTCAGCACCCTTGCTCTTGCGTTTGCCCTTCTTGGCGTCCTTTGCGGCCTTAGCAGCTTCCTTCTCGGCCTTCTCGGCCTCGGCTTCAGCCTCCTCTTGATCGATGGCGGCCTGGTGGTCATTCAACAGGCTCTTGAAGTACTGAAGGTCATGGCCTTCGCTGGCAACCTTGTAAGCGCTGATCAATTGCTTGGTTTTGTTCTTCTCGGAGATTTCCTTGCAATCGGCAGGGTCGAGGGGGGTAAGCGCAGTGTTTGTGACCCAAGCGCTGTCACGAGTAGTCAGTAAGAAATTCGTGTTGGCTGTAGAGCAAGGGCGGGGGTCAACTTACAACTCATTGGTCTCGAAGAACATCACGGGGAAAGTGCGCTCGTGAGTGCGACGGCCACCGTCAGCGTACTCGCCCTTGTAGGATCCATCCTTTTGCATGGCGGTCACGGGGCGATTCTCAAGCAAGCTCTCGGGAAGGATCTCGTCATCGCAGATGATGGAGGGCCAGGGCGCATAGCTGCGAAGGCGCGCAAGGTAGTATTGACCAGGCTTCGCGTCCAGGTGGGTGATGCGGTTTACAGACTTCTTGCGACTCAGCTTCTGAGTGGCACCACCGGAGGCACGGCGGCTCTTGGAGGAGTTCTTTGCGGAGGCAGGGGTTCCGTTGGCCTCGGCATCAGCAGGAGCGGCGGCGTCGTCGCCATCAGCCTTGGCCTCTGCCGACTCATCGGCGATACTGGGCTTATCGGCCTCAGCTTCCGCTTTCTTGTCGTCGGTCGCAGCTGCGTTCTCTGTGCGGAGAAACGATGAGTTAGCGGTTTTTGGTCGCACAGAGATTGGAGCCCCCGACCGGGGAACCGCTGTGAACAATGGGACATGGGGATATTCAGCGATAGCAAGGGAATCATGCTTACCGGCAGGCTTGTTGACGATGTCAGTCTCCGACTTGTTCTCATCGGTGGGCTTCTCGGCGCGCGCGGTCTCGCCAGCCTCGACTGGCGCAGTAACAGGAGTATCCTCGGCCATGATTGCCAGTGAAAGCAAAAGGGAATACTGAGAGAGCGATTGGAGTTTGGTTTTGGGGGTGGGAGGGAGGAGGGGGGAAAGCAGCCAGGGGAGGTTGCAGAGAGATGTGGAGAAGAAAGAGTCGCGAAAGGCGGAACTCCAAGACGCGTTGGGAACCGCAACCTCGATGACGCCACAAACTTTAGATCGGTTTCCCACGAGGTTGAACAGCTAAGAACAGCTTGCAATAGCTTGCAATAGCTTTAAATTGCTGGGATTGGAGAGAATAATTTGGTCTCGACGTAAGGCTGCAAGCTAACTCAGGCGAATCCCAGTCAAATCAAGTGACCGCATTGGGGTCGAGGTGCAGGCACGTGCAAGTATGAGTCTCGAAGTATGAGTTGGGGAGATCTGCTCGTGTCTTGCCAATGACTTGCTGATCTTGGGTCATTGTCGATATCTGGGGCTTGTATCAGATGTCGCGTGTGTGCCAATCGCAATATGAAAGCCTCGCATTGGATTACCGCATACTGACTGACACTTGGTAGGATCTGGTACCCATATGGCCGCAAAGCTTACCAGGCTCATTGGCTGTAGACGTGGACTGCGTCCACGTCTGGCACATCACTTGAGAATCTCGAATTCAATTGGAAGAGAAAGATGAGGCTGTGAGGATAATTGAAGTGGCACTGTACGAGAAGAACGTTATGGGGAAAGGTTTTCGCGATGTAGAGCGCATGAGCGTCAAATTCGGCATACAAGGTTCTTCCGTTTCGCGATTTGTACTATAAGCGGTTCTATCCTGGAATTGCTTTGTCCTGCATACTAGTCATCATGTTAGTATTGACATCAAGCAATCAGGCCGACTTGCACTCTTATTGCCTAATTGTAATCAGACATAGTAAGGCTTCCAGTTATCCTTCCCTCTCGATCTATAAGTGTGGCATAGTGGTACCGTTGATATTTGATCAAGTAATGCCTGTAGATAATGCAAGCAATTTCTTCAAGAGTCTCATCAGACTCAACTATCCCGCCTGTCTCAGTACTTGGAAACATTGTTGATCAATTAAATAAGAATAAAGCTCGATTCTAGGTATAGTATAGAGTGTATCATGATACACCCAAGGTGTGATCGACAAAGTCCAGGCAGGAGACAATGAGAGGATTAACGATATTTCAAAAGTCATATACACAAATTATCAACAGCCTGGTGGGTTTGTACAGGGTATCACATTCTAAACAGGGAAGCTGGTTCAACGGACATCAGACCGACAATTATATTCCTTGCAGCAGCCGTTTATGCAATGACAGTAGGGCTCAATAGCTCCTCATCAGTAGACCGACCATCTAAGCCATCTGAAGTGACAGTGGCAAGCGATGGCTCTGGCTTGTGGATGCGGACAAGCCATAGGAAGTAGTCCTCTAGCGGCAATAGGTTAAGTAGCATTCCATTGAATCGCCAGCCCAGTGCGCAGACTAGGGCTCCGGCCACTGCATCTAAAATGAAATGGTTGGCCGTGGCAACAATGGCGACCAGGATGATGAATGGATAGGAGAATCCAAGGACAAGACACGTCAGGCGACGCCACGATGGAAGAGTCAGCCTCACCCTTGTCAGGCGAGTGCGCAGTACTGTTCGTCGTTGCGGTCGCAGAGGAATTGTCATGATTGTGAGACCGATCATGAGGGAATAACCAAAGTGCAAGGATGGCATTGCGGCTGACAACGGTTAGCCATGAGATCTTCGAGTTTCAAAAAACCACCTGGGCACTTACCATATTGATTACAAAACCGGTTTTCTGTCCAAACACTACCGGCTCCATTGCTACCATGGACGGTATCAACAAAGCCATAACTGCGAGCCAGCTCACCTTCTTCTCCACCCACATTGGTGTCGCTCAGTAACCGAGGCGGCATACAAGGCCACAGAGTGAACACCACGAATGCGAGCAGATTGCACACAGCCAAGGTTCGCCGACGTGCTTGATATAGAAGAGGACCCGCGGGCGACCCACTCACAGTACCCTGGGGCTTTCCTGTCTGAGTCTCGTCGATCCGGTTCCGCGTCGTAGTGAAGTAGTAGAGCCAGACGAGGAAGGCGATGGTCCCCGGAATGTGAATGAACGAATATATCCAATTGATCCAAGTCATGGCACGGGGACGGAGCAAGAAGTCCCTCTGGATCATGGTTTCCAAAAATATACCCAGACTTTCCTCCATTTTGATGAGTTGCAGAGCATGTCTTCTCGCAACATCGACTGTGTCGTCTTTGAGGGTCACGGCGGTAAAGGCTCGGCCAAGCTGATATGTCTTTCGGGAGATCAGCTTCTTGTTCCTACATTGTACGAAGGTTGTATAGATCGGATGCCCCGAGGCACAAGGTTGGAACTTACCCAGTAAACTAATGCCCAGTACCAGCATTCCACCAAGAAGGGAAGCTTTCGCAGTAAACGACTCAGCAACCGATCTTGGAAAATAGCCGTGTTTGGCGATGAAATCCCCCAAGTCCAGCCAAACATGCCCACTTGTCGTGTGTGCCATCTATCGGGGATCTGCAAGGGGGATCGGGACCGAGGAGTGAGAAGCCCATCCTTTGTTGTAGGACTTGAGTATCCGGACTCGAGGGAATCCAGGGACGCAGCTCGCACCAAGTCTGCGGATTTCCGAGCATAATGACGGTGAGCGTTTCCGCCAGTTGCACGGTTGATCCAGGTCCCTCCAAACAGTAGCACAATGACCACTAGTGGCTCGAGGACCGCTCCCACACCCATCATAAAGGATATATCAGATATGTAAAAAAAGGAATGGGGAAAGCCTTGGGGGGTGAGAAGAGTAAGAGAACAAGAAAAGACCAACCCTGCTGGGCAGGTGCCATGGGCCCCGTCACCAGATGTATTTTCCCTGGATCATACTGGGAACCACTCATTTTGCTTCTGTCTACAGGTAATATGTGAGTCTACGTATGTTTAGGTGTACATAATAGGTCCACAAGGCTGGCTTTGTCCTTGGCAGTGGAGCTGGAACACATCTGCACAATTCTGTCCAGTTGCAGCAGTCTAATGTCGCGTGCCCTGTTTTGGGTAACTCGTACGATAGCGTATGCGGAGTCTCTCGGGTTAGTGATACCTGAACGTCGGGATACGGAGTAAGCTGGTCAAATCAGTCCGACTCAAAGACTCTTTGAAGGTGGCATTCGGACCTGCTGGTATGATACAGTCCGGTTCCCACTGTGCTTGGCGTTATGTTTCAAGGGTTTGTCCCACTCAGATGTGCCAAGTCCGGTTTTATGCACAATTTTTCAATGTCCGAGGTAAGTCCAGTAGAAACTAGACAGTGGACAGTGGAAAGTGGAAAGTGGAAAGTGGAAAGTGGAAAGCGGAAAAGTGGACAAGTGGACTCCAGGTCACAGTGTACAGTACTGTACAGTAGTGCAAGTACATGATGTCCGCTTTTTGGATCCCAATTGCTCCAGGCATGCAGAAGTTGGATAAATGCAGTGAACAGACCCAACAGTCCGCCAAGGTCGGGATCGGACCGGATCGACCTGACTCAGCGGCATCGGGGCTCGGATCGACGAACCACCGAATGTTTTCTTTTGGGCAACTCCGCGTGTGCTGACTTCCGGTTTCCGCGCGATTTCGGACGAATCAGTCCTGGTTTCGTATTCGTTTGGTTCAAAGCTTATGTGGATTTGCTCGTATCTGCAGGTGTACTAGATACGAGTACATGGGGGTGATACAGTATACAGTATAGAGATATATATAACTGAACGTGAACTTATCAATCTTCGCTTCATGTGGGCAACTCCCTCTCCTTGTAGCGTTGCCCAATATCGGATGATGTATCTTTGACGTCAACCCTCGCACGTTCCCAAATCGGCCTCGGCTTCCCGATCGAGAGGATTCGCAAGTACGCCAAGCGCAGTTCAAGGACCTATCTTGTTGCACCAGAAGGAGGATGGCTTTGGATTTGCGAGGTCGAACCCCAGACCTGTCAAGCCGAGATCCAAAGGCGTGACGGAAATCCGAGGCCCATACTATTCCGTACGTGGGCTATACTTTTGTTATCGAGCAGGGACTGACATAGATCAGGTTATGGGCAAACAATATCTGGCAGATATCCTCGAAACGTAATTTCCCCTTATACCCAGTCAACAAGACAGGGCTGACATGAGTTCATAGAATGGGTAACCATGTAGATGGTCTCAAGTTTGCAGGAGGTAAGTGCGAGTCTTGAATCTGACTCTGACTCTGAGACTCAGCGGGAGCTGGATATAATGAGTGAGAATCGCAGGTTCCTTTTCTCTTTTTGAGGAAAAGCCCTTGCGCGAACTGATTGACCTGGCCCACGAACACGGTGTATATGTCTCGACGGTAAGATCCCCCCGAAACATGACATGTTTGTTTTGTATATGGGCTGACCTCTGCCACGCCAATTCAGGGTGGATGGGCTGAGCATCTCCTTACGCATCCCGACCCGAACGCCGTATTCAACCGTTACCTGACAAAGTGTAAAGATCTCGGGTACGTGCACATTAAAAGTATCCCATGTCGAGCATAGGCAAGAAGCTGATCATGCTGTATACAGCTTGGATGTAATTGAAATATCCTCCGGTTTTCTCTCAATCCCAGAAGACGACTGGCTTCGTCTGGTCGACAAAGTCCACGCCTACAAGCTGGAAGCAAAGCCCGAGCTGGGAATTCAATTCGGTGCTGGCGGGGACACACCTGCTTCTGGACTTGAAGCCATAGGTACTTCTGATCCCGGTAAATTGGTTAATCTTGGTCATAGATTCCTTGATGCTGGCGTGAAGCGGTTGATGATTGAATCGGAGGGAATCACTGAGAATGTTCCCTCCTGGAGGACTGATGTGGTATCCCAGATTATGAAACAGCTTCCTTCTGAGCGGGTCATGTTTGAAGCTGCTGATCCCAAGGTGTTTAACTGGTATATCCGGGAGTTTGGCATTGATGTCAATCTATTTGTGGATCACAGTCAGATAGTGCAGTTGGAGTGTTTACGCTCTGGAATTTGGGGGACTGCAGATACCTGGGGGAAGATTGTTTCATTCCGCAACTAAAATTGAGAGGTCCAGACAACCTTGAATAGTCAATATGGAGGCTCTCAACTTCAAAATAAGTCAAGTTAACTTAGTGAAAGCCTTCGGGAATTAGGGCTGTGATTACCTAAGCCGAAGCTGCTCACGGGGATCCACTACCACGTCATTTCTCTCATTTCACAACTTGCTCCGAGTCGGCATTGGGGCTTGTTTGAACATCCCTTGTACATTGTCCTCTGCGATCTCGTCTCTAGCTTCGACAACATCGGCACCTTCTGCCCAGATAGCTCAGGATCATATCCTGACCGAAAGCATCCGGCCCGCATCTGTACAGCACTATCCACAGGACGGAGCCTCGTCTCCCTCACCACGAACATGAACGGAAAAGCCAAATCCCACAGCAGCGGCTCTTCAACCAACTCACAGCCCCAGCGCACCCACAAAAGAAAAGGGCAAGCTATCCCCAATATACTCACCTCAGAAAATCAATCACTAACATCCCGAAGCATCCACTGGGCACCCCTAAACATAAGCCTAAAACGCCGTCTCCAAACGTTCCTCGTCCTCTGCCACACATTAACAATCGCAATCTTCCTAACAGCCTTCTTTTTCACTTGCGCCATCCCAATCTTCTGGCCCCTCCTAGTCCCCTACCTCCTCTACATCTCGCTCTTCTCAACAGCGGCAACATCAGGCGAACTAAAAGGCCGCAGCCAATTCCTGCGCTCGCTGCCAATCTTCAAACTATACGCTTCTTACTTCCCCGCCCGTCTCCACCGTGAAGAGGAACTTCCCCCGACGAAGAAGTACATCTTCGGATACCATCCACACGGAATCATCTCCCATGGCGCCTTTGCAGCCTTCGGAACCGAGGCTTTGGGATTCGCGAAACTGTTCCCGGGAATCACCAATTCGCTCTTGACCCTCGATGCTAATTTCCGCATTCCCTTTTACCGTGAGTATGCGCTTGGTTTGGGCATTGCCAGTGTATCGCGGGAATCCTGTGAGAATATCCTCACAAAGGGCGGCTCGGATGGAGAGGGCATGGGAAGGGCGATTACGATTGTTGTTGGCGGAGCGCGGGAATCGTTGAATTCGCAGCCTCACTCGCTGCGGCTGGTCTTGAAGCGTCGCAAAGGCTTTGTTAAGCTTGCTATCCGGACTGGGGCCGATTTGGTTCCTGTTTTGGCTTTTGGCGAGAATGATCTCTATGAGCAGGTTCATTCTGATGAGCATCCGTTAATCCATAAGCTTCAGATGTTCGTTAAGCGGACTATGGGTTTTACGATTCCGCTTTTCCATGCCCGCGGCGTTTTCAACTATGATGTTGGTTTGATGCCTTATAGACATCCGCTTAATATTGTTGTTGGTCGGCCGATTCCTGTCATGCAGCAGCAGAATCGGGAAAAGATTGATGATCAGTATATTGATGAGTTGCATTCGAGATATGTACAGGAGTTGGTGCGGTTGTGGGATCAGTACAAGGATGTTTATGCTAAGGATCGGGAGGGTGAGCTGGAGATTGGCTCGTGAGGATGCCATGTTTTATCTACTGGTACAATGCAGATCAACGTTTACTGTTTAAAATGTATTACAATGTATAGTAAATTAAAGGTCTCATAATGGTTAACGTTAACACAAATCATACATGTTCAATAGTTCGAATTAAGTACACACGCAAGAATGGTAAACCTATGGATTGGGTATCAGATCAGAAAAGTCAAAATGCTTCAATAGCACAAGAAGAAAGGGAAAAAAGGGGGTCATCATCATCCTCGGAACGGCGAGCTGAGACTTGGATCCCATGACGGCGCAGTAGGATTCAAGCCAGGCACCTCAGCCGATGAGGATTCACGTCGGCTCTCACGTCGACTCTCATTGGTGATACTCTTGACGTTCAGAGAAGAACGATCATTCGCGGGTCCACCTTCCATTCGGCTTTGGATCATCTCGTCCAACAATCGCGAGACTTCATCCATGTTTTTACCACCTTCCGTCTGGTCATTGACTCTGCTGACTCTGCTAGAGCCAGAGAAGGCCCGTTTGTTAGGGCTTTCCGGGTTGTCTGTGGGAATGCCACTAGTCCTGACGGAAGGGGGACCATCTACCTCGCCAATATCGCCCTTGCTTTTCAACTCTGGTGATTGAGACTCACTGGTGACGGTAGCTAGGTCGCGATGACGGGTTGCGGACCGAAGTGCCGCGAGCATGCGATCCTTGTCATCAAGCTGAAGGCGGAGTTCGTTGATCTCCATATCCTTCTCCCGAACCAAAGCCGCCATGTCTGGTTGCTCCGCGATAGTGGCATTCGCAGGCTTGACACCAACTGACATGCGGGTATGACTCGATCGACGAGCTTGTAGAAGTCGGCGTTCCAGGGTTGAGATGTATCGGTTCTTATCACCAAGATCGGCCTGCAATGCACATACCTGACGTTGCAGGCTGGCTTTGCCATCACCAAATTCACCCAGGTCGTCCTCATCTTCCGGCCCAAATGATCCATTAGGGTAATAAGTTTGTGAGGGATCGTTGCTATTAATGGACATGAATGAGATGGGACGTATGGATGAATGGACAGCACCCAGCGTCGATTGACTGGCGGATGACCGGAGAGATCGAATGCCAGAATCTGTGGAAGACATGCGAGAAAGCCGACCAAATGTAGACAGGCTGTTGGGGTTGTTCACTCCGGTAGATTTGGAGCTCAAAATTAGACGATTAAGATGCTCGATTCGCTCTTTGAGCGCAGTTCGGGCCAACTGCATCTCCAATACTTGCTCCTCATGGCGGGCTTGCGCCTCTTTCTCATACTGGTGCTCATCCCACTTGAGCTCTTTTTCGGCTTGGGACTTGGCCTGCGTGTCCAGCTGACCGCGCAGAGCTTGAATCTCCATGCGGTACCGCTCAAGTAAAACCCGGCTTCCAGAGTCCCCGCCGCCGCCACCATATGCCTCTTCTGCCTTCTTGGCATGACTGACAATGTTGTTCTTGGCTCGCGCGGCGAACTTCATGGTGTTTAGGGTCTCGCCAGTGTTGGAATTGATAGAACTAGTAAGCTGGATGGTACATAAGATACTGACAAGCGAGCCACCGGACAACGCGGGTTGTAGCAATCTGGTCAATTTGCTGTCACGGTAAGGCAAATGCCGCCCATCGCGATCCATGGGGTTGCCTTGCTTGTCTTTGTTCTCGGACAGTCGGGAGATAATGGTACCAAGAGTGAGCAAACTCTTATTGATGTGCGCACCCTCCGTGCGACGCTCCTTGTCATCGGCTGCGCGCTCGGATCCGGCCAAATCAATTAAACTCAAGGTTGAAACACGTACGCCTCCTGGGGCGATCCCAGATCTCTTGTCTTGGGAGTTGCCCGAGGGTACACGCTCCCGGCTCTCGACAACGATTTGAACAACCGCATGACTTCGAGAACTTCGTGCGTTGAACTGTGTACTGCTGGTTCGTCGTGCATGGTCACCTCTTGCAATTACACGAAGAAGCTGGGTCGGACTCTGAACAATCTCTTCCTTGAGCGGCGTAGCATACACGCCTCGCTTGCTATCCTCTCTCAATTTGATCTCTTCTTGAGGAGCTGCAGGCCCGTTGGCAGACGAAGCAGACAGGAGATCGTTGATCTTCTCGTTATAAATTTCCAAGTAGCTGACCCGCAGCAGGAACTCTCGGTGGGGGGTTTCTCTGATGAAAGAGAAGATGTCGGTGATGGCAAGTGGGATCACACCAGGAGACGTTGCCGTTCCTTGCATGGAAAAGGTCTTTCCGGTTCCAGTCATACCATATGCAAAGACCGTTCCATGATAGCCTTCCATGACACGCCTGACAAGTCGCTTGGCTGCTGAATCGTAGACTTTGGCGTTGTTCTCCATGGGGTTGAATACATTGTCTGTTCCAACTCGTCAGTCGCAATCCACAAATACTGGGGGTGTTGGTTGAATGATGCTCACCATAGTAATAATCGCCTCCTTCCTTTCCGCGATATGAGATGAGGCTTTGCCGGCCATCAATCGACCATTCGCCATGGTTGCGCGGTGTTTCTCCTCCACTGTTATTATCAGGGCGCACACGTACACTCACAATCACATTGCCCTTGATTTCTTTTGGCTGGACGGTCGATTTGCTTGCTGTATCGTCTGCATCCTCAAAAGTAGTAGCGCTAGTCGAGCAGGATCCTTGCGCAGAGGAGCTTCGACTGTGCGCCGGGGACGCATCTGGATCCCGTGCATCCCCACTCGAGATAAATTTCCCCTCGCCACTCCCATTGAGTAGTGATGGTGTTTTTGAGCTACGGTAGCTGCTGGTTGTTCCCGTGCTCAACCGGGAGCTTCGCGCAGGTCGCGTGCTGGCAGTGGCCGCTTGAATGCCAGAGAGTGACGATGCTGTCGAAGGACGCGTGCCGGCTTTTGGTGGTTGGGGGAATGATGCGATGCTGATCGTCCGGCGCAATGATTTGTCTGGGCTGCCTGGTGCGCGTCCGCTGGATGCGGATCGGGCCGCGCTGAGGTTGGAGGTTGAGTTTGAACTGGAGAGAGGTGACTTGAGCGACGGTTTTGGGCTGGATGGCGTCCGTAGCTTGGACGTGCCAAAGGGCGATGCGGCCCGGGGTGTCTCGGAGCCCGGTATTGACTTTCTAGGCTTGGGGTTGGGCAGAGCAGGTAACGCTCCCGTTGGGGGGTTTGTTGTTGGCCGCGATGGCTGAGGTAACGCCGACATTGAGGCCATGCCGACCAAGTTTTCTGAAGTCGAGGGTTGAAAGTCAGCGAGTCTAGTTGAGCGCGACGGCCATGCGGGCGGATTGGAGAGAAGGGCGTCCTGCAATAATCTCCATTAGCCCACTGCACTTGAGACACGGAAGATTGGCCCGTTGACTGGGCCGCAATTTTGAGGTAAACAAAAACCCGCAGGGACGAGCTCGGGCTACCATGATTGTCAACGGGTTTTCGGGGGTACGTACGGAATTCAAACGACCATGCGTTGTAATCAGGAAATAGAGAAAGAGGGAGAGAGAGAGAGAGAGGTTCGTGAGAAGTGGATTGATCGACGAGAAAGAGAGACGCGAGTCGGGTGGGAGAAAGAGGAAAAGCGACTAACCTCCCCCGCAGAGGGCGAGACTCTCTCTTTTCTCTCTCTTATGATCTGATAGTCGCCGCGACTGTTACGGGCCCCTGGATTTGTAAACTAGGATCTACTGGCATGCATCTCTCCTTCCTCTCCCGTATTCCTGTCTAAATGTCTACTGGATAGGCCTCTCTGTCTGCCTATCTCCCTCACAACGAAAAGGGGTGTGATGAACTACACCATCACACACCTTTAAGGAGAAGCTCGGAGCATCAAGGCAAGTGGAGGTTTCAGGTTTCGCGACAGAGGAGAAAAAGGGGGACGAATGGGATCAAAGGACGACAGCTTCTTGTTTGGTGGAGCCCAAAGGTTAACATGGTGAAGATATCCAGGAGTCCAGTCCAGTCAAGGCAAAGCAGTCCAAGGAGTTACAGGAGTCCAGACAGTCGAGACAGAACAGTCAAGATAGAAGGGCTTTGGTCACATGGGTGTTCACCCTTGAACTCCTGTTCGAACTGAAGATCCCACGGGTAAAAACCACCAAATGCCCACTAAAAAGGACACTAAAAAATTAACTAAACAAGAGCGGACGAAATTAGAAGGAAATTAATCTGGAGCGAAGATCCTCATTTACCGTGACATTAGCTCGACTGGAGTGGTCCGGTACGGGCAGTATACAACAAGTATACAACAGAAGTTCACGTATCTATCGGCATTGCACGCGGGGAGAGAAAGAATGCGCTCAAGTGAGGGTTAGCATCCTCGCTAATAGATCCATCCCTCAATGCAAGGGTGTCAATATTCGACCCGAGGAGACCAACAGCCTTTTTAGGGGCGTGCAGAGACCCTGGATCTATTGGACAGTGCAACATGACAGGTAACTTGGAGATGAACGTGGATACTGAGATCGGAGCCTGGTCATTGCATTTGCGCGCACTCTCCACCTGTCAGTGGAATGATCAGACTATCATTGCCCAACTGTGCCATGTACGGTCACTGGGGGTCTCCGCTATCCAATGGTGGCTGCAGATAGTCATGCATACACAGTGCAGTATACTGTACACACTACAGCAGTGTCTCGGCCGAAGTGGCAATAGTCCCAGGGTGCTACTGTATTTATTGGATTTCTAATCGTGTTTTCGTTATTTCATCGCCCCGAAATCTAGTTGCCGGGCAGCGCTCTTGAAGAGGTCGTCGTCTAGTTCCCCACCACGCCGGGTCAAATCATCACCCATCTTTTTGGTTCCACCGGATTTCCGGGGGAGATCTTCATTGCTGGTTGGTCGGGGGTCAGTGGTCCACCAGTTGTTGCGAAGAACCTGCACCGCTGTACTGCGGTTACGAGGGTCGAGAGCGCACATCGACATCAATAAGTCCGCTCCCACTGGTCCAGCAGTGGGAAACTGTCGCATGAAGAAGTCGCGTCCGGACAAGGGTATTTGTTGCGCGCCGTCGGTGGGGATATAGTTGGGAAGCTTCGTAACCCCAGGCCAGTTGTCTTCGGTCGGAGTGCCAAACGCTTCGCAGATCTTGGAAATCTGATCCAAGTCGGTGTTGCCCGCCACAAATGGAACACGAAGCAGGAGCTCGGCAAAGACCATGCCCATAGACCACACGTCCACGGCACCCGAGTATTGGCGAGCGCCGTAGAGCAATTCAGGAGGTCGGTACCAGCGAGTGATAACTTGATGGGTCATGTTGAGATACGGATCAGCAAAGGACCGAGCCAGACCAAAATCAGCCAGCTTGACCTCTCCATCGGCCGCAATCAATAAGTTGTTGGGTTTGATATCACGGTGAAGGACAAAGTTCTCATGACAGAACCAAACACCCCGAGCAAGCATTCCCATCCAGGCTTTGATATCAGCTGCACCGTAGTGAATATCCGTGTCCTTGATGAGCATCTCCAGATCTCCACCGGGAAGAAATTCAAGAACCAGGTTGAGGTTCTGATCTTTAGAGGAGAACACATCGTGAAGTGCAATCACATTTGGATGGGCCAGCTCTTGAAGATATTTCACTTCACGAATTGCGTCCATGGTCAGTCCATCCTTGTATTCCGCGTTGACCTTGATCTTCTTAATTGCAACGAAGGACGAGGTATTGTGTTTGAGGTGGCCGAGATATACAACCGCATAAGTACCTTCACCCAGCTTCTTGTCTATTGTGAAAATTTCCAAGTTAGGATTGAAAGACTCGGACAAAATGGGAATCGTACATACCTTTGACGTATCTCTCTCGCACGTCGATGTTCAGTTGCTCGGTAAGCTCTCGATCTCCATTCTGAGCAAGCTTGGCAGAAGCAACTGGACCACTAGCAGAGTTTTGTGCAGCAGTTGCTCTCAGTCTGAGCGCCGTATTAGGCGAGTGTACTGTCATAGACGGCGAACGAGAGCCAAAGGGCGAGAGCGCCATGGCTGCCGGGTGCCGAAGCACGAAGCTGGCGAATTTCTATGGAGGCGAAGATGTAGCAAGAAAATGAGCAGATCACAAAGATCCAGGGGTAGTTTCAGTTATTAAGAGATCATCTTGGAAAGATGTAATCGTTCAAACAAGTGCCGAACGATGTCATGTCTTCACGGTGAACTGGCCCGGAGTATAGTTAATCCCGGTCTGCGCTGAGCGACGCCAAAATTTCTCGGGGTCAGTCAACAGTGACCTCAGTCAATTCCTCGGCACTGCTGAATATCTGTCATTCTCGAGACCCCAGGGTTCCCTCCGTCACCAACCGTTCTTTGACGGTTTCAATTACCCTCCAGGGGCGACCTAGTGAACAGCAACAGCGGGCTTCCGGTGTCCGCCCGCAAGTCGCCATCATCATGAGCACCATGGCCATGCGCAATTCGCCGCTCGGCGGCCTCTCATCGCGCCTCCTCAAGACCGTCTACACTACCAACCAATTCATTCGTCCATTCCACAAGAAGTCTCTTCCTACCGTGCCATCTCCGACCCCTTTCGTTCCTGACGTCCCGACTTTCCTCACCTTGATCGGCCGCGAAATGTCCAAGCAAGCGAGCAAGATTCCTACCTGGGAGGATCTCTTCACCTACAACTCGAACCAGCTTCGCGAAGCTGGCGTTGAGCCCGCGCGCCAGCGCCGATACCTCATCCGGAAGCGCGAGAAGTTCAGACACGGTATCTACGGCCCCGGCGGCGATCTGGTACAGGTCGTTGATGGCGTTGCACAGCTGCGTGTTGTCCAGGTACCTAAGAAAGCAGTTTCTGGCACAGCGGACGGTCAAGACATCGAGGCGAGAGCTTCCGCTAATATGTTACCCGGTATGGTGAAAGCCCTTGTCAACCTAGCACCTGATGCCACCGAATTTGTATACAACAAAGACTTCGAGATCAAGAACTTCGCACAGATGAGAATTCACCATGCGACTAGTCCCAAGGGCCCATACCTGCAACCCTTGAAGGGTAGCAAGGGCACTGCTGCGACCATCTCGGTCCAGGAGGGCATGTGGGAGGACAAGCGCGGACACAAGGTTGATGGTGGTGAGCGACGACGCAGGGAGGTCCGAAACAAGCAGAGATTGGACGAGAGGAGAAAGGCATAAATGTCTCGAGGTGATATATTCCACCTTGTGTATCTTGCATATTTCTCGTTGAGCCTGGATGTTCGTCGTCTCCTGTATTATACTATTGCAATCTTGATATACTTTTCTTCCAATTTTGACCTCAAATGAGCAAGGCAGTTTCGTCTATTGTTGTCTCATTAAAAATGATATAGTGACTATGAACATTAAAAGCATATAGGTGGATAAGCCGCAAAATAATTTACATGGAGCAATCGTTCCAAAGTAGAGAAGTAACAAGACTTCGATGTAGAAGGCCGTGGGCTTCAGAACACCACATAGTTCTTTGCCACACCGATGTAGGTCATTAAGTGTGAAAATCCAATTATCGGACCGGAAACTTTGGGCTGTGAACAGGTTGGTCCAATTAAGCCTTGGCTTCACGCTTCTCGTACTGGACGAAAGATGTTCCCATGGGCTTGGAGAACAGAGACTAAAAAAACCTAGTTAGCAGGAGAAATCGTGAATTGTACAGTCTGACTTACTGAGTAGTCTGTCTCAGGGAACGGAGCGCTGTTGTCGGGAATAGAGAACTTGAAGTGTCTCACGAGAGCAGCAAGAATAGTGGCCAACTGCACATAGGCGAACTGTTCACCGATGCAGCGGTGACGGCCGGCACCGAAGGGAAGATAAGGGCTGTTGGTACCCTTGGTGACCAGTCCGTAACCATAATCGATCTTCTCCTCGTCATCTTCGTCCTTGGGGGCCTCGACCTCATCCCAACGGTGGGGGTTCCACTTCAGAGGCTGGGGGAAGAATTCCTCTGAGCGGGCAGTGACACCAGGGGAAGACAAGACGTTGTGAGTGGTAGGAATAACATAATTGGTTCCTTCAACGGGCATGGGGTTCTTGACAGCCCGAATAATGGAGTGAATCGGAGCGTGAATGCGAAGAGTCTCCTTGATGATCTTAGAGTGAAGATCAAGCTTCTGGAGGCTTTCGTGAGTGAGGTCAGGCAGATCGGAACCGAGAACACGTTTTTGCTCCTCGTAGAGTTCCTCAATGAGTTCAGGGCAGGTAGCAAGGCGCAGAACAATCCAAGCAGCAGTGGAGGATGACGAGTGTTGGCCAGCCATCAGCAACGCGATCATCATGTGGGCGATCTCACTATCAGGAATCGGAGTACCGTTCTTGTAGGTGCACGACATCAGGTTCCAGACCATGTCCTCGGAGTCCTTCTGGCCACCTGAGGTACGGCGCGCCTTGATGATGTCCATGTACGTCTCGGTCAGCTTCTTCTGGGCAGCGTCGCGCTTGCGGTTGTGGGGAAGCGGGGCCCAGGGCAGCATGAAGTTGATGGGCGCGAAGCCCTTGTCGAGGTCGTGGTACATTTCAGCAAAAGTCGCATCAAAGCGATCACGGACTTCCTTTCCTTGCAGCGAACGAGAGGCAGTGTAGATGGTAATCTCGGAAATGACCTTGGAGACATTGAACGTGCCCTTGGGGTCGTGGAAAGCGGGAGAGGTCTTGACGAAATTGTCGACTTCGTTGGTGATCAGGGGAACATACGAGCGAAGCGCTTCGGAGGTGAGGCCGTACTTGACAAACTGTGCATTTTGTTAGCAATTGTGTGTTGTGGTCCGCGTTAGTCTTCTTACTTTCTTCTGCTCCATGAGCTTGGAGTTGGGGCAATCGTAAACTACATCAGTGCCGAAGACGGGGGTGGTGAGAGGCGAGTAAACCTCCTCAGCGCAGACATCACGAAGCTTGCCATTGAGAATGAATTCGTTGCCCTTGGTGCCCAGATAGACGGTGGTCTTCTTGCCGAGGAGAACGAAAGTGAAAATGTCGCCGTACTGGATTCAAGCGCTTCGTCAGATCATTGCCTGTGTGTCTCCAACGTTTCGCCACATACCTTTGCGCGTGCCTGGTTGAAGAAAGTGTAGGGGTCCATGCCATAACTGATGGTGCTGCCAACGAAGGGGACCCAGTGGAAGACGACTGGAGGCTCATGAGCCTTCTTGAAGAATAGCTGGTTCAACACATTGACCACAATCGAGAGCGCAATGAACGACAATGCGCCGATACCAGCCAGGGTGTAGATGGACTTGGTCGAGCAGTGCTCGCAAAAGATATCGAGGAAACTTTTAAAGATACCCATCTTGCAGAGACAGAATAAGAGAAAAAAAGAAAGGGAAAAGAAAACAAAGCAAAGCGAAACGGGCACACGAAGACCCTCGTGAAGTTGCGTTAAAGTTGAAGATTGAACAGGAGGCGAGAGGGAAATAAGTCGACTATCATTCGGCGAGAGCGAGGACCCGCCCCCTGGAGGAACATACGACCTACATATACGCTAACTACCATTTTTTTTACTGGGTTAACCACTTAATAGACTGCATTTGAATTTGATTTCCAGGGGCTTGGGGGATTTTACCCGTCAATGGGACTAGACAGGACACAAATGGCTTGGGATCGCATATCACGCCACGTCGGTTAGGGGGGTTCCGGTCTACAGAGGAGAGAAAGGTGGACTGTTGTACATGATTCATTGGACCTGAAAGTCAGTGTGAACGGAATAGCTGTAAGTGAGAGCTAAGTTAAGAGTTACGAGTTAAGTTCATAGTTAATAGTGAATCTCACAACACCCATACCCTTTTGATCCCCATCCCCCTCCCATAAGACATTAAAAATTCACTGGCTTCCAAAGTGGCTCATTTATCGTACAAAGTGGGATCACCATGTTCTCCGATGTTGATGAAGTCCTTCGGATCACGGGTGCCACTCGGTGAGGCTTCGCGCGGAGAGGTCTTGGGTCGGTTGTGAATGCGCTTGCCAGCTTCGTTCTGGCTGAACACCTTGAAGGGCTCCTCATTGTCCCGAGTGTGTTCACTGTAGGGAGCATCATTCACACTGCTAAGTAGTGTCCGCTCTCGCTTCACCTTGCGCTTGGAAAAGTCCAGGTTGCTCAGGGCCCCGGTCAGACCATCGGTACTGTCAGTCACACTGGGGTATTTCCCGGTCATCCAAGGATGCTCGAGACATTGTTCCACGGTAATTCTCTTCTCAATATCCACAGTAAGCATTCTGTCGATCAGATCCAATGCGGGGTCGCCGACAGAGTCCCAGTAAGGAGACGGATAGTCGAATTTGCCCATTTTGATCTGCTGCGCGAGTGTGTATGGGTTGTCCCGGGTGTTGAGTTCATCTGAGAAAGGCGGGAAACCACATAGGCAGATGTATAGAACCACACCAAGAGACCATACATCGACAGCTTGGGTGTATCGTCGACGGCGGGAGTCTTGCAGAATTTCGGGAGCAACGTCTGTAGAAATGAGTACAAGGGTTTCATACTTCGCGGAAATTTTCTCAACTTACAGCTAGGTGTACCACAGCTGAGTTCGAGTGTTAGTAACTTTGACTGCGTATGAGAGCAAGCATTCACTTACAGTGTAGTGGTGAACGAGTCCTCCCCAATGATCTTCGCCAACCCAAAGTCACCCAGCTTCACGCTCAAATTTTTGTCCGCGAGTAGGATGTTCTCTGGCTTGATATCTCGATGAACAATACCGCGTTCATGCTGTCATTCTGTGAGCATGGTTTCTAAAGAAATGAATAGATTGGTAGACTTACCAGATACTTTAGTCCTTCAAATAGCTGACGGAACACATGACGGGTATCGTTCTCGCTCAGTTTTTGGTTAGTCACAATCCAGTTGAACAATTCGCCTTCGGGGGCCAGTTCAAGGACCAAATAGGCACCGTCGTTGTCATCGAATGTGTCCTTCAGACACAGCAAGTTCGGGTGATTGACACCCATCAAAACGGCAATTTCTTGCTGTAGAGCTTCACCTTGTGTCTTTTGCGAGTCACTAGCCCGTCGTTCAAATACCTTGACAGCATACTTAGTTCCCGTGGATCGCTCTGCACAAAGGTAGACCGTAGCGAAGTGGCCTTTTCCGAGCTGCTGGTTGATACGGTACTGCTGACGGAAACCGTGGGTTTCCCGAGAGGGGGATAGCGGAAGACAAAACGGGCTTCGTTCAAGATCGAGATTTCATCACCGTCCTCCAATTCGCGGCTTTGGTTGCGGCCCACGATAGCCTCATTGATAAAGGTTCCATTGCTAGAGAGATCCTCCAGCATGGCCACCATGTCGCCCTTTCTATTTTCGGCGAAAATCAGGAAATGCCGATTGGAGATGGTAGGAATATCAAGGACACGATCTGGTTATGGTCAATGGATGCTGCTGAGGTATCAGCCACTTGCACTTACCACACTCGGGATGACGGCCGACTAAAAAGCCACCAGGCGACTTGCACAGCTCATTCTTCTTTCCAGGTTTGGCTTTGGCAGGACTGGCGTCCTCTCCGCATTGAGTGCGCCTCTTCAATACAAGTGGACCTTTGCCATGTTCGTCCAGTGGTAGCAAGTAGCCCCAGACCCCTTCTGCATCCTCATCCTCTACTTCGTCCACGAATGCTCTCGGAGGATACACGAATTGTGAAAGCGCCTGGGTATCATTTGGTGGCGAGGAGACAGCGTATGATAATTCTGGCTGGGGCGGAGAGTGCTGACGACCCTTGCGAGGGCTTTCCGGAGGTGTTGCGGTCTCATCCTTGCGATCGTCCGTAATAGTCGAATCAGGGCCGGTCAGAGGAGTGGGCAAGTATTCCAGGTCGACCGGTGTCTCTTGCGAAGGTACTTGGCCGGAGATTCTTTGCGAGCGCCGAGGCTTTTTCTGAGAGTCGGCGTCGGCGGCGGCCTGTTGTAAACCATGTAAGCAAAGAACGAGCCTGAGCAAAAATAAGACATACCCGACCCCGCTTGAGCGAGCTTTTCTCACGAGGAGGCATAATGCTGCCTGGCTTCACACCGAGGAGGCTTCCCCAGGCCAATGAGCGATGATTGCTGGGGGATTCGGTGACGCAAGAGCGGCAATACGAATTGAGATGGCTTATTCACAGTACCCTTCAAAGCCGTCAGGAAAGATACGGATGAATCATAAACAAGTCTCAACACAACAGTTCAGGGGTGGGAGAGGAAGAAAAGAAAAAGAAGCTGTTTGAGGCTCCCTGGCGCCTTCTCCGCCCGAGAAGCCAATGGGAATAAATTTAGAGACTGCGGAAACTACGCATCACATTAACTATCTGACTTCTATCTATGAGTATTTTTAAAACCTGCAATTCTGAACATCTATAAAATTGGATGAACACTGAGTAAACAAGTTCGGCTCGGACCTAGGTTCGCGTCTCCGACACGTGCCCCCTGACCTCATCTTTCCCCAGGGTTTCCAGGGTTTCCAGGGCTTCATTCTTAAGGTCCTCACTCAACAATGGACGGGTAAGTTGACTTCTGAAGGCTGCTGCATCGATGCTAATGGATTCTCCAAGCCTATCCGGTGGGATCAGACAACTCGCTTTTCAAAAGCTTGCTGCGTTGGCAGTCGAGTCCCCCCACAATGGGACGGAGCTGACTCGCCTCGCGCAGCAGTCGCGACCTGCTCGTCAGGGTGATAGTGCTCTCAATGGAGTTTTGAGAGACCAGGCTCCGACCTCGCGGGTTCCCATGGTGAGTTGATATTGTTCTTGCGCATTACTGCGGCAGTGTGGTATAGGCTAACATCTAACAGGGAATCCGTGAACTAGATGTCCTCCTTGCCCTATGCAAGGCGGCCGCGTCAGTCAAAGATGCGGATAATGCCTCTCAATTGGCCTCCCAGCTCTCCCGTTACCTCCCAGAGTCCCACAGCCAGCTGTTTCGGTCTTCGCCATTCCTTCATAGTATAAAACCATCTCCATGGGAGTCCCTCACCCATAATCTGGCCCTGGCCCTCTTGTTCCTGGGCACGAAGTATCCAGAAATTCGGAAGACCTCTCTTGATGCCGTGCATGGGTACTTGAATAATTGCGCAGAGGCCATTAATGCGGTCACACCTTTCCAATATTCCAAGTCTGATGGACATGGTGTGGTCCATGAATCTGTGGTCGTTTTGTCGATTGCGGTTTCACTCGTCGGTTTTATGGAAGCTGCAGCCCAGTACACTTCTATCTGGCTTGCGAGCGAGAAACTGCAAGTAGTCGATCATTTACGTTCTATGTTATCTGAGCCTTTCATCATTGCAGTTGAGACGGCTTCCTCTACCCTTCGGAATACTCACTCTGCGGAACCCGCCTTCAGAGATTGGAGGAAATACACCCGTCGATACGCAGCTCATGGCCGTCCATTGGGCGCTATGCTCGTTCAAGATGGCTTCATGCGATTCGTGAAGTCATGCGCAGCCTCCCTTATGGATTCCCAGCACTTGACCGATGAACAGCTTCTAGATGATTACATGACTGGTGTCGGCATTGCCAAGAGTTATGATGAAGATGATATTGCTCTGATCGAGCGCGTCATCGATATTATCAGCGAGGAAATCCACTTGCTCGAAGATGGTGCTGATTACTTGAAAGTCGGCTCCCCTTGGCAACAGCGTCTTGCCTTCTCTGTTAAGGGACATGCTCTGGTTGGGTTCCTCAACTGCGTGATCCTTGGTGAAGATGCGACTAACAACGATGTGCTGCTGTCTTGGCTCGAAGATGCATTGCTTGACCCCCAGCAAATGTCAAATGTGGAATTGGCCGTAACTTCTTTGAAATGCACTGCAATTGTCGCGAGAATGTCGCCAAATGGCGCTTCCGTTGGAAGACGCTGCCTCTTGAGGTTCCTTTCTCAGGGAGGCGTGTCGGCACGTCAAACAGTTGCAGTCGCATCCCGATGCCTTGCTCAGATTCTGACCATCCTTTCTGAGGATGCAGTGATTACAACACTGTATTCACTTGGAAACGCGTTGAGCCCGGCCACCAACGTCGATCAATCGAGCCAGGACCAACTCGCTGGAGATCATACCGGACCGGGCATGAACCTCGAAGGTTACAGGAAACCCGAGAGCCGTACTTCTCTGGACGTTGAAGGTGAAGGCGAAACTGTCACTTACCGAAATGTCATACATGCCATCGTAACAATCGCGACAAGCTGCAACGACGATAAGATCAGCGCATTGGCTCAGTCCATGCTTCTTCAAAAGATTGGTAAGATCAATGTTGCAGTGGATGCATATATCATCCAAGAGACTGCAGTTCTTGCGCTCAGTGGAGGTCAAGCCGAGTTCCAGCTTTTGTTGAAGTTCTATACTCGTGTCTATCTAGATGCCATCAACAAAGGACTGAACGCCATCTCCGATGCTGTACAATGTGCTATGGCTTATCTTTCAATCACATTGGACCAAAAATCGCCTCTTCATCGGATCTATTTGATCCATCTACTGGAAAGCATCATAAACAAGGGCGATGTGCCAGATCTGGATCATGAGCGTCACAAAGACATTGTCTTTTCTGCCGATGATATTACTCCGCTGCTGAAGCCACTTGCTCTGCTCGTATCTTCTAAGGGTAATACCAGCGGTGACTCCTGGTCAGTTCTAGAATATGATGACACTATTCTGTCTTTATTCCGTGATGTCTGGTTCAATATTGCCATCCACGGAATATCGCTCAGCTCTATTGTTGCCCAAAAGTATCACAAGGAGCTTCGCCTTCTCGCGCATCATTCCCCGCCATTGGTTGCCGGAAACCATATGGAATCGCTTGAGAGTGACGTGGAACTTAACACGGTGCTCAGACGCGGCTCAGGGCCACAGCGCATAATGGAACAAAAAAGAGCTTTGATTTCGGAGCTTCCTGGTCGGGATTCGGATATCAAGAGAATGGACTACCCAAGGGCAGTATTTCTCAACGCTGTTCTCATGGTTGAGAGCCTCCGCGCTTCGTCGGGAGACTCTACCAAGATTCTCGACTATTTCCTGGACCCTGCACTGACAACCCCTGAGATGGTTATCTGCATGAATGCCGTCGCAGAAAAAGTGGTAACCTGCTATCTGTCTCTCACGCTGTCAGGAGAGCACGATAACTTCTCGGCCCCTTACTTGTCCAAGCAGCTTGCTGAATTCCTGGTGTCCTGCTGCCATCGCATTGAAAGGGTTCAGAGCATTGCGACTCTGTGCGCTGATAAGATTATTCGCGAATGCCCTTCGGCGCTATGCGAAAAGCATTCTCTCTTTGCCCTGCTTGAAATTTTGACTGTTATGTGGTCCTCCTGTTTGCAAGGCGAACTTGATGAGTTTGAGTGGAAGTCGTCTCTGGTCTCCCCTATGGGAATTGTCAAGGTCGAACTGCCTGACAACTATGCGCTAAGAAAGACGACCCTGGACCGTTTCCATGCCAAGGCTAGGGCTTGGGTGATTTCCGTCTTGAACATCGCCCCATTAGACATTAAGGGGTTGCTTCAGACCTATCTCTCCGAATATGATGACGATGGCGGCTATGGACATATCTCGATAGGTCGTTCTTTCGCCCTTGAGATGGGATCCATCATTCCACAGAGTGACCCGCGACTTGGATCAATTGAGGTCCACGGCAGCAGCGAAATCAATGTAGCATCTGATTTCATGGCGCTGTACACAACACGTCAAAAGTACCGGCGTCCGGACATGCCTGCTATCAACGGCTTGGATGGCCAAATCTACAGAAATCACGACCAAAATCACCACGTCAGTCTTCTGCCCGAGTCTGCTGACGCTCTAGAAGAGACCCTCGCTAGTCTGTATAGACGAAGCTTCGACAACGAAGACATTCCTCTCGTTGAAGTGAGAGATGCTCTTCGGCAAGCTGCAGGCCTCATTTGTAGTAGCAGCAAGCCCCGGTTGTCTGTGATTCACTATTTGGTTGCTTTGCCTTTCCAGATTTTCACCAAGCAAACCATCAAGCTGGGCGTCTCGCTTTGGCTTGGAGTCATTCACGAGAACCCAAGCACTGAACCACGGATTTTCTCTGAAGTCATTGAAGCTTGGGAGAGAAGTATTAACCGCCGCAAGGGATTGTTCGACCCTACCTTTGCCTATCTTGATCCACTGCACACGAAGATCGAGCTCCTGCCAACTGACAAGGATCTTATGCTTCGAATGCAACAAAAGGCCCAAGATACTTTGTCTCCACATTTGCGAGTTCTTCAGTTCTTTGAGAGTCATTTCAATGCTGTCCGCCTGGGCAACCTGCAAGACCAGCAGCTGTTCTGTCGCTTGGTTAGCAGCACTGTCATTGGTTTGACCAAGACGGAGTGTCATCCTTTGGCCAGAGAGATCCATTTCCGCATTGTGCTCTTTGGGCTCAAGGTTCTCAGACACCTTAATCCTTGCAACAGCAGTGCTTCTTGGAAACTCAAGGATCAGATTCTCTCTGCTGCTTTGAGTTGGTTCAAGCATGCTCCGAGATGGTCCTTTGGAGGCAACAGACTCCAAATCAAAGCAGAAGACAAGATTCTCAATGATGTATCAACGGAACTGCGAGGTGTTGCTGGCATTGCTGCGTTAGCACAGGGATCTTACAAGTCCTTGCAGGCCAAACAAGACTTGCTGCAGATCCTCATTGACAATGAGCGTACACGTCTTCGGGTTTGGTTGTTCCCCTTGGAGCCCGAGCGCAAGCACCATATGCCTGTAATCGGAGGCAAGAGCCCTGCCGAGGGCCCTGTATCATTCCTGCGGCTGGCCTGGGCTGAAAGCCCTGGGCTGGCTATTCAGATGGCTACTCGTTTCCCGTCGCCCAAGATGCAGAGTGATGTCAGATGGTTGATCCTCAGCTTCCCTGAAAAGGTTATTGAGGAGCCAAGTGCTCTTGAAATCATGTTTGACAACAATCTGCCCGCAGATGTTACTTTCCAGTTGAAGTTCTTGCTTTACTGGGCTCCTGTCACCCCTACAGAGGCTATCACGTACTTCTTGCCTGCCTACGGAAACCATCCTTTCATCCTGCAATACGCCATGCGGGCACTGGAGAGCTACTCAATGGATGTTCGGTTCTACTTTGTGCCACAACTGGTCCAGGCTCTACGCTACGATGCTTTGGGTTACGTGGAGCGCTACATTCTTGAGACAGCCAAATTGTCCCAGCTGTTCGCTCACCAAGTGATTTGGAATATGAAGGCCAACTCATACAAGGATGAGGAGTCTCAAATACCTGATCCACTCAAACCGACTCTCGATCGTTTCCTGGAGAACCTCATTTCAAGCTTCTCGTATGAAGAGCGCGCTTTCTACGAAAGAGAATTCTCCTTCTTCAATGAAGTCACTGGCGTTTCAGGAAAACTACGCCCCTACATCAAGAGGAGCAAGCCCGAGAAGAAGGAGAAGATTGAGGAAGAGTTGCGAAAGATCAAGGTCGAGGTCGGAGTTTACCTTCCCAGTAACCCCGACGGTGTCGTTGTTGGAATTGACCGCAAGTCCGGCAAGCCTTTGCAGAGTCACGCCAAGGCACCTTACATGGCGACTTTCCGTATCCAAAAGACCAGACCTCGCCTTGAGAAAGCTGATGCCACTGGTTCTCAGTCCCATGAGCACCAGCGGCAGTTGACTAGCCATTCTCATTCTCAGTCTCAGTCACATAATCAGACTGAGTCTGATCTTGAAACTTACGAGGTTTGGCAGTCGGCAATCTTCAAAGTCGGCGATGACTGCCGTCAGGACATGCTTGCCCTGCAGATGATCGCCGCTTTCCGGAGCATCTTCACCAGTGTTGGATTAGATGTCTGGGTCTTCCCTTACAGAGTGACTTCCACCGCACCTGGCTGTGGTGTGATTGATGTGCTACCCAACTCGATTTCCCGAGACATGCTCGGTCGGGAGGCTGTCAATGGTCTGTATGACTACTTCGTCTCCAAATACGGAGGCGAAGACTCAATCCGCTTCCAGGAGGCCCGCACCAACTTCGTCAAGAGTATGGCCGCCTACTCGGTCATCTCCTACCTTTTGCAATTCAAGGACCGACACAATGGAAATATCATGGTCGATGACGCCGGCCATATCATCCACATTGATTTCGGTTTCTGCTTTGATATTGCCCCCGGTGGTGTGCGCTTCGAGCGTGCTCCCTTCAAGCTGACCTCCGAGATGGTCGCTGTTATGAGTGGCACTCATAACCCGGCCCATCACCAGGGTGGAAACTCGGGCATCAACCTGCCCGGTGCGAACTCGCACAACCCGACTAATACCCAGCCTTACCGCTGGTTTGAGTCGCTGGTTGTCAAGGCGTTCCTGGCCTCACGTCCTTACAGCACGAAGCTCGGACATATTGTTTCTCTCATGCTTGACAGTGGTCTGCCCTGCTTCAAGCCTGAGACTTTGAAAAACTTCCGTGATCGATTCGTTTTGGATAAGAGTGAGCGTGACGCTGCGGAGTACATGCGTGAACTTGTGCGCAAGTCTTACATGAGTGTGTCGACTAAGGGCTATGATCAGTTCCAGCTGATGACCAACGGCATTCCTTATTAAATTGAATGTTCTCTTCTTTCTTACTTGGCAATACAATTGCATTTAATATCACTAGCTCGATTGTGGTTGACAGTATTGTCATTGTTCGTAGTTTCAACCCTCCTACCCTCTTCGGTTTTCAAGTAAACCTTAGAAACAACAAGAAACACATATTGTATTTCCCTCGGCAGATCCCAAGTGACTTTATTACCAGGTCGACCATGATAGGGTGGTTGACGTCACGACTTCATCGCAACCACGACATCCTGACTCTCGTTCGCTGCTTCCCCGGACAATTCCCCTGTCACATCTGGCATTGTTGTCCGATTAAACAATTAAGCCGACTGATGTTGGCAATCACCTAGACAAAATAAAATCAATCTACTCTCAATTTAGAAATCGATGTCTCCGTCGGAATAAACATGTGCGTTGATTGTCCTTTTAACCACTCATATACTTAGGGTCCCACGGTGGCGCATCCAATCCATGACGGTCTCATTAGATCCGAGCTTGTTCCGCCAGTGGCAATATGACGATGCAAAGACACGCCTGGTTGAGTCCCTTATAACCTGCGAGTGGCCGGGGACATAGGTGAAACTCTGGTTGTTTAAACGCCATTTATACCATCTCAACCAATCCGCATTTTTGTGTGCTATAAGCCCTGGGATTGATTTCACGAACTATTTGCTTTGGGCTTCATACTCAGGATGAAGGTTCCTTTCCTCAAAAAGGCTGACAATGGCGGGGTCGGGTCCTCGTCGCCGACTGATCTGTCGGGAGATTCGTCTGCTGCTGATCGAGAGAAGAGAACTTCTTCTATGGATGACAGACACGTTCCTTGGGTGACGTGGCGGTCTGTACTTCTTGGTGCTTTTGTTTCCATTGGTGGTATCATTTTTGGATATGATACTGGTCAGATTTCAGGATTTTTGGAGATGAAGAATTATCAGCAGCGGTTTGCTCAGCTTCAACCTGATGGAACTTATAAGTTTAGTAACGTTCGATCGGGGTTGCTTGTTTCTCTGGTACGTGATTTAGTCAAAGGAGAAGGAGAGACAGAGAGAGAATCGGAGCTGACCTTCATTGTGTAGCTCTCTATCGGTACTTTGATCGGAGCTTTACTCGCTGGTCCATTGACAGACCGGATTGGTCGGAAGTGGTCGATCTTCTTCTGGTGTATCATTCTTCATGTCGGATTGATTATCCAGATCTCTTCGCCGTCGGGTAAATGGTATCAGATGATGATGGGACGGTTCATCACTGGATTCGGCGTAGGTGCATGCTCACTCCTGGTGCCTATGTATCAGGGTGAGATTGCACCAAGACATATCCGAGGTGCCATGGTGTGGTGAGTTTCCACAGGAAAGTACTCATTTCTATCAGCCCTAACGATAACATATCAGTTGCTACCAGTTGTTCGTGACACTGGGTATCTTCGTCGCGTACTGTATCAATTTCGGAACGGAGAAAATGGACAACTCGGCATCATGGAGAATTCCTCTTGGTATCACATTCTTCTGGGGTCTTGTCTTGGGAATTGGCATTCTGTTCTTCCCCGAGAGTCCCCGATTTGACTACCGAAATGGTCGTACGGACCGGGCAAAGCGAACCATGTCCAAGCTGTATGGTGTGCCCGAGGATCACAGAGTGATCGTGGAAGAAATTATCGAGATTCAGGACCAGCTGGATGCCGAGACTGGATCTAGAGGTGGATGGCATGGCTGGATTGAAATGTTCCAGGGTCCGCGAATGAAATATCGTATCATTCTCGGTGTCGTTCTTCAGGCATTGCAGCAGCTGACTGGTGCCAATTACTTCTTCTACTATGTGAGACCCACCCAAGTCGGCAATGAGCCGTCGTCGTTTTCAAAGCAATGAACAGAGGCTAACACCAATCAGGGTACGGTTATCTTCAATGGTGCCGGAATCAGTAACACATATGTCACGCAGATGATCCTGGGAGGTGTCAACTTTGGCACAACCTTTGGTGGGTTGTATGTGATCGAACACTTTGGCCGACGCAAGTCGCTCATGACAGGCGGAATCTGGATGTTCATCTGCTTCATGGTCTTTGCGTCCGTGGGCCACTTTTCTCTCGATGTTCAAAACCCGCCGAACACTCCGGGTGCTGGTACGGCCATGGTAGTATTTGCATGTCTGTTTATCACTGGCTTTGCGATGACCTGGGGACCGATGGTGTGGGCTATTGTTGCCGAGTTGTATCCATCACGGTACCGAGCACGGGCGATGGCCATGGCGACAGCCTCAAATTGGCTTTGGAACTTTCTCATTGGGTTCTTCACGCCTTTCATCACAGCAGACATTGATTTTGCGTATGGATATGTCTTTGCTGGTTGCCTGTTCTTTGCGGTGATCATTGTGTACTTCTTTGTTATCGAGGGTAAGGGCAAGACTCTCGAAGAGATGGATATGATGTATGTTATGCGAGTGCCGCCATGGCAGAGCAGCAAATGGCAACCACCACCACCGCATGAACGGCTTACCACCGATCAGCTGGTGGATCGGAAGGTGGCGAAGAAGTACAACAAAGAGGAGGAGAGTGCAGCAGGCAAGAAACAGGGAGAAGTTCCCGGCCATGCGCATGCTGAGAACACTGCAGATGATGCAGGGGCTGGACCATCCAATGCTTAACTTTGTTGAGGTGTGAAGTGATGTGAAGTGGTGTGAGAGAAGGTGAAGTGGTTGTGAAGTGGTGTGAAGAAGGATATGAGCCGAGGGGGAAAAGAGGGGAGACAGCAACAGAACGCAGTAAATAGTATTTTACAGTATAGACTACTCCTTTGAACGTCTCTCAAGTCGGTCTCATTTCAATTTGGTAGTCATATATCGGTAAGAATAGAAACATCAACATCTCCAGGATGGAATGGAATATGAATGCTCGGAAATCATGAACGCCGTAATCCCTCAAGGCTCAAAAAAAAATGTTGAGCGTCTTCCCCCTATCATTTTGATACCAAGGGCCTATTGGCGTACGGGAAGACACATCAAGATGAATGAAGCCAAGTTTGTGTACTGGCCAATACAAGGAAACGAGAAAACAAAAGATGAAGTGATGAAGAGATGAAAAGGGCCAAAATAGCTCACAATAGACTCCCCGGGATGAGGAGCCCCAGGAACTTTAGTCCATAAAGTCGCCCCTGAGGATTTTCTCCTGGAAGAAGTCGGGCTTGTTTTGCTTGGTCTGTCTGGGGATTTCCCGACCGGGTTGCTCCATAGAGGCAATTGACGCGGCACGCTGGTGGTAGCCGGACTGGCGCTGTTGTGCCTGGGGGGAAACCGGGGAGCCGAACGAGGGAGCTCGTTCAGCACGGGAACGGAGGGCCTCGGACCAGTTGAAGCCTTCGCCTGTTGGTCGCCGCGATGCGTTAGATCTCTCATCCTGAGCTATGATTGAGGTACTTGCAGGAGATCGGGCAGCACTGAGGGCAGAGCCAGCGGGGGGAGAACGCGGCTTTGGCAGGGAGGGGGGATGGTGTCTACCATTTCCTGTGCTTCCACGCGCATCACGGAGTGCCTGCGCACCAAAGGAGACTCGTCTCGCAAATTGTGAGTGGGGCGATCCCTCTGTATCCTCTGCAATCGCGTCCTCGCCGTTGGGGATAGAACCAAAGGAGCTCGAGATGCTACCTCGACGGAAATTCTGATTTCCAAAGGCTGTCTGGGTGGGGGATCCTGACAGTCCCAATGTGCTGATGGACAGTCGGCGTTGATTGGCCTGATTGGCCTGGCTGGCTTGATTGGTATTGGCCGACTTGGAGAAGAGATCAGCGATAGAACCCCGACGCTGACGGTTCTCTGAGTTGGGAACAGAGATGGGAGAAGTACGATCGTTCGACATGGTGACAGTTGAATAGGGGAGGAGGGGGGGAAGGATCTTGGGGGAGGATCTTGGGGGAGATCTTAGGGAGGATCTGAGAAAAAGTAGAGAACCTCGGACGGACTAGCCGCCCTTTGCATATAAAGTAATGGAAGAAGAGAAGATGAATCAGAAGGAAAGGGTTGAAAAGGAGGAGAAGAGGAAGAGAAAACGAAAGGGAATGTGTGGTGCCACGCAGGGGGGGGGGGGGAGGTTGCAGAAAACAGTTAAGCTCAGGATCTGGGGTAGAGTGGCGTTAGTGGAGAGTGATGATGTCGATGATTCGTTCTTGACGGGCCTTGACTGTAGCCTCTAGTAGCCTTGTCTTAGTCTGTAACAAATGGTAATGCCCTTTCTGCTAACTGTTTGGTCTATTATTTTTATTTTTGACTGTAATACCACTATTACTATGCTTCACGCTATGCTCAACTTATAGATTACTCATGGTGACTTCATCCCTCCTTACAAGGTAAACATATATAGGGAAGAAAGTGGAATGAAACTAGCGTGTGCGCGCATCATTCCCCGCAGGTGAAAAAAAAAAAAAAGAAAAAGAAAAAGAAAAAGAAGTTGACGTACATCGTATATTGCTCGTTTCCCGTGAAGGGGATATAGGATCCCTTTTGTGTCCAACCGGAAGGCTCCCAGTCTTAGTCTCTCATTGACCTATCGAAAGCCTTCAAGAAAGGTGAAATAGCTGAATCAGCTTCCGGCCAATCGTCGGTTCGATTTCGGTACCATCGCGGGCGATCTTAACCTCGCGATTGGCATTCCAAGGGTTCCGTAACCCTCGAGTGCGGTGGAAAGGCACTCGTTCTGTCGATACCCACTGGATGCGGAAGGGTTTGCCAAAGGACTGTCCCTCCTCGTCTTCTGGCTCAACACTCTTCTCGCTCCGCGTATCGTCGTTTTCGTCTCCGGAAGATTCCACCTCCCAGAATATGGTTCCTCGCGCCGAATCATCGATGATTCTCCCCGGGGGTGCCGTTGAGGTGGCTGTCGTTAAAGTCACGTCCAGGTCGTCGGGATTGCCAGGGGGAGGGTCGGGTCGTGGAGGTACTTCGAGGGCTAACTCTTCGTCGTGGCTGATGGGCGACATCATACGAGCATAGCCAAAGTACTCGCCAGATTTGTTGGCCGAGAAAATCAAATATACATAGTCGGCGGTCCACTCAAGTCAGCCGAAACCGTCGTCCAATATGCCAAAAGCAAGGATAATCCTACTTACCTCATATGCTTGATTCATCGCGGCCTCATTATGTGACTGTGTGGCCCAGATGCCACTTTGTCGGCTCAAATCGAGATCCTCCACCGTCAGGCTCTTGACAATAAAATACCGGTCCACCACCCGCTCAGGGGGTGGTTGCTGTCCTGTCGCTGGTGATGCAGAACTGATATCCGATGCAATTGTAGGCTCGTCCCCCGGTTCCGTGGCAATATCTTCCGGCCGGGGACGAGAATTCACTGTAGGAACCGCAGGCGCCGAGCCAGGCGCAGAGAACCCTTTGCGTAGTCGACAGACAACTCGTACACCCTGAAATCGAGAGTCGTGGAATCTGGCCAACGCCTTCACGCAAGCTACAGCCGACTTATAGTTCACAAAGGCACAATTGCTTTTTGAAATCAAAAACACACTCTCAATATCGTTGGTCGCATCTTGTGAAAAATGATCCTTGAGATCCATCACATTCGCCCCCGGAGGAAGGTTGCCGACCCAGAGGGCATGTCCTGACTGCTTCGGTTTTCGGGGTGGTCCTCGGGGTGTGCTCGGGGTGGATTGGGTCGAATGTAAAGAGGGATCTAGTCGAGCCCAAATGAGGGCATTAGTAACCATCCTTTGAAAATAAGAGGTCGAAAATGTTACCTGCAATAGGCATTTGGGGTGCCGATTTCATGGGGTTAGAGCCGTCGACTATGGTTTTAGAAACATCATATTCCAAATCCGCAACTCGCTTGTCGGCTTCTCTGCGCAAAGAAGCCGGTTTCGGGGAGTTTTGCGTATGGGAGAGTGACCCGGACTGGAGCATTGGACCAGCAAGAGGCACTCCACAAGGGGCACCATAGGCGGACTGGGAATAGTATCCTGGACCATATGGAGATACCTGTCCCGGACCGACACTTTGCATGGGTGGATTTGAAATATAGGGTTGGTAATGAGTGCCATGCTGAGTCTGGCCTGGATGTTGTGGGATCGCATATGGTGGATAGGCTGGGTATGGGACAGCATAAGCCATCCCTCCAGTGTTGTGTCCATATGGAGTCATAGGTACGGGTGGCATGGGATACATCATACCCTGTCCATGAGCTGGGTATTGAGACAGTGGTTGTTCATACTGCTGTGAATGATGACTTGGGAGAGCGTATGCCATGCTACCCATGTTCATGGGAGACGAATTAAGGTTGTTTCCATAGCGAGCCTCTGTGAAGCCGGAATGATGTCTGACATTGGAAGGTCGCGTGGACTGAACAGGTATTGCACCTGTAACGAAGAACTCTGTCAATACCTTCCTATATGGCCGGAAATTGGAATATTTTGAAGAAGATCGCACCAGGGAGGACTGACCCGGTGTCTGAATTTGGCTGGCAGTTGATTCTGATACCGGGTTCCGGTCGGCTGTCTTGTCAGGAGGATCATCGCCCATGGGGGCCGGCTGTTGACAAAGATGGTTGGGAAAGAAGTCGACACTCCCTACAATCCTTTAGTGATGGGATTCACTCCAAGAACGTGAAATTACAGTCTTACCTGAGAAGCCTCTTTTTTTTTTCCAGGCTTGAATCTACTTCCAGAAAGCACTTGTCCAATGCTCCCAGGTCAAAGTAAGAGTAAAATCAAGGACACCAATTGATTGAAGTGGGAAAACACAGTATGTCAAAATTGAGCACCAAGGCAGCAAAATCCTGATCCAACGAGTTAGTAAATCCAGTGAGATTTACAAAGAAGGTGAGTGAAAGTGGGAAGAAATTTGGGGGGGGGGGGGAAGGGATTGTGGGAGACGAAAGAACAGGGAGAGCGAGTCCGAGTGATTATGTTCGCACTAGACTGGGAATACTTCCCAGTCCATTATGGGCCATATGGCCCATATGGACCATACGGGGGGGGGAGTGAATAATAAAATCAAATAAAAGGGCAGGTGGGACAATGAGGATATGTAAACAAGGAATTATAGATGGTGGGTATGCGGGAAGAGTGATTAGGGGCAAAACACCAACGGTCTAAGGCCTATGGGGCCTGGAGATCAGGTTGACCAGAAGCTCTAGGGCTATCTGTCAAAAGGCTTCACCTTGGATGAAATCCTGCACGTGAGACTGTGTGACACTGGAGTCTAGACAGGAGGGGCAGGTTGTGGCTGAAAAAAAAACCACCCGATGTAGTATGAGGGAAATAGTCTCCCTCGGCCTCGGGAGCTGCAGGTGGTTTCAGACCCAGGTACAGTAGAGGAGCTGTCAGACTACAGGAAGAGAGAGAGAGAGACCAAAAAAAAAAAAAAAAGGGGGATCCGAGGTGCCTGAAATAAGGCTATGAAAAACGAGTGGCGGATTCAGGACAATGTTTGTAGGATATGAAGCCAATCAACTCTCTTGGCAAGTTGTGGCTGATGGACTTATGTCAATGGCTGAGGCCAAAGGCTCCTCTGACGAAAAGAAGGAAGAAAAAGACGAAAATAGAAAATAGAAAATAGAAAATTAGAATGCGTGTACTGTATCAACAGACTCACGGGTTGAACCGATGATCAAGGGAGCTTGGGTCCCGGAGACTGGGTCAATGCTATAAAACTGGAGCACTGTCAAACAGATGCTCGAGTCATATACATGTGTAAGGCAGATATTTCAACCCTGTGCTGATCTGGGCCCAACGAGCGTCGTACCACTCCCCCATACAGTACACACTGTACTGTATACTTGGCAAATGGAGCCTTATGGGTCAGACTGTGGCTCAGGGCTCGGATTCCCGGTACAGTACTGTATCGTGTGTTGGATCTGCTACAGTGCCCACCGTGGCGAACGCAGATCGCCGAATCTTGGGACTCTGGACGGGGCGAGAATGACAATAGAAGAGCGTGGGTGGTTGAAAGGAATGGACCCTCCAGTCCGGACCAATGAGTGGCGGCAATGCATGACAGATTTGCCACTGCCAGGGGTGGAACCTTTGGGGAAGGGAGAAATTTGGTCAGGAGGGTAAAAGGATTAACAACAAATGCCTACCCTGTAATCTGGGATCATTGCCGTGCATGAATTCACCTGTACAGTACACTGTGTACTGTACTGTCCCACTTCGGAGACACCATGTTGGGATCCGCCGGGCGGCGCCTCAAGAGACCGCAAGGGGAAAGCCATGGACCGACACAGGGCTCTGGCTGCCCTCCCACTAGTTTCGATCATGATCCCGCCAATTATCAGCGTGGGATATCTCGGCTCCAATCACTCTTTCGCGAGCATGGTCGACATGCTCCCGCGTTTGTGCATTTGGCATAAATTGATTGTGCTTCTATGTGTGGAGTGTGTGTGAGAGAGAATTGGAAATCCTCAATACTACCTTCTCTGTAACACACTCATCCGGTGCAAGAGTCAGCCGTACGGTAGAGACAGACATTGAAGCGCAGAGTTGTCGAGGTCGAAGTTGACTCCACCTGGAATCCGGCATCTCATCCCGACCAATCAGAGGCCGTTATATCCACCTCCTTCCAATTATCGTGTATAAAATCGCATGGAGATCATGATCGAGTCTCATCTCTGGCTGTGTCAACGTTTATAATCACATGTCTTGGAGTTTTGGAGCTCATGTCCTACATGCCGATACTGTACTGGATACTGTACACTGTACTCTTTACCAATTGCACCAATAGGCGCTCTCCCAAACAGCCAGTCAAGACCGATTGTGGAGAATTGTCTCCCAAGTCCAAGGTACCTTACATGTGCCGATCATCCCGTATAGACACGGGCCGTTACCAGTGGCACGGAATTCCTTACATGTACAGGACTCCGTGGCGTGGTGGGCATCATTGGTCACGGAGTCCATTTCCGGTGGATATATACAGTACAATAGAGAACCCTTTTACATCCAATTCTTTGACTCATATACTTGCCACTGGAAGCTCGGAGGAGAGCAAAGTCTGGAAGTGGAATTGAGTGGCTTGTCAACGCCAAAGTGGAGGGCCGGAGAGCCAATGACGTGGTGACTCTCTACACTGTGGTTCTTCTAGTATCTTCTAGGTGAGAGATCAGGTGACCTGGCGCAAGTGGCTTAGCTTCAACCAGACACCTGAGGCCATTATGATGTCACTGACATCGTGGCACGTTCCTGAACTGACATCACTTAATGATCTCCATGCATCTTCAGTTCTACATGACAACATGCATTGTCACAATTGCTCCACAGAGGTGTAATCGAGGCTTGTACCCAAACAATCCCTGTCCCCAATAGGACATCTGAGCTCACAAGGAACGATTCTGATATCTGATGGTACTGTACTGCACAGAAGTACTGTACTATAAGTGACACATCGAATCGTGGTGACAGTGTTATCACTTACCATCATGTCCTAGAGACCAATCAAAATGGCCTTGTGTTTACTCTGTACCTACTGCTACTGTACAGTCCACAGTGTAGACGGGGAATTGGAAATGACCAAGGTCTTTCAAGGTATAAATTCAGTCAATCCTGGACCCGATTCGGAAGATCGCTGTGTTTTCATCCACAGCCACCGCAATGGGCATCTTACTTGGCCAATGGACGGGTGAGAATATGTGGATCTACTGTTTCAGGGATCACATTCCATACTGTACAGTACAGTGCGTAGACGCCACGCCCCACGGCTTTACAGGTTTCAGCAATGGTTATCGTTAGCCGCTGGGGTCGGTGGGATGTTCAGAGGCCCGCAATCTTGCCACTACAGTATTAGGCAGCTTCTTTCCCACTGTACTGTACGGTAGATGCCAGCTGTTTGTCGATTTTGCTAGTGGGTGGGTGAGATTAAGGCACTGAGCCGATCACACTAAAATTAGCACTTAGTGTACTGTATGATTCGCACACTTCCAGAGCTCTTGGGAAATTTGGACTATTTCATGTACTGTGTAGTGAAGATTGAGTTATATAAAATTCTCAACATAGAGTATCTGGGGAGTAAGTGATTAAGCAAAAGTTGAACACATACTGTCCACGGATTAAGTTAGCAGTTTACTTATTTATATAACATTCTGCCATAAAGAATCTCATGTTATAGCTGAGTACCGATCTTTGATATAGGATCATCTTCTAACAAAAGATAGAACGGATCAAAAATAAGCTATTGTCTAGGAAAGTGTACGTGGGCTTATTGGCAATCAAGGACTATCGAGAAAACTAGAAAGAACAGCAATGTTGAACACATTGTAACCGTCCCAATTTTAAATCCCCATCACAAAACAAGCAATTCATTCGAATGAGAGTATATGTCAAGTCTGTATTAAGAGTTGACAGAAGCGAAAGATCCTCCACCTGAACCAAAAGAAAAACAAAAAAGACAGAAAACCAAGCCGAGGATAACACTGAGGCTAGACAAACAAAAAGAAACGATGGTCATCAGATGAAAATTTTCATGCAAAGCTCATTAAAACCTGGTATAATTACGATTATGGGCGCGCAACCGATGTGCTAGGCGGATATAGACAGTGAAAGGCGCGGGAGGATGTGCCCTTCATCGATCGATGCCAAGAGAAGCCACTTTTCCAGCAAAGCGAGCTCCGGCGCTGCCTCGTTTGGACAGCTTCTCTCGGTCTTTTTCCTTGCTTTCTGCAAGAGTAGGGGTATAAGAGGAAGAAGTGACACTGTCCTTGCCACGGATTGTGGGGAGTGAGCCCAGGGTGTCGGCAGCTGTGGCCCGGCCGGGTGGCGGGATAGGAGCCCCAAACGCGGATGATCGTGCAGTCCGTTGGCTGAGGTACAATTGGGCAGCGGGGGAGAGCGGGATTGAGGGGGGCTGGGGCGGGATCTCTGCACCGTTTTGGACTAGAAGCTCGGCGATCGGGAACGGGATGACCTTTGCGCTAGACCTAGCGGAGAGAGTTACGGGTGTAGAGCCTGGAGATGCAGGATCGGCTGCCGCGAGAGCGAGGAACGTTGCATGAGTGTTGCGGGAGCGATCGGTGATGTTGACATTGGCGCGAAGAGCAAGGCCGAAGAGCACACCTTGAATGTCGTTCCTCTTGATCGAAGCAAGAAGATGTTCGTCAGGCGTTGAAAAGCGAGAGCGCGGTGAGGGAAGACCCTCAACATAGCATCGGTCAACATATTTGGCGGTTATGAACTTGAGACGTTGCTCGCGCGTAGACGTAGCGTTTGGCTTGAGTGATTGATCCAAAGTCGCCTCCCAGATCATGTTGCTAACACGGTTGCCAATCTGCAGGAGAATCTCAACGATGTCGCTCGAGAAAGAATGCACATCCAATGTGAGCGAGCGGATCTTGGATATATGCGTCCCCAAAGACCGATGAATTCCGCTGCATTCAATGCAGAGCACAATACCAAGGTTTATTGACACCCACTCCACTTTAGAAGATGACCCACAGTCAGCGCACCAGTTGTTGCCTTGGTCTGCATCTCGTACGACCTGTAAAAGTTTTGCGGGATTCTCTTCAAAGCTGTTGCTATCGTGACGAACGTAGCTCGGCCGCGCCCCGACTGTGGTGCGTCGGTTGACGCCAGCGTTGCTGGAACTGGACGAATAAGAATGGTGACCAGAAACAGACGAACTTTTACCAGTAAGAACAGACCCAATATCCCGATTGGTAGATGAATCCTTGGAAGAAGGGGGCGGAGGCGGAGTCCCTTGACCTTCTACCGCGCTCTGGAGCGCGTTATTGATAGATCTGATCCAGTTTGACATGTCATCCTCGGATGTGGCCTGATATATACGCTTGAATTGAGGTGTGATCACTTCGAAGCAAAATCGCCGTTCTGCGTTACGAGCTTCACGGACAGACGCCATGCGCAGATCGATAGGTTCCATATGAAGATCCAGCTTTTGTTTCCAGTTGCTGTATTCGGATAATCTTCCTTGATCCAAGACGATCCAAAATCTATTCAAATATTAGAAGAAGAATAAGGGAACCATTACGAGTTGATACTTACTTGTGCCATGCCTGTTTATTGATTCCCTTCGGATCAATGTGCGATCCTGGACGAGATAATGCCCATAGGAGGCCCTCTTTCCGCTGCTGGCCACTGCTTCGATCGGACGCGAAACTGTTCTGTTCTTCGAGGTCACGAATACCCTTGAAGCGGTTTGAGCCCGTGCTTCCAGCTGGCGCTGGGTTTGATGCAGGGGCACATATCCCAGATGACGACACGACCGATGCTGCATTAGCCTGGGAAGAAACCGACGAAGTGTTGCTGATGACACCACGGAGCTGTGAGCCTGTGCTATCTGCCCGTCCTAGCTCGACCTCGGCAGAAGCACCGCCGTTTGATGTTCCAGTGGAGACAGAAGGTAAACTTGCAGCCCCGGTCACTGAAGCATCGGGTTCGAGGTATGGATTACTGTTCTTTTCCAGGTACCGGCGCTTCTCTTCGCGCTCAGTTCGCTGGAATTGGAACTCTTTATCTGCCTGGTTCACTTCGTGGATGAGAGCGTCTAGTTGAGGAGTCATCCCCTCAACCTTTTGTGCAGCTGCCAGGAAGTTCTTGGCTTGGAAATCCGCGTACTTGGTGAGGTGCGAGAGAACCTCCTGCTCTTTGCGACCCCCATGGAGGTCTTGCATGAATGAAGAGTAGTCGAAACGTCTCAGCTCAAAATTGCGCCGTTTGGCCTGATATTTCGAATCACTCTCGGCCCGTTTCTTCTCTTTCAGTGAATCCTGTCGCTGGCCCAGATAACGACTAACATAGGCATAATAGTCACGACTCTCTTCATCCCATTCTTTCTTTTTGGCCTCGGCTTGCTTGATATCATTATGATAAAGCTTGATCAAGGGCTCTATGACAAGTTTTTGAAGTTGGATCGTGTTTAGCTGCTCATAATTCAAGATCTGCCGAGCGATCTTTTCAAAATAATGATCTAGAGCGGGCTGGATTGCATTCGCGTTCGAAGTGGACGCATCATTCAACGAGCCCAGGAATGCTTCCATGGCCTCGTTGCAGCTACTTTGCGCTTGTTGGGCGGCCTCGGCTTTTTTCAACACCTTCTTGATTTTTGTGCGCATGTTTCCTGTCTTCAACTCCAGTGCCTTCATAGTCGCGCGGAAGAGCGGGCCATCCTCCACTCCACTCATATCATCCCCAGCCCGAGAATGCGGGAGGTCCACCTTGGCTGGAGGTGGGGGCGGGGGGGCGGTTGGTGGAGGGGGCGGGAGAGCATTTTCTGTTTCAGGTGGAGTGGTCGAGGGAAGGAAGGGGTTTGGGGATTCAGTGTCACTATTCTGAGATAGGATGGACTGAGTAGACGGGATACGGGAACGTGGAGGCACAGGTAGCTCTAGATTTGGCGAAGATATCTGTGGACTTGGCAGGAGGCGAACGGAATTGTGCACCCAGAAGGAAAAGTGCGCCAGGGTATTCAGTCGGTTGGTTCTTTGATCGTAATCCAAGAAGCTGCAGCTATTGCGCCAGCCGCCGCCTTTATCTTCCGTCACTTTAGGGGGTTTCCATCTCCAGCACCAGTCAAACGACACGGACGGAGTCCCGCCGGTATTGTAATCTCCGATCAACTGAACGTTTGAGTTGTTCTGAAGGTTAGGATTGGCATGAAACTCTCTTGTAATCAGATTGTCGAGTTCTTTGGAGTTGGATGCGTGGGCAAACGTAAGCCCAGTGAGACTGGTATCCGCCACCTCGGGTAGAGTAGTTGAGACGCCATTGACGGAGTTGGGGGCATTGCCGGTCTGTGTTTGACGGATGATAAAGGTAAAATTGAAGATCAGCTCTTCGTCATTTGACAGACGTAGCATAAATGTTGGTACTGAAGCGGAGGAGGGAGTGTCGGGGTCCTAAAGAGGGTTCAAGTGGCTGCGGTCAGCGAAAAGCAAGACAGAGTCAGGCCGTTGCAGTGCATTCATACCTGAATATATTCAATCGGGGTATCATCTCCAGGATCGCGCTTAGCTGCGAACCTCGCCGCAGGAAACGCGTTGGGAGATAGAGTCAAAAGACGTCGTCGGGAGTTGCTTATCGTGACCGACGCGATCGAAACTTAAAGATTTTATCAGCGAGTCATACTGGGACAAAGACTTGGGCGACCAACAGCGATTCTGATCCTTGAAGAACAGATTCCCCACATCGTCGAGACGGCTGGCGACATTCCCCATGATAGCGCAGGCAAAGGGATCAAGTCACGGCGCGAAAAAGAGACCGAAGCAGCGGACCAATCGATGGCCATCGACGGTCTGCGAACCTGCAGTCGGATGGCCTTTGAAATGAAGCAGCGTGCGAACGAGTCGAATAATCCGTCATTCGTGAAGCAAAGGTTGTCTAAGGGGGAGGGAGAGAGAGGAGGTCTCGAAGATCTGAAGGAGGCGGGGCGATCGAGATCGGAGAAATGCGCAAATCGCAGGCGACCGCCCCAACGAGTGGTTTTTGAGGGGTTTCTTTTACTTGTAGATTTCTTTGTTTTTGGATATTCGACTTATTTTTCTACTGGTGATAATGGTGACTCTATGGACTGGCGGACTGCAGGTGAAACAAGGAGGAAATGAGATGTCGCGCTGAGCGGGCATTTGAAGCAAATAAAGATGATATTAAGGGAAGTATACAGGATTCCGTCTCATCGTTGGTATCAAGTGTCGTGAATGTCATGAGACTCGGTGCCAGACCGAGAGAAGAAAGAAAAGCAGAGCAGAGCAAAAGAAAAGACACATCGTCCGGAGAGCTCAGCTTACGAGCTGACTGGGAGCCTCGTGATTGGGATTGGTGGTGATCGCTCGAGCTGCTTCAGGTCGCTGACTCGATGGAACCTCACTAGTGGACGCCGCACGCTCTCGACCAGAGAAGTACCGGTGTTTGGGCCGATCAGCGTGTCCATCCGCTTCTACCCATTTCATCACCTGTCCTCGCAGGTCGCGCATCTCGTGGACTCGTCGGGACAGATCTCCACGTTGTTTACCTTGTCCACTGCGTTCGTTAAGCTCGCTTTCATCTGAGCTGGAGATGGACAGCGACGAAGCACTGCTCTGTTGCAGAAAAGTGATGGTATTGCCCGCGCGCTGTTTGAATTCGCGCTGCTCTGCCTTCATCTTGCCCATGCGCTCCGCATCCGCTTGGCAATCCAGTGTCGAAACGTTGAGACCAGGAAAATTGGAAGACATGAACTCTTGCAAAAGAGGCAGCTTTTCTGGGTTGGGACGATAAGTGCCACTGTCATTATCAATGAAAAGTTCATAGTCGGCTGGGTCAGTCGAAATTTCAACAGTCTCCCCGTTCTGATCGGGCTCGTGGCCCTCCACGGGAATTTGGGGTTCCACTTCCGTTATGGTTTCGGCACGTTCAGCACGCGATCCAGTAGAACGATGGTGACGACGACGCTTACGTTGACGAACGAAGAATTCACCCGAGTAGGCAATGTAGATCGACACATCACTATGCATAGTGTGCTTGCTCAGCATGTCAATACCAAACTCTTTCCCAGTCTCTGTGAACCGGAACTGTCCATCCAAGGTTAAGACGTAGGTGAAGATACATCCGCCTTGACCGTAATGGGCAAACTCCAAGAACTTTTGCGCAAATTCGCGGCATGGCTGCGCAAATGACCCATGCAGGGTCGTGCGATCAAAATTGTAGATGCGCTGGTGCTGGTGATGGAGGGCCTTGTGTAAGATGCGGCCTCGCAAACTTTGCGCCTGGAACATACCTGCCACGAACGGCTTAAATTCCACATAGCGGTGGTAGAGTTCCCATGGCACAGGGCCTGTAAGCTGCATTTGAATGGCTTGGAAACTGTCTGTTGTTAGTGCGGATGTGTGTGACAGTATGGAAGGTAACGAACTTGTAGCGACTGACAGACTTTCCACTGCCATCTTTGGATTGCATTTGGTCTTTGATACCAGCCAGCCGTCCAATCAACGGAGAAAAGTGCTTGTACCAGTGGTTAGGACCAATGGTGTACAGTTGGCCCCCTTCAGTCCCGGGAGTTCTGCCCAGGCATTCGATGCTGACCACGACGAACGATTCTTTGTGATGACCCGTAGCGAAAGCGGAGACATTGGTGAAAACGTAAACGCGCTTACTTCCAAAGCGCTTCTTGACCTTGAAAGATTTCTCTTTGAAGCCTGGCCAATCTTCCGAGAGCGCAGGCACTTCGATAAATGCGAGTCCCAACTTATCGTCATGGTCTGCGGGGTCCTCATCCATAACATAGGACTTCAAAAGGCAACCGGATGCTGGCACATTTGCAACAACCCACTCGCATTCCCACACGGGGTTCATGTCTTTGCGAATGGTCGGAGTGCGAAATCTGACCGGCGGATCCTGTTTATGGCGGCGCGGTAGGTTGGTGACCATCTGCGCAGAGACATACGGGTCCGAGGAGAAACTGCCGAAGTCCGCGACGGGCAGGTCGATCGCGCGATGGAACGTGATCTTCAAGGTATAGCCTGGCGGCGCATGCGTAAATGGAGTGGAATCAAAGCCACCGGCGGGCTTGCTATCATCCTTCATGGTGATCCGCCGTTGCATCTTGTCAGCCTTCTCGACAAACTTGGGGCCATATTTGTCGATGGGATGGACGTGCAACGACCGGGGTTGGCGGTCTTCAGTATCCATGACGGGAATGGACGAGGGGTCATATATGGATCTAAACCCCCAGGATCAGAAAAACCAAAATACGGAAAGTATCGAGTACAGTCAACTTAGGGATCAGGGGAAGAAAAAAGGGAAGTTGAAGTGGGTAATGAAGCCAAGCTTTCAGCCTTACAAATGAATCACCGCACGGGAGGTCCCAAGGTTGGCCCAGGCAGCAGTAAATCGAGTGCCAAGCATGACCTCATGGGGTTCATTGTGCCTGGTTTGCAGCGGTTCATTGGCTGATTGTGCCTGGTTTTCTTGCTTTTCAGCCTTATGGATCTACAATGGTAATTTCATTTGATAACACTCCAAATACGTTGTTGTGGAGAACATGATCAGAGCCCCTCCACCAAGATCTAATTATACATGGTCGTGAAGGTCGTATAGGGAAAAACACTTAGCACCGGTGCGACAGCGCGAAAGGACACTGACGAAGGTGGCGTATGAGCAAGCTTAGGATCCACGGAAGAGGAACTGCATATCTTCCGGTGTGAGTTTTTCCAATGCTTGGGCTTGATCCTTGTTCAAGGTGCCCCGAATGAGGTTGGCTTTCTTCTCTTGGAGTTGAATGATTCGAGACTCGACTGAGTCCTCGATGCAAAGCCGAGTCACAACGCAGGGTCTCTGCTGGCCGATTCGATGGCTGCGATCGGCGCTTTGCCATTCCGCGGCGGGGTTCCACCACGGGTCGATGATGAAAACTCTGGAGGCCTCGGTCAGGTTCAAAGCCACACCGCCAGCCTTGAGAGAAACTAGGAAAACTTCGACTTCGGGTTTAGTCATGAAATGCTCAATGGACTTTTGCCGTTGCGCGGGCGTCATAGATCCATCCAACATCACAGTGTTGAACCCAGCGTGGCGCAAACGCCACTCGACAAGCTGCAACATAGAGGTGAACTGAGAAAAGATGATTGACTTGGGAGTATGACTCTTGCTTCTCTCTTGATAGAGTTCATACAGGAGCATCTCGATCTTGGTCGACGAGGTCCAATTTTCCATGGAAATGCGGTTGATGATGGAATTCTTCTTGGCAGAATCCTCCGAGTGCGCAAGCGTTGGTTGTTCCAAATCAATAGAGAGTGTGATGTGGCAACGTGGACAGTCAACGTATTTCTGCTCGTCCTGGAAAGACTCTATGTAGTCTTTGGCACATTGGCGGCAGAACTCATGACGACATTGGGACCGAATCGCATCTTCGGCGGGTTCGTCACAAACACAACACACAGCTACATTGAATCCCGGCTGCGTGTTTTTCTTCAAGATAAGATCTGGATGATTTGCGACTTGGCGCATCTGCATGATTAAGCCGAAGATATTGGCATAGTTGTTCAGCATGACACCACGGCTGACATATGTATCAAATTCCCGGGTGGAATTGGTCATGATGCTACGTGAAAAGTCATGTTCAATCTCGCCGAAGAACTCATTGTGCAATGTGATTCTGAGATACAGTATCAGCCAAGAATTTCAAACGTGACATCAAAGTGTGACTGACCGTTTAGGGGGAAGTTCCATCGAGGATGTATGGTCATGCTTCATTCGTCGCAGCATGATGTGATCTGTGATAAGACGAAGCTTTTCTAATCCGGCTTTTCGTTCTACCTGTGTTCTTCCCTCGGTAACTGGAATAGTCAGACATGTAAGAGTATAATTCACTTAAAGGAAAGGGTCTTACTTGGACCGAGAATTTCCTTGTTAAATATTGAGATATGGTTGAAGCCACTGTGAAGGTTAGAATGAGCAATCGAAACCAAATTTTGAAAGTCTTACGTGTGAGAGCATCCAGTGCAGCGGCCTGATTTATCGGCAGTCCATTGTAGCTGCTCGCAGTCACATTGCTTGCAGAAGTAACAGGCGAATGGTCGTACTTTCAAGAAGCGTAACAGAGAAAAGAACTCTCCAATTCGATTTTGCACAGGTGTGCCGGAAAGACACCATTTGTAGTTAGCTTGCAAGGCGAAGCATGCTTTAGCAACACCTGTAGTTCGTTGCTATAAATATAAGTTAGCGTGCATAAGAACGACAGTCTCGGAACCTCCTACCTTGATACTGTGTGCCTCGTCAAGAATGAGACGGTGATAGTTAAGAGAATGAATAATGCCTGATCAACCCAAGTTAGTATTAATGCCGATTTAGCATTCTGTGATACCTACTGTCCGCTTTGACAATTGTCTCGCCGCGAGTGAAGCCCTTCTCCTGCTTTCGGTGGATAGATTCCAAGCTTGAGTCTGGTCAAAATGGTTAGCCCAAATTTCATTGGCGACTTAAATAGGCGAAAATCCAAGAAAAAAACGAACAGGATATCATGATAACATCGTATTTTCGAAGGTCCTTTGGCGTCATTGTCTTGATCTTTGGATCCGAGTTATGGTATACAAGGACTTTCAATTTGCCATCCGTGTATTCCTATCGACTTGATTAATCCAAACCCCGGGAAGAGCCTGCAGCATAACATACCTGAATTTCAGATACCCACTGCATCAAAGCAACTGGCGGTACAAGAACTAATGTCGGATCAGGTTGAGGGAAGTCAGACATGATGAGAGATACGGCTTGAATGGTCTTTCCCATGCCCATCTCGTCACCCAGTAAGCCACCGCGATAGTCAGTCTGCTCCTGATGCATCATCCAATTCAACCCTTCAAGTTGGAATGGTTTTAGTTTTCGAGTGATGGAGGCTGGCTGCTTAGCTGGCCCTGGTGCGAGGACAGGGCGGGATTTCAGATCATCCCACATGGTAATGATTGCGGGGTGTTTTTTCTCGAGCTTTTTTCTGTCGGCTGCCATGCGGCGAGCCTTTCGCTGTTCCTCCCAAGTTGGCGGCAGGTCCTCTTCGGATTCGGATACAACTGATTCTTCAGAGTCATCTAAGCCATCAGAGAGATCGGAAGTTTCTTCGAAAGGATTCTCGTGTTCAAAGTGAAGATCCGCAAGTGCACTTTCCGATAGATTTGGATAGGCTTTCTTGAGAAATTCCATATTCGGTGGCTCGGGGGTTAATGAGGACAGAGTCATATCACTCATTGCCAACCCATCGTCCTCTACCACCCATTCCCATCCTCTATTAGAATTAATATTTTCTTGGTCTGAAGAATTCCGGGAGGCTTTCTGTCTCTTTGGGGGGTGGTCATATTCCTCCATCTGAAGTTTTTGCGCCAGGGCAGCATCCGAGGCCTCGCGGCCATCATCTTCGTCTCGCGTAGCCGTAGATCGCTTAGTTCCTCTTTTGGAGGACCCTAACGACAGCGTACTTGACTGGAGTTTACTGGCACGATCAGAAGCATTGATACGGGCTGGAAGCTTGGTGCCAGTGGCTTCGACGCTAGTCGCTGGTGTATTGTAACCCGTGGACAGTTTTTCAGATGAGCTTCGAGAGTTAAAATCACTGGATGAATCGTTTTTTAAGGCCGGTACCACTACTGCGATATTTCCTGAGACAGGTGGTTCAAAGGCTGTCGAATCCGAACGGTCGACGTACTCTGCCTCGTCCGCTTCGGAATCCTGAATGACGCGCTGAGATCGAGATCGAGATCGAGGAAGGGATGATCCACCCACTCTCAGGGGTTGGGATCGACGGAGGGGCGAGGAATTCCTCAATGACGTTTCACTGAGATGGGAATCATCCTCGGAATCAGGGATGGTAGTTCTGGAGCGAAGACTGCGCCTCATGATCGCGAGGCGTGAGATGAACTCAAGGCGAATCGAGAAAATGATAGTTCAGTGCCACTAAACACTGCTAGATACTGCCCAAAACAACAACCAAATTAGCCGGATTTCGGATTTCAGACGTCAAATCATGATCTACCTAGCAAAGTCGGCCCCGGCTGATCGGAATAGAACCCGAAGTTCAGGAGGCTGGAGGTTAGTGGAGGTATGAGTTTAACCGAAGCAGCAGTGATAGCCGAAATAAAAGAGCAGATTCAACGGAGCGCGAGGAAAAAGACAAGAGAGAGAGAGAGAGAGAGAGAGAGAGAAAGGGAGAGAGAATGAAAGTGAAGGGAGAGAAGTGATCGATCGATCCGGTGCCTGAACCAGAATTTTCTTCGCGGGCGAATCCGATCAAACTTCGCAGATATTTTCCAAGGGTCTGAGACTCAAAAGAGATTTCGAGAATTACAACCCTGGAATATCTCTACATTTACTTCTTCCACCTTCCAACCTTCTGCCTTCTACCTTCAACCCTTCTCCGCACTCTTATCTGATAAGAGCGCGTTAAGTGAAACGCGAAATCGCCACGAGTCCAGTGACTTCCGAGTCAACATGTATGTCCCCCCCTTCTATCGTGACCACCTCATGCCATTATTGAACACTTTCTGACCTTTTTCAGGGCCCAAAGACGACAGGCTCGAAATATTCGGGGCCCGTATGCTTCCCTTTCCCGCTGATCTTCCCAACGACTGACAATGGCAGGCATTCCGCTCTGACAGACTTCCTTGCTGTATGTTGAATGTTCCCTATTTGTCGAGCGTCACTGACAGTATCCAGTCAAATAACATCTCTGCTGCACAAATTCGAGATGATCACGACCGTCGAGTCACAGGGGAAGCACAGCAGTCTCCTGAAGCTGAAGCTGAAGCGGAAGCCGGGCAATCGCCCAATACCGCTGAAAGCCTGGGCTCCCCGGATGTGAATTCCCCGGAGGATGTGACTAAAAAGCGCAAGCGGCAACAGTCCATTGCCAAAATCAAAAATACCAAGGCTTTTGCTCGCCGCAAGGCGCGACGCACCGGGGACGACGATGATGATTTACTTGCCGGGCAGATGGTCGATGAAAAGCAACGTCCAAAGCCAGGTCAGCTAGAAAACTGTGAAATTTGTGACAAGCGTTTTACAGTCACTGCGTATAGCAAGACTGGCCCCAAGGGAGGTCTACTATGTGCCGATTGTTCTAAGAAGCAAAAGGGGGACGAGAAGAAGGCCCCTGCTAAGAAGCGTGGCCCTGGCATCGGTCGCCGTCAAAACCAAGCCAACTTGCTCGACGGTTTGACCTTGCATGGGACTCAGAGTCTAGTCGAAACTTGCATCAAGGTATGTTTCCGGGCATGGAAGAGCCATTAAAGTGCTAACTTGGCAACAGAAAGTCGCTGATAATATTAACGATGTTGATGAATTCGGCGATCTACCTCCATCCTTGCTACTCCGTCTGGGTCAAATTCTATCCAGAAGACGGGCTGTGACTTCTCGGACTTTGGAATTGTTCTTACGTCCTCGTTACAAGTCCATTGACCTGTTTGACTGTGCCAGTAAGTGTAAAGCTCCAGTAGACAGCCAGATCCCATGCTTACTTGTGTATAGAACTTGGCACGGATGATTATCACAAGATTCTTGCCTCTATGCCTCATCTTACTAGAATCAATCTGCGTTTCACAACTCCAATGAAGGACTCTATTCTTGATTACATGATTGAGCGTGACATGAAAATCAAGGACCTTCATTTGGATGGGCCAAATCTTGTGACTGATGACTGCTGGCGCAGGGTTTTCAAAACTGTTGGCCACAGACTGCAGAGTCTGAAGCTCTGGAATTTGGATTCTGCTTTTGACGATGATACTGCCTTGGTAATGGTTGACAATTGCCTTGGCCTTCAACGACTGAAATTGAAATTCCTCTCCAAAATCGGCGACAAAGCGCTCGAGGCAATCTCTACTCTCAAGCTTCTTCGGCATTTATCATTGCGTCCAATGCCAGAGACCAAGGCACAAACCGAATCTTTTCTCCAAATCGTTGCCGCGCTTGGGCCTCAGCTCAATACGTTGTCTCTTGAAGAATTTGACTTTATCGATGACCGTCTCCTACAGCACATCCATGAGCATTGCCATGCGTTGTCCAAGCTTCGGCTTACCCTAAACTCGACCTTCACTGATCAGGGATTGACCAATCTTTTCGAAGGGTGGTCCAATCATGCTCTTACCTATGCGGACTTCCATTCTCTCCGAGATGTGGACATGTCAAATCCCAACGGTCCCCCGGAGCCTGTCGGGCTCGCATCGAATGGCTTTATTGCTCTGATGAAGCACTCGGGCTCAAAACTTCAGCATTTAAACATCGCATCCTGTCGCCACGTTTCATACAAGGCATTCGAGGAAGTGTTTGCAGAGGACAAAAAGTACCCTGACCTCAAGTACCTTGATATATCCTTCAGCACAGCGGTGGATGACTATATTGCTCAATGTATCTTCCGATGCTGTCCATCCCTGCAGCGATTGGTTGTCTTTGCTTGTTTCAAAATTCGTGATATCCACATCCCCAGAGGACTTGCCGTCATTGGCACCGTGGGTGCGACCCTCAAAGTCGATGGAATTACTCAGTCTGAAACCATTTAATTTGTATTACAGTTTGGAAATACCGGGAAGGTGATATCATTAGCGATGGTTGTAGGTTGTGACAAAATATACGTACGTTGCTTCAGCTGAAAAGGTCGCAAGTTCTAAGAAATTGAGATACTATATACATCAAGTTCTTGCATGACAAAACAAACGAACAAATAAGAAAGGATTTTTGTGGACTTTATAACATCATTCACTCAAACTAATATATAAATTTTGAAACCAAAACGCCATGAGCTGCTATAAAAAATAGAAAAAAGAAACAAATCGTCAAGGTGTTCCATCTGATACCTAGAATGCCATTCTTTTCCCAATCTCACTTTGCCAGCCCCGTGTCCTCTCAAATCCGTTGGCCGCGGTCTGGTAGTCCATCATGGCCTGGTAGACTTCCTCCTGGGAGGTGAGTACGAATGGACCATACTGAACGACCTTCTGGTCTAGTGGTTGGCCAGCCACAAGGAAAACGCGAGACTCAGCCTCTGCATTTTCGGGGACCGATAGCTCGACAAAGTCACCGGCCTGCTCGAACTGGACATTGTTGAATTCTTTCACAATGCGGGTTGAATCGCTCGAGCCAAAGACGGTCTCTCCGGCCAGAGTGTAGGCAAATGCATTCCAGCCCTGGGGCAGAGGCTGCGAAACTTGGCCACCAGGCTTGATAGAGATGTCCAGGATCCAGACAGGGGTGTATGCCAAATCGCGCACAGAGTCAACACCGTGAGACTGTCCAGAGATGACCTTAATAGTGACCCGGTCATCAGGTTTGACGATAGGGATCTCAGTGGATCGTAGATCACGATAGCGGGGTTCACACATCTTCAGCTTCTGGGGCAAGTCAACCCACAACTGCATACCAACGTTGGGACTGCCGTCCTCATTCTCGTGGGGCATCTCGGCGTGCATGATGCCGCGGCCTGCGGTCATGAATTGCAGGTCACCGGGTCCGATAGTACCTTTGTTACCAGCAAAGTCCTCATGGTCCACACCACCGGACAACAGATAAGTGATAGTTTCTTGGCCACGGTGGGGGTGGTCTGGAAAACCAGCACCCTTGCCGATAGTGAAGTGGTCCAGCATGAGGAAAGGGCTGAAGTTTCGGAGCTTGGGAGTGCCAATAGAGCGGCGTACACGAGCGCCTGCGCCCTCTGATTGCTCGATGGCAAGGAACACCTGGCGAATTGCGCGAGGAACAGCCATGTCGTTAACGGGAAGAACTATGGGAATCGGATGTTCCAGGTTGAGAGTGGTGATCTGAGGAACAGTAGCTTCTTCCTTTGTAAAAGGCCGAATAATAGAAAGCTTCTTGTCGATATAAGAGACGAGAGAGTCTTTGAGAGATGGGTGATAGGCAAAGAGAATTGCGGTGATGCAGAATAAAAAAGGGAAAAGGAGTTTCATGAGTGGAAGGCTACAACTTATACTAGTCGAGTGAAGTAGAAAATGAACAGATGTCAGCGTTAGTCAAATCCTCATAAATACGTTGAAGCCCCGAGAGCTCATTATACACCTTGCTGGGGCGATCCAGAGGATTGCTAAGACATCAGTCAGCCACTCGGAGAGGCCAATTGCAGCCTGTGGGAGTGGACGGATTTATGACCAAATGCCCCGTCAGCAACCTCTAAGCAGAGACTAACCGGATGTGGGTGGATGAGGTCAGCAGCCCTTTAGGTGCCTCAGGTGTCAACTGGTATACCCAGGAGCATCACATGATATGTATGGTATGGAATAAGAGACAAAGTCTGTCGAGACCTTACAATATCTTATCTTAAGAAACCTACTGAACAAGGGGTATATGGATATCATAGAGGGCAATTTGAGATCAATCTCCAATGCATGTATAACATGAATAGAAGCCATATTGTACCTGGGTAGATAACGGCATGTCAAAGTATCCTAAGTCGAACAGAGGAGATTACAGGAATACATGCTGGATGGTCCCATATGGGACTCGCCATATCACCTGAGTTATAAGCAGAGACATCATGGTCACCAAGGCGCTATACCGTTTTTGCGGCATGGCCGAGGAAACCACCTTATCAGATAAGGCCACGCAGCCCTGGAGCTCTTCTCACCTCTCAACGCACGATCGCGTAGACATACCATTTCCTACTCCTTGAGTTTACGAATCTCATATACGAATGAACAAGGCTTTATTTAAAGCAAATCACTTCCACCTGCAGATCGAAGCTTCTTGCGACTGCAGCCTGCGCGGGGGAGCTTCAGGTCCCAACATTCAGATCCCCCAGACTCCACGAGGACCTGACTACTCTGTGCTCTGACTAAAAAAATGGGCCAGATCACTAAACTCTCGCCATGGCTAGCCTTGACATGTGCTGCATCCAATGTGTGGGCGATTAAGAAGCCGTTTAACATCAACGACGACATCCTGGCTTATCCCCAAGTATGTCAAACCGAGACCCTTCATACCACATTGACTTATATCCTGATGCTCAACTGCTGCTAGTATCAAGTTACTTATCCAGAGGAATATGTTCTGGAAGCCCAGGCCGACGCATTGCTCCAATCGCAAGCCAGCCCCGACGCAAGACAATTTAACAATGACCAGAACAACCCTCAGCTTTACATGGGGAAGGATCGAAGCGAGTCCTCCGAACCCCCTCGAGGAGATATTGACCGGCCGTCATTCACATATGAAGAGATGATTCTTGAAGACCGACGACTTCTCTGCCAGATCCCGATTGTCACAATCGACGACCACAATACGACAAGAGATAAAAGTGATAACAAAGCGGAAGAACAAAAGGAGCTGGCTCGTGCGACAGATCGTGGTCTGGAGCTTCTGCGCGAGATGGAAGGGAAATGCATGTACTACTTCTCCGGCTGGTGGTCCTACTCCTTCTGTTACCAAAAGCAGATCAAGCAATTTCATGCTCTTCCTGTTGGTCGGGGAATCCCCAATTACCCACCAATTGAAGATACAACAACACATTCTTTCATACTGGGAAGATTTATCGAGGACGAAGGCGAAGGTGAGGAATATCAACAACCTGCCAAAACAGATGTGGCAGAGCTGCATGCCAAGGGTGGCTCACGTTACTTGGTTCAGCACCTCCAGGGTGGGACAAAATGTGATCTTACGGGACGTGATCGCAAGGTAGAGGTGCAATTTCATTGCCATCCACAATCGACAGATCACATCGGGTGGATCAAGGAGCTCGCAACGTGCTCCTATCTGATGGTTATCTACACCCCACGTCTGTGTGACGATGTTGCTTTTTTGCCACCGCAGCAAGACGAGGTACATAACATCGAATGTCGCGAGATCTTGATGCCTGACGAAGTCTCTGAATGGGAAGCTATTAAGGAGTGGTACACAATCAACCAACTGACCGACGCAACCGCCGATGCTCATGCCACCCAGCCTGAGCTTCAAATTGTCGGGGGCATCGAAGTTGGAGGCCGAAAGCTTGTCGGTATGGAGGGCAAGCAAATTGAGAAGGGAAGAGTAGCTTCCGCGGGTGAAGAACGCGTGGAGGTCGTTGCGAAACGCGAGAATGGTGAAATTCGCAAAGTCTCCAAGCAGATTCTGAAGAAGTATGATCTTGACCCGGAGAAGGTGGAAGACATCAAGAAGTTACTGGACGAACAAGCAGACGGTAAAGATTGGACGCTTGAGATCGTGGAAACCAATGGTGTGATCATGTTCCAAGGCAAACTCGCCGATGATGAGGACTGGGATGATGATTCAGCCTCGGACAAATCGCCTCAAGATGCGACGTCGGGAGATGGATCAGCCACAGGCCATAAGTTGAGGCAAGAATCCGAGTCGGTTAAGCACAAACCGGCACGGCAGTCCACAAACTCTGAAGGTGAAGGTGAAGGTGAAGGCGAAGGCGAAGGCAGTGAGGAGACCTTTAAAGATGAGCTATGACATTGCAAAGTAAATCATGTACATCTGAATAATTTCCGGTCTATCTCAAGTGGTTCTTGTACCCACGCATTACAGATATGCCCGTTAGCTTCGTGGCCCAAAGACGTCAGACGCCCCCAGTTGCCGGAGAATTGAGTGGGGGCGCAGGGTACGGGAATGATAAAGGGGGGATGCAAATGCAGAATTACAGTCAAGTGGAGTGAAACCAAGCAAGATCAAATACCCGGTTGAGCATCAATTGAAGTTCAAGCGAAGCCGGCAAAATAGCAGAGCATACGTAGGCAACGTGACTCCGTGAACTCCTACCGATCGCCCCGGCCCACCTTCCCACCCTCCCTGATCCAACCTTGGCCTCCATCTCTCTCTTCTCTTTCCCCTCAATCCCCTTGGATTTGTGTCTTTTCTCTAGCGCAGTATATCTTATCCTCCCCTCCACCCCCCTCTCTCCCCTGCTCCGCTGAGTGCCAAGGCTGACTGACCAGCCCTCACTTCTCCGTTCCCTCGACTACACTCCGATCCCCGACAATTAGCGCTGGCACGTGTAGCAGACGCTGCCACTTGCAGCGGCAGGATACTCTGACATCACACTCGTTGGTTCCGGTGGATTGCTTGTTATATCCACTATGGGGTTCCTCGGTGTTTACTCGGCTGTGTACGATTACCAGCCACAAGGAGAGGGTGAACTCGAGATTCACGAAGGAGACCTGCTGTACATCTTGGAAAAGAACTCGGACGATGATTGGTGGAGAGCCAAGAAAAAGGCCGAGCGGGAGGATGAGGATGAACCCGAGGGTCTAGTTCCCAGTAACTATGTCGAAGAGGTGAGTCTCACAATAGCCATGGAATGCGAAAGCACCGTGCGAGTACTCTCCAGATGCGCTCACGCATTGTGATTGGGCGCGCCAAGTTCATAAAAACAGGAACTGATCAGTTGGCTTGCATAGGCGCAACCAGTGCACAGAGCCACGGGCCTTTTTGATTACACGCGACAGACAGATGAAGAAGTGTCTTTCTCCGAAGATGCCGAATTGTTGGTCTACGATATTTCCGACCCGGATTGGATATTGGTAGGATCCAACTCGGATTATGGGTTTGCACCGTCAAATTACATAGAAATCATTGAGGATACTGCCTCCGCAGCAGCGCATGTTCCTGCTCCACCTTCAGTCTCAGCTGAGCCAGCGGTGCCGTCTCTGCCACAGCGACCAACGCAAGCCTCAGAAGAAGAATTTGAGCCACCTTCAGCCAGTTCCCCTATTAATGTGTCTCACAACCCCGCTGCTGCTGCAATTGCCAATATCATTCACCAACAGCATGCCCCTGTGGGTGTTCCTACCGAATCATCTAGAGACGAACCTCCGCCACCGAGCTTGCCAGTCCGACCATCGTACGATCAAGCAGAGGAACGCAATGGGGAGTCTCCACCCCCTACTCTACCGCGCCGACCACCTTCGGAGCATGCAACACCTCCGATGCCTCAGTATTCCCCTGAGCCCTCTCCGGTGCCACCTCGTCCCCAGCAGAGCGCGCCTGCTTCAATTAATCGCGATGGAACTCGTATCAAGGCTTCTCCACCTTACAACAGGGCCGGTGAGATGACACCGCGATCTCCGTCCGGATATCATATCTACAACATCAATGAGATGGTTGAGGTAATGGGCAAAAGAAAGAAGATGCCAACAACATTGGGCATTAACATGGTTACTGGTATCATCTTTATTTCTCCGGAGGGAGATGACCGACAACAAGAATGGAGCGCAGAAAAGCTCACTCATTACTCAATTGAAGGCAAGCATGTCTTCATTGATCTTGTTAGGCCAAGCAAAAGCATCGACTTTCACGCAGGAGCAAAGGACACTGCTCAAGAGGTTGTGGCAGCGCTTGGGGAGATTGCTGGAGCCTACCGGGCCGAGGGATTGCGTGAGGTCTTGGAAGCTGGAGAAGGAGGCGGCCAGAAGAAGGGCCAGATTCTTTACGACTTTATGGCACAGGGCGACGATGAAGTGACCGTGGCTGTAGGCGACGAGGTCATCATTTTGGATGACGGCAAGTCTGAAGAGTGGTGGATGGTGCGGCGATTGAAAAACAATAAGGAGGGCGTTGTTCCAAGCAGTTATGTTGAAATCACAGGTGTTGTGACCAAGCCACTCCTGCCAGAGGAACCTGGCTTGACGAGTGTGGAAAAGAATCGAAGAGAAGAAGCCCGACTGACCAAACTTGCGATGGGCAAGTCACGAACCGACTCGGTAGATTCTTCGGACCGCCAGAAGCGCGACAGCAAATCGAAATCCAGACCAGACCCCAAAAAGGTTCGCAAATGGACAGATCGATCTAAGAGCTTCACTGTGGAAGCACAGTTCATCGGTCTTCAAGATGGAAAGATTCATCTGCACAAAGTGAATGGCATCAAGATTGCCGTCCCCGTCTCAAAGATGTCTGTTGAAGATTTGGAATTTGTTGAGAAAGCCGCAAACGTTTCCTTGGAAGAGGACAAACCTCTTTCAAGCCTCAAATCCCGGGTTACTCCCGAGACTGGCAAGTCTGGAGCTTCCGTGCAACACCCTGAGTACGATTGGTTCGATTTCTTCTTGAAGGCGGGCGTTGGGCCACATCGGTGCGAACGTTATGCCCAGAGCTTTATTAAGGATTCCATGGATGAATCTGTACTTCCTGAAATCAAGATGGAAACCCTTATTACTCTGGGATTGAACCAAGGTGATGCTTTACGTGTAATGAAGGTCTTGGATACTAAATACGGCCGTGTTGACAAATCCAAATCTCGAAATGTGAGCTTTGGGGGTGAAGAATTTATTGGAAATGGAGATGATGGAGGACAGGGTGGTCTCTTCTCTGGGCCCGGAGGTACCCTGCGCAACAACACTCGGAAGGGCAGGCCCACCCCAAGCGTTCAAGCTGGTGATGTTGTTGATCCAAAGGTGTTTGGACAGACGGAGGACTCCAAATCCCAGGACAAACCGGCAAGCCCGCCTCCTGCTGAGCCAGAGAAACCTGTTTCACGCGGATTTGATGACGATGCTTGGGAGGTCAAGCAGCCAAAGCAGCCCTCCACAGTATCTGTGCCTCCTACCTCGACTCTGCCGGCGGTAGCTCAGAGTCCGATCCAAAAGCAAATGACTGGAGCAATGGCCGACCTGTCTATGCTTCAAGCTCCTTTGCAGCCGACTCCCACCCAGCCCATAAGCAACGCACAGCCAGTTCCGCCCATGCCGGCCCTTCAGCCGCAGCAAACTGCAGTGCAGTCACCGGTAGTGCAGCCGCAGCAAACAGGGGCCACGCCTAGCTTCTTTAACCAAGTGGCACAGGTCGGGCAACAGGGCTTTAGTCCCCAACAGACCGGGTTCCAACCAACACAAGCCCGGCAGCGTCCCCAGCCCCCTCAGGCCTTGGGACAAAACTCGCTTTTGCCTCCTCCACCTCCCCGTCCACTGTCTGCTCCTCAGAATTTCTCACAGCAACAGAGCTCCTTTGGGCCTCCTCCACTGCAGGCTCAACTGACTGGACTTCCCCAGGCTGGCCCTCCCGTTGCCCCTCCCGGACAGAGCCTGAGTGAACTGAACCAACAACGTTTCCAGCCAACAATGCAGCCGCAAGCAACGGGTTTCATGGGACAGAGCCAATATGGAAATGGTATGATGCCTCAACCGACAGGATTTGTACCACAATCCCAATTTGGCATTCAGCAACAGCAACATCCATTCGCCCAGCAGCCTGGCTTCCAGGGTATTGCATCGCAGCCTACCGGCTTTGGGGAATTTGCGCAGCCCCAGCAACCAATGCCTACTGGTATCAACTCTGTGCTTCCTCCAGCATTGCAACCGCAGCCCACTGGTCTCAACGGCTTCGGTAACCAGTATTCTGCAATCTCCCCACCCCCTGTGCCGCCAATTCCCCAGCAGCCCACAGCCACTCCTCTATCACCGCAGAAGACAGGGCCACCTCCGTCCATCAGATTTGGTGTCAAACCTGATGGTCCCAAGAAACTCGAACCACAGCCCACAGGACTCCGGGCTAATCTCTCACAAGCTAGTATGTATTTCATGTCTAGATCCTACCCTAACATGATCGATGGACCACTAACCGAATTCTACAGCACCCCATAATCCCTTCGGCTTCTGATGCCCTGTTTGCTTCTTCGCTTGGTTCTAGATTGGCGTATATAAACCCTGTTTATCTGAAATTTGGGGTCCTTCTTCCCTGCTACACTTTTATTTGATGTTTTGCTTGTTTCGGGACTGGGACTATCTATTCCCTTACTGGCCGCTTGTTTGATTTCTTCTATGGTGCTGGTGCTCTTGGGACCGACACGCGTACATATTAGGGCTTTCTAAACCTCGTTTTGACAGCGCGTATTGAATGTCACGACACAGATCATTCTACTCCCCTACAGAACTACGGAAGTTTCGCATGGAGCAAAGCATCATATCTCTCCCCTTGTGTTCCTCCTCAGATATGGGTATGCCTCTCCCGTCCCACATTTCTCGATGCCTAGCCTCCTGTCATATAATTCCCATTAATGATGACGCGCATTGTGTGGATGTTTCTCTCTTTCCTGGTTCCTCTTTTCTTTTGTGCTACTTGTATAGGTCATTTTGATCTTTTTCTCCTTCATCAGTTCATACATAATCCGTTAACATGTTAGCAGCATTTGCGGTAGCAACTTTTCTTTGTCCCAACTATTCCGGCGTTTGGTAATTTATGTATCTGTAATGCAGGCGTAGTGGATTAAACAATTATCATTCAGTTGAGGTTTCGTCTTCCATCTTCGGCATTACTTGTCTGCGTCGTAAACAGAGACCTGACTCGCAAGTCACTAGGGAAAGACGCTGCTGTTACTGGAGATGAGTTCAGCTTGCAGGATAAACTCCAGTGAAGGCCTAAACGGTCACAATCAGGGTGCTGAAAAACTGGTTAGACAAGTACGTGTGCAGTAAACCTATCAGCTCCAGGGTATATAGTGATGGGTACTCCTTTATGAGACAGTAACCAAAAAAGGCAAAATGAAAGGGGTCATTGCGTCATAAAGTTCATCCGCCTCTTATAAGAGTGAAACAATAAGCGGTGTTAGTATGTTTGCTTCCAACGAAACGCATTTCAAATGACAAAACAGGGCTCCTCGGTCCCTTTTCAATCACGGCTCTTCTGGCCAGATACCGAAATTCGGAAGGTCCTCAGCTATGTACAGCAGGCCATTGTCTGGGAAAATCACATCAGAGAGAGGAGATGGGCCACCAGACACAGCTTGTTGTCCTGACGGAATGGTTCCTCCAGGAGAGCAACCCACGGGAATCCCAGAAGTAGTCAAAGCGGATATTGCTGCATCATATGACAAAGCAGTAGCATCATTCGTACCATTGCAGAGGGCTTCCCATACATCATCACTAGCAGAAAACTGTTGCGGCTGCGGGGCAAGAAGAGAGGATGGTGTGCTACCAGCCAGTTTGCCCGGGGAGATTGGAGAAGGCACCGCTACTGAGGGTGGGCCGCTATTCAGTCGGCCAGGAATATCACGACCGGCCCCCGTCAGAGAGCTAGGATCTTCGCCACCACCGACTTGGCCGAAAAGTTGGTCCACTTGCTTACTGCGGCGATCCATCCATTGTCTATTTCGTCGTGAGACATACTCGCTCACGGCTCCACGGAGGTACTTGATGATCTGAAAAAAGCGACAGGCATGAGGATCATGCGGCACGAACAGCCCTAGGAACCGCTCGGCCTTATTTATCCCCTCATCTAATGGGAGAAGGTTGTCGTAGTCGGCAAAAAAAGCTGCGCCGAGCACAATGACGGAGTTGAAGACAGAGTTGATCAGGAATGGTAGCCGTCGTGGGAGGGCATCATAGTGGCTGAGATCATCGACCACGTCCAAGCCTCGCAGTGCTGAATAGACACATGCATCGGCGAACAGTGCAATACGAGAACTCCCATTTCGAGTCTCGGGGGTGGAAGATGGATCGACTTTGCCCTTGACATATTGAGCAACGCGGTAAATGAGAAATGGCCGAGTCAGCAAGATTATTGACCAGTAGTATGACCCGAATACATGGGCCGCAGCTAGACTGCTTTCCATGGTCTTGTTTTCAAGGGTTTCGGTCTGCATCTTGAGAATTGTTGGCAGGGTCCGAACCCAGGCCCGATGCTGATTCGAGATATTCTCTGCAACATTGATCGAGATCACTTGTTTCATATAGACATCCGTCAGAATTCGTTCGAAGATTCGACACAGTGAGATAACTGCAATGGAGAGCTGCTTTTCGGGTGTCTGAAGTGCCTGTGATTCTTCTGACACAAGAACATCATCGCGGATGTCATAGTCATAGTCAGACGTCGCGGGAGGCCGGCCTAAGGAGGCACTGAGGAAAAGATCCATCATACGGAGACTCTTCCAGACTCGCTCCCTCGCCCGTTGTTCGCGCCCACAGAACAGTGCGTTTGCGTCTTTCCGGTGAATTCCCACAGCGTAAGCAGCACGCAAAGCAATTCCAAGGTTCATGAATGCGCCATTACGTCTGCAGGCACCGAGCATGTACATGGAAACCAAAATGTATGATTGTATAGTGGAGATGCTCGGGGTTTCCTGGAAGGCAGAGAACGCCAATTGACGACCACTGCCAAAGTATTGTTCCGCCAAGCTTTGGTCTATCTCGGAAACTTGGGCTCCAATAGCAAGTACCAGATAGAAAATCGAACTGACAGTGTCTTCATCGCCTGAGGGATTTGCAACCCAGCTGGCAAGTCGCGGGTGGAACTCTTTCAGGTCGAACAAATCCAGTAGAGGGCTCGTGGCAAGCACAAATTGGTGAGCTAGCCTATGAGCCTCGTTGTCACTCGGAGGCGTCACGAGAGGCCCAGGTTGCTGAGAGCTTGGGTTGTTCTGAAAAGCTTCGAGCATGGAATGTCGCGAATTATCTTCGGTGAACTCGCATCGGCCAATTGAAGAAGTAACAACACGGCGCACACTCTGTAAGAAAGACAGACTTGCTGAATCACCAATATACATAAATTTTCCTTGGCCATCGCGAAGAAGTCTGGCCACTTTGGGAACTGGGGCCGTCCCCTCTTTCTCGTCCTTAGCCTGATGCTCCAGGTCCCTTCCACGATCTTCTAGCGAATTCAACAGTCGATCCATAGCCGTCTCCCTTTGCGGCGATGGTATCATGCGCTCACTAAGCAACATTGTCGAGTCTTTAACGTCGGGCTTCAGTGTACGTGCAGGCCGATCAGAAAAATGGCACTCTGATTCCTTCCGCCGCTGTACACATATTGTGCATGGTTGCTCGCCGTTGCACTTCTGTTTCCGCCGTTTGCAACTGTCGCAGGCTCGTCGACACCGGAGCCGAGCTCCCGGAGTGTTGCTTGCTCGAGGCATCTCGATCGCACATGTGAAAAAAGGCTCAGGCGTTTGAAGTAGTGGTATTCATCGAAACACGTCGTATGGGGCCTAGACCGAGATAAGAGTACTGGAGTCAAATCATTACTCTGGTGATGCGAGTTTAAGAATTAACGTTGAAGGAGGGAGGGTGTCTGCTTTCCCCGGACTCTGGGAGATGACTCAGCATCTCCAATGCGGGCACTAGGGGTCTCTATAAAGGTTTACGGTGTTGAACGGCATGGAAATGTCATGTTTTCGATTCATTGAACAGGATATATATGGGGGAAATGTATAATAGAAACGCCTCAAAACTCCAAGGTCTATTACCGATGCGCTTCAGAAGCAGATAGACATAATTCTATGCTTTGACCATGAAGATCTAAGTGAATTCGTTAGTAAACCACAATAGAAATCTGAGCAAAATGAACCTTACCTCGTTGAGAGACTTGTCGTCCATCAATGCCATCTTTTTCTGGGCAATGTAGCGTGACCGGAATACATTGCGTCCGATAGGCCGCCTCTCTCCTGATACTGTTGGTGTCGCTTTGACTTTTGGTGCAGAAATCTGATCCGAAGATTCAGTCGGCTCATCATCAGCCTTTCTCTTCTTGGACTTCTTCTTTTCCTTCTTCTCCTTCTTATCTTTCTTATCTTTCTTTTCCTTCTTTTCCTTCTTCAACTCCGAGCTTGACGTTGTGTGATCCGTGTCTTCAGCACCTGAACGGTCTTTCTTCGATTTGGACTTGGATTTAGATTTGGACTTCTTCGACTTGCGTGCTGGAGCATCCGACTCGCTCGAGCTAGAATCAGAACTTTCGCTGGATTCTTTGCCCGCGTTTGATTTTGTGAGGGCATTCTCCTTCGGAATCGGAGGTGCGATATCAGACTCCGGCTCCGGCTCCTGCGCCAATAGTCCCGCACTGACGAATCGCACCTCTGGGAACTTGAGGGCTGCATATCGAGCCAGTCTGACGTCGTCCCGCTTTCGTTCCTCTTTCTTCAATTCCACATCACTTTTGCCGTTCAGGCGACCGAGTAGGCCCTTGAAGGCGTCAAGGCCTGTAGGCTCCATAGGGTCGCGGCCGATGCGGGCGCCCAGTCCAAGGGTGTCATCCTTGAGTGTAACTTTGATATGGGAAGCGCTGGCGGCAGTCAATAGATCGGCGTGGGCAGCATCTCGGGCTCCCAGAAGATTGCCAGGTTTCCATCCCTGAGAACTCATGATCCGATGACCGAACCCGGATGTGGAGCGGGTCCAATTGGTGTTGTTTGGATCATTGGAGATCTTGGTCTTCCTGTTCGTGGGTTAGAAGAAGAAACCAAGGACATGAATCTGATTGCATACTTGCGTGGCCCTGCTAAACCCATGGTGAATCTGAGGAAGAAATCGTACGGAGGATGAGGTTAGTAAAGAAGATTTGCAGATAAAAAAAAATCGAGACCGGGGAGCGGATGAGTAAGCAATCGATAAGATAACCAGCCCAACCTCGCGGGGACGACTGGCGCTTCTCGACATTGATATTCTGTTTTCGGTTTGTACGCTGTGTTTTTTTCTCTTTCTTTTCTATCTATGAAATACTGAATTGAAAGCTATCTTCATCTTCGGATAAGTCTTTGGAAGGTTGTTTTCTGTGGGATATATCACTCGCTCAAATAATATAAAGACATTTCCGACTTGGCGATGACACTGCTTCTCTTTGTCGCCTGATCTTCTCATCATGTCCAATCTGAAAGTCCTCTGTCGAGATCATCCCCAGCGCACAATTGCGCTGGTCTCGTCAGATCATGCTTTAGTGTTTCATTACACCTCGACGGATACCGGTCCAAAAGACAGCCCCCGGTGCCAGGTCGAGTTCTTGGACTTGGCCTTGGCGGACTTGAAAGGCTACAGGTCCCTGGGTATTGGTTATGGCACACTTGGCCTCGTCACTCTAAATGAAGATGTGTTTGTCTGTGTGGTCACCGGCTCCTCGCAAGCAGCCACCGTGCGACCTGGAGAAATTGTGTCAAGAATTGATAACGTAGGCTTCTGTGAGTTTGATCAATCCATCTTCTTCGGCCATTGAACTCGATATTAATCGGCAACAGATTGCTTGAATCGCGCAGAATACGAGTATGGCCTTGATTATGAGACTGGGGCTCAATTCGCCGCAGAGGAGCGTTCTGGGATGGACGGCAAAGAGATGGTTACTGACCATCCTTTCTTGGCGTTGAAAAAGCTACTGGGAGATGGGAGTTTCTACTATAGTCTCGATTTCAACCTGACGGATCGGTTGCAGGATCGGTAAAGCTTGATCGCCGATATAGCACATGATTTGAAGCTAACGGCTGTTACATAGAGCAGATAAATCTGCGGCATTTGGTATCGACACCTTAGATGAAGACATGCTGTGGAACTCCTACATGATTAATCCGCTGCTGCTTTTCCGGAGTCACTTGCCACCCTCCGACAAAGCAAAACTTGATGCATCGCAAATGCTGACCTGTGTCATCCGAGGCTTTGCCAGTACGCTCAAGATCCCGGCCACTGTCTCAATACTCCCTCATGTGCGAACAAACTTTCCATCAATGTTGACAATTATATCACGGCAATCCTCTCGACGTGCCGGTACGAGATTCAATTCGAGAGGCATTGACGATGATGGCAACGTTGCCAACTTTGTGGAAACCGAAACAATTCTGTGGATTTCGCCGGGTATTACTTTCTCATATGCTCAAGTACGGGGCTCGGTGCCCATCTTTTGGGAACAGGCTCCAGGTCTCATTCCAGGCCAGCAAAAAATCGAGGTTACTAGATCAAGCGAGGCAACACAGCACGCATTCAATCGACACTTTGAAACCCTCGAGCTAGAATATGGTGCTGTGCATGTGGTCAACCTCCTGAGTGAGTTGAAGCCAGGAGAAGCAGAACTGTCAGCCAAGTTTCGAGACCATATCAGCAGAAGCTCGGTCAGACAGAAAGAAGGCGCGGGAACTTCTCCACGTCGAAGTCTCTTGCGAATGACCGAGTATGATTTCCTTGCGGAGACAAGGGGCCCTTCTGGATACGAAGCCAGTTCCCAGATCAAACATGAGCTTATTAACTCATTAGATGGATTTTCCTACTTCTTATCGGAAGATTCTGGTCGCCTCAATGGTAGTCGAGATGATGCAGCAAACAGCTCTTCGGTTATTCTACAGCAAGAAGGAGTTTTCCGGACCAACTGTTTAGATTGCCTAGACAGAACGAATCTTGTCCAGACCATTATCAGTTCAATGGCGTTTGAATCGTTCTTGTCTCATCAAGGCAGCAGGCTCAGCGGAGATATGCAAGTGCGACATTCGACCATCTGGGCTGACAATGGGGATGCCTTGTCCAAAATCTATGCTGGAACAGGTGCCCTCAAATCTTCATTTACACGACACGGCAAGATGTCACTCGCGGGAGCGCTTGCAGATGCCCGAAAAAGTGCCACTCGACTATACGTCAATAACTTTACGGACAAGGCCAGACAAAAAACAATAGATCTCCTTCTTGGAAGACTAGCAAATCAGTTGCCTGTGCATCTCTACGACCCAACCAACGATTTGGTTCTTGACGAATTAAATCATCGAACATCTGAATATTCCTCGCGCAAACAAGTCCGGTTCTGGGTTGGCACATTCAATGTGAACGGTCGGGATGAGGGACCAGGCACTGACCTCACTCCCTGGCTTTTCCCAGAGGCAGATGCTGCTAATGATGACCCGACAATATTTGTTGTTGGATTCCAGGAGATCGTCTCCCTCAGCCCGCAACAGATTATGTCCACCGACCCCAGTACACGCAAGGTATGGGAAAGGGCAGTCCACACTTGCTTAAACACCCATTCCAAGATGAAAGGGACTGGCAAATATGTGCACTTACGCAGTGGCCAGCTAGTCGGTGCTGCGCTCTTAATTTATGCGAAAGAAGATGCCCTGAAAGACATTAAGAATGTTGAAGGTAGCGTGAAGAAGGTGATTAGATATGTCTCTCTATTCGTCCTTCTGCGGCTACTAACTTTTACAGACCGGTCTCTCTGGAATTGCTGGCAACAAGGGAGGCTGTGCTATTCGCTTCGAATTTTCAAACACCAGTATTTGCTTCGTTACCGCTCACCTTGCTGCTGGTTTTGCAAACTACGATGAAAGGAACAGGGACTACGATATCATCGACCGAGGTTTGCGCTTCCAGAAGAACCGGTCGATCGAAGATCATGACGCTGTGATCTGGCTGGGCGACTTCAACTATCGAATTGGGTTAGGTAATCCGAGTGTGAGAGACCTTATCTCACAGCGAGACTATCACAGGCTGTATGAGAATGATCAAGTCAGTGTGTCCCTCACTTTCCAAGTGTATATCTAACAGCCAGACAGTTAAATCTGCAAATGGTGGCGGGGAGAGCATTCCAGTTCTATTCCGAAGGCCGTATTGAGTTCCCCCCAACCTACAAGTACGACGTTGGCAAAGATCAATATGACACGTCGTGGGTTACCTCGCTGCACTTATGAAGAGAAACAGCTAATAAATATATAGTGAGAAAGCGCGTATACCCGCATGGTGTGACCGAGTGTTGTGGAGAGGGACAAACCTGCGACAAACGCATTATCAGACAGCCGATCTGAAAGTGTCTGACCATCGTCCAGTTTGGGCAACTTTTGATTGTATGATTGATATCATCGATAATGTGCTGAAAGAGAAGCTCCGCCGATCAATTTATGGGAATAAACAGCGCCAGCTCAATGATTCTCTGGTGGACTCGGTGTCTCTATTGGATTTGGATGATGATGAACTGGTGCCACAGGTCTCTATTGCTCCAGGGCTACCACCAGCGAGCTCCGATCGGAACCGATGGTGGCTTGACCATGGTAAGTGCCAATTGATTTGGCTTGAGGCATGTGGAATCTAATTTATATCTAGGAGCACCTGTAAAAGCAACAATACATCCCGACCCAGGGTTTGTCATAAACCCTCAGCGCAAAAGCAATCCCTTTGCTCTGGACACTGGCTCTGACTGGGCCCCGGTTCCAGGATTGAGAGAGAACTGGAAATCTGAGCACGGTGCTCAATTTGAAAGGAAACCAGTACTTCCTCCACGGCGTGAAACTTTGAATGAATTTCCAACAGAGTCAGTTCAACCTAGAGTGGTGACCGAGAAGTCACCGCCAGTTGTTCCTCGCAAGCCTCTCTCACTCAGCTCACAACCAAAATCCCGAACATTCCCAATCGATAATGAATCAGAACATACATCATGGCAAAGGGATTCATTGGACAATGCGCCCGTCACTGGAGGCTCCATGGATCTTCTTGAGGACGCAGCCAGTGAACAAATTGAGTGGAAACCACTTATTCCTGGCTAGTCTCGCTCAATCGCCAGACTTACTTAGGCGCAAGACCAAAGGATATTGATCACTTATGTCCATAGACCTCGGGGGCTTCAGACGCTTACATAACTACTCATTGATTCTTATTTGGATGATGTCATCCATCCTGTTGACCGCCTTCTTCTCCGCCTGATCTCGCCGCCTTCAAAGACCTCTATCTATAACTTCGTGATTGTTCGTTGTATGCCACTCTCACCATATATGCCTTGCCCTATTTCGGTGCAATGGGAAGTAGAACTCAAAATATGCTGCTTGAAGAATCAAGTCTTACTTACTGTACCTTTTAAGAATAGCGGCAAGGGTTGTAATATAGTTCGCGTTTCTCCTAGTTGCACAAACACCAGGGAGATGGGATCTCTGCAAATGAGCACAGTGTAAAGGCTTCAGGATATCACTTTTTCCTCATCATGTATGACTGCATATGCCTGGAGCCATGCGGATTGGTATAAATTAAGGGGTTCCTCTTAAAATCGTCAACGTGTCAAAAAACAACGTGGCCTTTTTTTGCCGGCACATTCATGCCCTCTTTAAACCCCTAATACGTTTGTCTTCATCAATCATACCCCCAATCAAAACATCATGGTAAGCACCAGTGCAATATTCTCCTGGTGGATAGCCATTGACATTAACCTAGGCACAAACACCTCAACAACGCAAGGCGAATGAGCGGTTCGCAAAGACTGAAGCTGCGAAGCGCGGCAAAGCACCAACCATAGTCAAGCCAAAGAAGGTTGGAAAGTCGCCAGTATCAGCAAGCTGGGTTGGTATGTGAGTCCTTTCTCTGAAAGAAGAGTCTTCTTTTAACAAATCCCTAGTGATTCTCGCCTTTGTCGTCTGTGGTGGTCTTCTCTTAGAGCTCCTACGCATTGTCCCTGAGCTCTGGTCCACCGTGGCCTCAATGTTCACCCGCATCACAGGGTGATGGGTTTAGTCCCCATATCTCAGACCCAAATTACCCGCATCAATTATCCCATGACAAGAACAAGACGACCTCGAGTCAAGGTACCCGCCTATCTGATCACACCGGCGTTGGAGGGAGCAGTTTGGAGAGAGGCTCTCGGCCAAAGGCGGAAAAGCGACTGTGCTCCAACACATCACTTCTTGTCTGCTGAAATAATGCATGTTTGATTATCTTTATCTTTGTTTTTACTGAGCCGAATACCATTTGCGAATGCGAATACCCAGCTTCAAGAGACCGGTGATCAATTCTCTGACTCCTTCTCTGGACCCTTGGTCTTCTTCTTCTTCTTCTTAATACAAGGCTCTGCGGGGTTCTCATCCGTGTTCTTCTTAGCCTTTTTCTTCTTTTTCTTTACTAGGGTTCCTTCTGCTGGCGTACCATCGAGCTGGATACGCTCTGAAGCTCGTTGCATTCGTAATCGTACTTCCTCAACCTGCTGCATGGCCTTGATCATCTCGGTATCTCCCTCATCGGCAGAAAACTGGAATGAATCTTTTGAAAGAGCAAGACGATCAAGGTTGCTTGAATCGACCTGGAGCAGAGAACGTTTAGGAGCAGGTTGTCCATCTGTAGCACCCTTGTGCTGTGAAGTATTCATTTGGGTCTCCAGGGTCTCGTCAGCAGCGACCGCCAGTTTGGTCATGGGTGCTCGACGGAGCCGTGAACGGTCAATATTAGCAAAGACTGACGGTTCATCTTCTATCTTCAAGTCAACGATAGGAATGGAATCGATGTCCAGTCCTTCTCCATTGGATGTATTGAGGATATCATGAATTGGCGTCGATGTACCGGACGACTCGCCAGAAGGAGCAATGTAAAATGGGTCATCCTTGAAACGTTCTCTGCGCTCAATTTTTCTCCTTTGTCCGGCTAACGAATCGCCAGGGAAATCTTGATATGATGTAGATGGAGCATCGACTGATGTAATATCAAGCGTCGACTTGGTAAACGCAGTTTCCGGAATATTATAAAAGTCTTGTATAACATCCCGCGTCGAAAATTCATGGGTCGAGCTCTCCAGATTGCGAAAAAGGCCCGGCAGATCATGGCTGAATGGCTCGTCCAGACAAAGACTTTCCGGTAGAACAACCTTCTTCTGAGCGCTAGCAGCAACAGGGTTGAGTTCAAGTCCCCTGAATAGGCCCGGTATCACTGACGCGAGCAGATACGGGACTTCTTGCCTTTCAGAGCGCAACGCCTCGGCTGCCAATCGAAGAACTTCCAAAAATTCGATGGCCCTTTCTTGGACGTCCAGATCGGGGTGGGCTGCTAGAGCCTCAAGGAATTCCACGACCCGAGCAAGCAAAAGTGACACTTCACTCTTCCAAGTTTCACCTGGTGCGCCATCCTGGCTGGCTCGAATAAAAACCTTTGGAATAGCTTGTAGGGAGAGAGAGATGGTTCTCGGGGGAAGCGACACATTGGAGCCGTCAATCAAAGACTGCAGGGTCCGCGAAGGCGACAAGAGATATTCTGCATATTCACCAAGTACCCAAGCGATGGGTCCTAAGACACCATCGCCAATAGTTGAACCGACGGGGAAGAAATGAGACCTAGTATCCACAAACATAAGTGACTCGGCGGCTCTTGTCGCCTCTAGGCGTACTCCTTTGACACGCACGGCAACATTGCGAATTTCTGTTCCAATTCGGAGTGCGGCGTTCATTCTTGCATTGGTCATGGATTCTTGGTCTGCTAGTTCTTCGGATTCGGGGGGTGGGATGAGACCGACTAATTGTACCAACACGGCGACGTACCACTCAAAATCAACCAGTTCAGAGTAATTGTTCTGTGAACACAGATCTAAAATTCGGTGGACAACTTCGGTCTGATAGTCGCTGGGCCATAAAATCAAGGTGTCGACCTTGGGCTCATCGCCTGGGAAACCTTCAGTAGGATCCTCGATTTCTGCATGGGCCGACTGAAGAGTTTCATTCGCAGACATCGAGGCTCGTCGCAGCTGATCTAGTAGACGATTGACAACGAGTTGTAAAGAGTCGCTATCAACCATTCCAACTGCAAGTTCCAATGCCTGCAATCGAATAGAGACATCTGCGTCATCTAGGCAGTCCATAATGACGTCTTGTTGCATGGAAACTAGAGTTGGATGCGTAGCGACAATGCGGTTCAATGCAAGAAGCGCAACATATTTGACTTCAGGTGGATCAGTAACAATGTTTTTATAAGAACAGACAGAAACTCACGATTTGGGTCAGCATCCATGACTATCATACCACGCAATTTCCCAACACAGAGAGTAGCAACTTCGTCCCTTTCTTGAAGACTATCCTCTCCATCCAATATCCCTCCCTGTATGATACCATTGATGCATTCATAAAGTAAGGACATTGCAGAAGTGGTTTGAATGATATTGGTCAATGGTCGCAGAAGCTTGCGAGTCAGCCGGGGTTCCAGCGGGGTCAGGGTTGCAAACTATTCATAGTCAGAGACGGGAAATTTTCTAATTTGATTGCTGGTAGAACTCACTAGTTTGATGATCTTGATAGCCATCCAATTATTGCCGCTATCCACAAGAAGTTCAAAGAATCGGGGCGCTAACGGGAGGAAGTCATGAGGCCGTCTCCAGCCAAGCTCACACACAACGTTGATTGCCGCCGTGGTGACACTGCTATCTTCTTGGTTGTCCATCAGATGGTCTTTGATCTTGGGCCAAGCCAGCTTTAAGGCTTCGGGGTAGACCAAGGCAAGCCTATAAAGGCATACAATTGATTTCTTGCGTACCACGGGATTCGAATGTGAAAGGCGAGACAGTACGTCAGGAAGTAGAGACATTGCCAGAGAGGGCGTGATGATGTGCGGCAATGCAACCAGAGGGAGGGACATATTAGAGATGCTAGAGTTGACAATGTCCTAGTCATATTATTAGTTGTGCTCGTTGTAAGGTTAGGGGAACAAAGCACAAACTTTCTTCAGCAGATTTGTCGCTAGCATCAAAACTTCCGTATCTGGTCGAAAGCTTTGTACAGCTCCGAGATAACCGACTCTTTTCTGGAGGTATTTGGCGGACGACATCACTTCCAGAACATGGAAGGATGCCCAAGACATGTCGTAACCAAACATTTCGAGATATATGAGCTTCAAAAGAGCTGTGGCCTTTTTATCTAGTTTGGTTGTCAGCATTCTGTTTCCATCTTACTAAAGAGGTCCTGGAGTGTACCCATGTCTTGCGTTTTGATCTCCGCCTTGCATTCACGCAAGCAATTTTGAATGTATTCATTTTCTCCTCCTTTATGGCCTCGAAGGCCTTTGATGAGGTCGTAGAGGGACTTTTCAAACCTATATTTCCTTCAGTATTAGAATATCAAAACCCAGCTGGTTCGTCGGATGCGCGGGTGCCCACATTATGTTGTTCGTTGCAGACCGCGGTAGGGGAGTACTGTCGAAAAGGAGGCAAGGGTAATGAGGAGAGATTTGTTCTATTTCTTGAAAAGGCACATGGCTGTAGGGACTACCATATCAGCCCCTACAAAGATGAAGAAAGACGAGAGGAAGAGAGAGGTGCAAGCAACAGAGCTCCGCGGGGGGAGTTGGGGAATCGCGATAAGAATCACGGGACCTCACCTTAGCTCCGAGGCGGTCCTCTTGACACTGTATCTTTCTCAACATCCTCAGAGATATCGTTTATTTTTCTACTGATCATGGCAGGTTCCATCTCCGACGCCCACAATATCAATGGGTCGGATCTGATCTCCGCTCTTCATCTTGCTCAACAAGCACCTACAATCCTTGGCCAGGAGTCTCCGTCCAAATCCTCCACCGCGTCTGCAGATACCGCAGAGGATTATGCACGGATAGAACAACTGCTACTGGCTTGTCTCCGAACGGGAGATGACGGGTCCGCTCAAGCCTGTCTCAATCGCCTCAGCCTTCGATTTGGACCATCCAATGAAAGAATCATGGGATTAAGAGGGCTGTTTGAAGAAGCAACCGCCAAGGATCATTCGGCACTAGAGAAGTGCTTGCAGGAATACGATCAAATTCTATCGCAAAGTCCAGTCAATGTAGTCAGTATGCCGATGATTTCTTTTTCGGTTCTCCAGCTGACCAAATATGTCAGCCTATTCTGAAGCGCCGGGTTGCGCTGCTACGGTCGCTCAACCGATCATCTGACGCAATCTCGGCTCTTATTGAACTTCTCGATGCCATTCCCACTGACGCGGAAGCCTGGTGTGAACTGGCAGACTTATACCAGTCACAGGGGTTGAGTTCCCAGGCTATCTTTAGCCTTGAGGAGGCCCTGCTCATTGCGCCTAACTCTTGGAATGTATGACACCCAACATAAGCTCCGAGTCATCTCACTGACTGATGCCAGATCCATGCCCGGCTAGGTGAGCTGTTATACATCGATGGGGAGGCATTGCAAAGGTCGGTGCAACACTTCTCTCGAAGTATTGAGCTTTGCGACGACTACTTGCGGGGGTTCTACGGGTTAACATTGGTAAGTCGAGGAACTATGGAGATCAATTCTTTTTTTCCCCACTAATGGCCCGCAGGCTTCATCCCGGATGCTAGAGAAATCCGATGGATCTATACCCAAGCAAACCCTGGAGCGTCTAAAGGCATTTGGTTTACTCAAGTTGGGCGAGATTGTCAAGTCACGATCCGTCGATGAGCAACATTGGGCATCCAGCCGCAGTGAGCTGATTGCAGCCAAAGAACTACTGAATCGATTTTAAGAGAGATTAATACGATAATATTCCAGCCCCGGGTGAATTGTTCCTAGATTCTAGATCCATGCAGACATGCGGTTCCCTTCCTATTTCTAGGGTATTAGATACATACACATATAGAATATGCACATGAGGGGGCTGAGAGACTAAATTGGGCAGTTTGGGCACAGGAAGAGCCAAACACACACACACACACGCACACACATACACTCAATGCCCAACGGGCTGTCACATTCCTCAAAAAGCCCTTATTTTCCCTTTCTTCCTTTTCTTTACTTTCTGCATGATACCCTGGCTTAAATCGCCTTACTGTGTTCCTTTTCTTTTCTTTTTTTCCCTCTTCCGACTCCCTGTCTATTTGGCTATTTCACTGCTTGGTCTACTTGATCTACTTTTTTAAGTGATCTACGATCTAACTGACGACCTATTCAATACCCACTACTATCGACTATCGACTCTTCAATCTAGCGGGGTGAAGAGGAAGAAAAAAAAAAAACACGTCAATGCGCAAACCCCCCGCGTCTTGATTCCTTTTACCCTCCCCACCATTCTCACTGGTTTCATCTCTCTTGGGATATTCCCTCCTCACTTCGCGCATGCGACAGAGAGAGAGAGGACTTCGATCTCTATATAAGAAGTGTTATTCCCCCGCTTCTGGTCTCTATGACGTGTGTTTTGACCCTCTACTACTTCCTTCCCCCCCCCCCCCTTAACTCCCTAACTCCCTGACTTTCCCCTTTCTGATCTCTTTCTTCCCCCTTCTACAGGCTCAGTATCTCGATTGATCCAGACCCGCACGGCTCGGATCACTCTTTCTCCGACGAAGACTCGTCTGGTGTACATGTGTCGGCACCCTCAGATGGAAGCCATGACTACCAGGAGGACTATGATGAGTGGGCGCATTTGCCTTATCCGCATGAATTGAAATCGTCTGATTCAGCCTCCCGACCAAGAACTTCACGCAGCCGCCCGACCCACGGTTCACACTCCGCTTCGGGCCGTCGCCCAACACCCCGACGTATGATTCCAGAACGCGACCCGTACGCCTCTCGAGGCCGAAGACAGCAATCCCCCGATTCTCCTGATAGTGGGGATTTGGAAGAATATACAACTGCTCACTTTGACCAACCACCACCCAATCGGAGGGGATGGCCCCCAACAACAACTCCCCCTGCTTATGCTCATAGCCAGTCCTCTGGTCAATCTTACAATCCCTACCCGCCTGCGCATGTTCATCCGCCTTTTGCGCATCCCAACCCCCAAGGCACCTCTGATCTGATGAGAATCGGTCATCCTAACCAAGCCGCGCAACCCCATTATGGGGCTCATTCGCCCTACGGGTATAACCCTCAATATCCACACTCCCATGGCGCTCCTATGCATCCCTACTTCCCAGATCAACCCCAACAACGGCATATGCCTCGCCAGCCACATCAGCCGCGAAATGATCTACACAATCCCCAGGCACATATGCCACACCCCATGGCGCCCCATGGCGCCCCAGGCCCTTATGGGGCACCTCCTTTCCCTTCCCATGAGTTGATGGCGTATGGACAAGCCGGTTATTATCGAGATCCCAACTACTTTGGGGCATCGATGCCGGGCATGATGCCTTCTCCTTTTTGGCCAGTTCCTTACCCCCAAATATCCTCCCCTCCGGCACCAGTGGAACGAAAGCCTTCCCCACCTCCACCTGCCCCGCCAGCTCCAGCGCCAGCACCACCGCCAGAACCAGCCCCGGCTCCAGCGCCGCCGCCGCCGCCGCCAGCTCCTACCCCCGCTGAAATAGCTAAAGATGAAGCGATCGCCCGGCTAGAACAGTTGATTATCAATGATCGCAAAGACCGCGAGGATAAAGAAAAAGCCATCCAAGACGCCAAAGATCGTGCTGCTGCTGAAAAGGCAGCGCAAGAGGCGCAGACAGCGCACGACATGAAGATTGCCACGGAAGCTGCGGCTCTTGCGCGAGCTGATGCAGAGGCCAAGGCAGCAGAGGATGCGGCTAAGGCTAAGGAGGAGGCCGAAAAGGCGGCTGCTGCTGCTGCTTCAGATGCTGCTGCTGCTGCAACGACTGCTGCTACTGAGGCTGCAGCCGCCGCCGCCGCGGAAGCTGCGAAACCACCTCCTCCACCGCCTGGTCCCGAAAAAAAGAAGCCTATCAAGTTCAAAGACGCTGTTGGTAGAAAGTTCAGCTTTCCATTCGAGCTTTGTGCCACATGGCAGGTATGTTATTTTCCCATCTATGAGGGGGTTTTTTTCTCATTGACACTGATTTTTAGGGGATGGAGGAGCTTATTCGACAGGCCTTTCTTCATATTGAAGTGATCGGTCCCCATGTGGCCGATGGACACTACGATCTAATTGGTCCGAATGGGGACATTATCCTTCCACAGGTCTGGGAAACCGTGATTGAGCCCGATTGGTCTATCACCATGCATATGTGGCCAATTCCCGAGAAGCCAAAGGAAGACCCTCCCCCAGCAGAGGCACCACCTCCCGAAAAACCTGCGGAGGCGCCTCCAGAGCCTAAGAAGAAGGCAGAGACGGGTAAGAACCTTTTCCATGGCCTTTTGGACAGCCTGCTGACAGATTGATACAGGTAATAAGAAGGCAAAAGCCAAGAATCCGCCGATGCCAGGAAGCTTCGCGATGTGGATGCTAGGTAGTAACGCCAGGCCGAAGCAGGCTCCCAAGGTGGAAAAGAAGCCTGAACCGCCTGCTCCTGCGCCTCCTTCGTGATGACTGTATTTACGTTTTAGCCTATTTGAACTTTGTGGATGCTTCAGTTCGCCTCTTTGTTGGTTTTGGTTATATTGTGGTAGGTCTATTGGCGATGCGTGGTCAGTTAATGTCAAGCATCAAGGATATGCTGTGCGGAGGGAACTACTCTTGTCGTACCTGATCATGTTATAGATGATCAATCAATCCACTTCACTTCTGTTTATGTTTTAAGTGGTGATGGTCTCGCTGTCGGGGCTACCTCTTCGCACTTCTTGTTTCACGTTTGCTTTTCCACACACCTATTACCCTAATTTTCCGTGAAACTAGTGCTGCTAGTGGCGGGTTCATATATAGTAGCAAATGCTCTGTTCCCCTGCTTTCTTATTTATATATTAAATGTGTGACTATTGCCTCTTTGAGACTCTGTTTGTGTACCAATAGGGCATACTTTCTATTGAGGTTATATATTTGTAGGTTGTGATAGAATAGTTAGAGTACTTTTTGTATTAACGCTATAAGAAAGTGATTGAAAATTTGAGCAAATCGAGATCTTCAACTTGGACGCTGCGTAGTTTGATGAAGAAATTTTGTGGAATAGTTTAAAAAATATATATTGTAGAGCCTGATACCACTGTCCCAACGGACAAATCCTCTCATACCTATAGTTTAAGTGTGATTTGACCACGAGTTTCTCTAGTACATGATCATACCTCAACGTTAATATTATTGTACTAATTGCATTCGAGGGAATTGCTTACTGCATAAACTCACGGTGCATCGGATAACTCGGGGTCTCGTGACAAAGTTTAAAGACTTCATACTTACAAGATAGAACCTAGGCATTCTTTCGCTTCTCTCTTACATTCCTACACTGCCTACAGGCAGGGTCGGATAATCTCTTCAGATTTAAAACCTTTCATGTGTAAGAGAGCGCTTGATATCCTAAAATACTTCCCTTTTTTAAAAGAAATTTAGCTCTGATTAACATACTACCTATGTATACCAATACTATTATTTAATTCTACCGTCTAACTATGCCATAACTACTTACTAAGAGGTCTGCTTAATAACAAACAGTGTGGTTAGTTAATATAATCCCAATTCTTTTGTTTCTATTTTCCCGAGGATAGAATATTTAGAGGGAACGAAAAATAGGTGATAAGTAACACTTACTAGCTTTTAAGCGATATACTATTTCAAATATATCCGAAGGTTAAACTAGATAAATTCTATCACGCTCTATGATTCTGATTGACTTGTGATTCGGCTGCGAGTCATTGTTATTCATGATCATATTTTACATGTATAATCCTAATATCATTCGTCGCGTTATATACTCGTGTTATATCTAATTATCTGATCATTATTCTTATGAATCAGACACACAAAGCAAGTATTTTCGCGAGGGATTTTTCCACTGTAAGAATTAGTCTACGACCAGAAGAACACTTTTCTTTCCCATATTTCTGTTACGACCCACGAGCTTAGCAGGTTGCACACCGAACCTAAAGGTTACGTAGTCAGCTCTCCCCACTTGGTAATAGATAAAGATCTCTCTGATCAAAGAACTATTCAATCGCTATTAATTATTAGAACTACCTCTGATAGCTGAACAGGGCTATGCTAGCTAGTTGAATGCTTGAGGTTATTGTGGTAGGGATTATATAAATGACCGAGAAAAACAAAGTGAGAAATAGGAGAGTTGAGAATGATTGAGAAATCAATTGATGGTTAGATTGACAGATATCTTTATAAGGGAAGAGCTTCTTTCTTTATTTAAATATTTCCTTCTCTGATTAACTCCCTGGTCATTTAACGTTGCATCCGTAGTACTCCGATTACTTGTTACGTCCGTGATAACCTGTTGGCACTTGGTTGTATAGAATTCGATAGAAAAGATATATCTTCTTATGGGGTGGGTTCCTTTGTTATAGTTCCTATCGAGTTTCCTAGTAGAGGTGTTTGCATGTTTTAGCTCCTCTAGTCAAACCTGCGTTACTAAATCGAAAAGGTACTCAAGTCTAAAAAGCAATATTCAGATATAAGTCTTCTTTTGTTATCCTTAAGTTTTATTCTTGATCTTATTTGGTCCAATCATACTGTAGGTTATCATATATTGGTAGCGTGGCTAGGTCAGGTAGCTATCTAAAGTACGTTGGACTAGTTATAGTAGTCTTTTTAGCTCACCTCGTACCTTTCGAAGCTCTCCTAGAATATTATAATGAATTTGTTAGACATTATTATAATACAATAATTAATAAAGATTCATTCATAAATACCATAGTAGATAATCATAAATATGTTTGTTACTAATAACATACTGTAGTGGGGGAACTGCTTACTGCATGAGGTAGCGGTCTACGGATGATTCAGCATTCATGATGTATCTAAGACCTCTCTACTCCACGTAGAACAAGACAGACACACTCTTATCTTCAGACCACCCCTATGTGCTCTCCTTTCCTATAGCTCTACCTCTTGTTGGGGTTTTGCCTATGCTCCCATTGCTAGTGTCGACCCGTCTGTGTTGACCAGACTGCCATCGCGCTATCCCTTTTCAATATTTAATTTTTTTATAAGAAGGCTTATTCAAAAACATATTTTTGATTTTTTTAATTAAGTACGCGAAACTATAATACTTTAAGCCTCTACCTTGTCTACCTTGTGGTAGCTTCTACTAGATTTCCTTATAAATATATATATATATATATATGTAGCATCTTAGTTTTTAAAATAGGTAAGCGAGATAGAATCTAATAAAAGCGTATATAATATTTATTAGAACGACTATAGTTTAAAAGAGGACTGCGCTACATAGTTACGTAGCGAAGAGCATTATATAGCTAGAATAAAGTGCATACTTTATTAATATTAAGCTAATATATTAAAAGATACTGAACATAATCATATATTAGAGGATGTTAAAAGAAGATTAACATATAGTGAAAAGGGGATAGCGCGATGGCAGTCTGGTCAAAACAGACGGGTCGACAAATACTGGCAAGAAAACCCAACAAGTCAGATTAGGGAGCTCTAGGCAAATGACGCCTATCAGGGACAATCAGATGCTATATCAAGGAGCAAAATGATCATAAATCTTGAATCAGGAAATGTGTGGCATTGTTGTCTCTGTCTATCATTCCCTACAGTCGTAGATTGCCCATATCCCTTCCTCGAGGACATCGCTGCCTGAGGCAGTAGTATAAGAACCACGTGATTTTCCCACTACAATATCTAATAAAATTAGACTTCGTTAACTTGAAAGTATTTTATTGCGCCTACTTTTTTACGTACGAAGGGGAGACATAGACCATTATAAATAACTCTATAGCTACTAGAGCGATTTAATATTATAATTTAATAAAAATTTCCAGGAAAATAGTAATATCCTAGTGCATATACCTCTCTATATTTACCTTTCCTTTTATAGCCGCTCGGTGATAGCTATTTTACGGTATTAAACCGCGTATACGGTAAGCTTATTAAATTAAAAGTAGAAGTCAAAATTAATTATATTAATAAAGCAGACTTCCTTCAGACCTATAGCCCATCCGGCTATATAAAGTAGGGCGTTCAAGTCGGAGACTATTAAGAATTGCTTCGCTACCGCCGGTCTTGTGCCTTATATTCCCGATCGAGTTAGCTCGAAGCTTCGTATTTACGTTCGTACGTAGACCTTCCCCCACCACCTCTTCAGCCGGAGTAGTAATTAAGAGCTAAATGCCGTTGGTCTATGTATAATAATATAGGATAGCGCGATAGTAGTCGATTCACTTAAATAAATGGGTCGATATTGGTGATAGGAGTATAGGTAAAACCTAACAAGAGGTCGGGTAGAACTTTAGGAAAGGAGAGTATATAGGGGTGGTCTAGAGAGAAGAATATATCTAACTTACCTACTATACGTAGAGAAGTCTTAAATATATTTTCAAACCCCTAATTTATCCGTAGACCGCTACTTTATATAGTAGGTAAATCTCCTACTTACTACATTTAGTATATATGTTTTTTAAATAGAGGCTAAATTTATTAAGGATAATAGCTATAGACTATATGAACTATTTTAGATTAGTCTATTTATCTTATAGCGAACTAGCTATTAATGATCTATTATCTAAGAATCCGATATTATTCTCGATAGATAGGAGAAAGTATAAAGTATATTATACAATTTTATAATAAATAGGTACTTATTATATTTATTAGGGTAAAATAAGTATAGAGGAAAATTATAACTATGGGCTAATTAATAGCTTATTCTATAACTGATTTTAAATAACTACTTAGATTATTTATTATCTTATAATTAGATTAACTTATTATTTTAGTAGAACTAGAAGAAATGAGTAGTATTTTATACTAGGATATTAGCCCAATATTATTAGTAATTGAAATAATTAATTTGATAGTAGCAGTAGTACCTTTTTTCAACATCACAAAGGTATTTTATAAGTTAAAATCTAATATTGTAAACTTTATGAAAATATGTTTTTGCTACATTATCACTATTTTTATTCTTGGCCGTAGAGGAGTAGTCTATCTAATTAATATAATCTATGACAACTAATCTTCGTATGCAAAGTTATATTATCGCTAGTTTACGTTAATATTCTATATTTCACCGGATACTAAGGTACTTTTTTTATTTAGAAGTTACTATATTCATTAGGATATTTTGTAAATAGTTGAGAGTATAATCTAGCGAGAAGGTTGAATAAAATTAATTGTTATAGAATGGGACCCTTTTTTGCGGTCGGGGAGGGGAAATACCTTAGAATAAGGTCTATATTAAAATACTCGAAAATGGTCTACTACCCTTCTATATCCCTAGGAGAAGTTTTTAGTAAGATAACGCGAAGACTTTTGTAGCGCGGCCGACGCAAGAGTGATTAAAAACTATGGGACTACGCTAGTCTCGGGGTTAGAATGGGTAGGCGAGATAGAATCCTGATAATGCGTATATGTTAATAAGAGATATGTATATGAAGAAGGTAGCCTGAGCGCAGATTCCTAGAATT